TCGGCGAGCTTCACGACAAATTTTTCACCGACGAGGCAGTTTCGGCTGGCGAGGTCCCTGTGGATGTAGTTGTGGGATGCGAGGTACTGCAGTGCGCTGGCAATCTGGGAGGCCATGAAGACCAAAGTGGAGGTGGTGATCTGGGTGTGGGTGAATTTTGTGATGATGGGAACAATCTCGGAGTACCTCTTGAGGAAGTTGTTGAGGTCTCCTTCCTCCATGTACTCCATCATGATGAATGCCGGGTCCTGATAGCAGACTCCGAGGAGTGACACCACGTTCTGGTGCTTGAGGCACGACATGAGCTTCACCTCCTTCTCAAACACCTGTCGATCTTCCATCGACGGCTTTGCAGCCAGTCTCTTCACGGCTACCAGTATGGATACGTTCTTGTTGTCGTCCGTCTCACTCAACCTCATGTCCTTCATGCTCAGGCCGTTGGTGGCTGCCAGCACAACCCTCCCAAACTGCCCCATCCCCAGTTCTTTCTTCTCTATGATATTGTCGTTGGCGATCACGACTGGTCTAGGGACCTCGGGGGTCATGTTGGGGACTGCATACACCGGGGCATAAACATGAGGATCTTCCAAACATTCACCTTGGTAGCCCCCTGTGAAGTCCGACGGCTGGATGGGCTCGCTGATAACAGGTGCCGAGGGTTGAGGAGTGTCCTCTTCTTCTGTTATGAAGCCGTGATGGACGTTGGCGTGGGGTACTGCACGGTGGATGGCTGGTCGATCATACATTTCCTCCCCAGTGGTGTTATCGAGAAATCTGGTGGTGTCTAGCGACATGGCCATGGCTTCTCTCGATGCTTCATACACGGGGTTGTAAGCCAGTTGTGATCGAGACGATAGGGACCCGTGTCGGGCTTCTCTCTTACCAGACGGATCGGTGCTCAAACCGGGCTGTTGATCCTTGACTGAACGCACAGCCAGATACGTGACGAGATCGTTGGACTTCTGTGGCACTGCAGGAGTGTTCTTAACCACGTGGCTGTAGACATGAGGCATAGACTGCTCAAAGCTCCCGTTGTCGGCTCTCGACTGTGCCGAATACGCAACTCTGAGCGAAGCGGAAAAATTCGATGGCTCAACATCATCGTAGTCGGTTCCATCGTATAAGGCCTCTAGGTCCACTTTAGGAGTATTGTCCTCCCGTGGGACCTCATCGTACACGTTATCAGACAGGTTCTCGACGTGGTCAACAAAGGAGGGGTTGTACATAGGGCTTCTGAGGTCATTGTAGTTGGGGGGCTCCCCCTGCTGGTGTACTGCGCCCAGACGGTTCATTGGATAGTCTTCATTTTTTATCTCTGTGTTCTCCTCTCGGTACTCTATGCTCGAGTCGACAGCTACTCCGTTTGAGTGCCACGTTTCCATATCAGCATCGGAATGCCCTGTCTTCTTGTTGTGCGACTTGATGAGAAACCAAGCAGCAACAGCAATTACAGCAACAGCAGCTAGACACAGGATTATGAACAGAGTGATGGAAACTGACAACCCAATGACCAATCCATTGTTGCTGTTATCATCAGAGCTTCCCGGGGCTGAGATATCCGTAGGAAACTTCTCTATTTTGGATGATGGACTATGAAAAATTGTGGATGAGGGGTTGATGACACAACTCTCTGCTGAATCTAAACAAGATGATGTTGTCGTAGCAACAGATATTGAGGCACTTGGATTCTCTAGACAGTTTGATTCTTTATTACCTGCAGCGTTTATATAATTAAACCTGACTTCTCCCACATGAACCCATTGTATGGATGAGGGGGGTGATAGGTCCATTAGAATATAGACTGTGCGATAGGATTTACTTAGGAATGAGCCTCCAGAAAAGGTAACACTTGAAAGAGAGTCACAAGATGACTGGAGGGAGTCGTCACTAGCATACACAAATGGAAGGCTTAATATGCTGGTGGTAGCTGTTAAGTTGTAATCTGGATTGAGATACACTGTGATAGATGGAGTACCTATGTTCCAGTCAGAACAGTTGAACAAGTCCATCTCAATTCCAGTCAGAGACACAGCTGTGTCAAAGCCAAATGTCAGCAGAACATTACGGAAAGTGATACGAGGAGTTGCCTCATTCCTCCTCACTGTCACTAGCTGAGATGTCCAGTCAGAGTTACTTGTCTTAATATCAGGAGAGACACCATCAATCAGATAGCTGATGGCACAATTCCCTGGACTACCACATGTTGTAACACCATCTGTAACTGTTAGTGGACCAGTACATCCCATTGCCACACTAGATCCATTGACTGACTCTATTCCTTGAGGTACTACCTGCACCTGTGCTTGAACTTCTACCCCTAACAATGCGAATTTTAGCTGTAGACAATAAGTCACACAGCAGGATGACTTACATGTAAGAAATGCTGCCGAAACGACGACCAAAATGCAAACTTCTGCCTGCAGATGTACAAACGATCGTGTACATACATGTAAACGAGGGCCATGCGCATTCACAGGGAAGCGGCGGGTAGGCCGAACACGACATTACACATGGAGCTATTCTTTATCTGACCTACCATTATCCAGTACCGTCTGCTCGGAGAAATGCAGCGGGAGAGTAGCGCCAAAACCCTATATCCGCGCGAATGAAGCCGCGCATGCGCATATCCACAAACCTGTTGTACTGACTTACAATCAACTAACCACACACATACACTGACAAACACAGAAAAAATACCATTAAAAATCATCAAACTTGAGAGTGCAAAAAGTGAAACAGTCATCAGCTGTTGAGTTGAATGAGGTTCAGGCTGTCGTGGATCTCTCTGAACGTGGCGCGGTCCGCAGCGGCGTACTCCCAGCATCGCAGCAGGACTTCGTACACTGCCTGGGGACACCCCTCGGGTCGACCCATGATCCTACGACCTGTGCCCCGTATGGCGTCTTGGATCATGTCCTGATCATCGAGCTCTTCGTACGGCTGCTTCTTCCCCAGTGTGTATATCTCCCACACCGTCACCCCGTACGCCCACATGTCGGACTTCTCTGAGAATCGGCCGTAGAAGCTCTCGGTGGCCATCCAGCGAATGGGGAGCATTGCCCGGCCACGGACGCGGTAGTAGACTCGCTCGTAGAGGTTTCGGCTCATGCCAAAGTCTGAGATCTTGATGCGGAAGTTGGAACCGACGAGGCAGTTGCGTGTGGCGAGGTCTCGGTGGACGTAATTGAGCGAGGCGAGATAGACCATCCCGCTGGCAATCTGGACGGCCATGTAAAGGAGGGTGGAGGGAGGGATCTGGTTGGAATAGAGCGCAGAATCATCGTCCACCATCTGGTACTTTTGGAGGAACTGGTTGAGGTCTCCGTTCTCCATGTACTCCATCACGATGAAGGGGTGCTCGCTCTGCGTGCATACAGCCAGAAGCTGCACGATGCTCTCGTGCTGGAGCTGCGACATGAATTTGATCTCCTTGTCAAACGACTGCCGCACTTCGTAGCTCACGTCCGTTTTCAGTTTCTTCACGGCCACCAGCGCAACTCCATCGGCATTCACGGATCCCTTTGGCAGGGACGCAACGTCAGAGCTGGAGAGTCCGGTCATCTCGGCCAGTACCACGGCACCAAATTGACCGACGCCAATCTGTTTCACCTCTTGGATATTATCCACGCTGATATCGAGGGGCTGCGTCGTTTTCTGCTTGAGGGGTTTGGCGTAGATGGGGCCGTAAGGGTGAAGGTCATCGTCAGTAGCGACAGTGCTGGACCTCTTGGTGAACATACTGGGATTGATTGCCACGCTGTAAATGGGGTCAGAGGGCACGTCATCGGTGAAAGACGCACTGTTTCGAGTCGAGCTTGGTTTAGACGGGAGAGCGTAGAGACTGTTCTCCAGCTCCAGTTCCAGCTCATCAGCCGACTGATAGATGGGGTTCTCCTTCATCTTGAACTTCCTCAGTTTGGTCAACTTTGACAGTGTAGGGACGGACCCTGACTGTGAGTAGGTTGAGATGCCAGTGTTTCTTCGTGTCGGCTTCTCGTGGATGGGGGAGACATTTTCCTTCTCGTCGATGCTCATGAGTTCGTTGAGTTCTGTCTCCGTGAGCATGATGGGCGGGAGAGGGGGCGGGGACGTGCCAATTTTCTTGAGCGGTTTCTGTACAACGCTGTAAATTGCGGTGTTGGTGTCTGCGATGCGGTTCTCGCTCAGTGTTGTTCCGTTTTTGTTTAAGTTCTCTCGGTGTCTAGTAGGGAGTTTGACACCCCTCAGTGCAGCAAGGAGAGGCACACATGAGCACGAGCCACAGGAGAGCTCTCTGCAAGACCACAAGTCCAACTTTCCCCTTTTGCGGTAGCGCCACACCATCCAGAAGAGGACTATGAGACAAACGATAAGGGCTATAAGTAGCAGAAGTGCTATCACAACACCAGCTACCACTCCGCTGTTTCCGCCACTTGACTTTGAGTCATCACCTGCACATGTGTACACAAGAGCAACAACACCAACGTATTACACAGTGAAAATAGAGAGAAATTTAGCTACATTTACAGATAGGCTTTCATAGCTGAATGCACCAATGGGAGTTACAAGTACGACCATACCATGCACACATAACTGGATTGGGACACCATGTTTACCTGCTACCTGTGTCCAACAGAGAGCACAGCAGCGGGTATCGATAGGTGGCACAAACAGGCTGTGTCAACTCCCCCCTACCCTTCTCCAAACCTTCCTCTTCCTACCCCCTGGACCAGTACACACACAAACAGTGCTTCAAAAACAGGCAAAGGACCTATTGCCACCGATAAACACACAATGCAGACCTCCAAGTGTGCTGATACGGCAACTAGAGGTACATACACACATGAACGTTGGTGGTTCTCACAGAAATACACACACTGATTTGAAACATCAGTCACTAAGACTCTCACTCAGTCTAAATATTATATTAAGTGTACTGGTATTGTCTACACACACAGATATGATACTGACTCTTTGGGGGAAACCTATCCTGTATCAGGTTACTTGCCTAGGTCAACAGAGAAGGTAGCAGATTCTCCATCCACTGAACATGTGTACTCTCCTTGGTCAGCCTCTGTGACGTTGACTATGGTGAGTTGAGACACAGTGACCTTGTCAGTGGAGGACACACTGCCACCACTCAGGGGACCAGTGTCACTGAGAGTAGTGTTGAATCTGCGGGTCTCCAGGTTTCTCCCAGGAGAGCTCCACTTGGGAGGTGAGGAGTCTCGAGGATAGCCATACACCTCACACGTCAGAACAATCACCTCACTTCCTTCTCTCACCACCAGTCCTGAGGACTCTACCTCCACTATCACTGCAGGAGGGACAAAAGAACTATTGAAGCTGCATGTGTGTATAAGCCATCCCTCCCCAATAGTTGACACAGGCTCACGCTTTTCATCAAAGTTTACATTGGCTCAGGCCACCTAATTTGTGTAAATGCAGAATGAACGTACAATATGGGATGCTCACAATTATATAGGTCATGGGGGAAATCTGGACTGTAACTATACAACACACTACATCAGAAACCAGAGCCACCTGCTTTGTAATGCAGAATGAAAGTGGAATGGATGCCGTAGGGGAAATCTATTTATACTACACAGTCAATGCATACACATACGCGGAAGGTTGAGACGTATGTTTCCAGTGACTGGTGTGGTTCCACTGCAGTCCACTCCATCAGGACATGCTCCATACTCCACTGTACACATGTAGTCTCCTGCATCGGAATATCTGAGACCAGATATGACTAGACTACTGGACTGAGTGTTGGTGGAGTGTGTGATAGAGAATCGAGTGTCAGTGTTGCTCAGTGGTGTCCCATTCCTCCACCACTGCCACTGGTATTGGTAGTCATCAGTAGGAGGACTGGCCACAGAGCAAGTGAGACTGACAGAGTCAGGCTGGCCCAGGTCAGGGCTCTCTGTGGCTCCAGTGGGTGGGGGAGAGGAAAGAGTGAGGGAGGGAGGGGTGGGAGAGGGGGGAGGGGAGGGGTTGGTGTGGGGTCAGTGGTGGGAGAGCCACAAGAGATGGAAGATGGAGGATCTCCTGCACACAGTTGTATCTCACTGATGAACAGCCAGTCAGTGTCTTGGTTGAAATTGAATGTGATCTCTACATTATCAGGATTCTGTGGTAGAGTGAATGTATTCCTGGTCAGTGTATTGGTAGAGGAGGAGAAAGAACAGTCTGAGGGATGAAAGTATCCTCAACTCTTGGATTGAAATCAGTAACAATTCTAGTAGTCTCAGGTGGTCCTATTTTGGCAGAGGGAAGACTCAAGAAGTAGACTTCAATGTAGGACACAGTAGAGATATCAGTGGCTGTGAATTGGAGTCCCACAGAGCCATTGTCTCGATGCCAGACAAAGAACCTGGTGACCTGGTCTTGATCACTGACATCCACTGAGTCTGTAGGTCCAATGTCTCCATCACTCAACACTCCTTCTCCTGCTCCACACTCCAGAAACGTTGGACCAACTGCACAGCCTGTTGTGTCTGGCTCAATACCATTGTATGCCACTGGAGATGTCGTAGTACCAACTTCTAGAAACTTTGCAAGAACTGCAAAACAAAACAAAACCCATGCACTGAACTAGTCAAAAAAATGATGATGCTCTTTACCTCTCTGGCAATCCTGAGAGGAGACAGTCACTACAGCCACACAGAGCAGAATGGACGAAAGGAAAACTATGTCCAAACTGTAAAACAAGAGAACACAACTGTAAAACAAATCCCACAAATCTAGCTACTCTCAGTTGTCTGAGTTGTGTTATATCTATCAGATGGAGGGGACTATCGCACTGGACAGTGTGCAGGTGCAAACATCACGTTGAATGGTTTTTAAGGTTACGCTGCATTTGCTTGCCCAAAATGTATTGCATATCACTGTGGTATAATGTGTTCATACAACCACACACTATCAGAGAGTGAGGGAGAGATTCCTGGTTTCAATCTCGTCAAAAACACTGGAGAGCACATACCCCGCTAGCTAATACCCACGCGGTGTTGTGTGAGCGCATGTGCACACGTTGATGAATAGGCACTGGCCAAGTGACCCAACTTGTGTAGCCGTTGTGGTCAGTGTTGTTGATTCAAAGCACACTGACGCTAGTTTTTTTTGCTGTTTATGATTGTTTAGCCGTCTTTCAAACTCTCTCAAGATCTGGCGATTTTAGTGAGGACGACGACAGACATACAGACTGAAAACACAACCCATTGCGCCGCATGCATGCATGGGGTAATAACAGATGGACTTCTATACTCCAGGATGGCAAGGTGGCAAGGTATTAAGTCCTCACGATATGCCCAAAATAGGGGGATTTAACATAAAATATAGCAGCTCACTATACACCATGTCAATGCTCATGTAACTAGGTCATGCTGTTGTGCCCATGGTATGCTAATTAACTGTGGGCAGAATCTCCTGTGAATCAGTAATGAGAAATTCTGAATGAGAACACACCTGCAATAACCCTAGTACGTAGAGAGCCCTCATTTTCACCTATTCACACTCATTGAAGGCCCCTTACCCTCTCTAGAGGCCAAATACAGCCACAATGCATTGCCTTACTGTACTTCATGGCCATAATTAGACAACCGCCCACGAATGCATGTACCACGTGCAAGCTCCAAACTAAAAAAGACACGATAGCAGTGATAGGAAAGCAAATCTGGTTTATCCACACCCTATGAAATTACGCGTGGGAGGTTGCTGTCATGGCAACAATTACACACACAGACTATACACATCAGGAGACGGAATGGTAAAAGTAGTGGGCGCTTTACTTTACCAAACATGGTATCAACCAGTAAACCAGCTCAGGCAGCCGGGAGTAGAGTGTCTAAAACAAACCTTTTTAGAGCCATTTCTTCCACGATAGCCGCCACAGGTACTACAACAACAGATGCCTGAAAGACCCATCGTCTAACGCCTCCACACCATTATTACGCATTAGAGACACTACAACCACACTGAAGCATACTGCATAATACAGCCATATGGAGACCATGTATAAGTGCTTGATAGGCATACATACTTATGTACACTTATGAAGTATACTACATGATCTTGATGTGGAGTGTTTTTTCATTGAGTATGCCGCTGTGATACCAGCAAGGCTACCAGCAAGGCTACGAGACAGAGAGTTGAAAGACAACCTGCTTGTTAGGTAGCAACTCTCCACACACCCTTGAATGGGTGTAGGCAGGTGTAGGGCCTTCCTGCCTTACCTAGTCTTAGAACAATGTCCACATTACAAGGAAGCACGCTCAGGCATGTGTCAGGCAGAGGATTAGACATGATCTCATTGTGTCTACAGAACAAATACGAGTGAGAACCTATACCTGAACCATCCCATCTACATGTACTGTACCTCCTCCTCTGTAGAAACATTCTTCAGTGAAACTGAAATAAAATTCCACTTACTTTGAAGTGCAAACATACTCTAAAATCAATCTAGGTGCTTTCCTAGATCTGTTATTGAGATCCTATTGAGAGAACAAATGACTAAAACTACAGCCCAGGTTTTCTGGCCAAAATGTCCTGTGATCGCTTCTACCACACCCTCGGTATACTTTGAGAACCTAGTACTCTGTGAGCAAACATGACAGGGCAACAGAGAGTCAAACCGAAAGCACAACAGAAGGCAATTTCTACAAAGAGTAGCCACTTCCTTCCTCCCTGGCCAAAAGTTGGACCAACAATTCTCACATGCTGCTGTTCTGATACGCTCATCCGTCCAGGACTAGCAAACCTGTCGAGGCAGCCGGGACGAGAATGTCTAAAACTTTTAGAGCCCTTTCATTCATGATAGCCGCCACAGACGCTATAACAACAGATGCCTGGAATACCGCCTCTGTGCCATGATTATGCACTAAAAACACACTGAAGCATACAAGTCATAGTTCTTAGACACTCTCCATCCAGGCACATGCTGCGTCACACTTGCTTTATTCACAGAGTTATTCACAGAGGACCTGATCATACAGCCAAGTGAGTGTCAATTAATCAACCCAACCCTGGCATATTTGCACCAAACGACCTCCATCTATAACCATATTGACCAGACTCACACTGAGCACTTGCCAGGGTGTATAGTTTTAAGGAATAAGACAACCACAGTGTGTACAGGTCGTGTTTACACAAGTACAATGGCATCAAAAACACATCTGCGATCGTGTGCTGCATACTGTACAATGGACAATATTGCTTATACCGTATACATACATTATATCGCTTACGGGACGGGACTTTTTAGCCACGATTTAGAACTCGTAGCTATAGTAAAGTTCACCTTCTAGCTATAGCTAAGTCGAGTCGGGCCGGATGGCGTTTGCAAGGTGCTAGCTAGTGGCAGAATCATCGGGTTGTACTAGCTAATACTCACCATCGTCTAACATTTCCTAGATGATAGCTGTAGTAGATGCTTCACTTCCTCACTCCCGATGACTCCCAGGGATATTACCCGCTGTCGCTTGTGTGTCGCTCAATCCGAGGCACCTCCGTCCGCGGGTCGCTAATGAACGGAAGACGATCCGGAAAAATTAAATTGCGTGGGTGTCACCGCACGCGCGCGCGCTCGTATGTTTTCATTGATGATGATGATTTCATTATGCGCATGCGTTTTAAAAGTGTAAGGCAAATAGTACTGGTAGCTGCATATAGTACTGGCTGTAGTATAATATAGTAGATGTCTCGGTTTGCGGCGGTGCTGCTGTACAAAGTAATTATAGTGCGTGGGTGTGAAACTTGCGCACGCCACGGCCATTCCAACTTGAAAAAAAAGCGCAAACATGAGTATAAACAATGTGTGGTAAATACAAAATTCATGGCGAAAATAACACTAGAGATCACTGTAGGAATGGAGGGAAGCAAGAGATGAATAGACGTCTTCGAAATTGATGCGTTTCTCAGGGTCCTTCTCCCAGCACTGCAGCATCACCTCGTACACCTCCTCAGGGCAGTGCACGGGCCTCTGCATCACCTTCATCTTCTCGGGGTTCACCGCATTATCGATCACCTCCTGGTCTGTCATTTCGTCAAATGGCTGCACCTTGGCGAGCATAAACACCTCCCACATTGCCACACCAAACGCCCACACATCCGTTTTCTCGGAGAAACGTCCGTAGAAGCATTCGTTGGCCATCCACCTGATGGGGAGTACGGCACGGCCCTGGATTCGGTAGTAGTGCGAAGAGTAGAGACTCCTACTCATGCCAAAGTCGGCGATCTTTACCGCGTGGTCTTTCCCGACGAGAAAGTTTCGTGTGGCGATGTCGCGGTGGATGAAGTGGAGCGAGGCGAGGTAGCGCATCCCATTGGCGATCTGGATGCAAGCGTAGAGGAGAGAGGAAACTGTTATCTGATTGGCTGCCAGTTCGCTGTCACCGAGAGCCACCTCATACTTCTGCAGGTACTGGTGGAGGTCTCCACACTCCATGTATTCCATAAGGATAAAGGGCTGCCCCGTTGGACATATTGCGAGCATACGGATCACATTCATGTGATTGAGGCGTGCCATGAACTTGATCTCTTTCTCAAACGCCTCCTTCACCATCTTGTCGGCATTTTGTTTGAGTCGTTTCACGGCCACTTGGATGCTGACGCTCTTGTCTGTGCTGTCGCCCAGTCGAAGATCGCTGTGACTCAGGCCCAGCGTCTCTGCCAACATGACCTCTCCAAACTGCCCTGTCCCCAGCGGACGTATCTCCTTGATGTGATATGGACGCACCTCGATGAGTCCTTCTTCCCTATGAAGGGGTTTTGGGTCGGCGTAGATGGAAGCGTAGGGGCAGATCTTGCTGGAGCCACTTGGAGACTCTGTACTGGATGGAGATGGAGCCTGGAACTGCGACGGAGACAGTGCGGGACTCTGTCGTTGAAACTTGGCCGGGGAAAGCCCAGCCTCAGTGTAAATGGGTTCCGGAGATGCTTCTTTTGGTTCTGGTGATGTCATCATCATCCGTTCGGGGAGTGGTGGGGGCTTGTTTGGGACCGCATAGATGTCGAGTTGGGTTTCTTCTTCTAGCATACCGGGTGTGCTTGTAAACCTTTTGTTAGGTAGGGGAGGTGCATTTGTGATGAGATTATCAGCAGATGAGTACAGTGGGTTGTTTCTCAGGTTCAGTCCCTGGCCATTGGCAGCGACAGACAGCTTGGCGAGAGTGTGATCGGAGGATGGTCCGCCGAGTTCGGCAGGCATGGAGATGATAGAGTCCCTCAGGGTGGACCCAGAAGTTAGAGTGGCTAGTTCAATGTGTCCGTTGTTCTTTGAGTCAACAGTGGCGTAGGACCCGGGTGGGGGGCGGCTGGGAAGAGGTGGAGGGATCTCCTTCTTTGGGATAACCTGATAGAGTGCATCGGACTCATCTTCACTATAGGCATTTCCAGTGGAATGCCTGAACTGGGCAGTTTTCATTGCACCCATTGCACCCCGGCGGGTGCAGCAACAGATGACAAAGATAAGAACAGCCACTATTACGATGAGGCAAACAAGCACGGCACCAGCAGCACCGGCACCAATGGGAACCCAGTTAATTGTGTTGGGTTTGGGGGTTGCTGTTGGGGTAAAACGAATTTGGCTAGTATCCACACTTGGAGCTGCTGCAGTGAGAAAAAAATGTCAAGCAATGACGTTATAAGCTACAATTACTGCTTACGTGTAAGATTCATAAGGGTGATCATAACATTTGAATGACCGGGATAGGAACATGTGTATGTCCCGGCATCACTGTCACTAGCTTGTCGTATCTGTAGTTGTGACTGGTGACATGTGCCATAGCGACACACTATATTGTCGGACTCCAAAATGTTGCGTCTTCCAGAATTGCTTAGCACCTGTCCATTGAAGATCCATTGTATTTCTTCGGTCCCTGAAATCTCGCCGGCCAGGATGCATTCCAGCAGGACAAAGTCATTGTCCTTAAAACTCACTGTTTTTTCTCTAGGATACAGAACCACTGAAATAGAGAGTAGGAAAGATGTGTAGCTACGTATGTGTAGCTAATTTATACTTCTATAATATACAACCTACATAATGATAAGCAGGCCCTTGGTGCAGAACCAGCATACAGTGCAGCAAAAAGCTTTTGCAGGTGAAAACATAATACTAGCACACACATGGAATTTGTAAAAATGATGCGTAGCTAGCTGTAAATCGCAAAAAATTTCTCTGCTAATCCCTGTGTGCCTATCTGTATGCGTAGTAACTCACATTCTACATCAATGATAAATTCCTCAGCAACAGATGAAGCAGGTAGTCCAGTGCCAGTGGCATAACTGGCAGTACAGGTGTAGTCCCCAACACTGTCCCCTACTCTGGGGAACCTCAATGACACTAGTCCGTGTGCCATCCAGTATCAGTTGACTGTCCAGTATATCTTGTTGTGTTGTGGAGGAGACAGAGTCAGGGAGTGTCCAGACCCACGTGAACCTGCCCTGGTTGACCACAGTACAGGAGAGTCTGATGACGGCTTCTTCGCCGACTCCTGTCCTGTTGGCTGGTATCAGAACAGTTGACCTGTTCACTAGCTGTATCGGTTCACTGTTCAGTCTCACTAAGAGGGTCTCTGCTGCAACTTCGGCTGGTGGGAAGAGAGATAAGAAATTATATAGTAGCTACTCTAGCTTGAGTAGTAACAAAATAGCTTACCTATGTCAGAACAGAGCTCTACTTCACTGAGAGCAAACTGTTGGATACCACTCATCAGAGTGAATGCAACGTGAAAACGGTTAGCATCTCCTACTATACTCTGAGGCAGAGCTAGCGTCACATTTCGGACTTGCGCATCACCAGCACCGAGGTCCTGGTTACCGAGGATGGTGTATGGGAGAGGGGTTCCCGGTAACGTTTCACTATTGAGCCACTAAGATTAAACTCAGGTAGACCTATTCCAAGGCCGGGTCATGATAGAAGAACAGGTTTACAGTTCTCACTGAATTTAGAGCACTAGTGCACCAGAACGTGTCAGTGTGACCCTAGAATTGTTATTCCAGGCTATGAACTGTGAATAGTCAACTCTGTCTGAACCATTTCCATATTCTCCATCAGTGAGACGATTGAGAGTGAGAGGCTCAGTACTACAGGTCAGTGATGTGCCATTAATGCAGTAGGTAGGGATGGTTGAACTGCCAAAGAACTCTCCAGGGAAAGTGGTATGGAAGGTGATCCGAGTTGGATCAACTGTAGAGGAAAGAAAGAGTTTCAGCACTCATTAGTGCAAACCCTCGGCACAGAACTATGCTTCTGCAGTTTCACAAGATGAAGTAAAAATGGAACTCAGCAGTTGATATTGCGCTCATGTGCGAAGCTCAGGTACGACAACAACACATGCGTTTCAGTCGTAGAATCAAAATGGCGGACACGTGGTACACAAAACACGCTCTAACCTTTCAGGTAAGCGATTTTAGAGAAAACGGCTTTTTTTAATTTTGTTTAACTTGTCACACCCAATGTGATGTCATAGAGTGAGAGGCGAGATTAAGAAGTGCGGACAGACAGACGGACTTACAAACCAAGTACCGTAACCCTCGCTGCGCATGCGTGCAGAGAGTTAACAAATGCATCTACGAGGTAATTCTTACGTACGTTCTGTGCAAGTGTTTCCCACAACGGCTCCGATCAGACTAGTGAGAATTAGCAAACTTCCAGCTACTGCAGCCATCTGAGAGGTGGGGGAGAGGAGACAAAGGGATACGTAATAACTACCGAAAAGGCCAGATTCGTGATTTATACACAACAATAGCCCATTATGCACCACTGGTCATACTAAATACCCAAGGCTTTACAAACGAGAGGTGTAAAAGGTATTGTACTACAGGAGTGTAACCGAAGCATGACCATGAAAGGGTAAAGGAATGTGAGTTACATCATGCCAAGTTCCTGGACTGGGTCATGATCTCGCCATTGCACATCCTTCCCAGTACACAGATAGACAGGAGCCTGGATTGTCTGCCACAACAGTGGGCATACCTAGCTACAAGAATCCAGAATGAATCAATTACAATGCCTACTTGTTTTGCCAACAGGCTTTGCAGATCATGCGTAGCAACACTGTACTAAAGATAGTACCAGACACCAGCATACACACTCAAGGGGCAGTTTACATGCAAAACAGGCAGGGAATCACTAGCGCCAATAGAGGCAGCATAACTGTGTGTATGTTTGAATGACGACACAATAGTCGACTACACAAACTCCTGCAGTGAATCTGTGCAGAGATGGCTACGCCGACCTGCCATTCTCACGGCCTGAGCACCAAACAAAAGCCGTGCAGAGAGTGTACACTTGCCGTTTTAGTAGAAGCGGAATACAATGCGAAAAATGAAACATACTATACGTATGTAAGGAAGCTGTAGGGATCAAAGTAAACCGTGAATGGAGATCCTAAATATCGACAACCATTTTGGAAACTCTCGAGGGTATTAGTATCGAACAATGAAGTGATGATGCGGAACAGAGCAACAACATTGAAACGAAGGTACGTAAGAAAGCTGTTTTTGGTGAGTTTTGCATACCCTTGGTGTATCTTTCACACTGCAATTGCAAAAGTGAAGAACTATGCACATAAGATGATGGATCATGCATAGGTACTCACTCCACAGTAGAAACGTAGGACACTCCGCTATGCATCACAGACAGAATGGAATGTGTAGTAATAAAGGTGGGAAGGTAACATTACCAGATTGACCGCTACCCCCTCCCACTCTTGGACGCCAGTACTGGAAGACTGTCACTGGTATGGGTAGGAGTCTACCAAACACAGCTCTCTTAAATGCTGTGTTCTCTACAGGACAAGCCTTGCTTGCCATACACGCAAACTTTGTTCCACATCGTGCCTATAACATAAAAGTGCTAGTGAGAAGTATGTACATGAAGCAAAATACTATGCTCATCTTAGCTCTATACATGGTGCGTGGATGGTGCACTGGCCGAGCCACTTGACACAAGACACATGTGTGTTTATCAGAGCATCGCATGCCACACATTTTTTAACTAAGTGGGCTGATAATTAAGAGCAATGTACAGATACATGTATGGTTCGGTGGACGCACATAATGTGCCAAAAATCATCCAAGCATTGAATGATAAAACTTGAGGCACACAAAAACACAGCTCATGAACATTGCCCGTTTAGGTAGCTAACTCTAAAGTGAAGAACTTTGGGCTCCAGTCCAGCACAAGACATTATCAACACAAGTTCACCTCACACTGTTATTGTTAACCATACCAATCATAACTTCCTCTTCCTCAAAGATCAGATTTACCTTTAGTCTCTCTCCGCGCGCACACACACCGTAAGCCCTGCCATGATAAATCTCGAGCCTCTTTTGGCAACTATCCAAATAGCTGAGGCTTCCAGGTGTAGAGGACACGCATACGTCCACTGGCACTAGAGCAGACAGGTTGACTCAGGTGTCCGCTGGAATCCAAATCAACAGATGCTGCCTAGACTAACTATAACATTGCCCGTGCAAGACACTCCGACAAAGCGACTTGCTAGCAGCGTTAACGGATAAGCCTCTAAAATTGTCACTGAATGTATATACGTTAGTCCAAAACAATAGTAAGAGGCTTGGTGGTCTGCGGACTAGAATACAAACAAGAAACACATTACGGGTTGTATATTGTTTCCACGGGCAATTACAGTTGAGACGTGCCAACGTAACGTGCAAAAGTTGGCAGGGCAGCGACTACAAAAGGCGTCAATCGGTCAAACAGTGCTATCATAATTGCTCTGGAGGTGGTCAAAGACGGTCGACCTCAAGACTCTACCTCGATACTGATCTACTCACCTCTCGAGCGCCCGAAAGCGACGGCGTTGACTGGGGGTGGTGAGTTCTGAGTAGAAGGTTGTAGTAGTAAACACACAGAGAGTTGCAGCCACGAAGCCTATTCCACCTCCTTCTCCAAACCCCTGTAACTTTTGCTGGCTATGGTCGAGAAGGCTAACTGGGTGTAAAGGCGTGAAGAGCGGATACGGAAATTCCAACCGTGGCTGAGAACTCAGTGCGCATGCGCCCGTACACTATTAGCCAGTGGCCGTATATACACACGTGGAGAGGGAGCTATGTCTGACGGTGCTGACCGCGTTACCTCGACGATTCCGAAGGAACTGCAGCAAACAGTACTCTTTAGGAGCGAGCTGATGCCGGCAGATTCCGTGGAAGTGAAAGGACACGATTTCAGCGAGGCAAGTACAGAAAAACCAGTAGCTACAACAGCACACGTGAATAATGCAGCAATCAATATGTAGCCCCAACACCCCAGGTTGGGGATAGGGCGGGGAATATGAGGGGATTTCGCGGAGAAAGTGCGACTAAGGGGTGGAGATTTTGATTTTTCTTTTTTCCCGGTTTTTTAGGGGTAGCTATATGCAACCATGCATTAATTCACAGTGTCTTTATAGCGGTCATGGCGGTCATTCTTGTACGTTGATCAGCAAAAACCTGCAAAAAAGGTGGGGCATTTTACTTGACTAACTTACCCAAGTAGGCGGGGTTTCTATCTTCTAATCCCCATCTTGCCCCAGGGGGTAGGTGGGGCATTACATTGACAGGTGCATAATCCACAAGCCAGAAAAGTAGCTTGGCTTTGGTTGCAGGTAGAGGTAGGTAGAGTCTGGGCAGGGGCAAGTTGGTTGTAAATGTACGTTCTGTTGAACTGCCTGACAAAACAGGGTTTGACTCCAAGGAGCATGTTTCCATACATTACTGATAGAGGGGTTTTTACCGGTTTTCTCTACTGTGTGTGACTTGTGCATAGGTCTGGAAGGAAGGAAAGCCAGTTGATTACCATGCACTTCTCGGTTCCTATCGAACCTCTGGCTTCCAGGCCACCAACTTTGGGCTGGCCGTGGAGCAGATAAATCTAATGGTGGGCGATCTAGCCATTTAGCTGAATCATTTTGATGTGCATCATCTTTGCACACCGTACCCGATATAGCTGAAGGCTCGGGGAGACACGATCCCGGACGAGAAAAAGAAACCGTACCTTCACGAACCAGGAGATCGACCCGTCACAAACTGCACGATCTTTCTTGGCTACACCTCTAACCTCATCTCCTCTGGCATCAGAGATACACTCCGATACCTCGTCCAGCACAACATGGTAGGAATGCGGTATACTGTAGATTTCCCCAAAGAAAGCCTAGAGCTATCAAGATTTGTTTTTTCAAAAAGGGGTTGGGGAGGGCTTGAGCTTTATCCCAAATATGCAATATATATGAAGTGCAGTTTGTCTCAGAACTAATTAAGCAACGTCCTGCGAATTATTGCGAGAGTTTAGCTAAATCACATGTGATTCTAGCAATCATGCAAGACTTTAGCTAATCAGAGCAAGACTTTAGCTAATCAGCAAATGACTTTAGCTAATAGGGGCGCATGACTTTAGCTAATCAGCACATGACTTTAGCTAATAGGGGCACATGACTTTAGCTAATCAGCACATGACTTTAGCTGATCAGCACACGACTTTTGCTAATCGGCGCATGACTTTAGCATCCTTTGGTGCATTTAGCTATAAGGGCATAAATAATGTATATACCTTTTGCAGTCATATGAAGCTAGCTAAAAATCCACGAGGAATGGTAAAATAAAAATCAACAACGGATGCAAAATCCGCGGGGTATAGCCCTGAAAGTCATGCGGCTTTTGCTAAAGTCGTTCGGTGTTTAGCTAAAGCCATGCGCCGAAGCATCACACGGGTTGAGCTAAACTCTCACAATATTTACATAAATTCATGCGATGTGATAAAAAAAGGAGTTCTGAGAAAAACGGCACTTCATATTATATGCATACAAAATGCCTCCTGGACTCAGATTTATTGGCTGTGTGTAGGTATATGTGGTAGGGTAAGGTTTGACCTTTGTCCTGAGTTTTCTCCTACAAAATTTTGATTTGGGGGCTTCCAGCTAGGTGGTTGCTGAACGTATTGTTGCATAACACTAGGTAGATGTAGTTGTGTCCACTGCTGGTGGCGTTGAGGAGGATTTCATCAAATGTCTGGCTCCGACCTTCCTCGGAGATTTCAATCTTCCGGGGAGGGAGTTGAGGTTGAAGGGAATCAATCGCATCGGAAATCTCCTGGTACCCAATAACAACTACGTAAAGTTCGAGGAGTGGATTATGCCGATTTTTGATCAAATGTTGGAAGAACAGAAGACAAAGGTGTGTTGTAATAGCACTTGACTGATGTTTAGGAAACATAAAGGAGGCAACCTTAACCTACTACATGTGTTGAAGACTGATTACTATTGAGTGAATTGGTGTTTAGACTAAATTTTCTGGGATAGCCAATACGTGTCATAACTTTATGTGAGTGTCAGCATGCTCTTACATACAAGACTGAAAGCATGCAGATTGGCTACCAATGGTGTAAAGCTACACTAGCATTAGGGTATATAGAAGGACAACTCCAATATTAGGCTGAGTCAACAACATCTGCTGTGCATGCCACAGGACTACCCCATTAGTGAGTGTGCTATTACTTCCCTGTGAAAGTAAATGGGGGGTCCTATTAATGGCAACTGAGCTAGGTACTGGTGCTATTTATAGAAACTGCATCACATGTGCAGCATGCACTTTCTCCATAATGCTGATTGTGTGTGTGTATGCTCTTCATAATAGAACATGCCTACCTTAGGCCAAAAACAGGAGCACGTGGTACTACACAGAGGCATGATGTAAATCATGCAGTGCGTGCATTGTGCATTCCACTGCTGCATAACATAGAACCCCATTCTCTTGAAAGTACCACTAAAGTAAGTATAATATAACATTGTATCGCAGTATTATTGGTGCATTTCAATATGAGAACTGTGGCCTATATAGCAAAGGGCGAAAGTAAAAATCCGCTTTATCATAGCCTAAAGGCTGCATCAATGAAAAGAGTTAACCCCCAAACTCCCATTGTCTTCTCTAAAGTATATATGTGATCTGGTTAATCCCGAACATTTTTGTGGGATATGTCATAGTTCAGCGTGGTCCATATTAGGAAGGGAGTATTAGCCCAAGCATTAGTACACAAGCATTTGGGTAGTACCAGCCTTTGAGAATGATACTGAGCTTTATTATGGCCCAAAGGCTTCGATGCTCTGGAATGTGTGTGGCACATGATTGGCCCTTTGTCTGAAATACTATCAGCCAAGCAAAAGTCAATTCACTTTTCCCATCTAGGTATAATACTAGTCTCAGTCCCATTCGCTCATTATTGTTGTTGTCTGTTCCCTGCATACCTACCATTTCCTTTTACCGTGAAAGAATGAGGAAAACAGCTGCCTCTGCTGCTATGTGCATGAATGGTTTGAAGGCTGCAGTCACACTGAGGCATATACATGTAAATAGAGAGCTTTGTTTGGCAGTGAAAAAAACCTTTCCGGGAATATTTGGGGGGTGGGTGAACAGGACACCCAGGTCTTTGGGGACTGTATTATTGTTGAGCCAGCTCACCGACTTGAACTATGATGCTATATCACAGGGTGTTGTGTGGACGCCATCCAAGATGATTGCAAGGCTGGGCAAAGAAATCGACAACCCTGACTCTGTGTATTACTGGGCCTACAAGGTAGGCACACTGGTGCAAGGCCAGCCGTTGCCAGGTCAGCACGTGTGTCAGTTTTAGGACAGCATGAGTTTACACAGGTGCCTAATAGTTGAAAGCAAACAATTACACCAAGGGAAAGGGGGAGATCAGCAGCGTTTGGTTATGAGTTAGGCTGTGTTCACAATACTTTGCATTGCGCCATCACTCCGTCCCAAGTTGCCGCGGCACAAGGATAGATCTTCACACGGCGTGATGCGATGGGGCAATGCGACGTAATTTGTGAACCTTGTTTAGTGACTGTTGTCACTGGTCACTATCACTTCCCGAAGCTGGCTTTCTCCATCTCCTCTCAGTCTGAGTATACATCACGTCGGCGGCAAAAACATGGGGGCATCACCGCATCAGGGGCACGTGCTGCCCCTTCTAAAACACTCTGCCTTGCCTATGTATGGCCATAATGGTACACACATTGATGTATGGCCATATAGCACAGTTACACCCGTCCCCATTATGTTTGAATGTGGAACTGGAGGAAAAACAGTTTGTACTCTTTTTCTCTCCTTTCTTCATCCTCCAGAACAATATCCCCGTGTTTTGCCCGGCCCTCACAGACGGTTCTATGGGAGACATGATATACATCCATTCTTACAAGAACCCTGGTCTTGTTATCGACATAGTTCAGGGTGAATTATTAGAGTTTCTCAAGGTAGCACCTACTGTTTGCTGCTTGCCTTTGTTGCATCTGTCAATAGACTTAGCATCCCTCGTGGCAGGACTTCCCCGTTTGGGAAAGCACCACTGAATAACCTTTGTGTTGCATGCTGCAGACATTAGAAGGATCAACAGCATGGCTGTAAAGGCGGCTAATACAGGGATGATCATCCTCGGAGGTGGTTTGGTCAAGCACCATATCTGTAATGCAAACCTCATGGTAAGTATGTGGATACCGAGTATTGCGTGCTGCACAGACACTGCATGGACATACCATTATGAGAAATTCAACTTACGTGATTTGTAGTACTCATGATACAGTGTGTTTCAAAACAAGGCAACCAACGTATTATCCTATGTACTTCCCCCTACCATACCTATACAATGGGAACGGTGAAAGAAATATGGACAATCTTACTCATCTGTACACACAAGTGCATAACTTGGGCTCTGTAGAGTAAGATACTCTGGGAAATACCTGCATGAGTATTGGGGTTTGTTGTGTGTGTGGGCTCAGGAGTGTCCCTATGCAGCGGAACGGTGCCGACTACTCAGTGTTTGTCAACACGGCCCAGGAGTTTGATGGAAGTGACGCTGGAGCCCGTCCAGACGAGGCCGTGTCGTGGGGGAAAATTAGATCCACAGCCAGACCTGTAAAGGTGCAGGCTTAACCCCCTGTACTCCTTCATCCATAGATACCACTTCATTACTTGAAGTATGCACATCGTGGGTTGTTGCTTCTCTTCTCTCTCCCTTTCCATACTAGTTCCATGAGCACTAAATTCCAAAGGCCCTGGTGTATAATACATCAAGCCTACCCCTTACTCTCTCAAGCCCCTTCAATGCTCCATTGTCATCCCCTACCGTGCTCCATATTATTGGCTGGTGCTCCCTTTCCGTGTAGGTTTATGGCGAGGCGACGTTACTATTCCCTCTCCTGGTGGCCCAGACATTTGCACGGGAATATAGACAACCACCAGCATTTGCAGACACATGCAAAACCATGCCACATAAATGACACACCTGCTAATAATGCTCCTTATCATTAAATTTTTTTGTTATGTTTATAACGAGGTGTCTCGGGGCATTATACTTGCAGACTCAGACTTGACCACATGAAATCATAATTAATAAACTGTTTAATTAAACCTCTGATTCAAATGTTTAGCCACATGTAGACTGAGTGACGTTAACTCTGTGATTGTGATGGTGCGCAAAAATACATAATAATTACAATAATTGTAGAAACATACAAAAAAACACAAGCACATAGAACCAACTTTATGTGATATAAAACCTTTAAACACACACTCAACAACACAACAAATACACAGAACAGACCCTGTGATACTTGTAGAGTGAAGGTTGTTGTACTGCTCTCTCTCTCCCCCGTAACAAAAACTCCTCCGAGCTATATACATACATCTGTTCATGGTAGATCAGTGATGATTTAAGTCGGTGGCAAATTTATTTCGTACAAAAAAGACAGACATCAACAAACACACACACATAGTCATTCTACTGCTTAGAAACCTGACATATCATAACCTTCCCATCCGACCACGCAGTGGTAAGTATTAGGTCTCTGAACGGGTTTCGATAATAACTACCACTGGGGACCAGAGAGTCACGTGATAGATTGAGAGCCATGTGCAGACACCTCTTCCCGGCCATCTCTGGGAAATGAAGCTCCGAGGCGAGGGTGAAATTTGGCAGGTTCAAGATCTTGATGGTGCGATTGGAGAGGCCTACTGCCAGAAACATGTTTCCCGTGTGTGCGTGATAAAAAACAGACGTAACTATTTCCCCTAAGTCTCCCTCTATCCGTGTGGGTCTGAGCGGGACGCCGTATTGCCAAAGAGTCACCGTGTCTTCAAACTTCCCTGCAGTCCCTATATCTGTGACTGACATTTGACCTACATCTTTCGTGAGCTGATTCATGCTAGGCCGACCACTTTCCTTGAGCCCGCCATCTGATCGCAGACTGGGCTGTTCTAGAGATTGGGAGGAGGTCGTACTGTTTGTCTGGACGGCGACACCGTTGTTCGCTTCCTCACTGTCTTTTTGTACGGAAGATCCTCTTCCAATGGTGATTATAGCAGTACTGTCCTGTACGTGTATGCTGCTCAGCGACACTGAGTGCACGTGCTGCTCGCTGTTGATTGAAGGCTGCTGTGTGCGCATACTCCACACGATGAGTTTGCCCTCCTGACTGCCCGACACCAACATACCTCCCCACACCTGCAGAGACAAAGGCATAGCAGTGTGGCGAGACAATAACACAGTGTATACCACAAGCACATAATTGGATGGAAACAAACAACGCTAGTAAGCCAAACATGCAACAGCTACGCCCTCCTGTATGGCAACTTAAGTGGATCAAAACATGCAAGAATGCATACATAACGCCATCGCACCTGCAGGGCCACAACAGTGTGTGGGTAGTGTGGACGAGTGCAGGAGAGCATTGAGTAGGTTTTCTGGGGTGGCTGAGCAATGAACCACGAGATGGCGCCTGTCTGCGTGCCCACCACCACCACCTGCGCCTGGCTGACGGAGGTACTGAAGTGGACGAGTGATGTAATTGCTTCTGGGGACTGTGTGCGTGTGTGCATGTGTGTGTGTGAGAGAGAGAGAGAGAGAAGTATAAGACAGGGAATATAAAACATTTTGTCAACTACAGAAACAAGCTGAAGGTTTTGAGTCCGACCTACGGTTGGTCTTTCTTCAGTATTATAGGTGTAGTTATAATGATTCAGTATTGTAAGAGTATTAAAGCCAAATTATGGGTTTTAGTTAGGGTTACCCTACTTTTTACCCCCCTCCCCCGCTTCCCCCATCCTTTACTATAGTACATAATGTATGCTTGGCCAAGTATGTGTCAACACACATAAGTTATTATGATCGATACTTTTTGCGGCAAGAGGTAAAGCTCCCCTCCTTTGCTTGCCAGCTAAAAACTCTGCCCGAAGCGTGTTGCATGCAACTCTGATGTATGTATCACAGACTTAAAACTTAAAATGTTGGAAGGATTAAACTTACCTCTAAAGTGCATGTATGTGAGAAAATGCTGGTCTGAGAATATTGGTTCCCCCTCCTCAGCAAACATGTGTACACAGATCCGGCTTCGGTGCCCACGAGGAGCAAGTATTGATGTTGTCTGGAGGTGTGGAGGCAAGTGACTCTGTGCGAGAAGGAAAATGTGTCCTGCAGCATCCAGCTCTCCTGGTGTGTGCGCTGTCCGCTGAAGAGAATCTTATAGTCCCTGACTTTGTTCCCGTAGGCAATGTAGAAGTGATCGGCACGCGTGGTGAGTTGAGAGATGTTTCGAACTAGTCCAGCCTCTGGACCATCCGACATCACAACCACCTCGGAGAGAAGAGTAAAATGGAGTTTTGGGTCGATGGGGATGGGTAGAGGGGGCCGAATTGAGGGGAGTAGGGAGAAATTTCGAGGTCCCCCGCCAGGGGGAGGTTGCCAAACTAGAATCGGGGGTTGACCAGGGAATTGTTGACCGGGGAATTGGTAGCCAGGGGAGGTGTGTAAAATCGGTGCCCTCATTCCTGTGGAAGGATCGGTTGGTGCAAGATACGCACCATCCAGGGGAGATTGGGGTGGCGAAGCTACGTATTGCACGGGCATGTTTGGGTTCCATCCATGGGCAGGGGGAGGGACTTGGATGTGCAGGGGTGTGCTAGGGTGGTGGCCGGTTGTCTGATGTAAATGTGCAAAGTCTCTCGGGTGAACCGAAGGATTTGGCTCTGGGTGTGCAAACCAGCACTTGTCACCGTAGGGGCAGTGGCCGCGCCCAGATATGAAGTGACGACAGAGGATCTCCTTGCGATGATTCATTTGATGCGGGGCCTGCACAAGAGCCGAAAGGGGTGGGACAGAAGGGACGACAGGGGGGATAGGGAGCAGAGCTTCTGTGTGTTCAATCTTCATGGCCGTGGCTGTGTGTGGAGGTGGGAGGGCGACCATTCCGTGAGCTGCGAAGTGATGTGGCAGGGAAGGAATTGATGTGGCTGCATGTTGACTGTGATTCTGAAGTTCCCGTGAGTTTCCAGCCACTGCATAAGCGAGCTGATGCTGCACCTGGTGTCCCCCTTCAGGCTGTAAGGAACTTGTCGTTGCTCCACTCCCTCCACCTCCTACGGCCTGTTGGAGCTCCAGATGATGACCAGCGACGATTGAGTGAGGGACTGTCACCTGGTGAAACGCCGATGCCTGCTCCTGTCGCGGAACCTGCATCAGTTTCGAGATAATTTCCATCCCCGCTAGATTCCCTTCCCCGCTGTCGCTTCCCTCGGACACTGCCGCTGTGACGCCAGTGTCTTCCGACGGTGAACTCGCGTGTACCGCCTCCTGGCCACCCGCTATAGCTTCTCTGGTGCTGCCGGGCGAGAGGCCGGACAGAACAAGCCCGGTACCTACACCAGGTGACGCCAATCCAAAACCAGTGGGCTGCTGCAAGGCCTGCTGCATCCCAAACTGCACGGGTAGCGGATGGTAGACCATGCCGCCGGTCTGCGCAGGGTTGGCTATGATGGCCTGTTGCTGTCCTGGGACTGCTCCCATCGGTTGGGGAATCGCACTAGTTGGCGGCAGTAGAGTCGGAAAGCGGATGTACTGCATGGCACCCTGCTGGCTCCCCAGGCCAGATGCAGCCATAGCCGTGGGGGACATTACAGGGAGTCCCATCCCGTAGAAATTATGGGTGGGACTGTGATTTGCTAAGAGTGGTCCCGGGTAAGCGGTGGGTGGTCGGAGTGGTGCATATGGTGGTGTCAGGAGTTCCGGCGTCGCTCGATAGCGCTGGGATTTTGGGGTGAGGTCGGATTTGGATCGCGATTTTGAGCCAGAGCCGTTGGTGCCGCTGCTGCTGCTGGTGGAGGAGGAGGAGTGTCGGCGCGGGGAGTGGTGTGGGAGCTTCGGGCTTCGCTGGATGAGCGTTCGCAGGACGTGGTCGCCGTAGTTCTGCACCCACCGCACGAGTCCATGCTGCAGGTCTGTGACTTCCGTGATGTCCATTTGAGAACAGGCCTGCGGTGTGTATAGTTATACATGTGAAGTGAGCATAAATTAGAGTTCTTTGGGGTTGCTAGATTTGGGCCCCGGCCTGCTGAGCTGCTGTCACAGCTCAGTAGCTGGAAGAGCACTCTGCCTAGAGAGCATGTTTTTCATTGAATCTCACAGAGGATAGCTCTAAACCCCGGGCACTAATGCGCAGCAAAGGTTACACTGTACTTTCTCTGTAGGTATGTCTACCCTCGCCTCGCCCCTCTCCACGTCTCCAAAGTAAAGAAGGGAGGCCTGGTACTTTCTGCACATGCACATTGTGCAGTTTGATGCTCTGGTGCACACACGAGCACGACGGTTTGCACTTTTAGTGCTTTTCGCGTTGTCTTGCGCACAGCTGTGCTTGTTCTACCTTTCATATATAGGTACGTCATGCATGATTTGGGTATGCACAAGAAACCCTGTAAGTGAGCAAAACAGGTTTGCAAACAGGTTAGGCACACGTACAATGAACGATGTAGACTTATCAACCGGTTTACACAGGTCATGATGTGTTTGCACAACATACATGATTACTTATGGACATGATCCTGTATTTATCACGTCGTGGTAATTCAAATCTACCATTCACCCATGTACAGGTGGCTTACATACATGCATGTGAAAACTATGAGGTAGAAAGGCAAAGGCACAACTAACAAATCAACTACACCCAGGACAGCTCTTTTTTTCCAAGGAAAAATAAAGAGCTGCCCTAGGTGGGATTCGAACCCACGACACTCTGCAGTCTAGGCGAGCGCTCTACCAACTGAGCTACCAGGGCAACTCAGCTGGTAGGGTTTCGAATCTACAACACAACACAGCACATGATTGTTTATGGACAGAAACTACATGATCCTGTATTTATCACGTCGTGGTAATTCACATGCACAGCGAACACACCATCCGCCTGTGTATAGTTACATACATGGATCAAGAGTTACACACAACAACCTTTTACGCAACATTGAACGCCATGCACATAACATTATGGCATTCTAATGTGGAACAAGTGGCCAATGGGGCGTTGTTCCTTTCTGTTGCTACGATGCAGAAAACACTAGTTTCGATGTACGAATAGATTGTGGCAAAGGTTTTAGGCAGGTTTGCCTGTTTCGATTTAGAGTAAGACCTGGTTGCAAGAGTGTGTGCCTTGTTACTTCATTTAATTTGAGTCACAAAATTTGCTGCTGGTTACCCAATGCATAGTGTGCCATAAGAAAATAGGTTGTGAACATGGGCTACGAGCTAAGAACAATGAAAATGCTGACCAGCAGATTTCGTGACTCAAACTTAGTCCTAAATGAAGAACAACCAGCGGGTGAGTGTGTGCTAGCTACTTAGGCCCAGAATACAACGCATCGTTGTGTTGGTGAGCGAAGCGACCATTGAACCGCCGTATGTGATGTTCGCGCACGTGCATCGTGGGAGAACGAGTGGTCCAGAAAAACTCACAATTCAGACAACTAAGTAAGCTTGCTACACTTCCTAATTCGGGACAAGCATTATGTTTTGCTACTGTACGTCACGATTAAGAAAGTCATATCCCGATTTACACAGATTATGTGAATCTATAATTACAGTAACATGTTCTTACCAGTCTGTCACACTCCTGAATAAGTGCGTGCATGTCGACCCAGCAATACCCGTTCAGCGACGGGAAAGACTGGCTGTTGACCACCAGCTCCGTTGCCATGGTATCGACCTCTGTCCTCTCGTTCTTGGGTTTCGGTTTCCATAGCTCCCACTCCTTGTTGGTGGAGGTGTCGATGGCGTAGACATGATATATTGTCTGCTTTACCTGTGGAGAGATTGGAAGAAATTACCAACATTTAGACAATGAGTCATAGTGGATTTAGAATGTAAAAGGCCCATGTATGGTGTTCGTAGTGTAGTGAAGGCAACAAGGGAAGGTTCCAAAATCAGCCGCCGTATTAGCTACGGTAAAAGCCGACAAAACTGCAAGAGGAGTCGGTGAATGGCTGGTGCATTGCTCGTCAATTGGCACCAAGTGGCCGTGATGGATTTGCAGAGGGTGTGGCATGTGTATGATAACGACGGAGCCAGTCCGTCTGCCAAACCGCAGACACACACAATGTCCTTCACTGATACCACACTCGTACGCACGCAAGAAATCCATTGTTCTCAACGTGCTATAGTTTTCTATCAAGAGAGGAGGGAGGAGGAAAAACAGTCCGTTCATTAACTACGGTTGTAATCGTCAAGACAATAAGTGGAGAAGTTTGTGCAGGAGGATTTCGGATTTCCAATCAGCTGTCTTAGACACTGCAACCGTAAGATTGGGGCACTCATATGTACTTACTCTATAGGAGGAAAATGAAATTTCAACAAAAAGAAGTTTCACGTCAAATAAAGGAGAAAATGATCTTGTTTTTCAACCCAACATGTTGTTTTTCTACAGAGACTCTGTTACATGGGAGACAATGGCAGCACCGATTAGTCCAGAGGTATATACATGAATTACGCATACAACAGATGGAATGCTAAATGAAAACTAATGGGAAGAGTAGTGCAGGGACGCCAAAACTTCTGGACCCAGAAGACTTAACGATGGCGTCTGAGCCATCCGCGAAATGAAGCAAGTGGAGCAGAAATGAATGAGTGGAATGCTGGGAGGAACACGGGGCTAAGTACAAGTCTCGCCTGCCGGCGTGGGAGTACATCAAAATCGTAGGCGGGCAGAGACAAGGAGGGTCCTTACTGCCCCCTTTCTCTCCACCATATGGCACGCCAGCAGTCGAAATCCTTATAATGGGCACTCCGAAAGAGGACACATTAGTGCTAATAGTGATATGAGTGAAAATACACTTCTGAATCTTCGTGGTTCCCAGCTATACCCAAGATGGTGTCTACCTTAATGCCCACGAAATTCCCAAAGCATTCAGATTCAGAATGATGTCATAGAAAATACCTCGGTCAGGGATCAAACGAGCAAGGAGTCCAGTACACCAAAAACCGAGTTGCGAGTACACCAGACAAACCAGAGGTCATATTCCTTTCTTTTAAACCTTCTACTAACAGCCGTCTTGTTCTGTCCATTCTCTCAACAACCTGTGTCATCAGAGTCTCAACAGAGGTTGACTCTAGCACCCTGCGCAACCGGTTCTCTCTGTCAGACCTGTCATGGCTCTCCAGGAGCTGGTTTTTGCTGGTATATATATACAGCAGTAAACCAACCACGCAATTATTATGTGGAAAACTTAAAGGGAATGTGTCAGTACAGAATTTAGAAATGTTACTAAAGATAGAACGAAACAATAGGGCCCAGTGAAAGAATACAGTTAGGTTTCTGTTTTTTTTTAGTAGCAGTTTCTAACTTATATTGCCACATTGCCTTTATAGCTTAACCTTCACAAGAGCAGCAACATCTAGTAGCACTACCAACCACCACCAAATTACTTTACTGGAAGCTAAACTACCACTTATAATGGCACTGCCACTTTTAAAAGACAACGAATAGCTCTGAGGAACCAGACAGGGCACCCATCAAATTCCCGTGCTATTAAAGAAAACGAGCAAGAAGATAAGGCATCCGTCAAATTCCTGTGACACATTAAAAAGAAGATAAGGCATCCGTCAAATTCCTGAGTCTGGAGAGAAAGAGGGCCTTGCGGGGACCTTGGCAGGCCGGCTCGCCCCACATTCCAGCAGTGTAAACAATGGAGTGTGCTGAGTTGAAGTGTGGGCAGCCTTGATTTGTGGTGTGAGAGATAAGACTCCACTTATCCAAACCAGGCCCCCAGAGGGCTCCGTGGGGCGCATGCATGCAGTCACACACCTAATTGGACACCAGCTTTATTCCTCGCAGCCTGAAACCAAAAGAACGAGAGAGGGAGCGAATTTGAGGTTTTATAAGCTTTGTGAAAATTTATGGGCTGGTGATACATTAGCAGCAATGAGAATATGGCAACTCACAATTTGGATAAATATATACCCCTTCGAAAACTCCCTAGCAATAATCATTACTCGACATAATGGTGGCACCCATGTCCCAGCAGTAGATGAAGCCAGGCAGACTGGCATCCTAAGAAATGTGTACAGTTTAAGCTTCCAAATTCTTAATACACTGAGGAACAGGATCGAGGTATATACACATTAACTATTGGCACCGTATACCAGATTCAGTAATTGATCCCTTGATCTCGGAGAGACGAACATCTGGTCTGCTAAAATCAAACACAAAAAAAGAGCACAGCTGTGGATGATGATGATGATGTAATACAATTAAGAAGAAGGTAAGAGGGCAGATGGGAGTGGACGACCACTTACTTTGACTGGCTCACAAGACGTGTGAGGGAAAGAGAGAAGAACGAAGACCGCTGGCTCACGAGACGTGCGAGGGAGAGAGAGCAGAACTAAGACCGCTGGCTCACGAGACGTGCGAGGGAGAGAGAGAAGAATGAAGACCGCTGGCTCACGAGACGTGCGAGGGAGAGAGAGAAGAACGAAGACCGCTGGCTCACGAGACGTGCGAGGGAGAGAGAGAAGAACGAAGACCGCTGGCTCGCGAGACGTGTGAGGGAGAGAGAGAAGAAGGAAGACCACTGGCTCACGAGACGTGCAGGGAGGAGAGAGAGACTGAGAGCGAGGAAAAGAAGACCACTGTGCCTCACGAGACGTGCGAGGGAGAGAGAGAGACCGAGACCACTGGCTCACGAGAGTGCGAGGGAGAGCGCACTGGCTCGAGAGCAAGAAACGAAGACCCTGGCTCCGCAGAGCCGTGAGAGAGAGAAAGAACGAAGACCAGTGGCTCGCGAGACGTGGAGGGAGGAGAGAGAGAACGAAGACCACTGGCTCACAGACGTGCGAGGGAGAGAGAAGAAGGAAGACCACTGGCTCACGAGACGTGCGAGGGAGAGAGAGAAGAACGAAGACCACTGGCTCACGAGACGTGCGAGGGAGAGAGAGGAGAATGACGAAGACCACTGGCCGAATGGCAAGCTTGTATATACTTGGCTTCACTTAGTCATCAAAAGGAGCTCACCGACACTTGATAATTACGGCAGAAATGGAAATACCACAGCTAATTATGATATGAGGGTACACATTACTTAGGCCTTGAAGTGGTGCGCATACAACAGCAGAACAAAAGAACGAACAACACCAGACAGTGACAGGAAAAGCTGTCCAGAAAGCAATACTATGCACAGAGACTTAAACCAAGGCAAGGAGGAGCAAAGCTTCTCTGATGGGGCACAACGATTGAGGGTTATTTTTTGGGAAGGTGCATTTTCACCCTCTTTGTCCCACCAAGATGGCTGTACACATACAAAGAAGCAATGAAGTAGCTAACAGTTTGATACACAATATAGCGGGAAATGTTTTTCGAATGGTGCAAAATTTCGTGGATGGGTAAAAAAAAGACGAAAATTTGAGAAAGCGTAGTGCTGATGTCACAGTAAAAAAAAGAAGGCACGCTGACCACACACAGTGGACGAGGGGCGGGCGATCTAGCAGCCCCAGGAAACCTTCCAGCTATAAGGTATGTACAGCATAAGGTAAGTACAGCAGCGTGTGCAGTAAGTCAGTACATTAGCAGTAGACTGCCAAGTGGGTGGATAAAAAAACTTTCTCTAACTTTAGGGGGTAGATCATTATCTAACAGGGAAAGATAAACCAAGATGTGTAAATTGAATTAGGGGAGTGTGAGATAGCCGCTACACTCCTCAAATTGGAGGTGGACAAACAATAACTGACAACACTACAACAGCCAGCTTTTTTTAGGAAGCTCAATTTCCAATTATGAAGTCAATTGGCTTCTGCTCCTCAGCACAATAGACCAAACCATTCCACTTATGACCTTGCCAAAAATCCATAGACAACATCTGGCACAAAATATTCGAAAACCTACTTAATACACACTTGTGTAATAAATAGGCACGTTTGAATAAAAACCACTGTTACGCACTTCATAGCAGTTACAAAACATTCCCGTCACAAATTGAATAGAAGTACTTCTAAAATGTAGTGGTTTTGGACTTTCCCAATAAAAACCGTACGCCTGTAGCCAGTAGAGCATGTGCATGAGTCCGAATGGAGGTCAAATGCAAAACACACTGCTGCCCCTGATTCTATGTTGAGGTTTTGCACGGAAGAGATGGAAGGCCAGTCTGAGAAGCCATGACAGACCGAGAGCTTCCCTCTCATTAGACAACGATACACTTCATAAGACAGAGTTGCTTGCAACTTCAAATGTATGGGTATTATGGGGGCACACCAATAGATCTATTTAATGCTGCTTCGTTGCATGGTCTACATTTGAATTTGCATCAACTAAATGTCTCACCCAACAACAAAGTTGCATCGTGTATCATGGCCTATACGTAGGTGTCATCCCACTGGTCTAAATGCATACACATTCTTGTGCATGCACAGAAATGTCATGAAATAAAGATTTTGGACCACCATAATCAAATACGAATGTAATCATGGCCCAAAATATATTCTGAGTGTGTGTCTGTTTTGTCGTGGAACGTAAAATACCGAGTGTCACAAGACGGAAAAGAGAACCGACCTTTCCACTCTTGTAGCATTCGATGTGGATGAGTGAAGGGAGTCCCAGAGGCTCCCCTCCTCCACACTCCTCCTCCAGCTCCCTCCTAGTACCCACGTCTCCGTCCTCGTCGAGGTCCCCGGGGTTCTCCAGCCGGCCCCCCGGGAATGACCACTTGTTGGGGGACGCGGAATTCAGGCCCCTCTTCTGCAGCAGGCACTGCACCCCGCTGTAGGTGTGCGTGTGTGTGTGTGTGTGCGTGTGAGTGTGTGTGTGTGTGTGGCAATAGAGAGCATTAGGCCGTTGTACACAATGCAGCAACTTTGTTGCGTTGGGACAAAATTGCATGCAACTACTAACATCAGGGTTCATGCAATATGTTGCACTCAATAGAATGCTTTCAACTTTGGTGCATCGTCTAACATACCCATACGTTTGAAGTTGAACACGCAACTTCTGTCTCACGCAATAACGTTGCATTGATGTAATATGTACGGTCTTTACACAACGTACAATCAATTCCACTGCTACTAATTATAGTGTACAGTTGCTGACAAAGCTCAAGCACGCCAATCAGATCATTCTCTTCACGTAAAATTGCACACCGTGGTGAAACACAACAATCAGTAATAGAAGAGCAGGACATTTGAGACACGAAGAAACTAGTTGCACACCTATACTTTGTTTCCTGCACACATTATACAGTTTCTGGTGCACTGAAACATTACATTAAGGTAATTAGCTATAGTCACTTCAAGCTATTTGCATTGCAAAACTAATACTTCTGTTCCTTTCGCCGCCGAATAATTAGTACTGCATTTTTGGAACACGAGTGCTAAATTTCAGCAGTTTAACGAGTACGTATAACATTACACTATGGACAGCATCCTCAACACACAAAACAAACAAGCAAAAAGAGACGACTAGGTGGCTCCCTTTACTCGCCAATCGTACTAATGGAGTGCCTTGTCCAGTGAAGCTCTTACAGTGTAAGTGTCTATGGACAAGTTAGTGCAACACCTGCCCTTCATTGTTAGAACAGGCGATTTCCTTCTTGTAGCCCATACCCACCATCCTTTATGACAATTCACCATAAAACCTCATGTCTATAGTATATACAGGCGTTGGTTTCTTTACAATGCTCAGCCACCTGCAATATCCAGAGAGCCTATATGAAATTCTTTAATGCAAAGTGGCACATGAACAGGTCAAAGTGGAGAGGAATGGAGGTGTTTTACGTGAAATTGCATTTCCAAAATTTATCTCCAGAGCAGGCACCAGATTTATACCACCAGCCGACCACCAATACCAGATATCGGATTCCATGGTTTGTTTGGCAGGCTGCACACAATGGGTGGAGCATAGCTGAGAAGATGAAGCTACTGATAGCACCATTAGTATATACAGTGGCAAAGCTGCTGCCCGACCTTATTACAATACAATACCGAATAGACCAACCCCTTATTTATCTTAGCTACGTATGCGTGGTAGAATGAACAGGGTGATTTTTCTTTCTACATCGTCTTCTTAGCATCGACACGAACAGCCCACATTATGGGGAAATTTTTGCCCTTCGAGAGAACCAGAAATTGCATGAAGCCACCTGGTATACGATACTGGAATAATACACACATACAAATGGAACGCATCACAAGACTAACCACCACACATTCAATAGGGCTATAGTACTATCACAATGCTACACACCTACAACAATGCCCACTGTACTCAGTACGCCACATCATTATGCGTAATGCCAAAATTGAGTGGACAGTTACTCATCCTAAAAAACCTCCATAGTAACTACACCTTGGGGAGAGCAAAGGTCAACCAGGCTAGTATAGGGCCCTTTTACATGTGAGAAGCCATGAGAATATGGTTCATACGAAGCCATGAGCCGATTATTTCATACACTACAGCAAAACATATTATCGCAACATGATGTGTTGTATGACCAGCTGAATAATGATTTCAGGCATTAGCCCTGAGCATGGGGCGATAAAATACTTTCTTTCCCTACCAAAATTTAACCAGTAGGTATATATAAGATTTGTTTACTCCCTACACATCGCGCAAAAACGGCTCAGGTGGTTTTCATCTGTGGAGTAATTAACATAATTACCTCCTAATGTACATCCGCCTGTGCATACGTTATGTATTATGCATTATGCATCATATTAGGTGAGGTTGGCATGGGTGTTGGTATTAGCACAGTTAAAACCTTCTTCTGGGCTACAGCTATACGTAAGGTTTAGCAGTGTGCAATTCACTGATCAACTTGCTTTTGCAAGTATTGGCGTACTTTTCTTTTGCGACACATACAAAAATGAAACGTCGGGGTGCTCGGAAAAGGTCCCAAATGTGCTAGAGTATACTTTTGCCAGCACACGTATACTCAAGTCAAGTAGTAGTACCCACAATTTGTCATCCACCTTCATATTCAACATTGTACTACGTCTACTAAACAACAACGGCCAGCTAGCACGTACAAAAAATACACACATGTCTCCTGCAACAGCTTCTAAGAATAGGTGCTGTGAGGGTCATCGTGTAGCCAACTCACCTCCCCGGGCAGCGACAAATGACTCCAAATCCCACTTTTGGAGGGCTCGACTGGTATGAACCTTGCAGCTGGTATCCTCCAACCATGACCCAAGGCTCAACCATCTTTTTTCTTGACCAGATGCAGATGCAAACGGCGCCCCGTTTCGTCTACCTGCAGCTTTTTAACACGCGCAGCAGGCTCAGGAGCTGTCACACCTACAACACACCTGCAAGGTTTAGTGAGTGCGCGTGTCAATCTGCCCGCACAATACAAGCGTAACAACACCCGTTACGCCGCGGGGCGTACGCGATAACAACAAACACAAACACACGCACCTGTGCTAGTTTACAGCAGCGGTTCCGCGGTCCATACAACGTCGCGTCCCGACCGATCCCTGCATGCACCGTCTAACACCGCCGGTGGCGCAGACTATCTCCACACGGTCCACAGTGTCTCCCTGCGTCCGTAAAGTCCTCGAAAAGTCACCGACGCCGCAATGTCGTATGTCACCGATCAACGACGTCGCAACTCATGAGACTCTCCACACGGAAATATCTCGTACGTACGAGGACGTAGAGTACTACGGGAATCCACCACTAGCCCTTTTTCCTTCGGTATCTTCACAGTCACAGCATCCGTCTCCACATTATACGGAGGTAGAAGTCTCGCCGGCCAGCAACGCCAGACTGTAGCAGCTTCCGCAGGAGTGGACTGCCTGCTGGAAATTATATCTATAGCCTATGCAAACGGCTGGCTCGGGCCACGGCACCTTCAAGTATACAGCTTCTTCAGTTTATTTCGGAGAGAGTGCGCGAAAAATCCCACGTGACATCATGTGCACCTAGATAATTTTTCCCATTTTACGCATGCGCACCGCGAGGCACGTAGCAGGAAAAATACGTGATCACTTTCAAAAGCCTACTCTGTTACTACTCCCTCTTTGTTGGGTTTGCCCCATTCCACCTTCCAATACTGTAGAGTAGTTTGTGCCGGGATGTCCCGTTGAATACCCTACATCGTCCACCGAGTCGTCATTGTCCACACTCTGGTTCATATCCAGATCAGTCTTGAAGCTGGCATTATACATGGCTAGAGGGTCTTCCAGACTGGACATTAGCTGTCTGGCAGAGATGGATGTCGGCTCAACTTCGTTGTCATATTCTCTGTCAAATAGCATCCCGGGGGAGGCTAGCGGGTTGTCTGCCCTTGACATCGGTCGAGGTGGATAAGGGCTCGAGGACACCACTGCATGATTTGCTCCAAGCTGTGCTCCATAGTAGTGAGGGCTGTTTTCAACAAGTGAGTCTCCATATCCTGCAGGCGAATGTGCAACTGTGGGTGGAGGAACACCGTAGTGCTGAAGAAGGAATCTGTCTCGTTCAAAATTGTCCATTTCTCCCACTGGTACAGTGACTGGAGCGCCATCAGGAGAACTGTAGAAATAGTCAGGTTCGTCTAACTCGGCGGCCGAACGCAAGAGATCGAGATAATCCTCGTCTTCTTCTTCTTCTTCGTCTTCCTCCTCATAGAGTGACTCACCGGTCACAATCTCTAGCCAGTTGCAGTTGTGCCAGCGAAACCGGTTGGTCTTGACCCTCTGCCCCAACTCACTATCCTCCTCCTGTTGAATAACACAGTCTGAAAGTGTTACTTGCTAGCTAATGAGGACTCACAGCAATAATGTCCAGTGTCTTGATGCAAAGGTCGCTGACGGCCTTGTTTTTGTCACTCATCAGTTCAAGCAGATATTCTGGAGCCTCTATTTACCAGCCACATTGGGTTAGGGTCCAACCTTTGCCACCATATTATGTGAACCATGGACATTGAGTGGATTATGCATGCAAAACCTATTTGTAGAGTGAAACACGAGGGCACTTCAGTTTGCCTTTAACCTTATTATCAACGGGTTGTCGAGTGTAAAGTTCAAGTATCCCAGTGTATATAGCTTCCTTTACACGCCACACTTTGTCGTGCTGATTGAGCCTAAAACGGGCAAACACATTGCCAAACATGCACGGCAAATTCCCACCGGGAACAATAGGATGCAGACACAGGATACGAGAAGTGGACAGCACCGTTTGCCTGGTTGCCTGGTGCAGTACAAGGTAGTAGAACACGTAGACTATTTGCAGGACCAGCTCATCCTCCTCCTGTCTCTCTGTGACAGAACACAGCATAACTGAATAGGCAGCTATTGACTCAGTGAATGGCAGGGGCCATCCCTAACTTTATGATCCATGCATGGATCTCACTGTTACTCTGTGTGCCCTTTCACTATGGATGTAAAGCACTGTTGGGGATGTTTTATAGGGCATGTGGGAATGTCTGTTACATGCTATCGCTACCTTTGAGGCATGTTATAAGGAGCTGAGGGAGTCCAGCATCGACAAGAAGTACTGCACAGGACTCATCTTGGCTGAATGTCCCGCACAGAACCACTAGCTCCAGTAGCATATCATCATTGAGACTCAAATCCTGTGCACATTAATAGCATCAGCGACCCAATAGCTTCAGTATGAATCAGGGGGTGTAAACTTAACACTTGTAAGTGCATGTCACACAACAAAACTACACCTAGAAAGTATTCTAGGTGGGAATCTAACTCATGACACTGTTCACGAGACAAGTGCTCTACCACCACTGATGTTATAGGCAAATGCACCTTCAATTTCCCAGTCAGAAAGGGTAACAGTTGCATGTCATGAACAATCTTTCCAAAGTCGAGATCTGGAATGTTGAGGTTGCCGAGAATCCCTGCAGCCTCCACAGCTCCCTCCTCTTCCTCCCCCGTCCCTCTCTTCATCATCTCCACGAGATCAGGAATATATCCCTAAACCAAACACCATGAACGGAGACAAGTTGACAGGGGTGGTCGAGAATGTTTTGGAGGCAAAGAAACATTGCAGTATATCATAGATAGATGGGGGCCACTTTGCTTCAAATTTGTCAAACCATGAAACTGGCAGAATATGGAGCGTGGCCTGTAAAACTAGTGAATCAGCAGACCACATTTTGTCACAGTGCACACAGTTATATATATGCCCATAGTGGACTCAGTTGACACAGTTATATGGGTGATTTGCCCATAATAGCAGACCAGAAAAGGCTTCTTTATAGCCCCACTGTGCAAAGAGATGTTCCTGAGCATCTTGAGTAGCAGAGGGTCCCCTGTGTTTAGAGCTCGTCTCATCAACATCTTGAGGCCGGGGCCCTTGCACATCTCCTGGGCCCCAAACTGTGTCGATGCCAGGTTGATACCTGCGTAGGACAGTGATACTGGAAACATATTCTAGCATTGCTCTTCCACCGCACAAACCTAGTGCAGCTATTTCTGGTTCAAGTCGATTTTCCGGACATTCACAATCATTTTCATGAGCTGCAATCACAAGAATGAAGATAACTGGTAGCTATACACGATATCTGCATGTGATATCTGAGCTCCTACCTTTGGTATACAGTCGGTGTAGGCAAATACTGCACGATATTTGCTGTCAAAGCTGATGTGATAGAGAATAGACAGCACCACTTTCACATGACTCTCTTTATCTGCACACAACAACCAGTAGTGTTGAGGGAGTAATGGGAGCTTCCAATGCAATCAAACCTAAAAGAGCAGTCAGTTCAGGTAGCAATGCCCCTCTCACTATCTCTAGGCGAAGGGCAGGATCAAATGACAGATTAAGCAGTAGCCTCAGTGTCATGTTTAACAAAACCTGTGCACGTAAGAGAATCACTCAAAAAAATAAATCGGGAGGATTAGTTACCTCATTTTTGTTTGGAAAAATTCTGACAAGTTTCTTGACAATGTTTCCCTCTGCCATCTGGTCCTTGTTCTCCCTGAAGATGCTCATCTTTTTGAGGAAAGAGACGGCGAGAATGAGCAACTCTGTGTTTTCCCTCTCCAGCAGAGCCAGCAGGTGTTTCACTAGTCCCTTGCCGTGCATCTTGAGCTCGACTCGCGTGTCCTCCGCGAGGTTGCACAGCAGGTACAGACAAACTATAGACACAGAACAGGAATCAGGGTGGTGTAAAACACGAGGCAGTGCATGTGAAACAGTTCGACGACAGAAAGGTTCACTAGGTGGGATTCGAACCCACGACACTGTTCTACCACTGAGCTATCAGGGCAATTCAGCAGGCTGGGCTCTAAGAAACACAACACAAGGCAAAAGCAAACCCCACACTCTGTTTTATAGCACAGAAACCTGTCACTTAATAGTGAAAGAAGAGGAAACGTGTTCGTATCCCAACCTCTGAGGAGAGTGTCCTGTTTCTTTAGCAGTGAGTGGTACTTTTTCTTGGCTTTCTCGTACTCTCTCTTAGCTGTAGTGGTCCCATCTGCCACCTTCACTGTTGGATGGGGGCGAAAATGCTACAAAACTGCACCTGGTGATTCAGTCATCTAGCTACACAGTTTTGGACCTTCTTTCTTTTTCTTTGAGACATCATCTTGTAGTGCACGGTGCCTCTTTAGCTCATGCTCCACCACTGTCATACACAGTGACCCAATCTGAGTGTATACGCCATAGTAGTTGTTGACCAACGATGAAACGACACAGAGTATGATAGCCATACACCTTGTGCTGGGTGAGCAGTCGGTGGAAGTCAGAGAAGGTTGAGAAGCAAAAGAAGAAGAACATTATGTTTGTTGTCAGGTCAATGCTCTTCTTCCAGTCGTCTCTCAGAACACGACTCAGTGCCAAAAGCAGAGAATCTAGGGTTAAAATGTCCAGTTTGTACATAGAATGGCATGCAGGTGGAATCGTAAGAGCATTAAGGAGAAAGTTAGTGAGGGCATACTGGTAAATATAGTTTTAGAGAGGTAGAGCGCTAGCTATAGGTATAGTAGTGTTAGGGAGAAATGTAGGTAGTGAGTAACAATTCAATTTTCAGTCTCACTGTTGTTTGCTAGTTCAATCAGGTTCTCAGGGAGTCTTGCTAGCTGCAGTATGAGCTCCGTGGACTTGGTCTTGGCATGAAGGTCATCGTAGAGTCCCTCCACGTAGACATCCAGCTCAACCATACTTGCTTCCTCAGAGTTCTAGTAGGCATTTACCTTTTAGTCTCACACACCAGCTCAAACGATACTCACTTCACGATCTTCTATTTGCTTCTGAAGTTTCTTTGTTGAGGCTTCGAGCACATCCTTCTCTGTGCAGAGAAAACGGAGTCAACTAATGAAATGAAGGCGGTTGATCAAGGTTCTAACCGGCCTCTCCTTCTTTGGTACTCCTGCGGGCTTGCAGGTAGAGTAGCAGCTGTTCTACCACAGGGAGTTTGGCTGGGTCTATGAGGTTGCAGCTCTCAACGATGTGCTTGGCCAGGTTAGGAACGTTAGTCGTGCGACTCAGGCCCTTTATGTTGATACTGCAGGCAAAAAGGCACAAAGTCAAAGTATATACCAATCATCAGTTTTGTTATACATTTTGGCGCAATCCTTGCTGTCAGCTACCACGGGCTCTCCGAACTCGTTGGTCGCCACCGCCTCCAGGGCATAGTGCACGACTATGGCTTTGCGACTCGGATGAATGTCCAGTCCTCGGTCGATCGCTTGCCTGAAGTAATTAGAGGCATGGTTTTTTTTACACTGAAACGGTACGGTAGAGCACTACAAGAAGCAGCTATTGCCTAACCGGTGAATAACTCCTCCGTCCATGATCGATCGTTTTGGCGAAGTCGTTTTGTTCTATTTAGTGCCGCTCGAAGTAAACAACGTTACCTTGGTAACATGGCCTGAGGTGATATCAGAGATCCATGGAGACTGAAGGTACTGTAAGACTAAAAGTTTTAGAGGCTTTATCCTTGAAGCACAGAGTGGAGAAATGTACTCATTCGACGGACGGGAAACGCATAGCAGTTTGTTTGGGCGATTTCTCTGTCAGAATCTACGACGAGGCTACCAGCGATTCTGCGCATGCGGAAGACGAACAAGAGAGCAGCCCCTCCCTTCGGCTTTTCTGCACGTTCAAGGGGCACACCTTGAACGTTTGGAGTGCCGGTTTCTCGGCAGATTCTCGCCTGTTATGCTCAGGCTCGTCAGATATGACAGTGCGTGTCTGGCACTTGGAAAAGCAAGAGAGCATTTTCACATTCACGCAGCATTCAGACACTGTTTGGTGCTGCAGTTTCATGCCGTGCTCTTCAGACCTAGTAGCGTCGGGGTCTAGCGACAAAACTGTCAAGATATGGAACCACGTAACTGGAGAATTACTGCACAATCTCAACACGTACAATGGGGTAGTCGAGAGCCTAAGTTTCTCTAAAGATGGTACAAAACTCTGCACTGGTTCACGAGATTGTAGAGTGATTTTGTGGACTAATATATCCCCAAAGACGAATGTAACTCCGGACAATTTAGTTTTATACGAAGGTGAGGAATGGATAAGATTCGTTGCGTTTTCAAAACACGATCAAAACCTACTTCTGACTAGTGGGAGTTCAAATACAGTTCTAATGTGGGATCTGAGTGAAGTTTCCCTCACAGAACAACAGACTCCAGTAACCAGTAAAACTCCCAGCCAAACAGCTAGTCGGAAGACTTTGAAAACAGTTCGGTTTTCTGATGGGGTAGAGTCTGGTCAGCGGCTAAAGAAAGTGCATTCCCCAATATTGGAGCTAAAGGGGCATCTAAACACAGTGTGGGATGCTTGCTTCGCTGCAGCCAGCAGTGACCTGAACCTGGTCATCACGTGCTCAGGAGACAGATCATTACGGTATACAGAGACCATTGTTTTCTCTCTGAAAAGCTGTGTGCATGCAGGTTTTGGGATCTTGGGAGTGATGGTCGGTGCATTCAGGAGACTCAGTTGGAGGGAGCTGCAGACTCACAGTTTCTTACTTGTTCCTTTTCCACAGAGTCAAAACTTCTTGTTGTGGGGACGTATGTAGGAAGCTTATTGCTGTTGGAATGTGCAATTGCACAATGACGACATATATGGAGTTGTTACTAGACATAGGCGGGAGAAACCCGGGGACTGGCCCCGGTTACCTGCTATAAATGCCAATATTTGTCCGGTACGCGCAGGCAACGCTTCTCGCTCGCACTGGAGAAAATGCACGCACCAGCTCCGCAAGATCCATTGACTGAGGATATTTTGAGGGATCGGGGTTTATCTATAAGTGAGCATGCGAGTTTTCCCGCGACATCGACCGCACTTCGGGGCTCGCGGGATCTCGCAAATTCTCGCTGGAAATTCAGCTCCTGCGGCCAAGAACTGCGTCAAGAGGAGGAAATGAGAAAGAAACTAGAAGAAGCGCTAGGGGCGGAGAGACGGGAAAACGCGGAGCTGCGACAGCAAGTGAGACAACAGTTTCAGGATCTGGAACAACTGGAGCATATTTTGGGTAAGCTGGAGACACAAGTGGAAGGACACGAGGTGGTAATAAAGCAGCAAAGTCTCCGAATCCAGGATCAAGAGCAGATGATTCAACAACTCAACCTGAGGCTACAACAGTACCTTGCAGCACTACTTCAAAATACTTACAAGACTCTCTTTTAGTGTTATGTATGTAATGCCTTGCTTTTTTTTATAACAGTATAATAATTATAATAGTTCATAAAACCATCAGAGAAAAGGAGTAAGAAATTGTCAAACAAAGAGTCAGATAAACTTCAAGATCCGTGCATTCAACTCCATCTCACAAAGACACCGGTTCCGCATTGCAGGCCAGGGTTAGAGAGTTACCACGTCACGTAACCCACGCCGATCCTCCGGGTAGTTTAGGCAGCCCAGTCTGCAGCAACAGCAAGAGAACAGTAATCTTCCATTATCCATAACTTACTGATTTTGCAACCTTTTGTGTAACTCCTGTAACCAGGGAAAGAGTCTTCTCGTTGCAATCAAGGAGGGCTGAATTTATTACAAGCTGCTCCTTATGTGATCCAGTAGCTTCCTCAACACTTTTGTATCTCTGCAGGAGAGCAGCTTGTCGTGTTTTCCAGTCCTCCTGGCTATTATTTTCCATAGCTACTTATATCTGCTATAGCTATATAACTGACTGATAAGATCTGAACAAGATCAAATATACGAATCTTGACAGGTGCTAAAACACTCACTTAGATCTACTATAAACAAAGTATACTGAATTTACGCTCCGGCATCAGAGCTGGGGAATTACCCAGGGAGAGGACCTTTATAGATAGAATCATGCCATGGATAATGCGCATGCGTATTCTACCCGAATCTTCACCAACGGCGCGCGCGTAAGTAATAATGCATGCACAGGGGCCCGGCCGGGGGGATTGAGAGAGGTGTACACCGAAACTGCTTCTATGGCTACAGCTAAGTATCCCAATACCCCCGAGTTGGATCTCCAGTGTGCCCTATGTCTACACAGCTACAGCGACCCGCGTATCCTCCCCTGTTTCCACACCTTCTGCTCGAAATGCCTGGAGATGAACTGCGTCCATGCGGGGGAGGACAAGAAGACCTCCTCCATCCACTGCCCCAAGTGTTTCGATCAGAGCCAGCTTCCCTCGGCCGGCGTAGATGGACTCCCGCGGAACATGTACGTTCAGAACCTTCAAACTATACAGTCTACCTCTCGTTCCCCTCCGCCCAAGTGCGATCTGTGTACGGACGACGTCCCGGCGCTCAGCTACTGCGAGGCCTGCTGCTGCTTCATGTGTAACTTCTGCGGGCAGGCCCACAGGGGCCAGAGGAGGACCCTTGATCATAACCTCATCCCAGCGGAATCCGCGAATCTCGCTCCTCTCCCTTTGACTCAACCACTACCCATCATCGCATCCACCGCTGCACCGCACTCGCCCAAGTTCTGCACGGTTCACAGCGATAAGGAACTGACACTGTTTTGTGAGACGTGTGAAATGCCAGTGTGCGGAGATTGCAAGAGTAACGAACACAGCGACCATGCGTTCCTTCCACTGGAAGACGCCAGCCTTCAGTACACCGAGATCCTACAGGGCTTAGTTAACAAGACAAAACCCCTCGTTACCGAACTAAACGAGTCCATGAAAAACATAGAGTTCCTACTCAGCAACGTTCAAGAGAGAGCAGAGGTAGTTGCAGACGAGATATGTGATTCAATAGACACACAAATGAGGGCCCTGCACGAACACAAGCGGTTCCTTCTCAGTCGGTTGCACGCCATCAAAACAAAGAAAGAGAACACACTCGAGCATCAGTTGGAAGAGGTTAAGAAGATAGTGGATGAGGTTACGGTCGGGTCCAGCGAGGCCAATAAGGCTCTTAGGCATGGCCAGGCACCGGGGATGTTTACCGCACATGCACCTCTGGTGTCGCGACTAGAGCAACTAGTCAACTCGAGGCACAGCTATGCACCACTCGAAGACGATTATATAAAGTTTGTCCCCAACCAGCCTGCGGGGCAGATCAGGGGCTATAGTATGTCGGGGGTTCTCTACGATAGAGGCCCATCGCCCTCGCACTGTGTTATGAGCGGTGAGGGTATGTTTGTTGCAAAGCAGAGGAAGTCGGCTTCGTTTGTGCTCACTGTTTTGGACCGTTTCGACGAGCAACGGGCTGTGGGAGGAGACAGAGTGGAAGCAAATGTTCAGAGCAGTGACGGTTCGCTTGTAAAGACGTCGGTGGTTGACAGAGGAGACGGGGACTATGTCATCTCCTACACACCCGAGAGTGTAGGGGAGCACCGCGTTTCAGTTTTAGTTGAAAACAAACATGTTAGAGGAAGTCCGTTTGCCGTCAATGTTCAGCCGAAGGGGAAGAAACACAGGGGCGTCTTCCACTGCTGCACATTCTGCTCCTCTGAGGGAAAGAAGCACGTCAGGTGTGGCTGTGGAGGTACGATGCCCGGAGGGTACAGTGGGTGTGGTCACGGTCACCCAGGCCACCCCGGCTCCTACCACTGGTCTTGCTGTGGAGCCACCTCAGAGAAATCTGACTGTCTACTGTAGAGACCTGAGAGTGTGGTGTGTGTCCTGTTTTAACCATCATTTGTGGTGCAGACTGCGCACGCGCACACGCTAGTTACACACGCCCCCGAATGTGTGGTTGCAGTTACACAGCAGTGTAGCGAGCATAACGGAGTCCTGCGAGGCCGGCCGAGGATGCCCCAGGAAGAAGAAGTCGATAACCGCGGAGAAAACGGGCCGATCCAGCCGACGGACGGCGACCGGGACCGACTTTTCGCTCAGTTCAGCGAAGCGACGGACTTGGACCAGATCGTATCCTTGTTCCGTGAGCTATGTCAGGAGACCCAAGTGGACCCGGACGGCTACGAGAGCGTCTACCCGTCGTTGAAAGCCGGTCTGACGGCGTGGAAACCTTTGTCCATTTGGGAGCTTCTCGATGCGCGAGCAGAGCTCGGAGTGTACGAGACGCAGAATGCTTGTCGCGGTCGACGAGTGCTGGTGGTGGGAGCCGGCCCCGTGGGACTGCGGATGGCGATCGAGGTGGCGCTGCTCGGAGCCCGCGTGGACTTGGTGGAGAAGCGCAGTGGCTTCTCGCGAAACAACTCCCTCCACCTCTGGCCGTTTCTCATCACCGACCTCCGTAACCTGGGAGCAAAGAAATTCTACGGACGGTTTGCTACCGGCTCTCTGGATCACATTTGTAAGAGAAGTAGCCCATAACAAAGCATAAAAATCCCATTCTGTGTCCTATTCAGTCCATTCATCCCCGCCTTACTATGCATTGACAGTGTCTCTGTATGCATTGATGAAGCCACTATGCTCAGCTGGTAAATAGTATGTGGGTAACTAGCTATCCTCAAACTTCCTGGTGACCACTTTACTGCAAAATTCTTTCTTAACTATGTCATACACTAATGGATAATAATGTATATACCCACAGGCATCCGGATTCTGCAGAGCATTTTGGTGAAAGTGTGTCTGATTCTGGGCGTCCGAGTCCACGTCGGCGTGACCTTTAGCAGTCTGGTAGAGCCAACAGCCAGCACCGGGTGGAGAGTGTCCACCCAGCCTCCCTCGTGCCCGGTCAACACACTCGAGTTTGACGCCGTTTTGGCTGCCGACGGGAAGAAAAACAGTCTCCCTGGCTTCAAGCTGAAAGAGTTCAGAGCCAAATTGGCGCTTGCAATCACCGCCAACTTTGTGAATGGAAATACCCAGCACGAGAACTCGGTCCCGGAGATCAGTGGGGTGTCGTATGTGTATAGGATGGACTTCTTCAACTCCCTGTCTGAAAAGTACGGCATCGAGCTGGAGAACATAGTTTACTACAAAAGCGAGACACACTACTTTGTTATGACGGCCAAGAAACCGAGTTTGCTTAAGAAGGGTGTTTTGAAAAAGGTATGTGCATGTTCAGATGTCCACGATCCCATGCATTATTGGTTTTGAAGACGCCAGCTTGCAAGCTTACTGGTAGTATGCTAATAGGAGTTTGTGTGTGAGCAAGCAGAGTGGCACAGTGGGAGTTAGAGAGCAAGCAAGCAGAGTGGCGCAGTGGGAGCTTGCTGGGCCCATAACCCAGAGGTCGATGGATCGAAACCATCCTCTGCTATCTTTTTTTCTTTTTTTCACACACATCCACACACGGACAGGACTATAATGACCCAAAGCAGCTCCTCTCGCCTTCAAATATTGACACAACAGCATTGAAGAAATACACAGTCGAGGCAGCCGATTTCTCCACCGAAGGAGCTCTTCCACTAACATTCTTGAAAAACGACAGGTTAATTTTTCTTGTAATTCTTTCTTGCAGATGAGATAAAATTTGGGTATTTGTTTCAGAGGAGAGGATGACGTGGCACTGTTTGACTTCACTTCGTTGTTTGCCTCGGAGAACGCCGCGAGAATTGTGGAGAGAAAGGGCCGGAGGATACTGCTCTGTGTGGCCGGAGACTCACTCAATGAAGTGCGATGAGACCGTCCTTTGCAATGCTTCATGTTCCACTACATAGTTATAATAATGTGTACAGCTACAGTAAAACCTCCGATAGAAGACACAATAGAAAAAGTCTCTCAATAAAGGACACACCTTGAGGTCCCAAACGTTCACTTTTCTGTACTTTTGAACCATAGGCTAGGTTCACAATATGTCGCATTGGCCGTCGCACCGTGCCGCGTTGCTGCACCGTGAGGATAGACTCCATTTTTATCTTCGCACGCACGACGGGGCAATGCGCCATATTGTGAACCTAGCCTATGGTTCAAAAGTACAGAAAAGTGAACGTTTGGGACGTCAAGGCGTGTACTTTATTGAGAGACTCTAAGAATGCCTGGTCCCAATGTGTCCATTAGGTGACAGCCTCTCTAATGCCTTGTTTCATTATTCGGAGGTTCCACTGCATCGTGCTAATGTATTATGTATACGTCGTACACAGCCGTTCTGGCCAACTGGTTCCGGTTGTGGGCGAGGGTTTCTGGGAGCGTTTGATGCAGCGTGGATGCTCAAGAGGTACTGCGGAGGCATCTCGCCTCTGGAGCTGGTCGAGGAGAGAGAGGCCCTGTTCTACCTCTTGCCTCAAACGACGCCAGAGAGACTGGGCAAGAACCTGACTGGTTACACCATTGACCCCAAGACACGCTACCCCAACCTCAGTGAGTATATATAGTAATGTATGCACTGGTATGGCACCGATAGCTTTCTCACTACCCCAGCCTCAGCGGCTATAGTGTACCTTTCACCCTTTCCCCTACAATGACCCTATTGTGACAGGCAATTAAAGTGTAGACATACATTGCGGCCAGCAACATTTCTGTGTTTATAGACACTTTCCTATATGTACACAAGACCTTCAAAGGAGGTTCTCTCAGTGAAAGTAAGCCACAAAGTGTAAACATGGAATTCCAAGATTGATATTATACATATGTAGTGAGAACGAATGTATTATTACCCTCGGCGTGCATGCGCAGCGAGGGTACTGTAGTTGGGTCTGTGTGTCTGTTACTCTACATCTCACTTCTCGAGTGTTCGTTCGTCTCACAAAGGATACGACCTACTTAACGGGCAATTTTTCTCTGAAAATGCTCCGTTGCAAAGCTAGAGCGCTTCCAGCATTGTACGGCTAATGCGTAGTCGGCCGTTTTTATCGCTGCGGAAAATGCGCATGCGGTTATAATGCTAATTCGACCGGGTCCGATTGCTGTGTGTATCTTGAGTTGAAGGCACAAGAAGTCACAACAAATGGCGTGTATCGACTCCGGCATGCTATCTACTACTGTAGCTAGCCCGTGTCAGACTCTCCGCGAGCTATACTAGCGGGAGACCACCACGAAATAACCCAGCCCATCAATTAGCAGTACTGCACATGCGCAGTTCGCCGAGGGTTTGCACTGTAGTGCTTTTCATTATACATGTATGTGAATGTGTAAATTAATCTGTAATTCCAACAGGTGAGCTGGTTCCCCCTGGAGACGTGTCCCATCTCTATGACACTGACAACCCCTCTGCCAAACCACCTCCACAAGTACATAAACCAGCCAGGCAACTTGCCCCTGTCCCAGGTAACCAACCTATTATGTCACAGTGAATGAGGGCAGAAACTGTTACACGGAAACTTAATCGCATTCTTGCACTTGGCATTGTTAAGCTCTATATTTAGTATATTAGCTCTTATGTACCAACACATTCCCTTTAACAAGGCACAAGATTTCAAATACTGTTGTTGTGATCCTCTAGCAAAAGAGGCAACTCCTCCTCCTTCACTTGTAAAGGCGGCCACTGTGTCGGAGGGACTTGGTCCGTTTTGCGGCAAGCGATCGCGATCCTCCGAAGACCTCATTGCCATCTCTGAGATGACTCTGGCAAAAAACACCGCCTCTTCATCTACGAAATCTGAAAAAGAACACGCATCGCAGGTAGCTTCACCTGCTGAGAAGAACGCTGCATCAACGCAGGAGAAAATCAAAATGTTCAAAGCAAGAGAGGCATCTCAGTGCAGCCAGAAGCCTCCTCTAAAAACTGAGAAGCAGAAGAAGACTCCACCAATGGAAGAAACTCCCGTGTCATCAAAGCAGTCCTCAGCAAAAGAGACTGCAACAAACACCCCCGAGTCCCCTAAAAGTAAACAGAAGGGATTTAGGCGCCTCTTGCGTTCGAAAAGCAAAAGCCCCAGCCCAACCCTAAGTAGCGAAGACGAGGCCAAAGAAGAGAGCACAAAGCAGGTGAAAGCGAAGAGAGTCGCAGGGAGCCCGAAAAAGCAAGAGGATGCACATCCCAGACCCTCTGGACACCCTCTCGGTGTGGCCAAACAGGCCAAAACAGGTCACCCCGAGTCGCCTTCAACAGAAGCCAAACAGAAGACCAAGAACGAGGCGAAGAGGGCCGAGGAGGAGAACCAACCGGAGACCGCAGCAGCTAGTGTAGCCGATATTGTCAAACGTCTTGACCCACACCGGCCAACCACAAAACAACCATCAGAAGAAAAAAAGAAAAAGGAAAAGGGAAAGAAAGAAAGAAAGCCCAAGGAGAAAGAAAAGAAGAAGAGTAATGAAGAGAGCAAGGAGAAGAAAGACGACGGGAAAAGTGGGGGTCGCTTATCATTTTTCAAATCCAAGAAGAGTTACGATGTCAGCAAGGCAACCTCCCAGCCATCCAAGAAATCTTCGGCGTCACCTGAACTAAAGAAGAAGAAGAAGCTGAACAGTGAAAAACAGGCAGTACAACAGGTCGCAGTACACTCACTACATCTGCAGCAGAGAATAGAGAGACTCAAAGAGTTGGGTGTGGGGAGAGCAGAAACCGACGGGCCGGGACTAGTTCTGTCACTGGAGGAGCTGAGAGACCTAGAACTCAGCCACGGTTTGATACCAGTGGAGCGGGGCGACGGAGAGGGAGGAGAAGAGGCCAGGGGAGGGAGAAGTAAGAGCCCTGCAGGTCAGAGCGAGGACGGGCTGGAATCGGAAGAATCGAACCGTAGTCGGAGCTCCACTCCTGTGTGCAGCAGTGCGGGAGAGGAGAAGAGACCTCGGTCGAGGGCAAGCAACGCCAGCACTGGGGCTGCCACGTATGGTACCAGTAGCAGGGGTGTATCGCCAATCCAGGGAGACTGGAGGGTGGGGGCCACGAGTGGTGAAGAAGATGGTTCAGAAAAAGATCCGGCCGGTGAAGAGATGGTGGTGGAAGAGGGCGAGTTTACGATGGAGCGCACACCTTCAGTCGTGGAGACAATCCGCCAGTTAGAACCACTCTCCGCTGCATATTCAGTGAGTGGAATAGCCACTTAAAGATTATTATAATATACATACGTACCACGACTGCTTTCAATTCTCCCACAGTACGATCAGATGGTGACCAGGAGGAAGGCCGAGGAAAGAAAGTGTGTTTCCCACTAATCCAACTTCTGTTTGTGTGTCATTTTTTTGTTGCATTTCTCCATCCACAGATCAAAGGAATTTGAGTTGGCCGAGCTACACAGACAATCCACAGTTAGTATGTGCAGTGGTAATACCGGTGGTATCTTTTCCTTGGCACGCAGGCAGAGCGTTCCAATCCACTTTGGCTGGCGCGAATCATTCAGGGCATGGGAAGGTGCCTGGAGAGACTTCGCAAAGATCAGAAGAGCGTTCTAGCAACCAAAACCACCCTACAGATCATCAACACCATACTCAGGTACTTACAGTGTATGGCCACTATATAGTAGCTCCACTGTAGGAATGTGACAGTGAGAAAATGCATTTTAATTTTAACGAAAAATGGAAATTATTAATTTGCATTCTTTCACTGGTCCTATTGTTTAGTTCCATCTTTAGTAACAATTCTATATTTAGCCCTTATGTCCTTCCCTTTAATGCTGATGTCATTGTGTTTCTCCAGCAATGTTCAGCTCCATCGGAGTGACGATACGTATCGCAGGGTACGTGTGTCCAGCCAACGGTTCAACCAGAAAGTGTGGCAGTTCAGCGAGGCTGCCCAGTTCCTAGCTCGTGCAGGATGGGTTGAGGTAACATACATTGGCGCAGCGGACATCCTATAACTTGTGGCTTTATGTGCGCACTCTTACCCCCGTATGTCCCAGATTGGCGACTACATTGTTCTACCAATGGGTCAGACTGTTGATAACGCCAAGCGTGTACTAGACAAACACCTCAAGTACGCTCCCTCTCTGCAGCTCTCTCATTCATAAAACGGCCACTTTCTACATGTCTCCCATAGTATTGTGAACCAGATGCTGTGGTCTCAGCAGCTAGAGCTGCCCGACTCACCGGGTGTGCTCAGAAAGATGCAGGAGAGAGGAACAGGGGCGGGACGCAGACGCAGAACCATTACTGCTGCCATGATCGCACGAAGACAGTCCTACGCCTCCAGGTAAAAATATAGAGCGACATTCTGATGGCAGTTATGAAGAATACGGTCGGCTTTTGTCGAGGAGTTGTAGCTCGGTGCTTAGTGACTGGGTTGTGTACAAGTGCATAAAAACTGGCATGGATGTGCTGGGCTTGACTACCTGACACAAGCCGATCTTGTCTTCTCCCTTTGCTCTTATAATCACTAGTCTATAGGTCTATATGTGTGTTCCTCGTCTCAAACTACCAGCTATAATGTATAATGGCTATAGGAATCTCATATTAAATATAGTTAACCTAAACTCCATGAACCATGGTGTGTGTGTGTGTGGTCTATATAGGCAAATAAGGCATGTCCACAATGCTCTAACGATGTATATACCCACAGGATTGTGGCAGAGAGTCTGATAGAAGTGGAGGAGGAACAAGAGGCCATTGAGGCTGAGCTGGTTCGAATGAACATCAGTACCCAGTGCAAGGAGAAGGAGTCCAGCCCCGACCCTTTTGACGTATGTAGAGTATTTTACATAGTTCCTATATATGTACATTGGCATTGCTAGCAGATAGCAGAGCATGTATGTATAGTGAATCATGCTAGCAGAACATGTATGTATGTTCACTAGTATATACCCAGTGCAAACTATATAGCCCGGCCCTTTTGGTGTTACTAATGTCTGTTTTACATAGTTCTTACATACAGCTAGCAAAGCATGCATGTATAATAGTGAATCATGCTAGCAGAGGATGTTGTAAGTGTGTTCACTTCTGTTAAGCTTTACTGCTTGGCAAACAGACATGTGAAGTGAGCGAGGAGAGAGTGGAGGAAGTCCGCACCATGAGAGCGGCCTCTGCTGCCAGAAACAAGTGGTTGGAGAGACAGAGGAGAGGTAGTGTAGGACCTTATCTATCACTATAATTATTATGAGTTTTGTGTGTCACTCTGGATTTGGTATAGAGTCCATGGAGCAGAGGAGGGACAGAGAGTACAAGTTGATTCTTGAGTCAGAGCTCTATGATCTGCCGCAGTCTGCTGGCCTCCAAGTTCAAGCGGAGGTTTGTGCATTGGCTATTATAGCAAACAGAGGTGCTTATGTAGTCTTCTGGTTTTCGTGAAGACTTTCACGGGGAGGAACCTACTGGGCTTTCTGTAAAACACGGAATTTTATAACACACCATTTCCTAACACAGACTCTGTAGACTCACTTCTCATCCTAGCTAACAATCTATATCATTACCCTCTCATCATGTTATAAGCACCTACATGGCATCTCTCTCTTACTGTCTCTGAATCCAGTCCACCTCTTCGTTGACTTCTCCATCGCCCTCCCATTCCCTCTCTGTCACACCTGACCCAAGGTCCACCTCCCCTTCATCTACCTCTGCCCAGGTTTGCTCTCTCTCACATGTGTGTATATAACTCACATAAGGTGAAAGGATAATGCATGTATTCTTCAAGACTATATACTATGTTTACTATTTTAGGTTATTGACCTCCATTGATGGTAACGTGGTTATTAAACTAAAAGAGTAGCACGAAGGAAGAGCATATTGTCCTAAACCGGGTCATAATTGCCTTTCATGCTGTAAGTTCGATTTCAAGCATCTCTGTTGATTGTGCAGGACACACTATGTGCGAGTCCAGAAATGGGGAAGGAGGAGGAGGAGGAGGAGGAGGAGGAGGAATCTGGAGCAAATGTAGTGGAAGAGGGCAACTCTACCTCTGCCAGTGCTAATGCCACTGCAGATGCTCAGGTAAACACACAGTCTTACTGACTATTATATATAATAGTGCCCGAGAGTGATGATTACATATCTGTCTCTGTTTCTACTACAGTACTCAACCCCAGACTCACTCAGACAGGACATGATGGCATACGAAAAGATCACCCTCGAGGCTGCTGCCCAAGTTCGGCAGAAATGGACAGAATCGTAGAAGTCGCTGTTCACTTTGAATTGTGTGGTCCTCTTGACGTTTACGAAAAATGGCGCATGCGCGTAAATGATTACCCGCTCGCGCGCCCTGCCGTGTACGTGTATATTATACTAGAAATTCGCACGCGCATAGCTTCGCGCCTGCCAGTACAGTGCAGCCAACGTAAACAGTCCGACTGAGGCCGCGCGCTCGTGCGCGCGCTCTACTGACTGCGCGCGAAGCCAGACTTCCTCTACGAATCTGCGCGCACGGCGTAAGCTAGACTTCTTACGAATGACGGAAGTTGACATTCCTAAGCGTGACTAATTATTAAGCGTGACGGACATACGTACGTGCGATAATACGGAGTATATAGTTGCCTCACGCTAACGCGCTCGGCAACTACATATAGACGTCGGAGCGTTGGTTTGTAAGTGCCGTGAAGGGAGGATCGATGTGGACTCTATTGGTTGGAATAGGAGCTGTGTTAGTGGGCTACTGTTGGTTATACTTCTATTGGCCTTCCATTGCGAATGAACTACAGCTACAGTACCAATGCCACTTGAACGAGTCGTACCTGGCCCTCGAGAACACTCGCCTCAACTCGAGGATAGAAGAGTGTAGAAGACGAGATGAAAAATTGAGGGAGAATCTAAGACAGTGTGAGAACGAGATTTACAACGAGCACTCTGCAGCAAACAGGAGCTTCTGGGGAGGATTCTTCTCCGGAATTGCTGTTCTCACGTTATTTGTTGCATCTGACCGATGCCTCTTGGTTTGATTTCGAGGTAGAAGCGAAGCCTAGCCGTACACCTGTTCTGGAGGGAGGATCGGTTCTGATTGCCATCTCACTGACAATCTGCTGCTGGGGTGTTTTGAGAATCGCGTCTTTCCGTGGCACTTCGAACTTTTAGCAAGCATGTGAGGGAAATGAAAGACCAACTTGCAGATTATACCTCACATTCACAGTTTTGATTTTTCAACATAGTCACACAAGGTAGATAGCTAGCTACCTATATAGGTATTTTCCCCTGCAATTCTGGCAACCCCCCACGCATTGTAGACATACGCGGAAATCTAAGTCTATCCACACATTCACACACGCTGTTCCACGCCACAGGACTAATCGGCTTCGCGCGAGTAGATATTATGGATTGTCAACCCCCCACGCATTGTAGACATACGCGGAAATCTAAGTCTATCCACATATATACGTATTCACACACGCTGTTCCACGCTACAGGACTAATAGTAGATATGGATTGTCCATTCTATAGGGTTATGTACTGAGTCCACGTAGCTACGCGTAAGTTAGAGCAATCAGACAGGAGAGGGCGAAGAGGCCGCTGCTCAAGTTCTATAGCTGATGAGTCTCGCGCGAAGCTTGTCGCATCCAACATCTGTGACCTAACTGTCGTATATAGAGAGAGGATTCTTATGGTTGGAATAGACGGGTGACTCTTAGACAGGACATGATGATACGCGAGATACCCTCAAGCAGACAGACTTATAATCAACCAAGAGCGGACATCTCCTCCAGAGACAAACCGGGATCGCTCTGGACATTGCCTTAATTCCGCGATAAAAAACACTGACGCAACATCATTGCGCATGCGCGAAATTAATCGAATGCCATTTGCCTCCCCCCCCAAGATTCAAACCTGGCTATATAGAGTAAGCCACCGATAATCGGACGCCATGTATTCTCGGACGCATTTGTGAAGTCTGTGCAGGACTAGATTGGCTACTGTGTATACCAAAGTGTAGTTCTTGGTCATAAACTGTTGTATAAAAATATTCGCTCTTATCCGAGCTTTACCGTGGGAATGACGTTGCCGTAAAGTTACGATTCGGGCACAGCCAAGTTCGGACAAGGCCATCAAAGGTAGGACAGTCTCCCAAAACGGGAACAGTATGAATGATCCAAGCGAGTGTATGCTCGATTGATAGCTGTACCTTTTGGCTATGCAGCGACCCACAAATGGCCCTTTTTTGTCTTCGCTCTTTTTGCTCACGAAAGCGCAAATAGGCGGGGTCGCGTAAGCCGCGTTTTACGCGAAAAGCAGTTTTCGGCTTGTTTCTTCTAACACACGCGCCGGATGAAGCTATAAAATTTTCTCCTCGTTCTTCTTGCCTTATATTAGATGCCTGCACCACGATTTCCGTTGTTGTAAGATTTTAATTACCAATAATTATTTTTTTTTAATTACCAATAAAAATTTAGATCTCACAAAAACGGAAATCGTGGTGCAGGCATCTAATATAAGGCAAGAAGAACGAGGAGAAAATTTTATAGCTTCATCCGGCGCGTGTGTTAGAAGAAACAAGCCGAAAACTGCTTTTCGCGTAAAACGCGGCTTACGCGACCCCGCCTATTTGCGCTTTCGTGAGCAAAAATAGCGAAGACAAAAAAGGGCCATTTGTGGGTCGCTGCATAGCCAAAAGGTACAGCTATCAATCGAGCATACACTCGCTTGGATCATTCATACTGTTCCCGTTTTGGGAGACTGTCCTACCTTTGATGGCCTTGTCCGAACTTAGCTGTGCCCGAATCGTAACTTTACGGCAACGTCATTCCCACGGTAAAGCTCGGATAAGAGCGAATATTTTTATACAACAGTTTATGACCAAGAACTACACTTTGGTATACACAGTAGCCAATCTAGTCCGGCACAGACTTCACAAATGCGTCCGAGAATACATGGCGTCCGATTATCGGTGGCTTACTCTACGCCCCTGCACAGTTTTCTGTAACGAAGGGTCGGTGCATGAGCATCGTTTTCCGCCCACTTTCGCCACGACTCCCTTCGTAGCTGTGCCTCGGCAGTGATGGCTAGCGAACTGTTCACCGGACTTGTAGGACGGCCATGCATCTTCGGGTGGGCGGCTCTGACAGTCGCTATTTTGGCCTGTTCTCCTTTCCTCGTTGAAGAGTTGAGGCTACTAGAAGCTATTGGGATGGATTCTGGCATGCTCTGGTTTTCGTCCTTTCTTCAATACTGGGAATAGCCTGCTGCTGCATGTGCCCACCAGCAGTTTTCGGCCACCCCTTACAGCAGCCCGGACTACTCGGACTGCAATGACTTGGTAACACTATTTCTCTGTGTGTGCACGTAGAATCATACGTTATCCGTAGCCGTGTTGGTGTTGTTATGCAAACATTCTGAAACTAAATCTGCTGTGGGAAGTGGATTTTTCTATAGCTATCTACTGTATGACCAGCAGCAACTCTCTGACCGCGTGTTTTTGCAATCCTCAATCCTCCAGTCCTCTCCAAACGTAAAATGAGCCGCGCCACTCTCTGCCTTCGGAGCCAGCACTGGGAGCATTCGAGACTATAAGAAAACTCCGTGGATTTCGACTTGTGTCCGCTGCACGCACGACAGCTGCGCTCTCGCGTGCGTCCCCGCCCCCCCTTCGCTGGTTCTCCCCGCCTTTCCCCCCTCCCAATTGTAAGCTGCAATGCGACGTGTAATGGCACCAGGAGAGCCGAGACGGAATCAGTACGATCAGCGGCAGCAACAACAGCACCAGCAGCAAGCAAGACGACATTGGAACATGATTCAAGTTCTGAGTCAGTCACTAAAACTTCGACACTTATTGTGGCTGGCTGGCATTTTGGTCCTCTTAATCGGCATTTTGGTCCTCTTACCTTTCTTCAAAGAAGAACTGCTGCTCCAATTTCAGTGTCATCTAAATGAGTCGCACCTGGCATACGAAAACCTTCGTCTCATGGCAGAAGTGAAGAGAGCCAGACAAGAAACAGAGGATATGAGGGAGAGGGTACAACTCTCTCAGAGTGACGCAGACAGTGAACACTCACGGGCAAATAGAAGCTTTTGGGGTGGGGTCTGGATGACTGTGGTCGTCATTTTCACGATAGAGCTGGCAGTGGGGATATCCATCTGGTATATGTGCTACAGGTGCCTAGCAAGAGTTCGTGTCCCTCAGCAACCCATGAACAGACTACAATGACATCGATGACTTGTATGAACATTGAATGAATAAGAGTGTTACTCTACTTTTACCGTAATTGTCACGACGACTCATTTTTGTACTACTGGCACATGACTGATGCTGCATCGATCAGTTCTCCTTTTGCAGCAGATAGCGCACAGCAGCTGATTGTCGGCAGAGTCTTTCCGATACCTATCGATCTCTCTGCGGCATTCTACAATGTGGTTAGCAGTAGCAGTCATCATTAGCATCTCAGTCCCCACTGGATTTGCTGGTAAGTCCTGCACTGGGGTAGATATACTAGCTAGCTAATGAGGTATATAGTCTATCAATGATAACATTGCTCTGCAGATGATATGCCTCCATCGCTGTGGAAATGGCCCAACTCTACATCCTCAGTCAACAAATTTGCAGTCCCCAACACCTCTGTCAGCGCAGACTACAACGCCCAGAGCGGGTGCGGCGGAGGTGGCGACGACAAAATGGGCTGGTCCTGCCCCCACCTAATGCTCCTCAGCCCAGACCTCCAGTTCGCCGCGGAGGAAGACAACAACACCTGGGCCGTGTACGGGGTGGCAGGCATCGGGCAGACCTCTGACTGCGGCTCCTGCTACCAGCTACAGATCACGAGCGGCGGGTCGCCTTCAGGTCCGCACGCCTACGTCGTACAAGCCGTCAACACGGGCTCGGACGTCAGTTCCGGGCAGTTCGACATTCTCCTGGGAGCCGGAGGGTTCGGCATCTACGACGCCTGCTCTTCCGACTGCCTGAACGGACAGGTGTGCTCTGGTGGGCACTGCAACGCTCCTTATTACTCAGGAAACTTCCAGGCCTGGACCCCTGGCGGAAATTGCTACGGGGGAGGAGTGCACGACGCCTCACAATGCACCAGACTCTCAGGCAACAAGTCATTTTCCGAACAAACCCTCCAGTATGGCTGTCCGACGGCCCCTTGAGCGCGGCTACCACGCCAATTTCCAGGTCGATTTTCAGAGGGTCCAGTGCCCTCCTTCCCTCTACAAGGTGACTGGTCTAAGACGCAAGGACAACGCTCAATACCCTAAGCCTGATATCAAATTGAGCCTCAGGAGCAGTGGCCGTACCACCACCACTATGGACTGCTGCAAGCCCACGTGTGCCTGGAGGCAGAACATTGCTGACATTGCCGACCCTCAATTTCCACAGGTCTATACCTGCAACAAAGACGGTTCGACAAACTGATGAAAATTAGCTATATACACACTGGAGCAAAAGTGTGTGTGTGTCAATATTACTTTGTTTCAACTTATGGTTTTATTAACCCTCGGCGCGCATGCGCAGCGAGGGTTACGGTACTTGTTTTGTATCAGAAAGTGAAACAAACACGGTTAGCTACATTTAAAATGCTGATGTAGAAAATCTGCACAGGCAAAAATTGGTTTGGGTGCACCATTCTTCTCAACTATGGAAATCTTGTTCATAGTAGTCACTTGCAGTTTGGATTCAAGGCTGGCACTCACAATTTCACTTCTACCCTCAGCACCTATAGTGTGTCAACACTTTTGCATGATTCCCTTTCTGAAAGTGCTTCTACGCGGGTGGGGGGTGGGGGGGGACTTTAAAATGATACTGAAAGCAAAGATGTTTTCACTGCAAAACAGCCCTTGTTTATACAAACACACTCACTAGTTATATGCCTGCCTTATTGCTTCACAGTTCAACCCAATGGATTGTAGCATGGAGAGATGTTTCCTAGTGTGCCTTCTGGCTGTGTTGGTCGGCAAAAGTTGTGGAGATACCGCCTCAAATGCAACAAACTGTCCGCCGTGGATGACACACAAAGACGACCAGTGCCAGTGCAATTCTGCCTACAGCAGTCTTATCCAGAGGAGCTTCTTACGCTCTGTCTACTGCAATGAGCTGAGCCTAACCACCTATGCTGCTTCTGGTACCTGCTTCACACAAAGCAACAGTAGCCTCTTTGACGAAGACTATGTCATAGGCGACTGCCCGTACGTTCCAGTCAACGACCAGAACTACTATCACGGATTTCTGAAGCCACTACCAGAGAACGTTTCTGACTTGGACCAAGTCATGTGCGGCCCTTTCAACAGGCAGGGACTACTCTGTAGCTCTTGCAAGCCAGGCTACGGGATAGCAGTCTATTCCATTGGGTATCCCTGTGCAAAATGCAGCGGTTCAAGAGCCCTCTTTGTCTTTCTCTACGTACTGCTGGATCTGGTGCCCATCACTCTACTTTATGCGGTTGTGGTGGTGTTTAGAGTGAGGGCAACCACCCCACCGCTGGCAGGGCTGGTGTTTTTCTCCCACGTCATTCTGAACACCTCGAGGATCCGTGTCTTCATCTACACCACATTCCTCTTCTCGACACCAAAGCTAGTCAGCGTAGCCTGGCAGTTGGTCGTGTTCTTTTGCAGCATATGGAGCCTCGAGTTCTTCCGTGTCTGGGTCCCTCCGTTTTGCATCGACCAACATTTGACCAACGTCCACGCGGTACTGCTGGAGTATCTATCAGCCTTTTACCCAATGGTACTTGTCTTCGTCACGTTCGTGTTAATTGAGTTGCACGGTCGCAACGTTCGTATATTTGTTTGGCTGTGGAGACCGTTCAACGAGCTCTTTGCTCGCTTCAGAAGATCCTGGGACATCCACTACTCGATCGTAAATGCCTTCTCCACGTTTCTGCTCCTCTCCTATTCCAAGATCATAACAGTATCATTCAGACTGCTCTACCAGACCTCAATATATGACCTCAACAAGAGACGAATCGCAAGAAGACTGCACATAGACCCAACTGCCCAGAACTTTGGCTCGCCGTTGCAATCCTTCATTTCCATTGTAGCAATCTCTATCATCATCGTTTTCTCATTCCTCCCAGTGTTTCTACTGCTTCTCTACCCGACTAGACTCTTCCAGAAGTTTCTTAGACTTTTGACCTGTCGTGCCAAGCACGCGGTGCACATCTTTGTCGACACGTACCAGGGATGCCTTAAAGACGGTTCTGAGGGAACTCGGGATTATCGCGTAGTCTCCACCCTCTACCTCATACTAAGGATTTGCTTGCTAAGTCTATACCTAAAAGACACTGAGCTTATGCACAGTGGCCTTACGTTTGTCATCTTCAGTTTAGTGTTCATAGGCACAGCCATCTTCATATTCAAGTTCCAACCGTACAAGGAGCGCAACACCAACAACATCGAATTCATAACTTTCTTGCTGCTCGGTAATATCTCTCTCTTTGTCTACATCTGGATAATCTTCCCACAAGTGGACGGATACGCCTTCTTTCTAGCAGTGGTAGGTCTGCTACCGCACTGCATCGTCGCCACCTTCTTTGTGTACAGCACCTTTGTCAGGTACAAGGCGAAAAAGCTGCTGAATCGTTTACAAAATCGCCTCAAAACGACTGATAATAGTGACTATGCGAGTAGCATAACACTAAATAACCTCCTAAGAAGCTTTAATCTATCTGTCAGGAGTAACGAAGAGGAACTCCCCGACAGATTTGTTAATCCTGGAAACTACATCGAAGACGATGCGACGAGTAGCAATGGCAATGTGCCACCGGCCAACTATCGAGACTTTGAAAGTCTAACGAAAAATAGAAATGACTCTTCCACGCAAGATGAGACCCTTTAACTGAATTAGCATAAGACTTGTAGTATATTTGGCTTTGTTTCACGAATCATATAAAAATTAGATTGTGTACAAACTTGCAGCAAAAACGATGTCTCTTTTGATAAGCGTGGAACAAGTTTGCATCTTTTGATAAAGTGCAGTGTCTCCTATTACCTTTGCCGCCTTTCTCACGTCCCTACATGTCTCATCCAACCTCTGAATACAGCGGACTATTATACCTATCAGAAAGTGTCGAGGGGATTTTTATGTTATCACAGTAGTGTACGTAATACTGCGTACTAAAAGGTTTATGGTGCCCTAAGTAGACGAGGTACTGAAACACAACCCTGTTTAGGACAGTCTCTTATTCTCAAGTGTTTATATACACCTACATGAAGCACCATACATTAGTATGAGTGTGTTCGTTAGGGTTACCTTCACTGACATCTGTTAGCTTTGTAATCTCCAGAAACTCCTAAATGGGGCAAAAGAAACAGACAGACCCTGGCAATGCAAGCCGCCCATGAACACTGTACACACTGACGATTTTCACTTTCCCTGCGTCTGGTGAGGTCGGTGCGTGCTCACCATGCCACAAGCCCACTCATACACCACTTCCACGAGCCCAAACTTTAGTTCTCTCAGAGTGTCCTCCACTGACACGTCGATACCGTGCTCCCGCTCACACAGGGCGATGCGGGTCGCCGTCTCTTCTATCATCTTCTGACCCTTTGGAACGGAGAGGAAACCACTTTTGTCTCAAAAACATCAACTCTTATAATATACCATGTCATCCCTATATACTAAGTACTACCGTACTTAGTGATAGGCAGTGTACATTATAATATGTTACACTGCACTGTGCCACGTCGTGTTGTGCTGTGAGGATCATTCTCGTGATGTGGCACGTGGAATGCCGCATCCAATGTGTTGCTAGCCTTCTATACTTTACACAGCTATAGGTTTCCCGATATATAAACATTTTACCTTCTGAAGCTTCTCTGTAAGATTTGGTTCGCTGCATTTGTTCTGCAGAGAAAACAAACAGTATCTGGCATAGGGTGAATACTATACGGCTTTTGAAACTATAAAAACCAGCCTTTATTAAAGCATGACAAAAGCAAATAACGGCCGCCAATGATGTAGCTAAATACCTGTTGGAATATGACACAAGAGAGAAGAGCGGCGATCTCGGGCGGTTCGAAGTGACCAAATATGTTGGTGAAGAGCAGCTCTGTGAGCAGGACTTCGTGGGAGTGAATCTCGCACGCCACACAGCCCTTCAGTTGGATCACATTCTGTCTGTTCAGGAACATCAGCGTCCTCAACACCTGAGAGTACAGTAGAAAGAAACTCAGAAAGAACCTCTCAATAAAGAACACCATTTGAAGTCCCAAACGTCCACTTAGATTGTCCTTGCTCTATGGCAAAACCTCTGAAGAAGGACCCTCTGAGCCTCAAAGATTGTATATACTTTGCTCTATGGCATACTAGCTAATACATTGGTGTATATTACCTCTGAGTAAGACACGCCTCTAAACAAGGACGCTTTAACGGGCCAAGGTGTCCCTAACAATCTAAGGTTTCACAAGTCGATGCTAAGTCAGTTTCATTCTAACCTCAATTCTTTGGTTGTATTCAGGCAGGAGTTGAAGACTCTCTTCTGACAACATGAACTTCAGATTGCCCTGTTTCTTGTGGAGTTCTGCCTTCTTTCTGGCCATACCAAACTGCACCCCCGAGAACAACAATGATAGAGAGAGAGAGAGAAATAGGCAAGAGAGGGAAGGAGAGGGAGATAGAAAGAGTGGGAGATAAAGTGGAAGAGAGAGTAATGCTAACAGTTTAAAGATGGTTTCTGATGTGGCTAACATATTATTCTCCAACATTCTCAATCACCACGAAAAATACTTGCAAAACTAACACTGTCAATATGCATGTGAAAACTACGAGGTAGAAAGGCAAAGGCACAACAAACAAATCAAATACACCCAGGACAGCTCTTTTTTCCAAAGAAAAAAAGAAGAGCTGCCCTAGGTGAACCCACAACACTCTGCAGTCTAGGCGAGCACTCTACCAACTGAGCTACCAGCACAACTCATCTGCCAGGGGTTCGAATCTACAAAACATTGCATGCACGCATGACAATCAGGCATTGTGCACATGATCATCATGTATTGCTTTACACCAACCCCTCCCCTGATGGACACTGTCCTCAAGTTGATAGTCGTCAAAAAGATAGAGGGGAGAGGGAGGAGAGGAGAAACAACGAAATATACACAGAAAACTTGACTCACGTGGGCCTCAAAGTCAGGGCAGCGGACGCAGGTGTAGCAGTCCATGGTGGACTCGAGTCTCTCTCTCTCGTCCCTCAACTGAACAAACCCCATGTCCATCACTCGCAGCTGTCTCACGGGGCACAGAGCGGGGAGGCCGGCCGGGAAGGCCTCCGTCAGCCGCAACAGAGCCTGCGTCGCCTTCATGCAGGCTTGTCCCGGGAGACTGCCCCTGTTAATTACAGTAGAAGTCAAAAAAGTTTCCAAAAACGCTCACCGTTCACCCGACTTCTACTGCATGATTCAAGTGTAGACATTTAACCAACGACATATAACATTACGGTATGATAAAATCTACCTCTATCAAACCACAAGGCCCAACTAAAGCTCAACCAAAAGGAAGAAGGGAGGAAGAGGAAGGGACAGCGGGAGGGAGAGAGACAACATACACCCCGAGGGAACAAATGACTAGGAGGCTATAGTGTGTTATTACTAGTCAGCTTCGCTTGCCAACTACAACAAACTACAAATCTCGCCTGAATCGCGGGATTTGTCTGTTGTTGTAGTCATCCACTATCTTCTTGCGCTCCACGTCCACAACTTCCTCAGTGATATTGTAGATCAGTAGTCCTTCGACGGTTACCACTGTATGCTTTACCTCCCCATCTGGGGCAAACAGTCCGGTCAACGCCTTGTATGGAGTCAGAATATCACGTTTGGCGGAGTCACCGACGATAGATGTAGCTCTCTCTGCCCACTCGTCTCCGCTGTTGCAGAGCATCAGCACCGTAAAGGTCCTGGCGGATTTGGCGGTTTGTTGGGAGAGTACTACGGCCAGACTGTGGCCGTATGTAGAGGTGAACAGTGTCACTACTCTGCCGGGAGATAAGGCTTTCAGGGCACTCGGGTGAGTCAACAAGTACGCCTACAAAACATACGGACACACACATTATAATACACAGTAGTATATAAAATAAATGATGCCTAGACAACTGTGTTGCACTAGCAGTTGATTGAGAGTGGCTATTCTTCAACTGATTTTCCCTGCTGCAATACACAACAGCCTAGCTGTATGTAGCAGCAGAGTACATACACACATTGTTCAGATGACTCCGTAGGACTGGGGTTTACAGTGGATCTTTCGAATAATGGACACGTTGGGAAGGCATTTCGTCCTCTAAAGGAAGGTTCTCCTCTCTTTTTGATGTGCTAAAGAAAAGTGAACTTTCGGGACCTTAAAGTGCATCCTTTAATTGAGAGGTTTTTTTCCTATTGCGTCCTTTATTCTGAATGTCCTTTATAGAAGTTACTACAGTAGGTATTGCAGCATTGTAAACGTTGATGTATGATATTATACAACCTGCATTTGTGTACGGAGGTGCTGGATGCGGGAGCATGCGGTGTAGTAGTGGTCCAGGTCTTGGTCGCAGACGGGGCAGTCCAGTCTCTGCAGTGACCTGAAGTCCTCTTCGAGCTGTTTGAGAGTCTGTTTTCTGTCCACCTCGTGGCGGGTCGTCTCGTCCTCCGCATAGCTTCTCTTCATCATGTCCTCCACTCTACCAGTGGGTGGGAGGTAATGAAGAGAAGGGAGAGGAGGGATGGGGAGGGTATGTGTGTATATAAGCATAAGCAATGCGTATGTGGGTAAGGAAAAACAGCATGATGTTGTGGCTTGAAAACCTTAAAGTAGACAAAACTGAGCTTTCCTACTACTTACTCCCATCTTTCCTTAGCAAAATTCAAAAGCAGGGCACAGATATTTTCTTTACACAGAGGTTTCTTGGTATAATAACACACTATAGTATAGCCTTTATAGAACGGTGTGTCCACATTTCAGACAGTCCATTTAAGAGGTTGCACCGTAAATAGCACCATAATGGTTCACCGTGTAGATAAGCCCTACTCAATGTGTAGATAAAGTGCCCTACTCAATGTGTAGATAAAGTGCCCTACTCAATGTGTCGATAAAGTGCCCTACTCAATGTGTAGATAAAGTGCCCTACTCAATGTGTCGATAAAGTGCCCTACGTACGTACAGTACCTGAGTGTCTCCACACGCATGAGGTTGAGGAGCATGCTGTAGGTGAGGCGAAACTGAGACTGCAGAGTGGTGGCCTGACCCAGGATCATTCTCTGGAGGTCGCTGGACTCCGGGACGTCAGCCTTGCACAGGAGTATCACCGTTCCCGTGGTGTCCTTCCCTCTCCTGCCGGCCCGCCCTGCCATCTGAATATACTCCCCTATAGCAGCAACACACACCAAGCGTGAAATATGAGGGGATATTTCCGACTACAGTCACACCTCTCAATAAGGGACACCTCGGAGGCAAGTAAAACACACAGTTGGATTAGTATGGTGCAGAACCAAGTGTCCTTTATGACAATTGAAAGGTGTTCCCCTGATTTAAAAGGGAATGTGACAGTATATAAGGGCTAAATTTAGAAATGTTACTAAAGATAAACCAAGCAATAGGGGCACAGTGAAAGAATGAACATTTAGCCTGCCACACTCCCTTTGAGGTAACACTAGAGTATTCTCAGTCTGCCACTCGCCTGGATAAAGGTCTCTAGGCCGAACTCCGTCGTGTTTGCGAATGGCGTCGAAAACGACCGTCCTCGCAGGCATGTTGACACCCATGGCAAAGGTCTCCGTGGCAAACAACAGCTACACATACATACAGACGTACGTAATATGTAGTTGAGACAATATTATTCGAAATGTGGAATATCAGTGGATGTTTAGGACCTTACCTTCACAAGTCCTTTTTGAAACAGCATCTCAATCACCTTTATATGTATGTATGTATGTATGTATAATACATGGATTAAAATAACTGAGAGCACAGGTTAGTAGCTAGAATAATTACATAGATTTAAGATAGTTTTTGCAAAGTAAGTGTAGTATAAATGTAGGGCAGTACATATATACCATTAGAGAGCCAGGCCAAGGTTACGAAACTCAGAGAGAGAGCGTATGTAGCCCAGCTACATACGTTGCAACTGATTCACCTGGCTCGCGAACACGGCTGTGAAATTTCAAACGCTCCACGATTACAGACGGCTTGGGCTTGAAATGCTGCAAAAGTGTTTCCACCAGGGCAGCGTACGTCTTCTCCCCCGGCTTGTTTGGAGACACCATGTTCCGTAGGATCTTGTAAGTTGCAGCTCGCCGCCGGAGATGCCGTTAGCGGGGGAAAACTGTTCCAACCATTCAACGTATAGCGGCCAATCCCCCCTTCGCCCCATCCAAGCTCGTACGGTAGCTGACGAAATGAAAGTTCTACCGTCACATTGTGAACCAGGCTTTACGCATAACTAGACACCAAGTCCACGATATTCTACGCACATTAGATGTCCAAAGGCCGGTGCGCTGTATGTATGTAGGTCCAAGTGTAGCGAACGAGCTATGTAAGTGAAGGGCCTTATGGTTTCTAATGCCCATAGATTTCACGTGTGTATATTATATACAAGCACTTCGTAAACTCAGTTAACACGCCTAGCTAGTAAACATGTTTATTAACCCATGGGTGTGTATATACTAGCAGTGTTTGTTTGTATGTATTACCTCTTTCATGATGGGGAGGATGCCACTGTGGTGAACTCCAATACCTCTCTTTAGAATATCTCTCATCCATACGACCTGTACATACATACGTACACACGAAAATCACTTGACAGAGTAGACAAGAAAGTGGTATTCCTATGTGTGGGTCCGTAATTGTACCACAAAATTAATAGGAAAATATGTGCCGCAACTGTAGCTCTAGCCCTCTCATAGTGACATATACTAATGCTTTAACCATCTTCAAACCATAGCATCCAGTAATCATAGTCCTACAGGTTGTGTTGCAGTGCCCAGACAGGACAGCATGAGCCCTGTAATGGTAAATGCTGTCCTGTCTGGGTACTGCAACAGATTTGTTGGATATCCCTAGGCAAACGACATGTATGAACCCTTCTTGCACATGTAGGATTGTATAGGCTGATACAATCCCCTAGTACCTAGCTTCATGCATGTCGGTTGCCTAAGGATATCCAACAAATAGTCAACTACTAAGGTTGTATGGACTTGATAGTCATGACTTGTTTCTCGTAGGTGCTTGGCAGTGGGTGAAAGTAACTGCACCTAATAGGATTGTATGTAGCACTATTGGACTTGATACTCGTCTCATATTGTATATATGTGCAGAGAAAGTAACCTGCACCGTAACTTGTTTTGTGGTGTTACGTGCAGAGGGTGAGAGTGAAAGTAAAACTAACCTGAGGCAGGCACTGGTCGGAGCCCTTCAGTAGTGCAGTGGATCTCTTGAAGAAGACGTGAATCTCGCTCTTCTCGGTGCCCGTGGTGAGGTCAAGGGTCGTGAGGGAGTCTGCGTTACTGTCACACCGCGCCCGGGAGAAGGTGAAGGCGACCATCGGGAGTTTGTCTTTCTTCTGCAGCATGCGCACCAGAGACAGCCACACGTTCTTGTCCTACGAGGAGGGGAAACCTGGTGTACAGCTGCATCTCCTTTTGTCAACCTGTCTATCGAGCTAATTTCCTTCTTTCAGTGCTTTCTGTGTGTTTATTTTGTACCGAGCTTTTCCACGTGTGCTGTCAATTTTTTTTACCGCCAACAAAAAATGTGGGGAGAAAGGGTAAAGGTCAATGTTTCTTCCCATTTGCTGACCTCTTTGGGGTTGGTGTACTGTTTGACCTTTGCACCAAAGCCGGCAGCTGCTTTCGAAGTTCTCTCTTTCTTGGCCTGTAGCGCCGCCCGATATCTGTATGTATACACAATACAGTGGAGTCTCGTTATATATAATGAATTGCTGGGGACCTAAAGAATTTGTTCACAGTAAGGGGAATTTGTCATAAGTGTGGCGAAAATGTACAGTGTTCTATAGGGCTAGGCTCCGAGGGTGTGTTTGTAGTATCCAGAATTTCGTACTACAAGTGTGCTCTTTATAATGAGACTCCACTGTACTAGAGTCAAAAGCAAGCATTAGCTGGAAATTTTGAAAATGAATTTCGTGCGTAGACACGTTCTCCTCTTCAATATTTCGTGGGGAGGACATGGAGACACAGCACTAAGACAATCTCACACAGGTCTGCTTCAAGATGTCTATTGCCCTACTGACAGGCTCCGAGCAATGCCTAGCTGCCTGTGGAACTTCTAACAAATTGCGAGGCGTTTTCCACCAGCCACCTGTGGTCCAACTCATTGCGAAGCCGTTTTAGTTTCAATCTTGGATTGGATTTTTCAAAGTGTACTTGTTGAAAAGATTTCACCATACTTGACTGAAATAGACAGCAAGCTATTGCTTCTTGGATTGGGTCAATTCAGTTCCCACTCACCCAGCGACGTTCAGCTTCTTCCCGTCTCCCACAATCTCGAACAGCTGGTCGCTGGTCTGCTTGCTGTTCCCAGTGTACAGATAGTGTCTGAGTGGCACCGGTCTCTTCAGCGTACTGATCACAAACATCTTCTTCCTCTTCGTCCTCCTGCATTATCGGCAGCAAAGGTGAAGATTTCATACAAAAACTGCATGTGTATATACTATGCCTATTCCTATGTACAGCAGTAATGTAAGACGACAAGTCATAGGAAACTACGCAGATTTAGGAGGCCGAGGCCCTGGGGGCGTGGCGTTCCGAGTGCAGTGAGGACGCTACTACAGGGCCCGAGGCTTCCTAAATCACGTGGTTTCCATGACTCGTCGTGTGACTATTGTGTTTAGGTTAGAACTCGTGTGTGTTAAAAACAAAAGTTCAATAAAGAGAACCCGACCCAGCAGGCAAGAACACAGCTCTCACAACCAGAGGTTCATACGGTGTATGTACAGTGGTGGTAAAACCTCACCCGACCCAGCTGGCAAACTCGATGGAATTCGGGACTGTGGCAGACAACATGATGATCCCGATGTGGTCTGGTAGCATGATCAGAACCTCCTCCCAAACCACACCCCTCTACACCACAACAACAACATGAACATTATCACCAATTACAGTAGTATTATAGGGATGGGCATGTACCTAGCATCATAGATGTATGGGGCTATGATAGGGAGTTTTGTTCATCTTCTTCTTCTTGTATCACTAAGTATGGTAGTAATTAGGGATAGGCATGGTACCTAGCATCATAGATGTATGGAGCTATATATGATAGGGACTTTTTATACTCAAATTGGTCTCAAACTGTTAGTGGGAGAAAGCAAGAGACCTCGAGAGACGTTTATAAAATTCTTCTCCCTTGAATGTTTCCCTATTTACCTCAGTGTCATTGATGTAGTGGACCTCATCAAAAACGACCCACTCCACGTCTCGTATCACCTCAGATCCATTGTACAGCATCGACCTGCATCGCAGTGTTAGAACACTCACTCACAGTGAGTGTCGTGCTTAATTGTAAGTCCAGTTTCACACATCTCAATGGACGAGTCAACTTCCTTGTATGATGATCCTCAATGGAGTTTACTCTTATCTCAGGTGTAACTTGAAGTCTTAACTACAGTGAAAGCTCTGAATAAGGCAGACTTTTGGGACATTTGAAAGTGTCCTTTATTCAGAGGTGTTCTTTAATTGGAGGTAGTATAATACACTAATTGTAACATGTATCTATTAGTATAGGCAAAAACAAGTGTCCTTTCTAGAGACGGTGCTCCTTTATTCGTGAGCGTCCTTTTCAGACGTTTCATTGTACACATATACAATTATGCTAATACTTTATATAGCAAGTGAAGGTGTACATGAAAAGAGAAAGAGCTGTCCTGGGTGTGTAGTTGCCTCTGCCTTTCCTCGATACCATTTTGTTGAGACATGAAAAGAAAGAAAGCTGTCCTGGTGTAGTTGACTTGTTTGCCATTGCCTTGCCTTCTACCTCGCTACCAAGTTGTTGAGATCATGAAAGAAAGAGCTGTCCTGGTGTGTAGTTGCCTTGCCTTTCCTCCCGTGGATACCATTTGTTTGAGACATGAAAAGGAAAGAGCTAGTCCTGGGTGTAGTTGACATTGTTTGCCTTTAGCCTGCCTTCCTCGATACCATAGTTGTTGAGACATGAAAAGAAAGAGCATGTCCTGGTTGTAGTTGCCTTGCCTTTCCTCGATACCAATTTGTTGAGACATGAAAAGAAAGAGCTGTCCTGGGGTGAGTAGTTGCCTTGGCCGTTTCTACCTCGCTACCAAGTGTTGAGACATGAAAGAAAGAGCTGTCCTGGTGTAGTCTGACTTGCTTGGCCTTGCCTTCGCCTTCTACCTCGCGACCACAGTTGTGAGACATGAAAAGAAAGAGCTGTCTGGGTGTAGTTGCCTTGCCTTTCCTCTGATACCAATTTGTTGAGACATGAAAGGAAAGAGCTGTCCTGGTAGTGTAGTTGACTTGTTTGCCTTGCCTTGCCTTTTCTACCTCGCTACCAAGGTGTTGAGACATGAAAAGAAAGAGCTGTCCTGGTGCGTGCTAGTTGCCTTGCCTTTCCTCGATACCAATTTGTTGAGACATGAAAAGAAGAGCTGTCCTGGTGTAGTTGACTGTTTGCCTGTGCCTTGCCTGTTCCTCATGATACCAATTTGTTGAGACATGAAAAGAAAGAGCTGTCTGGCGTAGTTGACTTGCTTGCCTTGCCTTGCCTTTCTACCTCGCTACCAAGTTGTTGAGACGTGCAAGTGTGTTCGTGGCTTGTCAAGGACCTGAGTATTCGGTGTCACGATAAGGCACGGAGCCCACATACAGTAGAGACCTGAGATTTCTGTGGTCATAATAAGGCACGGAGCCCACGTACAGTAGAGACCTGAGTATTTCGGTGGTCACAATAAGGCACGGAGCCCACCATACAGTAGAGACCTGAGTATTTCTGTGGTCATAATAAGGCACGGAGCCCCACATACAGTAGAGACCCGAGTATTTCGGTGGTCACAATAAGGCAAGGAGCCCCCACGTACAAGTAGAGACCCGAGTATTTCGGTGGTCACAATTAAGGCACGGAGCCCCACGTACAGTAGAGACCGAGTTTTCGGTGGTCACAATAAGGCACGGAGCCCCACGTACAGTAGAGACCCGAGTATTTTCGGTGTCGTCATAATAAGGCACGGAGCCCCACATACAGTAGAGACCTGAGTATTTCGGTGGTCACAATAAGGCACGGAGCCCCACATACAGTAGAGACCTGAGTATTTCGGTGGTCACAATAAGGCACGGAGCCCCACGTACAGTAGAGACCTGAGTATTTCGGTGGTCACAATAAGGCACGGAGCCCCACATACAGTAGAGACCTGAGTATTTCTGTGGTCATAATAAGGCACGGAGCCCCCAGTACAGTAGAGACCGAGTATTTTCGGTGGTCATAATCAGGCACGGAGCCCCACATACAGTAGAGACCTGAGTATTTCGGTGGTCACAATGAGGCACGGAGCCCCACATACAGTAGAGACCCGAGTATTTCGGTGGTCATAATCAGGCACGGAGCCCCACATACAGTAGAGACCTGAGTATTTCTGTGGTCATAATAAGGCACGGAGCCCCACGTACAGTAGAGACCTGAGTATTTCGGTGGTCACAATAAGGCACGGAGCCCCACATACAGTAGAGACCTGAGTATTTCGGTGGTCACAATAAGGCACGGAGCCCCACATACAGTAGAGACCTGAGTATTTCGGTGGTCATAATCAGGCACGGAGCCTCGCTCTTGATCTGAACGTCTCCAGTCAGGAGTCCGATGTTCTTGTCACCAAACGTCTGCCGAAAGTCTCTGAACTTTTGGTTCGACAGAGCCTTGATGGGCGACGTGTAGATGGTTCTATTAAGAAAAAGACCACTGTTTAACACTTAACAAGCCACGGACACATAAATGTGTCCAGAGCCTCCATAAGTCCATAAGAATTTATATGGGGGTTATAATACTAGGTGTATGTTCGTGTGTTAACAGTTCCGCCCATTGCTCTGGGTGCGTGGTCTATGGCCCTAGTGCTATGGCAGCCACCTGAGTATTATTATTATATTATAATACTAGGCACTAATACTTTATACATCAATTTCTGCTTATTTAAGGAGATCCCCATGGCGTCCAAAGGGTTATTAAGCAGACTGAACCAGTAGCAACCACAATCAATGAGTTAACAGCGCACACTATGCACAGTGACATGTATACAAGACAGTCCTAGAGAGAGAGAGAGAGTGTGCACTGCGTCCACAGATAATTTTAATGCACAATAAGGTACATTCTCTACACAAACACCAAATAATTAATAGTCACTGAATAGCAGGAATTTTCCGAGTGAGTTTACTTTCGTGTCGCTAACAAAACTTCCGCGGGTTGGTGTTCTTCAATATAGCTGTGGAGAAACTCTTCTCAAAATCCACGAAATTCTTTTCGAACATTTTCTACTACTTGTGACTTGTGTTATGGCGTTAGAGGACACTACGTAAATGGCCACAGGGCTTCTAGATTTCAAAGGACGAGATGCCTAACTCACTTAGTATGTATTCCAATTAACGCCCACTTGTTGTAGAACACAATCATGATACACGGTACACGGTGTGTCTTTACCTGGTGAGGTGTTTCAGAGAGAGGCGATTGGCGTACTCTGCCACGACCGTCTTCCCCGCGGACGTGTGTGCCGCCACAAACACACTCTCGTGTTGCTCCAGCAACAGGATGGCCTGCTTCTGGAACTGATCGGGCTGAAACGGCCACTACATGGAGAACAACATTAACACTTAACCAGCCACGGACACATAATGGTGTCTCCTGAACAATAATAGTAGGTGCTCAACAGAATTTAGAGAGAGAGAGAGATGTTTTTTTACCGTGTGAGCCATGTTGGGGACTTTCTCATTGAAGTCACTGACAGTAGCATTACAGTCAACCTGTCGACAGACGAATATGATGACATGATTGTGATTATGGAGGCACAAAAAAGACCTTCACAACCCAAGATGTTGGAGTAGCATCTGCCTGTTTTACTGCCACCACAGTCTCCTGCAAAAACACAAATATTATGGTATAAAAAATACCTAGGAGCATATTTATTTTCATAAACGTGATTGGCAAGCACGAACGGCCCAACTAAAACAATACTTTTGCTGAAATTCACAAACGTTTTTAACAATGTTACAAACCCCAATTTCTCCTATCACTTCATCAATAATCTTCTCTGATTCTAGAAAATAGAAAATGGAAAGGACAATAATCATTAAGCTGACAAATATTTACATTCAAGTCAAACCTTCAGTTTCAGTTTGAGACTGCAGAGCTCCATCGACAACACCACTCTCTTTCTTCTCTTCCTTCTCCTCCTCCTCCTCCTCCTCCTCCCAGTCCATCACCATGTCCCCTCCTCCCAGCAGAAGATCAGATATCCTCACAGTGTCTGGTGCCGGGAGCAACACGGGCTCAGACTGACTGTCACCGGCGGCCGAAGTAAACTTCATCCCCTCCTCAAAACCAGGTGGCACGTCCAGCAAGTCTGGTGATGTACGCCACATGGGAGAATGACATATTATTATAGGAGAATGACATGATTGTAAAGGAATACTCAAATGCCTGCACACGACACAGTATGAGGCTAAATATCTAACCACTCCTTTCCTGGCCCTTGTGTTACTATTAGCAAAATGCATACCTTTTCTACACATAGGAAATAGATTTTCTTATACTATACTGTATATACATGACACTGTGCAGCATTTTGGTCTATTTATCACTAGGTACAGTAGTATTTAGGGGATGATTCCACACTATATACTCATAGACATAACTCCCATAACTCATAGAGTGTGCAAACTGACAGTCTGAGCTCACCGTTCCCGAGATTGAGGCTCAGTTCAGGAGGTCTCTGAGCGACTGTCTTCACCAGCTCAGGCTGGTCCAGTCCTCCGGGCCAGAACGGGAAGTGGGTGGCCTCTCCCTTGACGGAGGAGGAGAGGGGACCGGGGGCTCGCTGGAGAGATGTGGAGTTCTTGGCCGTCAGCCCCTTCGTCGACACCTCCACCTACAGTTACACACACTGCATTTCAATTTCAACAAAATTCATTTAGCAATGACACAATACTGCAGACATACATACATACATACATGTAAGTGGCCTCTGGTTAACTGCACAAGCTAATTCATAAAACAGTTAATGTTGCACATTACACACACGTTCAATCCTGAAAAACTCTTAGATTTTGGCGAAACTGACGTAACCGTAATATAAAGGAAATCTTTTTGGGGTTTAACTTTTTAAAGGTGAGGACGCCAGGATATGCAACACCACAAAGAGTTCAACAGAGAATAGCTGAAGGGTGTGTGAATGTGTGTGTGAGCTGACCTCATGAAAGCCGAGAAGCTGGCCGAGCATTGGGTCCCTCTCCACGGCGATGTCGGTGGTGGGCGGGGCAAAGTCGGCATGGAGCAGCCTCTCCGGCCGCGGCTCAGGTGGCCACAACCTTCATAGTAACACACTCCTCACCACCACACACTGACACAGAGACACACACGGTTGCTGGCTCACTTCCATGCAGCCCTGATGTCGTGGATGGGAATGTTCTCTGGAGAGAGTAGGAACTCCTCCAGGCCAGCCGAAAGAGGAGGGTGAGGGGGAAACTCCTGCATTAGAGACCAGTAAATTACGTAACTAACTAGTAAACCACCATTTACCATTTTTCTCTAGCAGGTGAGCGTGGTGCGCGTTCTGACCTTCGACCTCGGAGGAAACGCTGACTCAGCAGTTATTCTGTGCTGACTCAGCAATTTTGGTATACCCGCGTACTGACCTCTGTTTGGGACTGATCGAGAACGCTTCTGCGGCGAAAGGTAATTGTCTTGCTAGTATTCTCTCCCTTTTCCCCTTCTGTCTATACATTTTCATGGTCACGGCAGTGTGCCATGATAGCTGATAGTAGAACCGAATGTTTACATTTCTAATTAATGCACGCATGTCTTCATTCCGTCGTGTGTACAGAGTAGCTACGTACAGCGGGAGTGAAAGGGACGGTGGAGAATGTCGTCGGTCCAGAGTCAGATCCAGCAGGACTGGAACAACAGGGAGTTTGTGGAGACCATTGCCTCCAGCGTCAAGAGGATTGCGGAGTTCCTCAACGCTTTTGACCTGTCTGCACGATCAAGGTGGGGGAAGGAAGAAGTCCTTGTATGTACAAATATTGGTATTATATAACGATTGTGAAGGACAAGTTGTACATAAAAAGGACCGGGAATGTGGGGATTGTGATGGATCTGCACACAAAGCCTAGCAACGTTTGTTTCCTTTCCTAGTCATTGTACCACTCTAAATAAAGAACACCTCAATAAAGCTCACCTGTTTCAGTCCTGTGCTATGTAATTTTCGACCAATGAGGACACCTTTGGATAATCTATTGTAGTTTTTAAAACCCTTTGGACGCCATGGGGATCTGCTTAAATAAGCATATTATTGATGTATAAACTATTAGTGCCTAGCTAGTATTATAACCCATATAAATTCTTATGGACTAATGGAGTCTCTGGGCACATTTATGTGGAGGTGACTGGTTAAGTGTTAATGCACTATGTAGAAGAGTATGTATGTATGTATGTATGATGTTATACACTATGTATATTCCACACGCTGCAGGTTGGCTCTGTTGAACCAGAAACTGACAAACCTGGAGAGACAGGTGGAGTACATTGAGGCCAGAGTCACCAAGACCTGAGGCCAAGATCACGGATCATCACATCCCCCTACACACCCCGTCATGAACACACTTGACTTGTACTGCAATAGACTGTTAATTTCACATTCAGTAGATGCACTCAATATCTTTTGAACATGGTGCAGTATCCAGATATATATGTGCATGTAGAGTGTTTTATATTGCATAACACAGCAGCACACTGACTGTAATAGACTATTTCATTAATATGGCGACAGTGCACAAAGAGTTAAAAATCTGTTGTATATACATGTTATAGCAGAAGATGAACCATTAAAATCTTCTCATGTAGACTCAAGTACTGGCTGTGGTGGCCGGAGAATCTTCGCCTGAAATATAAGAGAGTAGACACACGCTTAAGAACTGAGGCAGAAGACTTGCTAGAAAATTTGATAGCTTCCCGGTTCACAATTTTGCAGGAGGCTCCTCAAAAATTTGCAACGGTTTTCTCTCACACAGGTTTTTACTGGTGTGTAATTGCAGCCACTCATAGGAGAAAGCATTATTAGCTCACATCAAACTGCAGAGGTTTCTGGCCACTAGTGAGTTCAACATCCACCACAGACATCGTACTCAGATCCTGCATTACAATACAGCATAATTATATATTATTATATACAGTATGAAAGGACCCTTAAGGACGCTGCTCTACAAAGGACACTTGGCTCTGTCCTACCATACACCAGTGATCCTGGATTTGGGAGCATAATGAATAATGAACATTTTTGCAATCTTTAAGGCAATTTGCCATACTTAATTTTGGGATATACCACTCTGGTTCTCGGCCCTGCATTTCAATGTTGTTCAGAAGTTCAACAAGACAGCTGAACGTACTGACCAGGGGTTCATGTAGACTTTTAAAGGCTGGAGTTAAGGCATTTTGAGATGTCTTGTAAATGTAACCTCAGAACTAGGGGCACTAAGGGATATTGCTTTTCCTTGTAGAGAGGGCTCGGAGGTCAAGCACTAAAGTATTAGCATGGGGTTGAAAGAAGTGTCGAGGTCGTCCTATCTCGGAGGGTCCCCTATCTGAGGTTCCACTGTACACACCTGTTTGATGGTGGGGCCACCACCTTCTCCAGGCCACTCCAGGGTGATACTGCAGACAGCAGACTCCCCCTTCTTCTGGTGTGCTTCATACTTCTCCAGTACAAGATACTGCAGAAATACACACGCTTACGTCAATGTTAAAGGAATGTGGCAGTGTATATATAAGGGCTAAAAAATTTACTAAAGATAGAAAAAAGCAATAGGGACTCAGTGAAAGAATGCAATTGAGTTCCTTTTTTAGTAACATTTCTAAATTTAGCACATATATACTGCCACATTTCCTTTAACGAATGTCCAAATCTCTAGGGGAAGTATGTTACACTATAGATAGATAGACTATGGTCGTACCTCACAATAGACCCTCTTTATGACTCCATAATCTTGCACGAGAACATCGATTGCCTTGTCCAATACTTGGACCACAATCCCCCGGCCTCTAATACCTCCACACTCCTGCATAATATTGCACGAGGTACATAAGCACACATTAATGAATGAAAAGACAAACCAACCACAGTTGTTGAAGTATGCAATTGTCCTACCATTATATTGCACAAGAACAGTCTTTACACACCATAGTACACAATACATAGTAAAACACAAAGAAATATTAATACTCACCTTTATGAATATGGCGAAGAACATCTGCATGCTCAGTTCCTATAGACAACCAGTGAAAAAAATATTAAAGAAAGGTCAGATCACACAGAACTGTATGTATACCTCAACTGTCTTGGCAGATTTCTTCTTCTTGTTGCAGTGATGAGCCTGTGACTCCACCTCCTCCATGATCATCGTGAAATCCGGCCCTTCACCTGACCAACACAGCAGTTTTTAGATTAGCCGTTCTTATTCAACCCAGGAAATGCTGGTAATCACCACTAGATTAAGGGGCTTTCAAGCAATGTGTCACTCATTAAGTTATAATATAGGCCTAGTACACATGCTCTACAAAAGATGCGTTGTTCTGCTCCACACTAGAATTTTATAGCAACCTCTAAGGGACACTCTGAATAATGGACGTTTTCGATGCCCCCAAGCTGTCACTTATGGTTTTCTCTTTGCCAGCCACGCCCCAAAAAGCTGCTGCACACTATTACACATCATCATCGTGCATGAGTCAGTTGGGGCATACTACGAGATAATAAAGAGCCACCTTTAGATATAGAGTTGCACTCGGGAAGATACTGAAGTAAAAGGATGGGGAGAAGGAAGGAATAAGTAGAGCAGGTCTCACCGAGAGAGCTGGTGAGCTGTCGGTGGACGACGATGTCGGCGTATCTCCTGATGGGGGAGGTGAAGTGGGTGTAGCGAGGAACGTTGAGAGCGTAGTGTTTGAACTCCGCCTCTTTCTCAACGGTCCCGGTGCAGAAATAGCGGGCCAGCTACAATTGCACAAAATGTGGGAAACATTTTAGGGAGTAATAAACTTTTGTAGACTTTCACGGTTATAGAGGGCATCTCTACGAAAGTTTTGCTGCTGCAAAAATACTGTGGGCTGGGACTGTTTTTTTTTTTAAGGAAAAGAGGGCCAAGCTAAAGTTTTCTTTGCCATTGGATTTTTTTGTCTCTTCCGAGTATACAGTACAGACCAGTAGCCAGTAAAAATAGACTGGCTTCTACATAATTATGTACCTCCATTATCTTTGAGCAGTTGGATACCAACACCATCTTCTGCATAGAATTTGTCTCCTCATCGCTTGTGGTGCCGAGATACTGGTCCAGGGAGCTCTGGAATTTTGATCACAGGACGGTCATGTGACAGTCATGTGATATCACATGTGGTGGGTGGGCTGACCTGAATGGAGGCTGCAGTGCTGACATCCAGTGGGATTCCGAGACTGGCAAACTTCTGCACCTGCAGAGAGGCAACGAGAGATAATTATGTATCAAAACTAAACATTCGTGTAGAACTTACATACTTAGTTAAGCAAGGCAAACATAGCCTTATAACAATACCAGAGCACATGTGTGTATGGGCGAAGAGCTGTTGCTCCACTCACAAACAATGATACACTATCAAACATTAGTGACCCACGAACACAAGCCCACTGCGTTCGCAAAGTGTTTGATGAAACTTTTTAGTTAGGCAGTGAAATTAGGGCATTATTTTTCTTTAATGACTATCATAATGACTCAGGCTGATTGATTTTCATGATTTCATTATTGCATTCCCATATCCGGTATCTTGCCTATATTGTAAGTGTGCGTTTGCTGTAATCATTGAGTTCCACTGCCGAGTAGCTGCCGATATTATCGCGCAGCGCCAGGCCGATCACAACATTTCTAGTTCAAAGCCTAATGTGTAGAGGTTCTCACCAGGAACTGGGCTGATTTCTCCTTGGGAGAAGGGTGCCTCCGGAGAAGGGCTCTGTCACGGAAAGTCCTCCATATCTTGTGAGCCACTGCCATGTTGGCCAGCAACATGAACTCCTCGATCAGCCTGTGGACGAGGGCCAGAGATGGAGGGGGGAGGAGGGGGGATAAAGTGTCTCATTGGGACCAAATTAACTGTGTTTTTAATGTTTTTACACCGAGTGGTATTTTGTCCGTAAACGCCCGCTAAGTCTTTGCTTCCAGCAAATATTTTTTTCTTGCCTATTTCACAGTACGGTTGTGTTTGAATGTATTGGATATTACGTTCAGGACAAGGTTTATGCTCCGTTAGATCACCTGTTGCTCTCTCTCTGAACATACACATCACATCCACTGGGGAGACCGGTTTCCTTGTTCAGAGTGAACTTTAGCTTTGGCTGAGGGAGAGAGGGGGAGAAGAGGTGGGAGAGGGGAGAAGGGAGAGAGGAGGGAGAGAGGAGGGAGAGAGGAGGGAGAGAGGGGAGAGAAAAACAAAGAGAGGGAGGGAGGGGGAGGAGGGAGAGAGGAGGGAGAGAGGGAGGGAGGGAGAAGAGAAAGGAAAGAGGGATTGAGGGAAAGGCTCAGGTATTGCATAGTCGATTTCAAAAAAGGTCTGTTCTCTTCTCAGTCTGAGTCCAATGATTTGATGGTGGTAGTATCAATATTCCTGAAAGAATACAATGAAGTGGGGGTATGTACCTGGTTGAGGCGCAGTGTTCCCTTTGACTCTCTCTGTCCCTTGAGCCCCTTGGCAAGCTACAGTATGTCATCCACCTCTACATACTTGGGCACCGGCACAATAGGGCTTACTCTGTTCAGTATGATGACAGCCCTAGACACTTGAGCAGGAGTAAAACCATCTACAGAGCAACTACGTATCAAGACACTGTACTATACGCACGGAACAGTTCAGACCCACTGGTAATGAGTGGTAGCTCATCTTCGCTCCACAGCTCGAGGGTTCATCAATCATAGCCTAAAGAATGACAAAGACAATAGCTTTTTACGATAAGGAAAATGGCTCATTACTATTCTTTCCTGGATTGTAGAAAAAATAGACATTGGGGCCTATTATGGTAGTAGAATGTATATACCTGGGCATGTGCATAGCTCAGTTTAGCACAGGACCTGATGATGGACCGTCCCATCCACTCATCTATGAACTGTTTAAACTCGTTCAAAAATTTACCAGCCAAAGGCAAAATTTTTTTACCTTTCCGTCAGGTGTCAGCTTCCAGACCACCGAGACAGCCAATCTGTCCTGAAGATGAATGAACTTTGTTAAGTGAGATATCCGACTTCAATGTATGTACATATGCATACAATGTGAGGTTTATTTCATCAAAACCGAACTTTCATTGACCCATCCATACCCATACACAGGGAGTTGCATTATTGGCTCACTCAACAACGAAGGACCATGTGTACACGTATGTCTCAACAACTTGGTAGCGAGGTAGAAAGGCAAGGCAAGGCAAACAAGTCAACTACACCCAGGACAACTCTTTCTTTCCAAAGAAAATAAGAAGAGCTGCCCTGGGTGGGATTCGAACCCAGGACACTGCCAACTGAGATACCAGGGAAACTCGCTCTACCAACTGAGCTACCAGGGCAACTCAGCTGGTAGGGGTTCGAATCTACAACACAACACAACACAACACAAGGCACACCTCAAACCAGTGTGCTATGGCACAGTAAACTCTCACTCAGTATGTAGTATGTATGAATGTGTAAAGAGATGAAGACGACAGCACTGACTGACCTCATTGGGATTGAGGCTGCAGAGCTGCTCACACAGCATTCGAGGCAGCATTGGAATCACCTACAAACAACATGTAATGGAAATCTTTCTAACTATACACACTTGGTGCTTTATCCTTCGGCTAAGGACTTTCTCTATTAACCCCCAAATGAAGTATAAATGGCAATTTCTATGGTCCCCATGTGTCCTTTAATGAGAGTGTTTCTGCACATGAGCTCAAGCTTTTGCTTGTGCCCACCATTACCTATGTATGTATCACCTACACTTACATACAGACGGAACACACATACCACCACAGTACACACACATGGATATGGGAGCTATATAATAACTATATAGACCCAACGTGGGAGCTCACTCTCTGGACGAGGTAGACACTGGTGGCCCTTCTAGCGGCTGCCTCGTCCAGAGCACTACTGCCTTCACAAAGTAGCTCACGTCAGCAATATGTACTCCAACCTCATACACATCTGGATCAGCACAATACAGCTACATACCCACCCACTACATAGTAGAATAATACAGTAAATCCTCCAGAAAAGAACCCTCCAAATAAAGGACACCTCCTTATATGGGACACCTGGTTCTGTCCTATATACTCCAAATGACACCTCCATATGGAACCCGATTAGTGTCCATATATACTATCCTCCAAATAAAGAACACCTCTGAATAAAGGACACTTTCAATGTCCCCAAAGGTGTCCCTTATTCAGAGGTTTCACTGTATATTATGTTACAACAATAGCTGACCATTTCCCATTTCTTTCACGTGTAGAGCATCATCCAGATCCTGAGAATTGAACAATACAGGTGAACTGGCTGCGTATGATGTAAGATGGTCACACTGTGTGTATTACACACTGACCCTTGCAGTCTCTGGATCAATAGTGAACACACACTCCTTTCTGAAGTCCCTCCTTCGCCCTACTTCCTCCTACAGTACAATACCAATACGTTAGCCTACACTATATTTACGTATGTAAAGCCTATATACACATGCAGAACCTTCCCATTCCTCCTATACTGTGACAACGTCGGTGGAAAAAAACTTTCGTGATGCAGTAGCTAAAGAAACGTTCATGGATTGTTAAAAGCAACAAAAGCAACAAATACGCATGTAGCCCCCATTAAAAGTTGGATGGTCCTCAAACTGGATAATTTCTCTCCCTCAAAAGATTCCTACTACTATGGCATGATTTCCACCAACTCAAATATAGAGATGGTTACCACTATCTATGTATGTGTACAATAACTACCTGAGGTATTGTCCATGGTGTCTGTCGAGGGAGGCATTCGAGGGCCTCGGGGAGAAATTCTCCAAACTCGATGTCATTCTCCACGAGAAACGACTCCGTCTCTGGCTCTATCTCCCCAGCCTCTCCCACGCTCCTCATCAGCTCCCTACACGTAACGAACCACGGGGTGGCAACGTCAACGCAAGGCCAAGTGTCCATCCAGAGTACAACACCACAGTTTTTATATGCACAACAAAGCTGATGTGGGTCAATGTGGATTTTTTTGGTGCTGAATCTCACCCTCTGGCAAAAGGGGAGTCTCTCTCCCAGGATAAGATCCTCCCAATGAACAGAGTGTTCTTATACTTCTGGTGCTCCTGGACATAGTCTGTGGCATGAGGACAGAGTGTATAAAATTAATGACAGCTCTCTCTCTCTCTCATAATATTCTCTAGGTTATTCCTATGGCAAGAGGATAGTTACAACGTACGTTCACTCTATTATGGTGGTATTCTATATACAGTGCATGAAATTCTATACGTTTAGTACACTAAACTGTTAGAAGAAAGGAAAAGACAGGACAACGCAAACCCCACATATGCACCTGGAGGGCAGTCGGCTATAGGGATGACAACACGAGGTATCTTGCTGTCCTTGGGCGACAGGAGAGCCAGGCCTTTATCCTGCACACATTACGTACGTATAAACACCCACAAAAAACCAAGTATTACTGTAAATCTCGCTGCACATGCGCACCGAGGGTTAACAATGACCTCCAAACAAGAAAATTTGAAACGTTTTGGACTCATAAAAATACTAAATGCATGGCTCTATGATATTTTAGCAAGGAAAGGCAGATGAAACGATGAAGCATATATACAACCTTGTCAAATGCTTTTAGATGACCGGCAAAAGATCGACTGTGCCCTTTCTCCACAATGTACACCACCTGAACAAATGCACAGAGGGCAACACACACATGTAGTCATACATACGTAGCAAAGCATAGTCTTATGTTGTATTGTACTCTAACCTTTGTCGTTCTGCGGTATTTCATGAGCTCTCTCTGGTACCTTCGATGTGCCTCTCCCTCCACTTCCTCCTCTCCTTCTCGACCTACCTTCATACTATCTGGGACATTATACAGTCTGTCGACCAGTGTAGCAGTGGAACATGGGCCATCAGTAGGACCATCAGTGGCAGAGGCTGTTTCAGCTTTTGATATACTCTGCATGGAAGTTTTTTTTAAAAGCACACTTTACACAGGTCAATAATGTCCAGTAAAAGAGCAGAATGGCCTATACTATGTCATAGGCAAAGGTGTAATGGTACACCAGCTGCATAATATGCTTACTGCCTGCAGTGTGTCCAGAGATGGGGCCATATCTTGAAGAGTGGAGAGTTTATGATCCTCGGAGCTAGTTTAAGACGCTCTTCATCCTATGCAATAGACCCCACATCACAGAGACCCTTGTGACAACTGCAGCAGTAAGTAAAACTCACTAGCCATTTGTCTGGGGGTAGGACCTCCAGCACTACCACATCTCCATCCAGTGCCCTGTTTCGCCTATGAACACCACTGACATAGTAGTCCCCTCCCCCTTCCTGCATTATAATATATAGCATATGTACATACATATTTCACCTCACTATCGTGTTGTTGTATATTATACCGGATCGTCCACATAGGCGTCTTCATATTTCCTCTGGTTGATTCTCAAAACTCCCTAAAGTGGGGAGAAACAACGTCGGTTTGGACACAAGTTTTTGTATGCATTGCATGTGGTCTGCAAGATTATTGGTGCACTTCTGGTGTTTAGCTTGTATTGTGGACGCAGAGGTAGACACAAGTACTTCATTCGTGATTCAAGCTACGATGCATCGCAACACCACCCGATGCAGACGTACATACATGCAGGCCTTACATCAACATGCCTTTATAAACCATAGTATAATAAAGGACCAAACACACGCTTGACAGCAGTACCTGAATTAACTTCTTCAACTTCAGCCCACGTTGGACAGCCTCCTTGTCCAAGTAGTCTTCAAATGGCTGGCAACCATTGGTACAATACAGTAAAGCAGGTAATGGTCGCAGCAGAGACTCACGGGGTCCATCTTAGCATTGAATGGGAGTTCTTCCGATATTTGTGGGGTCGACTAGACGGGGTTCCAGCGGCTGACACATTCTGCGGGGTTCCCGGTGGCGCTATCAAGGGTCACAGCAAAATTCACATCACGACATCGTGCAGGCTAACTCACGAGTTTTCTTTCGATTTCGATGCCGTTTCTCCTTCTCGCTTCTGCTTGGAGTTTCGTTTTGGCTATGCCCTCCAGTGCAAGCCCCTGAAGTCCTTGCAGTTGGCAGCGCCCCTAAGTTTGCAGCGTCCATTCCAATTAATGCGCATCAGCTCAAGCCACTCCAATTAACGCCTATCATAATGCTCAGTATCCCAGTAAGCAACTTGGCATGCTAATGTTCAGACAGTCTTCTGTCGTACCAAGACTGAACTGTGAATGGTTATAATTGCAAGTTCTGTGCATAGTATCTCCTCCGGGGGGGCGGGGGGGGTCACACAGCTAGCTAGAGCGGGCAACATGATGCGCATGCGCACTCTTAGAACGTGTAGTCCACGTGGCTAATTAACAACCGTTTTACTCTAATTAACGCACGTTACAAGGAAACAAACAAAAAAGCGATCGTCTGGTTGCCAACTACTACAAAGCTTCAGGCCTGCAGTTTTGTAGTCAACCTAGTCGTCTGATATACAGGGATAGTTGTTGAGAGATCTCTACACTCGAGATGGAGAAGCTGGGAGGCGTGCCCGGGGCGGGCGGTGCCGCCGGCAGGGAAGACGAGCTGGAAAGCCTTGGCTTGGGACTGTTTGACGTGGACGTGGATCTTGCCGAGTGCTTCGAGAACTGTCCCGAGTGGAACGTGAGTGCTATCGTACCGCCTACTCGGGCGAAAAACAGTATGATGAAACATGCTAACTATTGCAATGTGTAGCTGTGTTGTTACCGAGACGGCGGGTTTGGGAACGTGTGTCTGTGTCAGTAGATTCCTCTGCTCATGCTCTGGGCTGGCGTGTCTGTTTCCACTGTAGGATCCACTGTTTGACACTAGTGTATTGGACGACCTGAGAGACTGTCTGTCTGACGACCTTTGGTCATCACCTGACCTCCAGCTACTTACAGGTTCGTCTGTCTGTACATGTGTGTGACATGGAACTTGGAATATGCACTTAAGGTTGTTAATTAGCCGGGGTGGCCATGGATTAGCCCAAAGTTTACTTTTTATGGACTGGGACCAAAGAACTGCAAAATGAGACCGAGCACATAGTAGAGAGAAATGAAGTTTTTACAGAATCAAGTGTTGGCAGCTATGACATCCTATGAATGTATGTGGGTCGGTTTGAGTGGAGGCTACCAGGGTGAGGCAGGGCCTGAATGAAGGTTGAATTACAGTAGGTTGTGTATTTCGAAGCCAAGTTAGGCGAAGATACATCTTGGCATGTGCCTGATAATACGGAATTGGGATACTTTTTGAGAGGTGGTGCTGATGTTGATTTTCCCCTGTAGAGGGAGATGGTGGAGCTCAGACTGAAAGCCAAGTAAGTTCACCTCATTTACCTGTACATAAGTCTGGCAGGGCCCTTGGGGTAGTGTAGGAAATGCTACTGAGGAATCTATCACATTTCTCTTGGGGGAATCCAGTTTTCTAGGAAGTTGTTGTTTTGTAACCCAATGCGTTCCTTCATGCCTGAACAGGCAAGGTGTAACTAAAAGTGTGTTAGTGTGGGGGTGGTTTCAGGCCTTTCCACTTCTTTCTGGAGGGTGCTTATGTAAGCATGTATAATTATGTAAACGCAATGTGTGCATAGTTGTGGATGCATCTGATTGGTCTGAAGTGATGTAAGCATATTCCCCATTGCCAAGTGTTCCAATAGACCGGAGACTAGGGGGGAAGGGCTTGAGATCAGTTTGTGTGTCGAAATCACCTCTTTCCCTCCATCTCCTGCAGGCTCAGGCTGGCCCCGGTTTCATTGCCACCTCACCTCTCTCCCCTGAGAGTGCCCTCAGTCCTACACCCTCTGTGGCCTCCTCCACCCTCTCCTTCTCTTCCTCTGACATCCCCTACTCCTCAGAAGGTAAGGATACTGCAGGACTCCCTTCCAAAGACACCCCTGAAAAATGAGGAAAGCTTTTAGATATAATTGTATGTGAGCTTTGTGTATACGTGGTTCCTCTTTATGTATAATATAGTCATCATGAAGCCCCTCCCGCCTCACTCACTGATAGCCTCTTGATGTTATGTGGTCCACATTGTCAGATAAGATAGGAGGAGGAGCTGTGTATACTGTATATACCAACTTTGTGCATTGTTTGAACAGTCCTTTGTTTACTGGTGTTGCTCTGGTAAATGTGTGTGTATGAACCTCAGGTGCCCTCTCCATGGGATGGAATTGGTTTGTCTCAGACCGGAGTCACTGGTGCCGCTGCTGCTCAGAATGGAATAGTGCCCACGCAGACCCCTGCAGTTATGGATGGGCAACAGCAGGCCACAGGTTGGAACGTGCCACAGGCAGCTACAAGTCCTGCAGGTAAATGGTTCAACAAGATGTGTATGTGCGTCACTTCATGTATAACAACTATCAGTATGTACATATGACACTGTTCCCGTGATGTTTGACTGGTATACTTGTTTTTTTGCATGGGTAGACCGAAAATTCATGACTGTTCTATCAACTACGCAAAAAGCACTTACATACCACATATGTACTGTGATCTAGCATTGAATACGGCCAAAGGCTGAACTGGAAATAGATCAGGAAGAGAGAGGTGCTAAACCGTCCCGCTCTTTTACAGCGGTGCAGGTACTGAAGAGTGGAGAGGTGGTTCATATGATGAAGGTATCTCCTCAGCCAATGCAACAGGTTTGTTCCACTTTATTGAAATCTTGGAATTTGTGGTGTATGTGGGCTGTAGTACAACATGGTAAGAAAAGCTTACGATGCAAGTATTATGCGTGTTCGTAGATGCATGGGTATAATCTCATACCATGGGCTTAGATGGCGCAGTCCATACCGTAATGCTTTAGCCTCTAAAATATCACACTCTGTGTTGGTTGCCATTTTGTTAGTTCTATGGTAATTGTTCTGCATAATATGATTGTTCACCTCCAGAGTGCAGGTGTACTGTGGAGCCCGCCTCCTGACCTGACTCCTCCTCCTTCTGTCGGATCGCCACCACCAGCTCAGTCCAACACTGGCCTGCCTCCTGTGGCTGGGGGTGCCACCACCGCAGCCTCCACCTCTGTTACTCCTGGTGCTGGAGCCAGTGGTGGAGTCTCTAGGAAGAGGCAGCACCCTGACTCTGCGGCCGGTGAAGACGCAGCTGGAGGAGCAGTCAACATTGTGAGTGGACGGACCCCTTTGTGTTTTTGTCCGGCCCTAGAGCTACAGTGGAGTCTCATTACAAAGAACACACTTAGTACGAAATTCTACTACAAACACACCCTCGGAGCCTAGCCACATAGAACACTGTACATCTTTGTGTCGCACTTATGACAAATTCCCCTTACTGTGAACAAATTCTTTAGGTCCCCAGCAATTCATTATAACGAGACTCCACTGTAGTAGGAGAGGTCCTAAAGCCATCTCACCCTAACTTTTGTCTTTCAGTATGCCCGGAAAAAACATTTTTTTGTGAAAAACGCTTTCCATGATGCATAATAATAATACTAAAGTTCTGTTTTTGTGTGACGGAAAGAGATGTTTTACATGTACGCACACATACACATATTATGGCACGCAAGTTTCTGTTCAGTTTTGCACCTTTTACACTAGTACCAATGCACAGCTTTACGTACTCAGATGTTGCCCTTGCTGTTTGCAGGCCCAGCTGAGCAAGAAGCAGCAGCGGCTCATCAAGAACAGGGAGGCTGCCAGTGCCTCCCGGCAGAAGAAGAAAGAAGTATGACTGAACCACTGACTACAAAATTGAACCTCACGTGTATCACTTAGGAGGCTGGGTTCACAATATGTTACTTTGCCCGTCACACCGTGTGCCGTGTTGCCACGTCGTGAGGATAGAAATCCCCATTTCTATTTTCGCTGCAAGATGGAAAATGGCAATGTGGACCAGGCCTTGTATTAACTGTTCTTTTTCACAGGGATGCACACTAGTAAAAGTTCTCCACTCTTGGACTTGTACAAAGGTACCATCTCTGTATTCAGGTAGCGCTTAGAGACTGCCGCAGTGCCGCTCCCAATTTAACAGGTATGCGGAAGTTCAGGTTTAGCGGTAGCGTATGCGGAAGTTGTTAATTATATTCACGAGGCAAAACCACTACACTTTGGTTGAGTTGGCTCAACTCCTGAAAGCCTCGCTCGGAACTGTAGCTAGTGTAGTGGCTTCGGCCCTACATATACTAAAATTGGAACGATACAGAGAAGATTAGCATGGCCCCTGCGCAAGGATGACACGCAAATTCGTGAAGCGTTCCAAATTTTTTCCTTTTCCTCATTGGAGAGTCCAAGAGTGGGTGAATTTTTTTTGCTATACCAATCATTAATTGTTCAGCTGTGGATTTGTTTTTTACTTTTTATTCCGCAGTATGTCCAAACTCTGGAGGGGAGACTGAGAGAGGCAGCTCACAAGAACACCACTCTCCTGCAGGAGAATGAGTCACTCAGAAAACAGGTCTTACAACTGCAAGCTGAGGTAAGTCTCACCTTTTACCCTAACAGCATACATTTGTGTACCTCTCTGCCTTAGCTATATCTTTACAGAATACAGATAATGTCACCATAGAAAATTGAGCAATTTTGGTGTCATTATTGCTGCCTAATGAGGCATTCTACAACCATGGGCTGGAGTTTTGCAACTCTCCATCCTCCACCTGGCTTCATTAACCAGCCTAGCTTGATTAGCTTAGCTAAACAAACTGCATTGTGCTCTATCTGGGTCACCTTTGTGTACACACCACCTAGCATTGTAGAATATGCCACTATTATCAGATGCACCTTGGGTATGATATTAACTGGGACAGACTGTACTGTATATACTTACAGGCTGTGGGCTAAAAAGACACACCTGTATTGTCATAAAAAGAACCAAACTGGTCCTATGATCCTGAGAGTGGGGAAGAGGGGGGAGGATCAGTGTGTGTTTGTGAGAGAGGAAAATGATGTTCCTTTGCATCCCTTCCCTTGCGTTCTGCAGAACAAGGTGCTGAGAGTGAGTCTGGGCAGTCTGGCAGCAGCTCCCTCCTCACCCTCCACCAGAAGCCAGCCCTGGTCATGGTTCTCTGTCTCTGCTTTGTCTCCCTTCTCTTCCTGCCAAAGTGAGCCCTGCACTGTAAACATAGATAATGAACCCTCGGCGCGCATGCGCAGCGAAAGTTACGGAGTTGTGTGTGTCTGTCTGTCTGTCGACATAGTTAGCCATGACATGATTGAATAACTCGGCTTCAGGGTCTTTCGTATATATACATCCAAACAGTGCTCATGTGCGTATTTGAACGTTAAAAGATTACGTCATTGCACATTCCACGGGCACAAGTCTACGATGCTAAGCAGACCAGACCCTCTCTCCTTTTTGAGATGGGATGGCTACGTGAGACTAGTCCTCCATAATATGTTCCCTCCCACTGTGTGTGTGGCCCAGGTTGACCCACCTCTCCCACCTGGTCTCCTCCCCTGGCCCCACTACCACCACTGCCCTCTCTGTCACCCGTCACTCAGGCAGAGCTCTCTTGGAGTACAGGGAGGCAACCAGCAACAACCCTGCTGTCTTTCGCCTCATGTGAGTAGAAACATTACCGTGGGCAAGTGTGTGCACCTGCATGTTAGTGCTTCTGCATTGTTGCAATAACAACCGCTCAGATCACTCTTCCCTACCTAAAAACCTAAAAAAACAGAGGGCACAAGGCTTTCTACTTGTGCACATTTACCGTTGAATCGGCGTCTAGAGTGAGTGTTTCACGTTGAGTACTTTCCTGTTTACGTATAGTGAAGCACTGCTAACTATTTCTCTTTTTAGACCGGCCCAGAGCGCTAGATATTGCAGTGCAGGTTGTTGTAGCAAAGTGTCGGAAAGACAATGGGTTGTGGCTCCGCCTTATTTCTGATTCTCTCTCTCTCTCTCTCACCAAAATTCAGCAGCCAAACTCACAAAGAACCTCCACTGGTATAGGCAGTACCAGTGCCCTGGTCCCTGTGTCTACTACTGTAGCTGACCGTCATACCCTCGAGTCTCTGGAGAAGAAACTGCAGGAGCTGAGGAGGCTGTACACTGCCATGCCTTGTCCACCACTGCCACCTGTACCTTCAGTCTGTAGCTGCCCTGCTATCAATGACACCAGCAACTCTACTGCTCTCAGACTGTGAGTGTGTAACTTAAACTAACCAACTGTAAACTATTCCCAGTGTATTGATCTCACATCAGTGTGTGTGTGTGTGTGTATGCATGTACGCAGCGTGAAATTTGGTCGGTCTAAAATTTGGCTAATGGACAAGACGGAAGGTGGGAGCTGGTAGATAATTCTGGGTCTCGCAATGCAGGCATGTGAAGTTAACTTGCACACTGCATATTGGCAGGCTGTTTAGATGACATACATACATATGTATGTAGTGTGGGCAGCAGTTTGTTGATATGATTGTGGTTGTACAGGTTGAGTGAGGAGATGACCGAGTGCTTCAAGTGGTACGAGCAACACCATCCACGATGGCTGCATCCCAACAGAGACACACAGACTGACACACAGACTGATGTAAGCCCCTCCCACTCCTCTGTCTACCTTATCATGGGTTTTTTGCCTGGCAAAAACCTTTTGCTCTCTTGTAATTCTAAGTTTTACTTCACGAAAAAATATTTAATGCTGCGTATACCAGTATGAAAGTAATTCTTGACTAATGCCATGGCCAATTACAGTATACAATATATGTGACATATATTGCCATTGACATCTAACGTAACCCTCTCTCCTGTTCCTCCCTATTTCTGTAGAACTCTCTTGCTGTTGTAGTGAACTCCAAGTAAGTATTTGTGTGTTGTGTTGTGTTGGGTGTTCAAGTATAGTAAGTCTTTGTGTGTTTGTGATTGTGTGTTGTGTTGGGTGTGCAGGTGTGTGTGCATGTGTGTTCAAGTATAGTACGTAAGTCTTTGGTAGCCATAACCACTGAGTAGCAACACTTTCTCCATTTAATGCACACTCCAACCACTCTCTCTATGATATACTGCAGTACTGCAAGTCTGCTAAGAAGCAGTGGAGACTATCAGATAACAGAGCTTCGCGACATGCCAATGTAAGGCCTCATACATCCTAACAATGACACAGTTCGCCTCGTTGCTGCAGACTCTACAAGTCCTTCAAGAAGTTCTTCACCAGGAAACTAGACACTTTTTACCTTATTTCTTTCAAGGTACGCATTGCCCAGTCTTCCCTGGCATATTATGTACACGTTTTTTCTGTTTGTCAGGACCATTTGTTGATGAATCGCTCCACTGCACAATGCCACAGAACCTCCCATCCTCTCAGTCATCGTCCCCACGCAAGGTATACAACATGGGGATCATATACTGTGCATAACCACTCCAATTACTGTGGGGCTAAGTGGGGCATACTGTGCATGAGTACGCATTGCTGTTGACATCACATGCAGTTTATAAGCTGTACTGTGGTGTCTTGTGTGTTATATATACAACCCCTATAATATCCCCCATATCCCCCCATTTACTTGTCTGACATCTTTTGGCGGCCCCATTACTACTTAGCCGTCTGTGTTTGTATCAACATGTTATCGCAATTGTTGTCCTCTAGATCTGTACATACGCATTCTTCTCCACCTAGTCACCAAAATTCATTATTGTTGGGGTACGTTGACCCCCCCTCTCCCTCCCTCCTCTCCACACTAGGTTTCTCCCACGAAGACACGTTTCCCATGCTGCAGATGGACTGTCAGATCCTCAATACTAACGTCATTCACTTGCCCCGGGCCACCGTCTAGGTCGACCAGTCAAACCTGTTTCAGAAACTGGTTTTTATATAGCTTTTCACATGTCATCATCGTCTCAGTCATCACACGCTGTTTTATTTCTGCAAAGGATTTGCATTTTTTAAAGTGCTGCAAATGATTTGTGGATAAAATTTATTATTATGGTCATTGATCGGTCAATTCACAGATCGGTACATTAGTATATGTGGTAATGTTTTATTCTTCATATTACCTTGCTGTCGCAATACAAATTTTTCTGGTTGATCCGTAATCTAGGGTGGCATATTCTGTGAAACAAAAAATTTACCCACTTCTAGTACACTTTTGTAAGCTAAAAACGAGTGATTCTTTTGGGAAGCAAAAATGTGCCCACTTCTGATACACTTTGTAAATTTGAGTAAAAGGAAGAAAATTTGCGTGCCGTCCCAGCGCTCCCAGAGAATCCCCATGTCATCCTTGTACAATGCAAAACCAAAAAATATCTCCCCCCTCTCAAAATAATCTTTTCCCCCTCTTCCCCCCTAACGGCGAAGAACCTTCCCCCTCCACGGGGCAAGGGTATTGGAACGTTCCAAAATTTGGAACACGTGCACGTCACGTTCCAAAATTTGGAACACGCGCACGTCACGTTGGAACAATTTTGGAACACGTGCTTCTCTCTCGCGGCATCGACGCTCGCTCCTCGAGACTGAGAGACCGCCAGAACTTTCGATGTCCGCCTGTATGATCAACTGCCTTTCTCAGTCTCTCCACGGACGGGAAATGCTTCCCTTGTACCAACCGCCGTCAAAGTACGCAGGGGCGCTTTTTGGGTCAAGTAGGAATTGTTCTGAATACGAGCGACCACGAAGACCTCATCAACACTGCTCTACCTGACTACAACCCTACCGCCTGTCTGTTGGAGAGTGACTCTGAGGAAGATGAGACTGAGGTAAAAATCGCAAAACAACACTTACTACAACTGTTTTACCTATTTTCCTACCTCCAGGAAGAGAGTAGTGCGCAGGAGGACGAGGCTGCAGTAGATGCTTCAGGCATTCCTGGATGGGACAGGGTGGACGACCTGGCAAAGGCTCTGGCCGAGCTGGGCAGGATGGCCTAGCTGTCAACACCAGCCAGGCACAAGAGATTGAACATCTCTACAACTGGCTGGTGGACTACAACAAGCGGCCAATCTTCCACCCTCGTCACCAAAGGCCATCCTGAGGCAGATTTGCCCTAAAGAAGCAATCTGGGCATATGACTAATGAGTGTGGAAGCCATGAAAAGGTTAATTTCAATCACATTTCAGCAGCTAATTTTAATTGTAGCCACATTTTCCAATCTTCAGGTGCTTTCTTTCGGCTGGATCGCCAGCTTCCTCGCCTTCAAAAAGCCATCTCGTTGAGGCGATTTGCTTACGGCTGTGTGAGGCCAGCACAACAACACCCATGGATCAGGATCAAGAGCCATTAACTGGTGCTGGACCCTCAACAACCCCACTGATGAAGAAATATCAGCAATTCAAAGCTTCAGCGACCCCCCTGTCCACTACCTCACCTATGGCAGGGAAACAGGGGATGAAGGCACCCCTCACCTCCAGGGCTACCTTCAGTTTGACAAAAGGAAAACGTTCCCCTTCATTAAAAGCCTATTTCCCAGGCGCACTCATCTTGAGGTCCAAAAGGCCAGGGATAATAAACAGGCCAGGGAGTACTGTCACAAAGAAGACCAAGAGCCCTATGAAAAAGGGGACTTTAAAGACAACCACCCAAAGGGACCCAGTGCAGCTGAAACTAGACGCAAGGCCTATGCAGATATCAAGCGGGGCAAGTCTCTCCAAGAAATCATTGATGATAATCCAGAAGAACTCAGTTACATCCATCAAGCTGCACGATATGCTCCTGCCAGAACCCTTCCTGCCAAAGTACTTTACCTTCATGGCAAAACTGGATGCGGCAAAACTACATCAACCCTTAACGTTCTACTCAAACATGACCTGCAATTTTTCAAAAAGATGCCAGGAACCCACTGGTTTGATGGATACACAGGGCAACCTGTCATGGTGCTTGAAGAGTTCCAGTCCTGCTTCACTCTCACAAAATTTCTGTCCATGTGTGACCCATATCCTCCACAACTTGAGGTCAAAGGTGGAACAATGCCCAATAGATCCACTCACATCATCATCTGTTCCAACTCTGGACCCTTCCTCCAATATCAAGATGTACAAGACAAGCGTCCTGCCTCCTATGCAGCCTTCTTAAGAAGGATCTCCCAAGAACATGACTGTAGTCACATGACCCATGAGGAGATAGAGAGGCATATTACCTCTTTTCTTACTGAACTCTAAACTTATTTCAATTTACCTTGAAATATAAATTCTTATAATAAGAACAATAACTGCGCTTGCGCAAATAAAGTTGAATTCAGGTGAAACTTGCTAGGGGCTAATTAGATAGGGCTATTCACTCCATATCACATTCACTAACATTGATCATAGGTGCTCTGCCTAGGGCAGGCAGGCTGGCGGCATTTAACAGCGGTCTCCAACTTCTTGCTCCTCTATATCCTCCTCCTCTATATGGTGCAGCTCCATTGCTCTTATATCTCTTTCCCTGATCATGCATATATTGGCTAGCATATCTTCTTTTCCTATACGGGAAGGTTCTCTGCGCCATCTTCCAGGTCCACTGAACCTGTATGGGTCAAGTGAACAGTCCTCTTTTTTCTCTGTGCAAGTTTTAGCTTGTACACACTTAGTTTGTACATCTTACAGCATCATGCGACTGATAGATATAGTAGGAACAGCAATTGTGGGTTCTAAAGCAAGTACATTTTCCAATCTTCAGGTGCTTTCTTTCGGCTGGATCACCAGCTTCCTCGCCTTCAAAAAGCCGCATCGTTGAGGCGATTTGCTTACGGCTGTGTGATAAAATCAACAAAGAGCAAATTGCCTAACGGACGGCAGGTGTACACTTCAAGGTGGAAGGCTGTCCTCTCCGAGTACAACAACATCAGAGTTCGGCTACTTAACAGCGAAGCTCTGTTGGAGAGGACTGGCCTGACACTATTTCATATCAATGAAACCACACTAATTAAGTGGTACAAAGATACATCGAGGGTGAGTGAGGTTCGGACTCTCCTGCGGGACTAAAGTTGCCAACAGTCCAGCCCTGCACAGCCGAGAAACTGCCTGAGGTTAACACTCAGCCGAAAGAGCCACCAGAACCACCACCTCATCCTCATGTATATATTCCCAGAGGTGGAGGACACCAGAGGAGAGGCAAGGGTACGGGGAACTACATCTGCTCCAGTTCCTCCTCCTGCCGAGGCTGGCCCATCAGCTCCACACCAAGCCGTTGCCTCGGCAGTTGATGTGACTGAACCAAAGGTGTCTAGGATGACAGAGTGGAGGCGCAAAAAGACTGGAAAGAAAAACAACGAGCATTGTCATCCTAAAAAAAGATATTTATTCCCGTAACGGTACGGCGCGCGGCATCGCTGGGCGCGGCCACGTAATGAACACACGCGCATGCGTAAAACGCCACATTAACAAATTTGGCCTTGGGAACACGTGCTCTCTCTCGCGGGCGGCGCCGACGAGACTAGACTGCAAGAGACCCCCAGAACCTTCGATGTCCGACTCTTCCGGCAGTCATGAATTGTCCAGATAGGCAGATTGATGACCACGAAGACCTCATCTACACTGCTCTACCTGACTACAACCCTGCAGCCTGTCTGTTGGAGAGTGACTCTGAGGAAGATGAGACTGAGGTAAAAAAATTCACAACTAGCTTAGCTATGTTAGCTGTTTTTCCTACATCCAGGAAGAGAGTAGTGAAAGATGGACTTCTCCTGCCCACGTTGCAAGGTATTGCTGCACTCAAAGGGTCCATACAATCGAGTACGTCATGTGTACTAAATTGCTGGGGAGTACATGTCATACAGCAAGTGCTCTGACTGTTTTGTATCGTGGGACGATAGAATGCTCTCACAACTTGCCGATGGTGTCGGAGCTCGCTTTCCGGTGGTCCTTGCATACAAATATGGTTGCAACCAGGCAATTGTCTCTCTTCTGTGAGCTCGTACCGTAGGCAACAGCCCCCCCAGCACTCTGCAACAGTGACGAGTGGCTGAGGAAACAGCTGTGCTACCTCAGTGACTGCCAAGGACACCGAAGTGGCCTCAAGAAGATGAGAATCTCTGCGTCCAGTCCCCGGGTCCCCACTCCCAAGTGGTTTCTTGCAGTTTACGTGAGAATGAAATGCTGGAGTGCCACCCCCAAAGGTGATATACACCGACAGGGACTGCTGTGGACCACAGGGAAAAAACGTTAAATATGACTGTTACATGAAATGACGGTATGGATCTTTACTGTGTCTTTGGCTGTTGCAGCTTCTTTCCTCTTTTGTGCCAGCCACTCTTCTCTTGCAATTTGTCCAGGGGCAAAGGGGCAGTACCTTTGTCCCATGAACTGTGTATATATGTCCGGCGGGCGACATAGGTTCACTGCTTATTTTGCAGGTGTATGTCTTTCTCTCGTTGGTTTTCTTTCCAGTCTTTTTGTGCCTCCACTTTGTGGTCCTTGACACCTTTGGTCTTCACATCAACCTCCGAGGCAACGGCTTGGGGTGGAGCTGATGGGCCAGCCTCGGCAGGAGGAGGAACCGGAGAAGATGTAGTTCCCCGTACCCTTGCCTCTCCACTGGTGTCTGGGAATCATGAGGATGAGGTGGTGGTTCTGGTGGCTCTTTCGGCTGAGTGTTAACCTCAGGCAGTTTCTCGGCTGTGCAGGGCTGGACTGTTGGCAACTTCAGTCTCCACTTTGTGGTCCTTGACACCTTTGGTCTTCACATCAACCTCCGAGGCAACGGCTTGGGGTGGAGCTGATGGGCCAGCCTCGGCAGGAGGAGGAACCGGAGAAGATGTAGTTCCCCGTACCCTTGCCTCTCCACTGGTGTCTGGGAATCATGAGGATGAGGTGGTGGTTCTGGTGGCTCTTTCGGCTGAGTGTTAACCTCAGGCAGTTTCTCGGCTGTGCAGGGCTGGACTGTTGGCAACTTCAGTCCCTGCAAGAGAGTCCGAACCTCACTCACCCTCGATGTATCTTTGTACCACTTAATTAGTGTGGTTTCATTGATATGAAATAGTGTCAGGCCAGTCCTCTCCAACAGAGCTTCGCTGTTAAGTAGCCGAACTCTGATGTTGTTGTACTCGGAGAGGACAGCCTTCCACCTTGAAGTGTACACCTGCCGTCCGCTAGGCAATTTGCTCTTTGTTGATTTTATCACACAGCCGTAAGCAAATCGCCTCAACGATGCGGCTTTTTGAAGGCGAGGAAGCTGGTGATCCAGCCGAAAGAAAGCACCTGAAGATTGGAAAATGTGGCTACACAATTAAAATTAGCTGCTGAAATGTGATTGAAATTAACCTATTTTCGTGTCTTCCACACTCATATGCCCAGATTGCTTGTTTCGGGCTAATCTGCCTCGGGATGGCCTTTGGCGACGAGGGTGGAAGAAGATTGGCCGCTTGTCGTAGTCCACCTGTCTTTTTGTGTCTCCACTCTGTGGTCCTTGACACCTTTGGTTGCGTCTGGCAAAGGGGCAGTACCTTTGTCCCCTGAACTGTGTGTGTCCAGCGGACGACATTGATTCGCTGCATATTTTGCAGGTGTATGTCTTTCTCTCGTTGGTTTTCTTTCCAGTCTTTTTGTGCCTCCACTCTGCCCTTGGCAGATAGACTGGTACAGAGGTACTAAAATGCTGGAGTGCCACCCCAAAAGGTGATATACACCGACAGGGACTGCTGTTCAGACTTTGGCTCCTAAAAATACAGAGTATATACTCTTCAAGGACTGGGGTGAGGAGCTTCGTGTACGCCTCGACATTTGGCACTTCATGCGCCGACTCGCTGGTGGTGTCACATCAACGGAGTCCCATCCACTCTATGGAACTCTGATGTCGATTCTCGAGGGAAAGCCTTACAGAACCACAATGAAGCTGGATTGAGATTTTCATGCACTGTTGTGAATGTACAGAGGGCTGCACAGGCCAGCAAACTAGTTCACCCCATCCTAAAACGTGGCCACTCTCGAAGATGTCTATGGCCATCTTTGAGTGGGACATGGGGGACTTCACATCTCTTCTGGGGAGGCCAAGAAAGGAGAGCTGGCGGCGTCAGGGATCTCCAACCCTTGGGAGAAGTTGCGAGGAAGGCGATCACCAGAGAGGAGCTCCTGAAGCACTGCTGGCGGAGAACCAGGGGAGTCGAGGAGATAATCCAAATCATCGAGCAGCTCCTATATATGTAGGCAACAGACACACTCTATAGGAGTGCACTTCTCTGAAGGAGGAAGTGAGGTCCATCTGGGGTGAACAGAGAAAGCATGTCCCATGCAGCGGGTCGAAAAGGTGTCTGAATCTCTGCATAAGAAGAGAAAGCGGCGGACTGAAGATGGAAAGTATGTCTTCCCTACTGGCATCTCCTTGTATTGACTACATTATACTAGTTGTGGTGACTTTCATCCATGAATATCATTAAAGTGCTGCAATAGGATTTATGGAGTCTTGATATTAAGTCATCATTAATTTTATTGATTAGTACAATGTCATACTTGTAATGCAGGTGAAAAAAGATTGAGAAATGGTATTTGTGAAAATGAAAATGCTAAAGCAGTTTGCTTGGTCTTGTATACAAATTGGAGGGTCTTTACGTCACTGCCACAACTGTATATATATATAAAGGAAAATATGGAGCATAATATTATTTTACATCATACACATAGACTGTGTGTGTCAGAAAACTTTGAAGGTGGAATAGCCATCTGTGAGAGTGTAGGTGGGTACAAATTTGACCAATAATTTTCTGTGTGAAATAATTATTCGTGATCGCCTCTAAAGTATATATCCGACTAGACGCAAGGTTCCTGCTATATAATTATATACAGTAAGATGGTAGAGATGAGTCAGAGACCTTACCATGTCGTTGACACATACAACCAGGTTTAATTCCTGCTCTACAGTAAGTATTAAAAGAGACCTTGATCATGTTGTCGATGGCTCCTGAGAAGATGCGGCCACCTGAGGCCAGGAGACACGTCACACTGCCCTCGTGGCGGACTAGGGTCTGGGCACACATCATCAGCTCCAGGTTCCACACCTGCAGACAGCAGGGGAGGGAGGGAGGGAGAACAAGGCTAGAAAAGATGTGTAGTTAGAGTATGGGTAGATTAGCATTGCATATGGCCTTATACTACCAAAACAGGGCCAACCTATAGTTGTCTGAATGTGCAAATTTTTTTAGACACCCACTGTCCATACTGCAATAAAAATTGAACTGCTGAGAAATTTCCTAAAGTTCATTCTATGTTCCAGTTTCTATAATACTGTGTGACTGTAAATATCTTACTCTGATTGTCTTGTCATAGCAGGCACTGAACAGTCTCTCTCTACCAGGCGTGTTCAGAACTGCCAGTGCATACACAGCCCCAGTGTGTCCTGCAGTAAGTAGCACATACATACATACGTATACATCCAGCAATACAACAGCCAACCAGGTAGCCAAGGTGTATGTTTAAAGTGAGAATGCACGTTGGCAAACATTAAAATGGAGGGTTTTCTAATGTCACACAAAACCATTTGTACCAAAACCAATACCAAAGCAACGGGAACTTTAAGAGCTACATAGCAAGCTCTGCACAATGGAGTAAAGGGTAATGAATTCATTGGAGGAGATTCAACCAACATGCAATTCACATGGGACTATAGGGTAGGCCCTGCTGAGGTTTGTGAGTGAAGGTAAAGTCTTGAAGGCTGCTGACCTGGTCAAATGTGCTTGCTCTTGCAGAGTCCGCACATCCCACACCTACATTCTACTGTACACATCAGGCAAAGAGATTGAGTGTGAACCCAACAATGCGTTATGCTAGTATGTAACACTTCAGCTGCTTTTCACAAGTTGCTTGCCCGCATCTATACTTTGCAAGGGTGCGACGGGCCAATGCGTGTACTGTGAACCCAGCCTAACTCCTACCTGTTATGTGTTTTCGTTAAGTCCCCACAGATGATATCCTTTTGGTGATGGCAAGAGAATAGACACTTGCTCGCCTTGCACTCAGGACATGAAGCCTCGTTGCTGCAGACTGTACAAGTCATTCAAGAAGTTCTTCACCAGGAAACTAGACACTTTTTACCGTATTTCTTTCAAGGTACGCATCGCCCAGTCTTCCCTGGCATATTATGTCCACGTTTTTTCTGTTTGTCAGGACCATTTGTTGATGAACGCTCCACTGCACAATGCCACAGAACCTCCCATCCTCTCAGTCATCGTCCCCACGCAAGGTATATAACATGGGGATCATATACTGTGCATAACCACTCCAATTAGTGTGGGGCTAAGTGAGGCATACTGTGCACGAGTACGCATTGCTGTTGACATCACATGCAGTTTATAAGCTGTACTGTGGTGTCTTGTGTGTTATACCACCCATATAATATCCCCCATTTTCCCCCATTTACTTGTCTAACATCTTTGGCGTCCCCATTAAGCCGTCTGTGTTTGTATCAACATTTTATCGCAATTGTTGTCCTCTAGATCTACATACGCATTCTTCTCCACCTATATAGTCACCAAAATGCATTATTGTTGGGGTATGTACCTTGAGAGTGAGTCTGGGCCAGTCTGGCAGCAGCTCCCTCCTTACGCTCCACCAGAAGCCAGCCCTGGTCATGGTTCTCTGTCTCTGCTTTGTCTCCCTCCCTCCTCTCCACACTAGGTTTCTCCCACGAAGACACGTTTCCCATGTTACAGATGGACTGTCAGATCCTCAATACTAACGTCATTCACTTGCCCCGGGCCACCGTCTAGGTCGACCAGTCAAGTCTAGTCAAACCTGTTTCAGAAATTGGTTTTTATATATATAGCTTTTCACATGTCATCATCGTCTCAGTCATCACACGCTGTTTTATTTCTGCAAAGGATTTGCATTTTTTTAAAGTGCTGCAAATGATTTGTGAATAAAATTTATTATTATGGTCATTGATCGGTCAATTCACAGATCGGTACATTAGTATATGTGGTAATGTTTTATTCTTCATATTACCTTGCTGTCGCAATACAAATTTTTCTGGTTGATCTGTAATCTAGGGTGGCATATTCTGTGAAACAAAAAATTTACCCACTTCTAGTACACTTTTGTAAGCTAAAAACGAGTGATTCTTTTGGGAAGCAAAAATGTGCCCACTTCTGATACACTTTGTAAATTTGAGTAAAAGGAAGAAAATTTGCGTGCCGTCCCAGCGCTCCCAGAGAATCCCCATGTCATCCTTGTACAATGCAAAACCAAAAAATATCTCCCCCCTCTCAAAATAATCTTTTCCCCCTTTCTTTTCCCCCTCTTCCCCCCTAACGGCGAAGAACCTTCCCCCTCCACGGGGCAAGGGTATTGGAACGTTCCAAATTTTGGAACACGTGCACGTCACGTTCCAAAATTTGGAACACGCGCACGTCACGTTCCAAAATTTGGAACAATTTTGGAACACGTGCTCCTCTCTCGCGGCATCGACGCTCGCTCCTCGAGACTGAGAGACCGCCAGAACTTTCGATGTCCGCCTGCAGGATCAACTGCCTTTCTCAGTCTCTCCACGGACGGGAAATGCTTCCCTTGTACCAACCGCCGTCAAAGTACGCAGGGGCGCTTTTTGGGTCAAGTAGGAATTGTTCTGAATACGAGCGACCACGAAGACCTCATCAACACTGCTCTACCTGACTACAACCCTGCTGCCTGTCTGTTGGAGAGTGACTCTGAGGAAGATGAGACTGAGGTAAAAATTGCAAAACAGCACTTACTACAACTGTTTTACCTATTTTCCTACCTCCAGGAAGAGAGTAGTGCGCAGGAGGACGAGGCTGCAGTAGATGCTTCAGGCATTCCTGGATGGGACAGGGTGGACGACCTGGCCGAGCTGGACAGGATGGCCTAGCTGTCAACACCAGCCAGGCACAAGAGATTGAACATCTCTACAACTGGCTGGTGGACTACAACAAGCGGCCAATCTTCCACCCTCATCACCAAAGGCCATCCATCCCGAGGCAGATTTGCCCTGAAGAAGCAACTGGGCATGAGTGTGGAAGCCACGAAAAAAGGTTAATTTCAATCACATTTTAATTGTAGCCACATTTTCCAATCTTCAGGTGCTTTCTTTCGGCTGGATCACCAGCTTCCTCGCCTTCAAAAAGCCGTCTCGTTGAGGTGGTTTGCTTACGGCTGTGTGTCCTGTGTGATTTTCACAGCCAACAGCCTGTCCGTGGCTATATTCCGACCCCACATGCGACGGTGCTCGCCAAACGGACCGCACAACGTCAAGCGTCACCATTTTGCGGAAGGACTGGAGCTGCGTGTATATAGTTCGTAGAGACTAGCGAAGCATACGGTTTTGTAAAGCCGAGTTCGGTGCACAGCACTTTGACTACAGACAGCGAACTCAGCTTTACAAAACGGTGTGCTTCGATCTCAATGCTATCTACGAACTACACGCGACTCCAGTCCTTCCGCGATGGGTGACGCTTGAGAGTCGTTTACCGCTGCATATTACGTGCTCAGTCATGGGGGTTGGGAAAGGCGTGAAGGTTTCGCTATATATAGCTACCAAGCAATTATTTTGAGCGTAACTTACAGGTTATCTCATGGAGTATTTTGCGAAAAAAGACAGAGAAGAGGTAAACCACAGGAGGAGAAAACAAAGACAAAGAATAAGAAGAAGAAGAAGAGAAGTAATTGCTACTGAAGGATGTTAACAAGGTTTTATAAATAATTCTACTTATGCAGGAACTGGAGAGGTGCCTGAGGGACGGCGAGATGGAGAGGGCGAGGGAAATTGCGAAACAAATGCAAGATTGGGAGTTGGTGGGTCTTGAAGAAGCCCTGAGAACAATGAAAATCACAGGTAGCTATGTCATATATGATAAAACCTTTACTATGCAGGTGCTACTCCAACTCCCAACCCCCGCTCTCCCTCCCCTCCCCCCAAGATGGAGAATCTGGTGTGTGTGTGTGTGTGTGGCATTTACTTCAACCCAAATGATAATACCTTTACTATGCAGGCACTCCACCTCCACCAACTCGTAACCCCATTTACGTACTTGCACTGACATAATCATTTACTTACATCATTTACTTACCTATATACCTCATTACATTTATCATATCTTATATGCAAAGTGCATGACAAGGTGGGAATGGGACCTGAAAAGGCTGTCAGTGGGTTGACATAGTAAGCAAGAGAGTACCGAGGTACTGAAATGCTGGAGTGCCACCCCAAAAGGTGATACACACCGACAGTGACTGCTGGACCACGGAAAAAACGTTACATATATGAGTTGAATATGACTGTTACATGAAATGACAGTGGTCTTTTTGGCTGTTGCAGCTTCTTTCCTCTTTTGTGCCAGCCACTCTTCTCTTGCAATTTGTCCAGGGTCAAAGGGGCTGTACCTTTGTCCCATGAACTGTGTATATATGTCCGGCGGACAACATAGGTTCACTGCTTATTTTGCAGGTGTATGTCTTTCTCTCGTTGGCTTTCTTTCCAGTCTTTTTGTGCCTCCACTTTGTGGTCCTTGACACCTTTGGTCTTCACATCAACCTCCGAGGCAACGGCTTGGGGTGGAGCTGATGGGCCAACCTCGGCAGGAGGAGGAACCGGAGAAGATGTAGTTCCCCGTACCCTTGCCTCTCCACTGGTGTCTGGGAATCATGAGGATGAGGTGGTGGTTCTGGTGGCTCTTTCGGCTGAGTGTTAACCTCAGGCAGTTTCTCGGCTGTGCAGGGCTGGACTGTTGGCAACTTCAGTCCCTGCAAGAGAGTCCGAACCTCACTCACCCTCGATGTATCTTTGTACCACTTAATTAGTGTGGTTTCATTGATATGAAATAGTGTCAGGCCAGTCCTCTCCAACAGAGCTTCGCTGTTAAGTAGCCGAACTCTGATGTTGTTGTACTCAGAGAGGACAGCCTTCCACCTTGAAGTGTACACCTGCCGTCCGCTAGGCAATTTGCTCTTTGTTGATTTTATCACACAGCCGTAAGCAAATCGCCTCAACGATGCGGCTTTTTGAAGGCGAGGAAGCTGGTGATCCAGCCGAAAGAAAGCACCTGAAGATTGGAAAATGTGGCTACACAATTAAAATTAGCTGCTGAAATGTGATTGAAATTAACCTATTTTCGTGTCTTCCACACTCATATGCCCAGATTGCTTGTTTCGGGCTAATCTGCCTCGGGATGGCCTTTGGCGACGAGGGTGGAAGAAGATTGGCCGCTTGTTGTAGTCCACCTGTCTTTTTGTGTCTCCACTCTGTGGTCCTTGACACCTTTGGTTGCGTCTGGCAAAGGGGCAGTACCTTTGTCCCCTGAACTGTGTGTGTCCAGCGGACGACATTGATTCGCTGCATATTTTGCAGGTGTATGTCTTTCTCTCGTTGGTTTTCTTTCCAGTCTTTTTGTGCCTCCACTCTGCCCTTGGCAGATAGACTGGTACAGAGGTACTAAAATGCAGGAGTGCCACCCCAAAAGGTGATATACACCGACAGGGACTGCTGTTCAGACTTTGGCTCCTAAAAATACAGAGTATATACTCTTCAAGGACTGGGGTGAGGAGCTTCGTGTACGCCTTGACATTTGCCACTTCATGCTCCGACTCGCTGGTGGTGTCACATCAACGGAGTCCCATCCACTCTATGGAACTCTGATGTCGATTCTCGAGGGAAAGCCTTACAGAACCACAATGAAGCTGGATTGAGATTTTCATGCACTGTTGTGAATGTACAGAGGGCTGCACAGGCCAGCAAACTAATTCACCCCATCCTAAAACGTGGCCACTCTCGAAGATGTCTATGGCCATCTTTGAGTGGGACATGGGGGACTTCACATCTCTTCTGGGGAGGCCAAGAAAGGAGAGCTGGCGGCGTCAGGGATCTCCAACCCTTGGGAGAAGTTGCGAGGAAGGCGATCACCAGAGAGGAGCTCCTGAAGCACTGCTGGCGGAGAACCGGGGGAGTCGAGGAGAGAATCCAAATCATCGAGCAGCTCCTATATAATATGTAGGCAACAGACACACTCTATAGGAGTGCACTTCTCTGAAGGAGGAAGTGAGGTCCATCTGGGGTGAACAGAGAAAGCATGTCCCATGCAGCGGGTCGAAAAGGTGTCTGAATCTCTGCATAAGAAGAGAAAGCGGCGGACTGAAGATGGAAAGTATGTCTTCCCTACTGGCATCTCCTTGTATTGACTACATTATACTAGTTGTGGTGACTTTCATCCGTGAATATCATTAAAGTGCTGCAATAGGATTTATGGAGTCTTGATATTAAGTCATCATTAATTTTATTGATTAGTATATACAATGTCATACTTGTAATGCAGGTGAAAAAAGATTGAGAAATGGTATTTGTGAAAATGAAAATGCTAAAGCAGTTTGCTTGGTCTTGTATACAAATTGGAGGGTCTTTACGTCACTGCCACAACTGTATATATAAAGGAAAAGATGGAGCATAATATTATTTTACATCATACACATAGACTGTGTGTGTCAGAAAACTTTGAAGGTGGAATAGCCATCTGTGAGAGTGTATATAGGTGGGTACAAATTTGACCAATAATTTTCTGTGTGAAATAATTATTCGTGATCGCCTCTAAAGTATATATCCGACTAGACGCAAGGTTCCTGCTATATAATTATATACAGTAAGATGGTAGAGATGAGTCAGAGACCTTACCATGTCGTTGACACATACAACCAGGTTTAATTCCTGCTCTACAGTAAGTATTAAAAGAGACCTTGATCATGTTGTCGATGGCTCCTGAGAAGATGCGGCCACCTGAGGCCAGGAGACATGTCACACTGCCCTCGTGGCGGACTAGGGTCTGGGCACACATCATCAACTCCAGGTTCCACACCTGCAGACAGCAGGGGAGGGAGGGAGGGAGAACAAGGCTAGAAAAGATGTGTAGAGATCCTTAGTTAGAGTATGGGTAGATTAGCATTGCATATGGCCTTATACTACCAAAACAGGCCAACCTATAGTTGTCTGAATTGTGCAAATTTTTTTAGACACCCACTGTCCATACTGCAATAAAAATTGAACTGCTGAGAAATTTCCTAAAGTTCATTCTATGTTCCAGTTTCTATAATACTGTGTGACTGTAAATATCTTACTCTGATTGTCTTGTCATAGCAGGCACTGAACAGTCTCTCTCTACCAGGCGTGTTCAGAACTGCCAGTGCATACACAGCCCCAGTGTGTCCTGCAGTAAGTAGCACATACATACATACGTATACATCCAGCAATACAACAGCCAAACCAGGTAGCCAAGGTGTATGTTTAAAGTGAGAATGCACGTTGGCAAACATTAAAATGGAGGGTTTTTCTAATGTCACACAAAAACCATTTGTACCAAACCAATACCAAAGCAACGGGAACTTTAAGAGCTACATAGCAAGCTCTGCACAATGGAGTAAAGGGTAATGAATTCATTGGAGGAGATCAACCAACATGCATTCAGATGGACTATAGGGTAGGCTCTGCTGAGGTTTGTGGAGATGAAGTAAAGTCTTGAAGGCTGCTGACCTGTCAATGTGCCTTTCTCTTGCAGAGTCCGCACATCCCACACCTACATACATGTACACATCAGCAAAGAGATTGAGTGTGAACCCAACAATGCGTTATGTAGTATGTAACACTTCAGCTGCTTTTCACAAGTTGCTTGCCCCATCTATCCTTTCAAGGGTGCGACGGGCCAATGCGTCGTACTGTGAACCCAGCCTAACTCCTACCTGTATGGTGTTTTCGTAAGTCCCACAGATGATATCCTTGTTGGTGATGGCAAGAGAATAGACACTTGCTCCCTTGCACTTCAGGACATGAGCCACCTCCAAACTCTCAAGACTCCACACCTAGCAGCACCATTGTTGAAACACACACAAATCAATGCTGTGGGAAGCTCCTGCCCAATCACCAGTTTTATGTGTTGTCAGTTTTAGGTATTCACGAGCAATACATTTACATTGTGTGTGTGTGTGTGTGTGTGTGTGTGTGTGTGTTTGCCATACATACGTAAAAGAAAGTTCACAGATTAAAGTGGGTAGTTTGCAACCCTGTAAACTGGCAGCTATAGTACTGTGCTAATGGCAGTATAGTGCAGTATGCATAGTACTGTGCTAATGGCAGTATATATACAGTGGTAAATGGCAGTATACTGTGCTGAGACAGACTGTGTCAAGGCAGATGGTGTACTGTGCTGACCTTGACTGCCTGGTAGGAACCGGAGTAGAGGTATTTCCCTGAGACCTGGAGGCTCCGCACCCAGTGGTTCTGAGTCGGCAGAGTCTTCACCAGAGAATAGCTCTTCCTGTCCCACACCTGCAACACCACACAACATGTCCTCATCCTTAGGTACAATACATTGATGTCCAGAAATACATGCATATTATACTACCACCATTGGATGTTAAGAAGAGATAACTGACTCCTGTCAGGATATGACTTCTACTGAGAAATACGCAAACGGAGCATGAGAGACATAGAATGTTCTAATGGTAAACCTTGATGCTCTTGAGGGAGCCACTGAGAAGGTAGGTATCGCTGGCTGACAGGGTGCAGACTGGGTCGTCGTGAGCCTGGAACGAGACGTCGATCTTGAAGGTGTCCAGATTCCAAACCTTTACCGTCAGGTCGTTGGAACCACTGAACAGGGTCTCACTGTATGTATGAATGAACACGTGGAGCGGTGGACAGGGGAAACGCTAGGCACGGGATAGCGATGTAAACGTCTCCTTCTTGCTCTTTGTTCTGGTCATGCATGCTGCTTTTTCCCCAAGTAAAAAACATTTTAAAAACCATAAACACACTGTGTAAGCTAAGTGAACTGGTGTTATGAATAAGTACACGATGGATAATGTGCACTTTCATGATTTACGAACTATCCCACAAAAGTCTTCTCTAAGAAATGTTGATGGGGGAAATATTTGTATCCCATGGTTTGCCTTTCTTTTGTTTTCTTGTGTCTCACACTTTTATTTTATTCGTCATGTCATAGTCTTATCCCTCAAAAATTATATTTAGCGAACTAAAAAAACTGCACCATTGGCTTACTTGTGAACAAAGAGAGCGAGGACAATGTCAGCGTGACCAGTCAGAGTCCGAGGTCCAGCATATGTGGCACTCAGGTCCCAGACCTGTATACAGTCACACACTAAGTTCAGCAGTACTTAGTGTATACACCCATCACTATACAAAGTACTACTGTTCTTAGTGATAGGGATTGGCATGGTACCTAGCATCATAGGAGTATGGGGCTATAATACCCATCACTATACACAAAGTACTACCGTTCTTAGTGATAGGATGGCATGGATACCTAGCATCATAGGAGTATGGGGCTATAATACCCATCACTATACACAAAGTACTACCGTTCTTAGTGATAGGGATGGGCATGGTATATACCTAGCATCATAGGAGTATGGGGCTATAATACCCATCACTATACACAAAGTACTACTGTTCTTAGTGATAGGGATGGGCATGGTATATATATACCTAGCATCATAGGAGTATGGGGCTATAATAGGGAGTTTCTCAGTGGGTTAATCACAGGATATTCACTGCTAGGTGAATGCAGTGGCAAGCGGGAGTATAATTAAGGATACTCACTATGATAGGAGAACCAATGACGTATGTATTATACTGGTATACTAAAGGGAGATTTTACTAACAATGGAACTGCCCAGTGCAAGAGTGCAATTAGATTTTGATTCTTCCTAAATTTAGCCTTTAACCCTTTGGACGCCATGGGTATCTCCTTTATGTGTCCCGTGGCTGGTTAAGTGTTAAATACTGCCACATTTTGCCCGAGGGAAATAGTACGTACCTTGATGGTGCAGTCAGCTGAGGCGCTGAAGATCATGTCATTCAACTTGGCCAGTGCCCACACTGGACCCTGTAGACACACGCAGCAGGCAACTATCAAACTACACACACCACACACCGTTGGTTTAGGTCTGACCTTGTGGCCGACAAAGGTCCCCTGGCACTTGTAGAGATGCTGCTGGTCCATCACTGGACGGGACAGAGATGACTCTTAAACGGTGCTCTACTAGTCATAGTTTTTTGTGTGTGTTGTGTGTGTGTGTGTGTGTGTGTGTAATACATACTAGTGTTGCTAAACTGAGGCCAAGGGTGTGAATGTGTGACGCTACCGGCCTTGCGAGTGACTACACTAGCTAGGCTCATCTTTCCCGACTCTGACTGAGTCTCAAATCTGATCTATTCTCCACAAGCGTCATACACTATTTATACAAATGATTACGTAATGCATGGTATGACTCACGTCCAGTTACTCCCATCTGTTGTCTGAACACCTTCAACTCCCTCTGTAGATACTATATTATACACAAAAAGTAAAATAGATGGTTTATCGGCCTAACTATATATATACTGCACTCTAACGAACCTATCGGTCGGTCTAACGTTACCAATGTACAACACCAAAAGCAACAGTGGCTCACCATCATGATGGAGAGGCTTTTCTTGGTGAGAGACAACTCGGTGCTGAGCTCTGACTGCTGCTTCTCAAGATACTCTGCACCCATTAATAAACCCCACTTCACACACACACACACTCACACACACAGTACACACACTCCCTCACCACACACACACACACACACACACACACACTCCCTCACCAAATCTGCCTGATTCAACGGACGAGGATTTCTCTACATCCTCCAGTCGAGAGGTGAGAGTGGCCAGAGAGGAGGAGAGAGTGTGAACGGTGCTGTCTCTCTTCTCCAGCTCCCCCTCAACATCTTCACCTCTCCCTCCACCTGCTGCAGGAAACCCTGCACCAACAGTCAGAACAACACCACAAAAGGAATTGAGAGAGAGAGAGTTACGCTGGGTTCACAATAATGTCGCATTCCCCCTGTCGTGCCGTGCTGCGTTGCATCACGCTGCGAAGATAGAAATTGATTCTATCTTGTGATGAGCGGTGCGGCATGGCGCAATGGGGCAATGCGACATAATATTGAGAACCTAGCCTAAGAGACATGGAAGAAAAGGGAGTGAGTAACAGAGTGTCAACGTAACGCAAGTGAGCATTAAACCAGAAGAAGTAAAATTAAAAAAATAGTGTCCATAATATTTATACCTTGACTCCCTCATATTTGCAAGTGTTGAGATGACCCTCTATTTCTTCAGGAGTTCCTTGAAACCGACAGCTACATAAAAAACATTTCGGGGCATCACTACAAGAAATAGTCGCACACAAGTAGACTCACTTGTACTTGTAGTGAGGGCATCGCTGGTACTGACATGTCTTCCTATGTTCATCCAACTCCTGAGAACAAAAAACTATATATATATATAGCCGGGAAAAAGATCGGGGTTTTTAAACCATTTCGTTTGCTACTGAATCATGTAATCGTTCTCCCTTTGCCCACTTGGTATTCGAATCAGGTACAGGATCGAATGGGTAGAGTCACAGAGTAACAGAGAAGGGAAGATAGAAAGTGAGCTATCTGACTTACAGAGCGCAGCATCTTTCCACAGACTGAGCTGTTGGGGCAGTAGACTGGAGCATATCCACATTCCTTCTCATGCTCCCTGTGAATTATTGGACATCACAACATGACGTATGTATGTACTTCTAGCTTTCCTGCAGTATATAACTTACCCCCGCTTGCCCAGCTTAATCTTAGCAGGGCACCCTGCAATAACAGAGATTAACCAATAGCACCATGGTATAACTATATCTATACTAGATGAGAGGTGTGATGCTACATAAGGACAAGGAATTCGCAGATTGACCATGCCACACACACACGACACACACTGACACACGTACGCACCGTTTGGATCCACCTCAAATGTCCCCAGAGCGCTGGCCAGTTTCTGCAGCCGTATCGACAGTGAATCGAGTAGTTCTCCTACTTCTTCTGCCACCTGCGAAACACACACACACACACACACACACAGGAGAGCGAAGATATCAGTTAGTTGCAGGGAAAGTTTCGAAACACTTACGGCCAGATTCCTGACTAGTAGAGAGAGTTTTGTGCTGTCCATAGGACACACTGAGGAGTATAGAAACCATGCTGCATTATGCTAATGTAATAAAGACTGCTTATAGGTATGACAGCATGCACTCCATAATCAGTTGTAAAAAAACTAGCACACAGGTAACCTACTCTTATGAACCATGACACTTGCAAGATGGCATAAAATCAGTGCGTTGTTATATACCTTCTGTGTCTGCTGATGCACATCTTCTACAGAAGGTATGCTGTGTGTTAGAGTGGGGAGATCTAGTCAGAGCAACAATAAGTGGGTCAGGATTTCTAGTGCTCACCCCACAAGAGGTAATGTGAGGGTCGTGATAGATCTGGTTGCACAGGGCACAGAACACTTTTAGGCTCTTCTGGGACTCGTCTGCAAGGAGCGTTGCCACCTGCATGTAGAGCGAAACCGCGCTAGCAGACGGGCCAGGGTGTGTCTCGCACTCTCGCTCAACGACAAGCCATTACGCAAGAATAGATATATCAGGCCTTGCTTTTGGGTTAGTACAATACTCACGCCACCGTCTTCTGTGCTGTCCCATGACTGAAAGTGTCCTGACATGTCCCCCGCTTCGGGTAATAGAGAGTTGGCTGAGGTGGTTTAGCAGCGCCGCTTTACCCGCAGGGGAATTCCTGTGCTGACTCAGCGCTCCGTGGCCATGCCGTCATGTTTATACACGTGGCCCCGCGGTGGCCGTCTGCGCTCTATATAGAAAGAACGAGAACGCTCGTACTCTCTCCTTGTGTGTGCCCTTCTGTTCTAAGTGTTTTACGACGGTGTCAGTAAAGATGGAAGTGGAGCAACCTCAAGCTACGGCTACGGCTCACCCTAACCAGGTAATCACCGGCAGCTTTAGTGCGGTAGTAGGGAGCTACACTTTGCCTGTTTCTGTCATAATCCCAGGAGTATATAGATGACCTGGACCGACTCCTGAAAGCTGCAGCTCACCCGAGGTCCGTGGCGCTGCTCCAGAAGGCGCTGGAGGAGGCCGAGAGAGAGGCAGTGGGGAACGGAGCTGCCAAAGACAGCAAATCAGTCACCAAGCAGCGGACAGCTGGAGTACCTGTGACTCGATCAACACACAAAATCAGCCAGTATGGTAAGACCACTGGCAAACCGAGTGTCAGTATGGGCAGACTCACTTCCTCAGCACACAACACTGCACCATTAATTTGTCGTTATGTATATGTTTGCACTCTGCTCAAAGGCTGGGACCAGACTTCAAAAGTGATCAAGATATACATCACAAGCATCAGTGATCTCTCTCGGGCAAGTAACGACGACGTCAGAGGAAAGTTCAAGGACAAGTGAGCTCAGCAACTGGTCCATGTTTTTGCTTGCTTGCATTGCGTCGTGCAACCTAATCATTTGTAGGTCGTTTGAAGTGGAGGTGAAAGCCCCAAAGGGTAAAGTGTACAGTTTAGTGATCAGCGATCTCTTTGAGCCCATTGTACCGGCGGACAGCTCTGTCAAGGTACGTGGACTTTTGGCAAACGGCTGTCAGCTCTCACTGATCTGTGGATAATGATGTCATGTGTACGTATGTGTGTGTGTAGCTAAAGAGTGGGACGGTCATTGTGACTTTGAAAAAGAGTTCAACTAAGGACTGGTCTTGTCTGACGGCCATTGAAAAGAAGCTGAAAGATGCCAGAGAGTGAGTCTGCCCTCCTCGTCTCAGTTTCTCTCCCCTTCTCCCCTCCCTTCATCCTTTCCTTGCTTCTTCTTCCTTCTCTCCCTCTTCCCTTTCTCCTCCTGCCCCCCCCCCTCTGTCTACTGCTTGAACTCATCAAAATGTACATATATACAAACAGGCCAAAGACACCAAAGATGGACAAGAGTGAGGACCCCAGGGCAGGTCTGATGGGACTCATGAAGCAGATGTACCAGGACGGAGACGACGATATGAAGAGGACCATCGCCAAAGCCTGGCACGAGTCGCAAGAGAAACGGGTGAAAGATCCTGGTCTTCCAGAGATCTGATCTCCATACATCCGAACTCTCGCACGACAAAACATGTATATATTATATCACACTTGCTGAACTAGTTGTTTTTGATTTTTTGTAACGTTCATGCCATGCCGATGCTAAAAAAATCATGATGATTACAAGTGCAGTATAGAAGAATTATGCCACCGAGTGGGTATATAATTGACACAGAACTTGGCTAAAATGACGCGATGTGATGTAAATGAGGTTAAATGGACTCCTATTATAACAGAGTGGTAGGTGATTATACAAAAGTAGAGTGTGAACACCTGTGTAAAAGGATTATAAAACAAGCTGTGAGACGAGAAAGAAGCCACTAGTGCCAGGAAGGCTTATATGGGCTTCTCGGGTACAATGCCATAGAGTCTGACCAGCCAGTTGTAGCTAAGTCGACTGCAGATGGTCACTAGGAGTGTGGCAACTAGCAGGACGAGCGTTAGCTCTAGTAGCCACTGCCGCCGGGCCGGGGACGAGTAGTACACTGTGGGTGTGCCGGGAGTGAGGGTGTGGGGAGTTGGGGGACGGTGTGAGGGAGGAGGAGCGGGTAACTGTCCGACTCTTCGGGGTAGAAGCTCTCTCTCGCACTCTGTCCCTCTGTTGTTTTGTTGCGATATTTCCCTCACTCCTGATTCTTCCACGAGTGTGTTGTCGTTCCCAGATGCCGCGTTGTGTCCTAGTGCCACTTGCGTTGCATCCTCGCCCTCACCCTCTCTCCCACCGTCTGCCTCACTCTCGCCATCTTCTTCCTCCTCCTCTTCTTCAACTTCCTCCCCGGAACTGCTCTCTTCTTCGTCTCTTTCCTGGCCGGGCGCACCAACTGGGAGCTTCGTTTTCGCTCTCTCCGCTCCCTTCCCCTCTCTCCCACTCCTCAAAACCTCCTCTCTCCCACTCTCCGGACTCGTTCTGGGAGTCCTCCTCAGCTTCAAGGAACACCGCGTCCCGTCCATAGTCTTCGCATCCCTGGAAAAACGGGAGTAAGAGTTCCGCTAGTAGAGTTACCGATCTTGGAGGCTTACCTGTGCCATAGCTACTGCGGCCCCACTCATAGCGCCACCAGTTAGCCACCGGGTCGCGTGCTCTAGCGACAGCTTGTTTTCTCAAAGCCCGAAAGTGCTGAGCACAGAAGCCGCGAGGTTATTTTTTGTCGCACTGCGCGTTAATTGGAATTGAGCCTCGTCCCCTCCATGCCACACACACTGCAGAAATGGTGAGCTTGTTGGAGTGCTTGTTGCGAGCTTGTTTCAGAGTTTGCAAACTGCATATTCTCCCTGCAGGCTGGACTTGAGTACCTCTCACCCGAAGGTCAGTGCAAGATAACATTATTCATGCTCCGTGGCGCTTGCAGAAGCACAATGCTTAGCTACTCTGTTACCTTACCCATCTCGTCATTACTGACTTGGTTACATTCTCTACACACAGGTCTGAGAGTGGATGGTCGTCGTCCTCCAGAGCTAAGGAAGTTGCAGTGTAGACTTGGGGTGTCCAGGCAGGCCGATGGCTCAGCTTACCTTGAACAGGGGAACACCAAAGTGCTGGCCACTGTCTATGGTCCACATGATGTGCGTATGCAACTAAACCCACCTTTTACTCTCAGTTGCTTCCATATCTTGTGCATGTGTATTTTGCTGAGTTACACCCCGTTTGACATGTGGAACTCCTCTCTCTGAAATGAGGACACCTCTCTAATAGGACCAATTTCTCTCCCCCAAGAACGTTACTTGCCACTTTTATATGGACACTTTCTTCTGTCCCATTGGGGTCTGAATTAGAGGGGTTCAACTGTAGCACAATTTGGTGTGAGTTGATGTTTCTCATTTCGTCTGCCATGGTATTGATTATATAGGTGAGCCGAAAATCTCAAGCCCTGCACGACAAAGCACTGATCAACTGCCAGTTCAGTATGGCCACATTCAGTGCCTCAGAGAGGAGGAAGAGGACCAGGGGAGATAGGTAAGTCAGCACCCACCATAACTGACGGTATCCTGCTCGTGTGTGTCTGTCACTGTGTATGTGTGTGTGTTGTGCTCTCGCTTCCGAGTGAGAGTATACTGTGCCATAGCAAAGTGGCTTGAAGTTATCCTTTTTATTGTGTTGTATTGTGTTTATTTGAACCCCATACTAGCTTAATTGCCATGGTAGAGCACTCACTCGCTTAGACTGCAGAGTGTCGTGGGATCAAATCTAATCCGGGGCCGGTGCAGCTCTTCTTTTCCTTACCGAAAAAGAGTTGTCTTGGGTGTAGTTGACTTGTTTGCTTTGCCTTTACCTTTCCACCTCGTTGCTGTTCACATGCAGGAAGTCGGTTGAGACGTCCCTTGCTCTGAGGCAGATGTTTGAGAGTGTCATAATGAGAGAGCTCTACCCACAGTCCAAGATTGATATCTACATTCAAGTTCTACAGTCAGATGGAGGTACTTAATTATGCAACATAGTTGAAGGATCGGAACCTTTGAGGCAATATTTGCGCATGAAATTCTCAGTTGAAAATAGCATATTTTCCTGCAGTGAATGTACACATATATATGTACGTATGTGCCGTGAGTTATTGATTGGTTGCCAACGGCTGTTGCGATTGTGTGTCTGTTGCAGGTAATAGATGTGTGTCCATCAATGCCGCCACCATGGCGCTTATTGACGCCGGGATACCGCTGAAGGACTTTGTGTGTGCCAGCAGTGCTGGCTACATCGAGGACACTCCTCTACTAGGTTGGTGTATGGTGGAACCCCTCTCTAGGGACACCCCTGAATTGAGGGCACCTCTCTAAGAAGGAGACCGTTTCGCTCCCCAGGGACACTTGTATTTAACCAGGCCACCTTTTTCTTTGTCCCATTGCAGTCAGTGTGTGTAGATTATAGGTTTTCCACTGTACATATACAGAAGAGAGACTTGTTGTGTCATAGATTTGAACTATCTGGAGGAGACTGCCGGAGGTCCCAACCTCACACTGGCTCTACTGCCCAAATCGAACAAGATTGTTCTAGTGCAGGTTAATGATTCAGCATCACTAATAGTAGAGCACCAAATGGGAACACAGCAAGGAACATTACCCACCCACTTCAGAACACCACCATTACAATAGTCCACCCACACACTATATATGACCATGAAGGTCCTAAATGCAATGTATTGCAAAAGGTTCCTAATGCATTCATTATACTGTAGCGAATATCGGAGTATATAGATGTTTTACTGTTTGCCTATACAGATGGACTCAAGACTGCATGCTGATCACCTGGAGAAAGTAATGAACACGGCCATCACCGGAATCTCAAGGGTCCACGCGATACTAGACAGAACTGTCAAGGAGCACTTGCAGAAGACCATAGGCACCATTACAGCTTAGAAGAAAGTGATTATTCGTCTCAACTCATCTCAATTCTTTCACATGTAAATATCTCTATGGTGATTAATGTCATGAACAAGACTGTATATTATAGTGATGTGAATGTGGAGATGCAAAGTAGGCTGGGAAAAGGCGAGTGAAATACACCTTGTTCAAATTCCCAGTGTCACAAAATACAGTTCATGAGACTATAATAGTGAACTCTCTACGTGGTTGATGAAGGCGTCCAGACCTGCATCTTGTTGAATCTGCGGTAGCACAGAGAGTGTCCGTGCTCTCTGTACTCAGCTAGAGTCACTGGTACCAGGTGTCCCGGCTTGCTGCTTGCACTCGCCAGCGTGGCCCCGCCCAACCAGGCGTAACTGGGCGGAGCCTCGGGGACGGTCACATTCACATCGTAGTCGTCGGGCGCAATTTTTCGGACTTCGCTCAGGACTCTAGTCTCGAACCCTGGAAACAGGGCGTTTCCCCCGGTTACGATTATGTTTGCGTATAGGTGAGGGTGCATGGGGGCTGGGGTGAGGGAAATAGAGTGGGCGATGGCCTCGGGTATCCCCATCTGCTCTATGCCGATGTTGGACGGGTGGAAAAGTATCTCCGGGATAGAAAAACGCTCGTTGGCCAGTTTCAGACACTGTTCGTCCGTCTGTTGATTGTGCTGCTGCTGCTGGTGTCCAGATTTACCAACAGGTTCTCTCAGAGAGCCTCTTCTCCTATTGGTGAAGTCTGGAAGTACATACTCTCGTAGTATTGTATTGGCACTCCCCTTTTTTCGAGATGTGTCCATGTCTCTGAGAAATTCCTGTGACACGTAGCAAGAGTCTTCCTTGACCTGATTCATGACGTATGTTTCGTCCATGACATGCAACTGTCGGTAGGACACTATCTCCTTCAGATAGTTTGTGAGCAGTTTTCCTCCAACGTCGATACGTTTTACTCCCTTCTCAACGATCTTGCCCCTGTAATAAGGGACTATATGGGTGAACGAGTAGCCAGTGTCCACCACTAGGCAGCAGAGAGAAGAAGGGTGCGCCTGCTGGTAGAGAAACGAAGAGTAGGAAGGGGCGGGGAGACGAAGGAGCGAACTGAACTTGTACTCTTCGAAGAAAATCTCGTTCATGGTGTCCTGAATAGAGCGGAAGTTGTAGACGGGTTCGCTGACGACGAGAGAGTGGGTCTCAGATTGGAGGGCCATGACGGCCTCGCCCAGAACGTAGTCCCAAACCTGTCGCTGGGTGTCCCAGTTCACCAGATGGCCTCTCTGGAACGGCAGCACGTAGTAGAGCCCCGACAGGTCCTTGCACTCCTCCAGTTGGTCTCCAATAAAGTTCTTACGTCTCTCAGCCTTGGACCTGTGCACAAAATCACAATTTATGATCTGCAGATTTCACCCTAATCTGGTGGAAAACTGCACCTGGTTATGCAGTTTGGTATGAATTTCGGCTCCTGGTCGCTAGCCACCCCTACTTTTAGGCTGTACGCTCCGTTGTCCAGCACAACAGTAGCTGCCATGGCTCTTCTGATCTTGAGCAGTACGGAACGTAGACCGCGAGGGAGACGGATTCAGGCCGGAATGGAATATTGAACTCTGTTCGTTAAAATAGAGAGAAGTCTTCACTCTTGCGCATGCGCTTAACGCAGGTGGCATTTTTTGTGGGTCGTCAAAGACAAGACAGAGGGAAAATGGCGCAGAACAACGACTTAGCAGAAGCTATTAGAAAGGCCAGAGAGGTATGTACTAGGTCCAAAAGCTTTAAAGGCCATTTTGGAAGTGGAATATGACCGTTTGTTTCCGTTGGTCGTAGATGGCGGCCAAAATGACGCCGGGCATCGTGGCCGCGGCAGCCGCTCAGCAACAAGCCAACGGCAATGGAGGTAGGTTCTCGACCGCTCACATCCGTACCTCTATCATACTTGGTGCCTTATTCCAGATATGAACTCCAGGAAAAGGCCACATGATGAAGGTGGAACAGGAGGTACTGTATTGCCTCCCAAAGGGTCTAAAATAAGATATAGAGCCACGTGTATTAGTGCGCCTATGGGGGTGTGGGATGGCATTTGCTTGTAATACTGAATTAAGTAATTGGCATTGTGATTGGTCGATTCCGTGGTAGGCATTTATGTCCGTGTTGGTGGATACGATGGGCTTTTTCATACATGTTTTATGTGTGTGCGTCTGTCTGTGTGTCTGTTCTATGTGTGCCGACTAGATGACGGTCCACAAGTTAAGAAACTGTCGATGGAAGACCCCCAGGCTGTTGCGCAAGCAGCCATTGCTAAGTTCGTTGACAAGTATGTGTGTGTGTGTTGTATGTATGTCTGTGCCACATGGCATGTCTGTGCCACATGTGGGAGAGAGCCGGTCTACACGTGTGTTTTTGTGTTCTTTTTCCTGGTCAGAGTCGGAGCACAACTGGGCCTGCCGCATATGATGACTGTTGAGATCAAGATTCCCAATCGGATGGTTGGCCTGGGTAAGGTGTATGTTGGTGTGTATGTGCGTGGGTGTGTGAGTGCATGTGTGAGGAAGGCATAGTTACGTAATACGTGTTGAATGGCTGAAAACTACTAAAGACAATCAAACTACTGGTTTACGTTCTCCTTGTGAAAGTTCTTGTTATAGAATGATTTATTTTGCCACAGTCATTGGCAGAGGAGGTGAGATGATCACAAGGCTACAGGCAGAGTCTGGGGCCAGGATTCAAGTAGCTCCAGGTAATCCCGTCCAGTGCTCATGCGATGCACGAAAGTGTCCATTTTCCCTAATTAATGCCCCCCTTTCAGATGGTTCGGAAGTGAGTGGAGAGAGACAGGTTACAATCTGCGGTACTCAGGACACCATCGAGTATGTCACTCACACCTCCCGAATATTTACCTGTACTTTTTTCACACCACACCACGTAGCAAGGCGAAGGCCCTGATTGGGAAAGTGGTGGAAGATGCTGGCGGTCAATTGACCAACATTCCCCTTGGATCTGCACTGGTACGTACAGTCCCAACTTCGTTTCGTGTCGCTAATGCTGTCCTTTTTTGTCTCTCTCTTTTACTCTCATTCTTCCTTAATTTCTCTTCTTCTGTCTGTCTGTTTGTCTGTCTCCCTCCCCCTCTCTACTCCTTCTATGTGTGTCGACTAAAGAGTGGTATGAGGGTGGTATGAGTGGTGGTATGAGTGGTGGTATGAGTGGTGGTGGGATGTCAATGTCAGGGATGGCAGGGATGGCAGGGATGATGGGTGGAGAGGAAGTAGCAGAACTTATGATCCCAGCAAACAAAGTTGGACTTATCATAGGTATGTACACACACACCACACAGCAACTGGTCTTGGTGCTATATGTGCATCTTATGTCTGTGTCTATTTGCCTGCAGGAAAAGGGGGAGAAATGATCAAAGCTCTTCAGGTATATATACCCACTGGTGTAAAACTGAACAGCAATGCCACCTTGCATCATTCACGGTTTTACACAACACTATTACAATATAGCCTCACACACACTTCTATTAGGTCACCTTCTTTTGAAGGACTGCGTGTCTGGTGTCCAACATTTATTAGGCGCTCAGCGCCCTTGCCTTGTGGTTTTCTGACGGATGTGTCACATAGTTGTGGTTGAGAGATAGGGAAGCTTATCTTTCCAGACTACTCTTATCTTTACTCCCCCTACTTCCTATAATATACTGCTGCAGGAGAAGGCAGGTTGCAAAATGCAGATGATTCAAGATGGACCGTACTCCAACGCACCCGAGAAGCCCCTCAGAATGAGCGGAGCCCCGGAGAACTGTAAGGTGGGTCTCCCCTGACTGATCGTCCGGATATTATGTCCACCTGCACAGTTTCTAAATGAGAACGGTAGCTGGATTGTGGTTGCCAAGATCTTTCAGTCCTAGCCCTGCAGTTTCTATGTGCCATTACACACGTATTACGCCATTTTATTGTGTTTTCAGAAAGCGAGAGAGCTGGTGTTGCAGCTAATGGAACAGAAAGAGTTGGAGGTATGGTGCAGGCTATTTTCCCTCTGTTTTGCAGTGCCACCTTATGGTAGTTTGGCTCACAGGCGAGAGGACTACTTGGCAGTGAGACTACTATGGCCGGCTCTGCTGGAGTCCCACACACAATAGAGGTACGTACATACATGCATACATACTGTACGTGTGCTTGACTGCACAGTGTTGTTACACTGGGATAGCTATACATGTATTTGACATGTTCGCCTTGCCTTGTCTATCTACCTCGCTACCAAGTTGTTGAGACGTGACTATTGAAGTTTTGTATATACACTGGAGAGCATTCAGCAAACTCACACACACACACACACACACAGATGACAGTAGAAAATGCCAATGTCAGTCGTGTGTATTCCATTTTCGGGTGTGGTCTATTTTCAAAGGGGATGAAATGTATAAAGGTGTATGGTGTTTCTATTAATTGCACAGATTCAGGTTCTGAAGCAGATGGTAGGCTATGTGATAGGACGTGGAGGAGAACACATCAACAACATTCAGAGTAACTGTGGAGTCAGACTCCAGTTCCAGAACGGTAACCTTTGCACCCTGACCTCTTACGGACTATAATACTACTGGGGTGTAGTGGGAAACGTTCGCGGGTGAAAGATTTTGCTTTTTCTGTTTCAACATTGTGCCACGTTTTCTCCACAGATGTGTTAGTGGAGACCTGTTATGTACTGTATAGGTTAGACCTTTTATAGGAGGGATAATGGTAATAACAGACAGTCTGTGCCACCCAAGTCTGTGCCACCCAACCCTAAACGTTCTCTTCTTCGAAAGTTTCTCACTGTATCATCGTACAATCACCTATATACAGTAGGAGTCAAATTTCGTTCCGTTTCTTTCCGTTTGCCGTTCACTATCGTTCCGTTCCGTTTCCGTTCAGCTGTGAATTCCGCGTGGCACACCCTCTGCAAACGCGGTAGAGACGAAATTGGAAATGTTTTTTTTATTTTTACCCCTACTGTATTGCACACATTAGGACAGCCATTTGGGTCTGTGTACTGTCGTACTGTGTCCATGGTATAGAGTTGACTGTGCAATACACAATACAATGCCTGCAGATGTTCCTGGTACTGACTATCGTATAGCTACCATCTCTGGGACTCCCGAGGGCTGTCAGCGAGCCAGGAAATGGGTGGACGACCTTGTGGCAGAGGTAAGAGAAGTTCCCATCTCCCAGACACCTGTATGCGGTGTACATTTTGTGGATTGGTATTTCTGTTGAAAGCAGCGCCAGAACCAGGGTTTCCGCCCGCGACTGGAGCTGCCCAACCCGACTGGGCCCGGGGTCCAGACCATTCAGTTTGGAGTGCCCAGCAACAAGTGTGGACTTATCATTGGGAAAGGTGAGCTGACGTTTACCCAGAATTGATGGAATAGTGACAAAACGTTAACAAAACCCGTATACTAGTGGGGGGTTTAGTACTACCAGGACACATTGTATACAAAAGTGAATGGGGAAAAGCAATATTGGTGTTGGTGGTGAAAAACTATGGCTATATCATCTGCTGGCCAAATTTAGCACACCTCACAGCTATAGGCAGGACAGAGCTAATGAGCTGGTTAATTTGTGGTTGGCATATTACTTTTTTCCACCATGAATAATGCATGATGTCATAGCACAAGACTTTGGTTCAAAACACTTAGGGAACAATGACCCATCACCAACAGACAATGGCACTGTCATACTAGTGTTTATCTTTTCTATGAGCGCTAACAGCTAAAAAGTGTTTTGTACTAGAATTTGTACAAAGATACCCTGTATGTGCGTTTTTGTGTTGTAATGGCCTAATGTGACGTCAGTAAAACCCTTTTTTGGAGGAAGACGTCGTTTTCTGTGGGTGAAGTGTTAGGGTGTCTTATGTACATAGAAAGGAAGTCCTTTTCAAAGCACACACACATTGCGACGTACCCAAGTTAGAAAATCCCTTGCCGTGTGTGCCTACGTGTAAAGGTGGAGATACGATCAGACAGATCCAGGTCCAATCAGGTGCCCACGTGGAGCTGCACCGAGGAACCCAGCCCAACCCGGACGAGAAACTGTTCAACGTTCGCGGGAACGCCCAGCAGATCCAGCTGGCCCAACAGCTCATTCGACAGAAGTACGAGAATGTTCCTGGTAGTGGAGCCCCTCAGTATGGACCCGGGTACGTGTGCGTACTGTATATATCTTGTACAATGTGTATAATTATGTAAGCCTCCACTGATTAGTACAGCCCCCGAGAGATTAATAGTGGAAGTGGCTTATATAGAGCCCAATAAATACTAAGGACCCTTCATTCATTTTTCGTTTTAGAATACGTGTCTGCTCTTTGCAATGCTTTAACTAAAGGGATCTTTGGCCTTACCTCGTGCATGGAGTCTAGTGTCTAGCGATATTTAAGACTTTCTTTCATTGTACTGGGTTTTTCACTTGGTATGGGTGCATGTCATGATTGTTCCCTACTGTGTGTGTGTGTGTGTGTGTGTCTGTCTGCAGCAGTCCCTACCAGGGAGCCCAGGTGTTTGGAGCCCCACAGGGAGCCATGTACGGAGGACCTGGAGGCGCCCCCGCGGGAGCTCCCTGGGGCGGCCAGTACCCCTACCAGCAGGCTGCTGTCGCTGCCGCTGCCCAGGGCCAGCAGCAGACAGACCCCAACCACCAGGCTGCCTGGGCATCCTACTACCAGCAGCTGTACGCGGCCCAGGCTGCTCAGGCACAGGCTGCACAGGCACAGCAAGGAGCCCAGCGTTAGTTCAACTTTTGTACTATACACATACAGTACAGTAGTGAAGAGCCTACCATTAGTTCAACTTTTGTACTATACACATACAGTACAGTAGTGAAGAGCCTACCATTAGTTCAACTCTAATGCTACATATGTACAAAGACCCCTACAATCAAGTGTTATAGGTCGACATATAATGCTTGGTACATACTTTTAACAACGTTTGCTGCTTTTTTTGGTGTTATTTTCTTGTCAGATTCTTGTAGATGGTATAATCAGGTGCACTACGTGTTTGTCTTAGAAGATAGTGTTCCTCTCAATGCACACACACACTCTGTGTCCCGATCAGCTCCAGCAGGAAGCCAGCAGCAGCAGCAGCAGCAGCAACAGCAACAGATGGCGGGGGCAGGAGCCACACCTTCCCAGGAGCAGGTCCAGGCCCAGTGGGCAGAGTACTACCGACAGATGGGCTATTACTACCAGCAGACCGGCCAGCCAGGCCAGCAGCAGCCGGGCCAGCAACCTCCCCCTGCCGCTCCCGACAACAAGGTGTGGGGGGAAATAGTTTCTGTAGGAATGTAGTCCTTTGTAACTTTTTCTAAGTGCTTACTTCACGTGGTTTCTGCAGACGCAAAAAATAGAAAGAATGTCGTGGGATTGGTTTTTTATCGCTTTTATTAGTTGCGCGTGCACAGTTACACGCTGGGGTGGGCTATAAATAGAAAATTCCTGCGAGTCTAATAAATTGCAAACTGCGGAATAGCTTAAACCGGTCTTATAGTATCGAGTGGTGTTAGTAGCCTAAATTAGTAGCCTAAATTTAGAATGGGTGTGCCTCGAACATTTGACACCGTAAGGTACTATTTTCTATGACTTGTGTGTTTCCTATATATACTGGTGTGTGTTTGTGTGTATGTGTGTTCTCTTCTCAGTGATTGGTTGCCCTCTGCTCGTATTGATTTGAAAATCTCTGCACTCTATTGCATCTATGCCATTGCTGTTGCTGCCCTGTCTGCATCCAAAATGAACCTGTATTATTGCACTCCACATATCACCCCCCTACACACACCGTTATTTGACTGTATGCCACTATTCAGTTACTTCACTATCTAGCATTATGTTGTATATTGTATGTACATATCATCCGTGCACAAAGGAGGACAGTAAGAGAGGAAGGGAATATTATTATATCATTGTGTATTATTTCGTATGGTGTTTTAGGGTTGACTTGTGTGTATTAGGGTTTGAGTAATTTCTCTCTGGTGTCTGTCCCTATGATAGCTGCATGCCTGAAAGGGTGTTCCACTAATTGGTCCTGAGGGACAGGGGCTTTCCCACACCCACCCACCCTCCCCTCCCCGCACTGCACCCCTAACAATCCTGCAACCTGATTGGCTGCTACCCGGCAACGAATCAGGTGATCCCACCGTTGTTGTGGTGTGACATGCATTCCTGATGATATCGCATAGATGAATGATGTAATGCTTATGTCATTGTTAAGCTGACTGTGCCTATAATGCAATGGAGATGTATGCATGCATGCATGCATAGTATAGTGTCCTGTGCAGTAGATTGATCTTGGCAAAGGGTAAGGACGATGTTGGTGCGGTGACTAACGGACTATCCCACCAGGTGATTGCATTGATTGATGCAGCATGTTTCTTGCCACATTTCTTGTGCCTGTCTTGTGCTATAGTATGTATGTACATGCATGCTATATAGGGTAGCCTACATTAGCAGGAAATGTACACGGACCTTGGGACAGGCACACCGAGGTGCTGGTGCAGTAACTGACAAAACTCAACAGGTGATTTTTATGACAAGATTTTCGAGTTTTTGCTGCTAGCAAATGACTATCATTATGCATTAAAGTGTGAACAGTTGATGTAGTGTACGTGTATATATGACTACATCTTTCCCTTGTCGTTGCTTGTGTCCACTGTTAACAGAATGGGGCAAAAGACAATATATAGTGGACCATTATACACTCACAATAGTTCTAAAGGGCATGCTTCTGTATCTTTTCAACTTACTGTGCATTGTGACCTGCACTGTTGTAAAGTCACCTTCCAACAATTATAATATTCAACAAACAAGTTGACACTTTTGTGCAAAGAAATAATTTACATTTGGAGAACACACTGTACACAAAGGAAGAACAGTTGCTAAACACGCCCACACCTCACAAAAACACAATCACTATCATACAGTCAGTCTGGGTGGAGCCGGAGCTGATGTCAGACTACTAGGACCGGACCTGGAACTTTCCTGCTCGCGTGATGTACTTTATTCTTTGAAAGGCTTGAATTTCTGTTGGAGCGATGTGAATGTGACAGCAAGAAACACAATGCATTAGTGAGGTCTTCACAAGTGTGCACTTAATAGAGTAGTGGACAGGTGTGTCTCTATTAGAGTGGTGTGCTCTATTTAGGGCTGGTGTGCATCTATTACAGTGGGGTGTGTACTTTATTTAGGGCTGGTGTGCTCCAATTAGAACTCTAGGTGAGACATTACCTCGCCGTATATGTCTAGTCTGCTGACTTTGAGTCCCGACACTGCCAGTTGGGATATCTTGAACTCCACCATGATTGTCGGGTTACTTTCGGGGGCTTCCCCCGATGTCATTGTCACCTGCACATAGAAGTTACAACTGCTTCACAAGGGAATATATAGTACTAGGGAGAAGTAATTCCTTCAAATCACGAGTGGGAGGAAGGGACACCTGAATTAGACTGGCTTGGACACTCACAAGTCCCACTTTGCATCTATCCCCTTAAACATCCAGAACGATCAATCCCAGACTTACGGAGCCGTTCATAGACATGTACTTTTGTGTCTGTAGCTTGCCAATCTGTGTGAGAGAGAAGAGACACATCGTGAGTATATGGAAGGACCATATTAGGAGTGCCTTACATTCCATGTCACAGTTCGGCTCACTGGATCGTAGCTCGGCATTCCATCTGCAGTGAGAAGACACAACATTTTCCTACTCTCACAGACCAAGAGTCCAATTTGTATACAGTTGAAGCTCCGAACAAGGGACACCATGGGGGGGCAACAGTTTTGTCCCTTGTAGAGAGGTCGCGTCCTTATCTTGGAGGTCAAGTATGGGGAAAGTTTACTCACAAGTGCTGGTAGGGTTGACATTAGTGACACAGCTCGGCATGGGAACGACCAGCTTCACGTCCTCCACCTGCATTACATCACACGCATTTCGAAAACGCGTCTCCCCGAGCATCGTGAGTCAATAAAACTATCATGATACTCAATGGACTGCACGCTCGAGTGTGAATGATAGTGAACAAAGAGTCAGAAGATGAGTATGTGAAACACAGCAGATTTCTCTACCACAAGAAGATGAACAAAACTCCCTATCATAGCCCCATACATCTATGCTAGGTACCATGCCCATCCCTATATACTAAGTACTACTGTATATACAGTATACTGAACTCTATGGATTATAGCAGAGGTACAGACAGATTGTGAGGTGTTATGGGGTCTCACCACTTTCCCCATGGTCTGCTTTGGTCCAACTTTGACCTCAAACTTGCCAGAGCCACCAGAGAAGCTGAACTGAGGAGTCACGTACAGCGGCAGAGCCACGTTGCTGGGTGGGTATAAAGATGGATTCATGAGCTGTCGGTAAAACTTACGAACATCACTAGTAAAAACGGAGCGTTTGCATAAATGCGCGTAAGACCCGTTGCGTTGTGCCGCGAAGTTGGATTCTATCCTGGCACGCGGCATGGTGCGATGGGGTAATGCAACAATATACATTTCTTCTTCAGGTCAGGACACTGAATTTAGTAGCCAAATGTATGTAATAATATATCAGCTAGCTCATTAGCAAGGAGCTCAATATTATACATCTGAAACTGTGGCCTAATATGGTCTAGGTGCATATATAGGCAACGGTTTTGTCCCTTGTAGAGAGGTCGTCCCTATCTCGGAGGTCAAATAATACGGTATTAGCATGGGGTTGAAACAAGTGTCCCTTGTAGAGAGGTCGTCCCTATCTCGGAGGTCAAATAATACGGTATTAGCATGGGGTTGAAACAAGTGTCCCTTGTAGAGAGGTCGTCCTTATCTCGGAGGGTCCCTTATCGGAGATTCCACGGTATATATATACTACACAGAGCATATTATAGCCGACACATATCCATTGTATATGTATACCTCTGACTGCTGATCTGGTAGGAGAGAAGTCTAAATGGTCCGTCAGGAGGAATGAACGACAGGACCCTCTCTGACTGCAGGAGGCAATTGGGTGCCTCGTGAATAATTCACGAGGCATAATGCAGTTCTCTGACCTCCCAACGTTTGTAGCGGACGCAGGGGTGGAAACTGACGTCGTCCAACAGTCGGGGGTTCATGAAGGACAGTGTCAGGTCTGCAGACACAACAAACATGTATACACAACACGGTTGAATGGTCGAATGCAGCAAAATTTGACCTAAGGCAAAGATCGATATACTGGACACAACTTTGCTGTTGCACAAACTTTGCTTTTTGCGCAAATTCGACGTATGTATGTGTATGATAGTACAGGAAGTCACACGAGGTTATATTGTATATAAGACATGTTGCACGTGGACTATTACACCCATACAATGACGTCGCGAAATCTGCTGTTTCACAATGACGTCGAGAATTTATCTCATGTAGCAGAAGTCGTGTCATGTATTATATCTTGGCGTTCAGTTTTGTCTAAGACGATATTGTACCTGGCATTCCCGATAATCTGCTGTTGGCTTGAATCTGAGGAGAGGAAAATGTACGTATACACCAAACTGTAACTTTTGCAGTATATAGGACTTTATTATGCACCAAACTGTAACCCTTTGCAGTATATAGGACTGAAACACTTATTATGCACCAAACTGTAACCCTTTGCAGTATATAGGACTGAAACACAATTATTATGCACCAAACTGTAACCCTTTGCAGTATATAGGACTTTATTATGCACCAAACTGTAACCCTTTGCAGTATATAGGACTGAAACACAATTATTATGCACCAAACTGTAACCCTTTGCAGTATATAGGATTGAAACACAATTATTATGCACCAAACTGTAACCCTTTGCAGTATATAGGATTGAAACCATTATTAGCACCAAACTGTAACCCTTTGCAGTATATAGGACTGAAACACAATTATTATGCACCAAACTGTAACCCTTTGCAGTATATAGGACTGAAACACAATTATTATGCACCAAACTGTAACCCTTTGCAGTATATAGGACTGAAACACAATTATTATGCACCAAACTGTAACCCTTTGCAGTATTGTAGGACTGAAACACAATTATTATGCACCAAACTGTAACCCTTTGCAGTAGAATTGATAATAAACTAACCTTGCCTTGGACCTCTGCTACTATCGTAGTCCCCTGCAAGAAACGAGACGACATCATCACGTTAAAGGAATATATTAGAGCTATATTTAGAAATTGTTACTAAAAAGGAAATCTAATTGCATTCTTGCACTGGGCCCCATTGTTTAGTTCTATCTCTTTAGTAACATTTCTAAATTTAGCCCTTTAACACTAAAGCACAATGGAAACACATTCATAAAAAAGGCTAATCAGTGGGCCTTGTTCCCAGGCTCTTACCAATATGTATATAGCACACATAATGTAGTTGGGACAAGGCCATATATGGAGACTCACTGATTTGTCAATGATGACATCTAGTTCTTCAATCAGGTCCAGGAATATCTATATACAGCAATGAATAATGACACAATGATTGCAGGGGCACCAATTGAGGGGCCCGTCTATTGATTGAAGTACAGTGAAAAAAGACCCTCTAGCTCAATATGGGACACTTGGTTCTGCCCCATATTGGTGTATTACTTTTTCTACGAGTAAGGGACACTTGGTTCTGCCCCATATTACTTTTTCTACGAGTAAGGGACACTTGGTTCTGCCCCATATTAGTGTATTACTTTTTCTACAAGTAAGGGACACTTGGTTCTGCCCCATATTAGTGTATTACTTTTTCTACAAGTAAGGGACACTTCTGAATAAACAATGTGTCCACTTCTGAATAAAGGACAGTTTAAATGTGTCCATGTGAACCACGCTGAGCACGAGTTTGATCAGTGTCCCTTATGAAGAGTTCTCACTGTACATGTGTGTGTGTGGTGTAGTTACCTCATTGTTGGCATATTTGACACCTGTTCTTCTCCACGGGACGTTGGATAGCTGACCAGTTGGTAGAGTGGAGCTTACACTGTGCGTGAATGGAGAGATGGGGAGGGGGAAGGGGGAGGGGAGGGGAGAGAGAGAGGGAGGAGAGGGAGAATGGAGAGAGAAATAGAAATGAGAGAGGGGGAGGGGGAAGGGGGAGGAGAGAGAGAGAGGGAGGAGAGGGAGAATGGAGAGAGAAATAGAAGTGAGAGAGGGGGGAGGTAAAAGAAGAAGAACACTGCAGTGAACCCTCCGAATAAAGGATGCATCTCTATAAAGACACCTGGTTCTGCCCCGTACTAATAAGCTCTGACAAAGGGATGCCTATAAGTAAAGCAAACTTTCTATGTCTTTAACTTTTCCCTTTACTCAGAGGTTCAGTATTATGTTATGTTATATTACTCCCTCCCTTCTCTCTGGTCTCACTTGGCCAGCTTGCTCTCTCCTGTGATGGTGTGAACCACGCTGCGCACGAGACTGGGAGGCTTGATCAGCTCCTTCAGAACATTAGACTCCGTAGCTAGAGGGTAGCCATTGTCCAGCATCTCCTCCAGCAGCTAATTACACCACACGACCAAGTGAGAAAAGTCGAAACATATCCATACGGCTACTGTACAGTTTAAATCTGAAAAATCACCAAAATGCACCAAGAAAATGGGAGGTTATGATGCAAGTACCTAGCTAACCTTTGCAATAATTATAATATGCATACACCTATAGGCTGAACCCTCTGAATGGAGGGCCTCAAAAGCGTTCATGAAAACTAACTTTCTTGAATAATGTGACAGTACATATACACACCCACCACTAGCCAGTAACAGTACATATTATACCTCGTAGACAGTGACGTAGTTTTCTTTGATCTTGGTCTCGCTGCACTCTCCAAAGTACTCCATGAACACGTCCACAATGCGATGGAGGAACTCAATCACAAAAAGAGGAGGAACTGCATGACGTAACATGACATAATAATATGAGGGAAGACCGGCAAGGTGTAATGCATGGTTGTATATAGTGTTTAGCCTCATAGTCAATAAGCCGCTTGGATAGTTGTGGGAATACGTATTGTTAGCCATAGCACAGCTTCAAATAGTATGTTGAAAGATGAGCCTATTTGCGTCTAATGATAGATCCACCACCATCGTATGTGATGTGGAGAGAGAAAATGGAGAGAGGGTAAGGGTGGGTATTTGTACCTTCGTTCTGCAAGACGGCGACGAAGTAGAGGTGGTTGCGGAAGATGGACACGAGGTAGTAGTGTGGGGTGGAGATGACGGGTGGGATGTCCGCTGCACTCGTGGCCTTGCTCTGAGCCTCAAAGAAGTAGTCACAGACGGACCGGCTCACCACACTGCTCCAATGCTTCTCCATAAACACCTCCCTATGACGCATACAATGGAACACCTCTCTAAGGACACCCAAGAAATGGGGACACCTCTCTAGTAAGCAATTTCTTTCTCTCCCCAAAAACAGTTTCTTGCATGCAATTAAAACCCTGAAAAAAGGACACCTAACTACTCTCTTTTGTCCCATTGCTATACTGTATGCCGTTGCATAGGCATTTTAGCTAATGTAGGCTACTATCTTGAGCAGACAGTGACAGTTACTTGGGTATATTATACGTGGACGGTTTGGAAGGACGAAATGTAAGTGAATTCTAATTGGAGCCCGTCATAATAAGTCGACGAACGTCTACCTGCTGGCTGTGCGTTTATGTGGAGCGCGTGCAGGCCAAACTCACCCAGCCTTGTTGATCATGAACAGGCTTTTGATCATCATCTTGCGCCCAGCTCCCAATAGTACAACAACGAACGCGTAGACGGGTCTAGTTAGTTAGTTGTACCGGACAGCGTCACGTGAATGGGTGTAAAACCCCTCAAATTTGACGAGCCCCACCTTCAAATTTTGCGCCTGCGCGTCTCTATCGATTTTTTTACAGTGCAGATGACGAAGCACACAGTTCTATGGTACAGATCATAGTTCAGAGTCTGAACATGTGAATTTGACAGTTGATCCGGTGGTATTGTCCACCGTGGTCCTCTCGCTTGGACTGTCCTTCTCATCTGACTCACCATTCTGAAACACCTGACAATGAATGAACGTAACAAGAAGAGGATTACCTTGGCTCACATCAGCATAATTATTATGCAATTGAGAATATACTATGTTACCCCACAGAACAAATGACATGGGTGAGTGAGGGATAATTAAAGTGCATGTGGCAGTATATATATGTGCTAAATTTAGAAATGTTACTAAAAACGGGACTTAATTGCATTCTTTCACTGTGCCCCTATTGCTTTCTCCTATCTACTGGACCATTAGTCAACTATGCAGTGTGCCAATTTTGTTGCGCATGTTAAATTATGAAGGCATTCTTCTGGAATACTTTAGTGTGTCACACATACTGGCAAACCAACCTCAGCCTCTGGGTTTGACCAGTATCCCAGGACTTCTTCTCCAGCCTCTCCATCGTTCCCTTCTTCCTCCTCCTCCTCCTCCTCCTCCTCCTCTTGGTCTCTCACTTCACTGTAGGTCTTCCTCCTGCGTGGTTGGGCAGCCAGTGCCGCCAGGTCTCTCACTGACGAGTGAGAGCGTGTCAGACTCTATAGGAGAGAGGAGAGAGGAGAGAGATGGAGAGAGGAGAGAGGAGAGAGGAGAGAGGAGAGGGGAGAAGGGGGAGAGAGGAGAGAGAGGAGAGAGGTGAGGGGAGAGGGGAGAGAGGAGAGAGGTGAGAGGAGAGAGGAAGGAGATAGAAGAGAAGAAGGGTGTGGAAAGAAAAGTATTAGTGAGTGTGGCGTTGCCTTTGGTTTCGCAATGGCCGTGGATTAGCTTCTAGCCAACACTAACTGACTTAGGCTAGGTTCATAATATGTCGCATTGCCCCATCGCGGTGTGCCACATTGCCACGCCCCAGAATCCATTTCTATCATTGTGGCACACAACACGACGCGGCACGGTGCGACAGGGCAATGAGACGTATTGCGAACCTAGCTTCACGGCGATGATGTAATTAATTATACCTCTCAAGCCAGGGGGGAAATAACTCTTATTGAAAGTCAGGATATTTAGAACAGACCTCGAATTTCTCCAGCAAGTGCTGTCGTCTCCTCTTTTCTCTCTCCTCCTCACCGACCGAGTCGGAGAGGAGCAGTCTCATCTTCTCGCTCTTCTGCCATCCACTCACAACTGTTTTACAGTGATGGTAGCCCAGTGGCTGGGCAGAGGGACAGCGGGAAGATAAGATGATAGTATCTACGGACTGCAAACAAACTGACTCTACAGTTTAAGAATAAGGGACACCTTGGGGATATTTAAAGTGTAGGAAATTGAGAATCAAGACTAACTAAAAGTTTTTTAACATTTCTCCAGATACTCCAAAAAAGAACACCTCTCTCTATAAGGTATATACTTGGTTCTGCCCCATTTTTATTGGACAAGAATAAAGTCCTTAAGGTGTTCCTTATTCAGAGGTTTTTACTGTAGTCATAATAAGCCATGCTTACCAGAATGGTATTGTAGCTACCAAACTGCAGTGTGCCGATACTGAGAGAGAGAGAGAGAGAGAGAGAGAGAGACACCACACACAACATAGTATAAAGGTATAGGCAGGTTAATAATGAGAGGGGCTCACTTGTCAATGGGGGGTCTGATGTACTCGCAGGATCCGTCGGCCTTCACAGCCTCCAGCTGTCTCATGCACGACACGTAGGCCAGTCTGCTCTGGATCTCCGTCAGGTTAGGGATCTGCCCAAACACATGTACCACTTGTACATATACACAGTCACTATACAAGGATTAGGAGTATTCTTAACGGTCAATAGTTTAGTATGTTGGCGAGCAAAGCAAGCCTACCTAGTCGTTTCAATGCAGGATTTTTCTATAATATGTGACGACCACTGCAGTGACCCATCCTGTCCGGATCTCCGAACAAGGTTGGCACTGATTTTAGTTTTGAATGTGCCATATGGTACAGGAAAAACCGTAATGTTCTACACACGTGATTCTAAATACACGGAAAACACGCGCGAAATATTGAACTGGTCGTGGTTGCTCGGCAAAAATGCGTGGCATTAGTTCTAGTTCCAAGTTGCTATACTGTGGAAATCAGTATTATGGACATGCTCACACGCTCATACACTTACACACACACATGTGTGTGTACATAAGTGGCTCACTCTTATCTTCTTGGCGAGAGGGTTGATCTTGTTCCACAGGCAGTACCAGCCTGAGACGTAGTCGCCGTAGTTGGTGAGTTCGTTGTTGTCCTCTGACCCCACGTCAATGGCTATCACAGTCTCGGCTCCCTGACCTGTCAGAACATCAGCTGTGGAGAGGTGGTGTAGGTGGGTTTATATCCATTACAGTGGGTCTCACTTCATACTCTCAGGCCATAAGACTTACCTTCAGCTAGTGTTCTAGACACATACATACTACTAACCTGGTAGGTTGTTGACGTAACCTCCGTCTAGAAGAAGGTGTCCGTCGACCGGATCACAGAGAGGGGGCATGTAGCCCGAGAGGGACATGCTGGCTCGGATGTAGCGCCACAGGGAGCCCGCGTTGTGCACTCTCATCTTGGACTCCGTGATGTCTGTCGTGATGCAGAAATACGGGATCCACAGGTCCTGGCACCAGGATGTGGGGAGGAGAGACACCGTAAAATTTTGCGACAAAAAAACTCCATGAATTGCCAATTAGCAACTTCTTATGAAAATGCCGTCTTGTGAGCACAGAAAGCTGAAACTAATGTTTAAGCATTAGTCGTGAAAAGTAATAAAGAGGAGAGAAAGGAAAAAACTTAATTCAGCAATACATGTCCCAGTGTGTACAGTCGTATTGTGTACATTTAGTTTTCAGTGTTAAAGGGAATGTGACAATACATAAGGTCTAAATTTAGAAATTGTTACTAAAGATGGAACTAAACAATAGGACCAGTGAAAGAATGCAATTAATTTAGTAACAGTTTCTAAATTTAGACCTAATGTACTGACACAATCCCTTTGAATTGACTACCCACTCACAAGACCTGTATATAGCCTTACCTCAATCTGCTTCTCCTTGAAGGTATCTTTCATCAGTCTATTGAACGCCCTTCCTATACATAAGCAGACAGTATATACCCCATACATACATGCATACAACAACGCCCTTCCTATACATAAGCAGACAGTATATACCCCATACATACATGCATACACACACGCCCTTCCTATACATAAGCAGACAGTATATACCCCATACATACATGCATACACACACGCCCTTCCTATACATAAGCAGACAGTATATACCCATACATACATGCATACATACACATCTCTATAAGAAACCACTATATATATACATAATGAGACAAGATAGTACCCCATACATAATGCATGACAGTATACCCCATACTTTACATATACTATAACATAAGTCTCACATAAACACATAATATACCCACATACATCATGCATACACACACGCCCTTCCTATACATAAGCAGACAGTATATACCCCATACATACATGCATACAACACGCCCTTCCTATACATAAGCAGACAGTATATACCCCATACATACATGCATACATACACACACGCCCTTCCTATACATAAGCAGACAGTATATACCCCATACATACATGCATACACACACGCCCTTCCTATACATAAGCAGACAGTATATACCCCATACATACATGCATACACACACGCCCTTCCTATACATAAGCAGACAGTATATACCCCATACATACATGCATACACGTACGCATGCACACATAGACACACACTCAGCAGTGTACGCAATCAAGCGAATTAAGTGCAAAAGTTAGAGAAATTGTGGCCAGAGCCTCACTTGGCTCCTCACCAGTATCATAGAGGGCTGACCTGAGAACATGGCGGAATGGGGGTACGTGAGATCCAGGATCTTGTCCCCAAACCTCGCCATCCTCTTGGCAAACTCCCGTGCCCTCGTCTCCACCCGGGCGGAGTCTCTCTCTTCGCAGTAGAGACCTCCAACCAACGATCCAATGCTAGTCCCTCCCACCATGTCTATCGGCACACCTGTACAATCACAATTTTTGGACTGTTCACACAATAGCCCCAAAATTTACTCACCGGCCTCGGTGAATGCCTGGAGAGCTCCAACATGAGCCAATCCCCTGGCCCCGCCCCCTCCTAGTACCACTCCCACCGACGTCCCCGTCAGTCTCCGAGCCAACCGAGCAAAGTCAGAGTGTCTGGAGGGAGAACAGGGAACAGTACCTCCTAGATTGTGTGCGTACAGCTACATACACAGAGCATGAGAGAGTTCAAGGTACGTATTATTCATGGATGAGGGTCTGTCAATGAAATGAAAATCAGTGCATCAGGTTTAGTGAAAAACATAATATGTATAGCGTGGGTAGACGGTACAGAAAGACAGATAAATTATTGTCTTACTTGTTTGGAGGTGGAGGAATGGCATTCTTCTTGTCCTAAGATACAAAAAGCATGTGTTTACAAAGAAAAATGCTGGACTATAAATGAGAATATCAAAATCTCAAAAGTTTGTTTCCAAATGTAGGGTAAAAACGTACTTCTTGAAGCTTTTTGATGAAGAAGTAATCCGGACACCTCACCTACATAAGTAAGTGAACCTAAACTCCATACACAGTCTCAGTGTTTCCTGGTGTATCAGTGGCGGATCTAGGATTGTGAAAAGGGGGGTTTCTCTGTCCAGAACTTCGACTGCGCTCGTGCGCATGCACAAGGCCGGCGACGCATGCGCGCAAAACGACGGGTTCCGCGGAACCCAAGGAACCCCCCTGGATCCGCCACAGTGTATAAACTACTATTCACATGGAAGTAAGAGGAGAGCCAGCCAAGAGCATTCAGCCATTTCATCGTCCCGGTCGGGTGGTCAACTCCCTGTCCGTGCAGCAGAACCAGCTCTTTCTGGACCCTGATCGAGATTTTCTCAACCTGCCGTATGATCTGTGGCAGGGGGATCACCAGATGAGAACCGGGAGATGTAACACCCACACCACATGCTACACTGTTACCTTTCCCTCTGTGGGACCTTTCTCAGCCAATCCCACTAGTAAAATACAGTCAGCCTGTATAAAAAAAATGGAATAGGAATTTGAAAAAAAAACAGCGAAAGAAGCTATAATACAACAAAGTAAAAAGTATAGATGAAAAAAAAACCTCCCCGGCCGGGAATCGAACCCGGGTTTTCCGCGTGACAGGCGGAGATACTTACCACTATACTACCGAGGATGGCTGACAGCGGAGAGGCAAAAATTCGTTTACATACTGGAGACTCGATTACCTGTCTAATGCATCTGGCAGTCCACTGGGTGAGAGTTGGATCAGCTTCATAGATCACAATCCTGTTGTTGTCTTCTTGGTGTCCCAGCCATGTTCTCAGTCGATATTCACTCACACTGTGACGAAAGAGACACTCAACTAAACCAAATCAAATCCAGGTGTACTACGACGTTTTTGCGAGCTTCACGATTTGAGAGCCATCCACAAAAGCTGCAAAAGTTTTCTCCCTCAGTACCATAGCACTTTACAATCCTGGGCTCACATCTACAGATGCTACTAGGTACCGTGCCTACCCTATATACTAACGTATACCCTACCATAGTATACCTTTCCAAGGCAGTGCTCCCAAGTTCTTGTTGAATGTAATGACTAGTCAGTCGCAGAGCCGGTGCTGCATAAAGCAAAAAGGAGACTCCGTCAAAAAAGTAAGTGTGATATTATATGTATACAACTGTGGTAAAACTGAGACACCGTTACAAGAGAGTTGTGTCCTGACCGATGCTGTTGACGGCACTGCAGAGTACGGCGGAAAACATGGAGAGAGGGACGTCGGGAGTCATGGGAACCACTGCCACCGTCGCCAGGTTGGACGCCATGTGCTTCTTGGTCTCCTTGGAGCCTGCACACGGGGGATAGAGGGGAGGAACAGGCAGGTGGAAACAGAGAAAAGGAGTCTCACTACTTATCTACTAATTAATCTGAGGTAACTCGGTGGAGGAAGCTAGCCATACCAGTGCCAGTGCCAGTGCCAATGCGCCTATAATTAATCTGAGGTAACCCAGTGGAGGAAGCTGTCTGTGCCAGCGCTTACATTACTATGTACTTATGATCTCGCCCGCTTGGGAGTCAGAGCACTCTCCCGCGTTGGATAAGAGCTCATTTCCGCTGCCTACGAAATAAAGGGTTGACGTACTGGCAATGTTGGTTGTGGAGTAGTGAGAGAGACGGTTGTAGCTGCCGAGAATCCTCTCTCCCAGCATGTGGATCAGTCTTGACACCACCTGACACGGAGTTAACACACTTTGATCAACTTGATCAGACCTTGCTAGCTGTACTATACCTACCACAACAGACCACCAAGTTTTCAACGAAATAAATGATCGCAGATACAAGTTTCACAGACAAAAACGTTGATTGGGAGTGACGCCCAGTCCTTCTTTTGTTGCACCGAGGGTTTGCGCTTTAGTATTTTTCATTTTTGATATATTTCACAGCGCAAAATTTGAGACTCGTACCCGTGAAAATTTTATGCCGTTTAAAATTTGGTGGAGTTGTATAAAGTATCCACACCTGTATTTACCTCCTATTCTCCATCATTGTAAACATGTGTATTACCTGAGGCTGTTTGAGTTTGATGGTGTCGAGAAGGCCAGCAGGGAGACATGCGAGCTCAGAGTCCCTGATGGCGTGGACCGTTGTGGCACACTTGGACGACGTCATCACCTCAATCTGTACCAAATGGACCACGCCGGCATATGGTACCAATAACAATGGGAAAAGTCAAACGTGTTATAATAAAACGATGTGGTCTGAAACCCTGTGGTACAGTACCAAAGGTCGACCGGTGTGGTCTGAAACCCTGTGGTACAGTACCAAAGGTTGACAGGTGCGGTCTGAAACCCTGTGGTACAGTACCAATGGTTGACCGGTGTGGTCTGAAACCCTGTGGTACAGTACCAAAGGTTGACCGGTGTGGTCTGAAACCCTGTGGTACAGTACCAAAGGTTGACAGGTGCGGTCTGAAACCCTGTGGTACAGTACCAATGGTTGACCGGTGTGGTCTGAAACCCTGTGGTACAGTACCAATGGTTGACTGGTGAGGTCTGAAGCCCTGTGGTACAGTACCAAAGGTTGACCGGTGTGGTCTGAAACCCTGTGGTACAGTACCAATGGTTGACCGGTGTGGTCTGAAACCCTGTGATACCGTACCAAAGGTGGACCAGAGTGGTCTGAAACCCTGGACTGGTGTGGTTTGAAAAACAAGCTATGGTACAAAAGACCGTTGTGGTGTGTGGCTGGCTCACCACTCCAATGGCCTCTCCCCGACCAAACTCGTCCACCAGCTCCTTCTTTCCGTCGTCTCTCTTCACCACTGACCTCAGACGACCACTCAGAATGATGTACGCGGCAGTTGCCTCGTCTTCTTGCCTGAACAAACAGCACACATTACATGTACATACGTGAACAACATGCAAACTTTTCATCGCAAGACTTTAGCACTAATAGCCATGAAAATAGACTGGAAGAAGGATGCATATTTTGTCAATGCAGACTCTGTTCTTTTTGGGGAAACAAGGACAGACCTAACAATCCTTTCTCTCACTACTCCACTTATTAACCCTCGGCGCGCATGTGCAGCGAGGGTTATAGTACTTGGCTCTGTACTTATATATTCATATGTTCATTTCAAATTTGGAGGTGCATCTACAATACTTCTCCTGGTCTTCTGTTCTTTCTCTAAACGCCGGTGTTGGCTAATACAGTGATACTTCGTCTTTTAATCCAGCCAGTGTTTGTACTCACCGGTACAGGGCTCTGCCGGCCTCCAGCTCAGTCCAGTCGAGGGCAAAGTCAATCTGTCTCACCAGAGGACTGAGTCTCTGGACACAGTCGTACGCCAGTCCACACACTGCCTTCGGCTGCTCTGACATTATCCTAGTACAACAACAACAACAACAACACTCGTCATGATGTTTGGAAAAAATTATATAGCTTTATAAACAAGTATGTTGGGAAATAATGATATAGTTTTATAAACAAGTATGTTGGGAAATAATGATAATAGCTTTCTAATCAAGTATGTTTGGAAATAATGATCTTCTTCAGCACACAAGAAATCTATCAAAATACAATCTTCTTATATGATGCTGTACATTGACGAGACCCTTTGGTTTAATAAAAATCTCTGACAACACCAGCTACAGTTCCGTCCCAGGCACTTTTGGAAGGGTCTGAGGAATTTCTTCCAGATACAAACCCAGTAGCCTATGAGCAAAATAACATATAAGATGGGTAAACTCAGCGCTATAAAGCGAACACAGAGTAAATTGTTCTCGATTTGGAGTTGGTTTCCTGTAAAGTGAGTCCAATAACGAAAAATATGACGAGCGATAGCATCATAAGAACCAAAATGTCCAGGACGTAGTGAACGAACGTTTTCTGTGGGCGAAAGACAGCTATACCAAAACCGAGTGTTGTGATTGTGGCTGCAAAGAGCATCCAAAAGAAGGGGGAGTTCAACAGTAGAAAACCGGCTACATTTATGAACCGGGCACAAAAAAACATGCCAGAAAAGAATCGCAAGTCTCTCGTATTGTTCGTTCCATCCTTGTAGTTTCCCTGAAAGACGTCCATGAATGTCCTCAGAGTCACGAAATTGCACCTTGTGGTGTTGAGGAATTGCTGAAAGAAACGACAAGGGTAAAGGAAGAGAAGCAGAGCAGGAAAAAATGTAAAGAGTATTATAAGTATTAGAGCAAGAACTGCATATGGAAGATGGTGATCACCAAAGTATTCCACGTCACCGGCCAAGTAGAGGTACAATGTTTCGCTCTTTGTTCCATTGACAAAGTAAATACTGGTATTTGTCAGAAGATCGATACTGACACTCTGTATCTTCATGGCTGACAGGAAGAACAGCGTAGCAAACGATTCAATGAGAGATGTTTGAATGTTAAGATTGCGTAAGAACGGTCTAAGAACCGCCGTGAACGGTCTCCAAAGTCTGACTAATAGAGTTACACCCTTACTGTACATTTTGACAAGTAGGAACACCACGAGCACCAGAAACAGGGGATATAGTCCAATCAGATAATTGAGAGCTAGAGCCTGTACTACCGTCATGTGGGGATTGAGGCAGAATGGCTCGTATTCTTCACTGAAAAAATCCAGATTCCAAACGCTCACCAAACCTAGATACATCCTTGACAAGAGAATCACAGTTTTTCCGGTCTCTGAAGGATTGAAGACATTGCTATTGACTATGAGCCTCACGAATGTGTGGGAAGTGATAATCTCACAAGCGAACACGAACCCATAAAGGTAGGGTGAGGTTGCACTGATGTGGAAGAGACAGATGAGGAGACAGAACAGTGTGAGTGGACCAAAGGCTACCGCGATGTATTTGAGCCAGTTGAGATGGTAGTCAGTGCAGTTGATACATCTCAGGGAGTATGAGTAAACCGGTGGGGCAAACCCCTTCACACACCTTCCACAGAGCTGACCCTCTCTGTTCAAACCTCCACACATGTACTCATTCAGTTTGGAGACGTTACAAGGCAGAGGAGTGGAGGATCTAGAAAAAGATTGACGAAAGACCGAAGTGAGACAACCTCCCATCTTGCTAGTTTCGTTCTCGTCCGTGGTCATGCAGTAGAACTTCTCCAGCCAAGGTTGTCCTGTCTTGCGTTGAAAGGTTACAGCTTCAAGAACAGTTCTTCCCTTTGTGCAATTTCCTTCACTCCAATAGTACCATGGAGGACAGGGTGATCTCTCTTCAGTAGTCCCATTTTGAACGTAGAAGTGTCTATTTGACGTGAGGCGATTCCTGTCTTTGGTAGTTAACAAGTAGCGGGTACAGTTATCATTCTCAATAGCCTTAGATGCACCTTCCTCGATGGCTTTTCCCAGTAAAAGGCACCCGTGCAAAACCAATACTGATAGTAGCATTATATACATATTAAACTCATCATGCTCTTGTTCTTAGCTTTTGTACTGTCCCCTCTTTATAGCCTTATATCCACTGAAGAAAAATTTTCACTTCGAGCATAGTTATTTTCCATTTTTCTCTCTAGAAAGAGGATGTTGATGTTACAACATGATAAACGACAAGTGACGTCGAAAAGCACCTTTATGACACACACACACACACATGCACACAAAAATCGTGAAATCGCGTATGAGCAAATTGTCGCGTGGAGAACTGAAGGCACATACGAGGTTTTTGAGCACATGTATAGCTAGATATGAGCCAATAGTAGCGTGTTTTGAAGGTCTAGTGAGTCGTTCTCACCGAGTTTTGAGGCTCTATGTATGCAGATCACGTGAGATTTCACTCGTGCCGTCCCTACATATATTATTAGAGTGCCTACGGACGCTCTAATATGTGAGCCCCTTCCTGCTGAGTTGCCCTCTGGTACATACAGTGGCGGATCTAGGATTTAGAAAGGGGGGGTCCGCTGTCCAGAACGTTTTCGACTGCGCTCGTGCGCGCGCACGAGGCCAGCGACACATGCGCGCAAAACGACAAAAAAGGGGGTTCCGCGGAACCCAAGGAACCCCCCTGGATCTGCCACTGTGGTAGCTCAGTGGGTAGAGCACTCTGCCTACACTGCAGAGTGTCGCGGTTTTGAATCTCACCCAGCGCAGCTCTTTGTATGTTGCTTTGCCCTGGAACCTCCATTTACAGACTTTGGTGAACAGAATACTGGATGTATTATCACATGAGAGTCATGCGACCTATGGGGTGGTATCACATGACCTACTGATAGAGGTTGCTCTTGGTGATGGCAATGAGGTAGGAGTGGACGGCAGCCATGACAGTGATGAAGGAAGGCTCCCCAGTCAGAGCTGACAACACGCCACAGAACTCTCCCGGAGTTGCCACATACAGCAAGTCCTGGGGACACACACACAGTAGAGAAACTGAAACCGAAATTAGCAAATGTATGCATGTAATGCTGCTGGACCGTTGTCATCCCTATGTGTATATACCGTAGAAAACTTTAAAACATACATACAGCAAGTCCTGTGGACACACACACAGTAGAGAAACTGAAATTAGCAAATGTATGCATGTAATGCTGCGGGACCCTTGTCATCCCTATGTGTATATACCGTAGAAAACTTTAAAACATACGTACAGCAAGTCCTGTGGACACACACACAGTAGAGAAACTGAAACCTAAATTAGCAAATGTATGGATGTAATGCTGCTGGACCGTTGTCATCCCTATGTGTATATACCGTAGAAAACTTTAACACATACGTACAGCAAGTCCTGGGGACACACACACAGTAGAGAAACTGAAACCGAAATTAGCAAATGTATGGATGTAATGCTGCTGGACCGTTGTCATCCCTATGTGTATATACCGTAGAAAACTTTAACACATACGTACAGCAAGTCCTGGGGACACACACACAGTAGAGAAACTGAAATTTGCAAATGTATGGATGTAATGCTGCTGGACCGTTGTCATCCCTATGTGTATATACCGTAGAAAACTTTAACACATACGTACAGCAAGTCCTGGGGACACACACACAGTAGAGAAACTGAAACCGAAATTAGCAAATGTATGGATGTAATGCTGCTGGACCCTTGTCATCCCTATGTATATACCGTAGAAAACTTTAACACATACGTACAGCAAGTCCTGGGGACACACACACAGTATTGAAACTGAAATTAGCAATGTATGCATGTAATGCTGCTGGACCGTTGTCATCCTATGTGTATATACCGTAGAAAACTTAACACATACGTACAGCAGTCCTGGGGACACACACACAGTAGAGAAACTGAAATTAGCAAATGTATGGATGTAATGCTGCTGGACCGTTGTCATCCCTATGTGTATATACCGTAGGAAACTTTAACACATACGTACAGCAAGTCCTGGGGACACACACACAGTAGAGAAACTGAAATTAGCAAATGTATGCATGTAATGCTGCTGGACCGTTGTCATCCCTATGTGTATATACCGTAGAAAACTTTAACACATACGTACAGCAAGTCCTGGGGACACACACACAGTAGAGAAACTAATGTATGGATGTAATGCTGCTGGACCCTTGTCTTATCCCTATACACCGTAGAAAGGAGTCGGTGGCAAAGTGCAGTTACGATGAGAATCTTTTGCTGATTACTTTGCCCCCACCCACAATATTCGCAGAGGAAACTTTGGCAGATGTGGCCCTGAAAACTGCGAAGTTTTCTTCCTCTATAGTTTCCCACTATTCAGGGGAGATCTGTATTGGTGTAACTATCGTAGTATGTACAGGTGCATACTAGTTGCAAAATACTAGTCGCAAAACAACTTCGAGTTTTACTGAACTGCAATGAATAATAGTAAAGTGTGCATGGCAGTTCTCCGACCTGTGATTTTGACTGGTCTCCAGTGAGATGGTAGACCTTCAGTCGGCCACTGGCAATGAAGTAGACACAGCACTCCTGGTCCCCTTCCAGTCCCAGTACAGAGTTGACTCCCACTTCTATCAACTGGATACGACCTTTCAACAGCGACTCGTCCTGTGTGACAGAGGCATGCAAACAACTCTAGAGCTGTTTAGAACGTATGCACTATTCCCACCCTATACACATTTCTGAAGCATGAAGATCAAGCTGCACACAACACGACACTACAGTAAACTTATTGCAATATACTGCTGTACATGGGCATATATACTTATAAAAGACAATGAACATCTGTAGGATTAAACTCCAGTGGCAGACACATACACATTATAGCCTACTTGAGGTTTACAGATTGGACTCAGTGGAAGTGTAATCCCTTTGATGTGTACGTATGTAGCTCAGTAGGTAGAGCACACTGTTTATAGTGCAGAGTGGGTGGGTTCGAACCGCTTTTTCTTTTGGTTTTTCAGGGTACTGCCGCCTTGCCTTAGCTTTACAACCACTTCGTTGATCATAGTTTTTTCTCTCAGTACACGTTGGTTGAGGCAAGGCAAAGTAAAACAACACCACCACACCACTTCTTCTTTATTAGAACAACAGACCTTGAGCTGGAATATTCGCACGAGGTCATCAGTGGCTGCCTGGAGAACATCGCTGTTGTCGAGAGAGGCAAAGTGGGAGTAGCGGAGAGGGATGGAGGTCTGGGTGGAGAAGTGCCGTCCCTTCGGAGGCTCACTGGGGAACGAAGTCACTCCCTCAGCTGAGAACTGCTGTCTGTTCACCCTGGCCTAGGGAGAAACATACATGATGGGCGGTGCAGTACTGATACTAGAGGTAAATGGAGGCAGCTAGTCTAAGACTGTCGACAAAGGGAAAAACAGCTACAGAGATAAGGCTGTCTGTTCACCCTGGCCTAGGGAGAGACGTACACGATGGGCGGTGCAGTACTGATACTAGAGGTAAATGGAGGCAGCTAGTCTAAGACTGTCGGCAAAGGGATAAACAGCTACAGAGATAAGGCTGTCTGTTCACCCTGGCCTAGGGAGAAACATACACGATGGGCGGTGCAGTACTGATAATGGAGGTAAATGGAGGCAGCTAGTCTAAGACTGTCGGCAAAGGGGAAAACAGCTACAGAGATAAGGCTGTCTGTTCACCCTGGCCTAGGGAGAAACATACATGATGGGCGGTGCAGTACTGATACTAGAGGTAAATGGAGGCAGCTAGTCTAAGACTGTCGGCAAAGGGATAAACAGCTACAGAGATAAGGCTGTCTGTTCACCCTGGCCTAGGGAGAAACATACACGATGGGCGGTGCAGTACTGATAATGGAGGCAGCTAGTCTAAGACTGTCGGCAAAGGGATAAACAGCTACAGAGATAAGGCTGTCTGTTCACCCTGGCCTAGGGAGAAACATACACGATGGGCGGTGCAGTACTGATAATGGAGGCAGCTAGTCTAAGACTGTCGGCAAAGGGGAAAACAGCTACAGAGATAAGGCTGTCTGTTCACCCTGGCCTAGGGAGAAACATACACGATGGGCGGTGCAGTACTGATAATGGAGGAGGCAGCTAGTCTAAGACTGTCGGCAAAGGGATAAACAGCTACAGAGATAGGCTGTCTGTTCACCCGGCCTAGGGAGAAACATACACGATGGGCGGTGCAGTACTGATAATGGAGGCAGCTAGTCTAAGACTGTCGGCAAAGGGGAAAACAGCTACAGAGATAAGGCTGTCTGTTCACCCTGGTTTGGAAATGAAACGGGCAGTACAGTATATTGTAGCTGTAGTGGGAGAGAGGGAAGCATTTCATGGGTAACTAAGATTTCCTGTTCATCGTCGCCAGAGAAACAAACAGTACGCTTATTCATCCTTACACAACAACACCACATGTGCCTGGAGTGTACTGTAAAACCGGAAATATTGGCGCTCCATTAAATTTAGCGAATTTGGCATTTAGAAATAAATAATCACTAAAATTAATGGTCCGCCAACAGGTTTTATATGTATGTAAGAGGTCAAAGTTAACCACAACTTACAAAACACTAAATATAATGGCCGCCAATATTTCAGGCTTTACAGTACCTATACCAGTACGTACATATGTTGTGCAGGTAGACTACCTGGTCCATGACGTTATCAAACTCTAAGGACACGGCCGGGAGGAGACGGTGAGTGAAACACTCGTTCTGACTCATGTCGATGGCCACCGTCTTCCTGTGGGCGGTCGGACTCACCGCGCCGTTGGCCGCCTGACCCGTCGAATCGTCGCTGATCGCAACGTTCGAATTCGAGTCCGACTCGTTTGTCTTTAACGACAGGGTTTTCCTCTTTGCGTGGGAGGAGTTCCCGCCGCTGTGTTCGCTGGTACTCTCATCATCTCTCACGTGCTTCTCGTCTGACGAACGGAGATGTTTTCGAGTCCCATCTGTCTTGTGTCGACCTAAAAAAAAACATTACATATACACATTACATATAAGGGTATTCTCAAGGAAAAAAGAAGAAATTGCCCTGGGTGGGATTCGAACCCACGACACTCTGCATACAGACAGACCTTTGCTGGAGGTGGTGGCAGTGGATTCGCCGGGAGTGCCGTTGTCCGAGTCAGAATCCTGGAGATCTTGGGAGTGAGGAGGCGGAGGAGGAGGGGGGTAGCGGTCAGAGGAGAAGGTGTCAGCCTCGCTCATCCTCGTCAGTCGAGACTGCTTCAACCTCAGCACACTGAACTCCCCACGCAGAGCCGGCTTCTGCAGAAACACACACGTACAGTAACACAAAGCCTCGATCTTCACGGATCCATCTGTAATTTCGAACATATTTCACGGGCAAAAAGAGCCGATCTTTCTACTGTTTCCACCTCTGTTTCTGACTACGCACTCTTCACCATTCTTTCAGTCTACCAAGAGGGAGCGAGATGCATGGATTAATCAATCCGGTGGAAAAAAAGCTACATATTCGTGCCAGAGGTTGCACACTTTATACAGTCCATTAAAGGAGCATGAAATATATGTGGACTCAGGGAAGTGTAATCCCTTTGAGCCTACCATGTTCCACGCAGCGAAAAAAATCAGATGTATACATACCTGTACTTTTAAAAGTTACTATTACATGATTGTAAAAACTTTTCTTTCTTTCCTTACGCACTTTAAAAGCACAGTATAACTGTGTATTAGAACGTGAACTATATGTAAAGTACAAGATGAATGGAGTTGTGACTGATTTACTTGGTTGATCAGTTCGTGTCCCAATCCCAGGAACTCATTCAGTGCCAGAAACGTCACTCGTTGCAGTCTCAACATTGTGATCTGCAGCGATATACACGTGTATTGGACATGAGGTCAGTAACAAACAGACGCAGATGTGAATGCAACAGATTAGCCTAGCTACAATAGATAATGAGGAGGGCGGTACTATTATTGCCATATGTGAAGTATGCCGTAGAAAAGTATGGGATTATGCATAACGTGCGCAGCGAAAAAATTACGCAGCGGATTTGAACGGGGTAAGCGCTGAACGAACCGGAGTGTGAAGTGCTACATTTTGATACCAAGCGTGGCTGCATACGGTGCTGGAATCGGAAGGTATTCTAGATTTTCAAGGTGCATTCTCAGCGCGAACGTACTTTAGTATTAATTGCACGACTATAGAGTTGCAGGTGAATGTGCAGAGAACATGATGTAATAGAGAGGAGAAAGGAAGGGAGAGGTTTGAGTACCTGCACCATCCTCAGAAGAGAGTCTGGATTGTTCTCAAAAAACTGCCGAAAAGCAGTCGCCTTTACCCTGACAGAAAAGAAATTGTGTACATGTAGATGCATTGACTTGACTTTATATAGGGGGCAGTTAAAGGGAATATGGGAGTACATTTAATGAAGATCAATAGGGCCCAGTGCATGAATGCAATAAAGTTTCATAACCTTATCTAAACTAAGGCCTTAACACTACACTCCCACATTCCCTTTATGTATGGCCTTGCATATGAATGCTCATGGTCCATAACATATACGGGTGAAGAAGAAGTAGTGTTGTAGTGCGTGGTAATAGAGGAGGGGCTCACTGGAGGACATAGCTGTCTCTGGTGGCCTTCGCAGCGACTGACTTGAAGGTGCGAGTGCTGCCGATGATGGCGTTGAGGATGCTCAGCATGCTGTGGACACTGTCCCCGGGCCCAGCGTCCTTCAGCGGCAGCTCCGTTCCATCCTATGGATAACCATTGTGCAGTATAGTACGTATGTAAGTACATACATAGCATTGTAGTGGGTAACTTTAACGAAATTCATGACCACGAGAGCCGTCAGAAAAATGGCCTTCCACGAAATTTGTCTGGTGGCAGAATTATTCCATCCTGCGTGGGTTTCAGTCGATACAGTTGCACTATTTGTTAGTTTTTTTGCTTTTGTTCTGGTTTAATCGCAGTCCGAAAAAAAAAATAGCGTGACAAGTGAGCACCAATCCGTGTAAAGGTTCTTTCTCTTCTGAGTCTTAAAGAGATTTTCCACGTGGTGTTTTCCGCTGTAGCTCAGAGATCAATATGCACAATGTTTTGAGTACCCAAACAAACAGCTTCGGTCAGTACTATGTACAGTAGCGGTCATTAAAAAGAGTTTAAAGTACAGTACCGTACCTTACTGTACTAAAAACAGTACCTAAAACAGTACCGCGACAGTACCGAAACAGTACTTTGTATGCCTGTGTCACAATAGTACATAATGTCATTAGTTGGGCAGTAGTAATCTGACCTTTTGGCATGCTTCACTACCTGCCACTAAGAGGATTCATCCTTTGGTGTTTGCACTCTACACACACTTACAGTACACTAGTATGTGCATACAGATGTTTGCCACGCACTAACAACCAAGACAGACAGGTGTCTCAGACAAGTAGTCAAGAAATGTTTCTCGAGGGGGGGAGACATGTATACTAGGATGATAAAAGTTTCAAGGGACAGTTAAAAATTCAGTTTTAAATTTATATCCAGTTTAAAATTTTGAAGGGGACCGTCAAAATTTCAAGATTGAGGCAGGGGAAGGGAGTCAAATAGTTTCAGTTGGGTAGGAGGGCAGTACATATGTACATGCTAATGCTTATAGAGTGCTCATTAACAGTTTACCCTCTCAACGATGTAAACCCTGAGACGACCGTTTCTCACGACGTAGATGCTGTCGTCTGTCTGCCCTGGACGAAACAAGATGGCGCCCGACGGCACAAACTTAGTCTCCACGTGTTTGCACAGCTCCATAAACAGCGGCTTCTCGAAATGACCAAAGGCTCTGCGAGTAGAGAGAGAGAGAGAGAGAGAGAGAAAGGGGGCAGCTCCTACTAATTAGTACAAACAAGCATTTCTTGCCAAACAGACTGACACAATGCAGAGCTGCCAAATGGGCACATGGAACTGTTTTGCATTGCAAACCTCGGTACCATATTTCTCTTTTGTAATTCGCTTTGTATGTGTATTATGTAGAGGAATAGCTAGAAAGAATTGGGGTATATATATATGTACCTACACTAAAATTTGTCCCTATCCATGAATGTTCATACATATACGCACGCTTTACAGCTCTACAAATGACGTTTTAACAACCAATAGATACTCCTTCAAATGGACTCGTATGTACGAATGTATACCTGAATATTCAGCACACCTCACCTGACACTCTTGAGCAAATAGAGCACTTCAGATGGAATGTTGGAATCGCCTGCCTGTATAGAGGAAAAAAACCTGACTTCACAAACATGTACACGTGAATGGATGCAGGTGTTCAAAATGTCATTAATGTATATACAGTGGATGGAACCCTTCTTCAAGTACACCCTTGAAATGAGGACATCTCTCTAATAAGAACAATCTTCTTTCCCCAAGAACAGTGTCTTTAATAAGGACACCTCACTAACATGGACATGCTGGGAAAGTTGTGTGGACACTTTCTTCCGTCCAATTGGTGTCTGTATTAGAAATAAGGACACCTCACTAATATGGACACTTTCTTCAGTCAAATTGGTGTCTGTATTAGAGGGGTTCCACTAAATTACCTCTGAATCGGGGTCGAGGAAGGCGTCAGGAGGCTCCCGGTGCAGCTGAGTCTCCGTTGGCTCCGGCTTGTTGAGCAGTCGACGAGCTATGCTGGAGATCTTCTCTCGAGGCTTGCGACGGAAATGACGGAACTCGGAAGATGCCTGTAGAGGACATTAGAGAACAGACTGAAGGTTTGGCCAAGCAGTGCAGTGAGCACTATTTCTAGCCCTTGAGAGAGGAGAGAGGAGAGAGGAGAGAGGAGAGAGGAGAGAGGAGAGGGGAGAGGGGAGAGAGGAGAGAGGAGAGAGGAGAGAGGAGAGAGGAGAGAGGGGAGAGGGGAAAGGGGAGAGGGGAAAGGAGAGAGGAGAGAGGAGAGAGGAGAGAGAGGAGAGAGGAGAGAGGAGAGAGGAGAGAGAGGGGAGAGGGAGAGGGGAGAGGGGAGAGGGGAAAGGAGAGAGGAGAGAGGAGAGAGGAGAGAGGAGAGAGGAGAGAGGGGAGAGGAGAGAGCGCATTGCCTCCAACTTACACATGGACGAATCAACGGAATTTGTACACAGAACAGACCCGTAAAAACATGGTAGCAAGTATTACGACAATCAACACACGTAACAGGAAAAGCAATGGTAGGAAAGTTGACCTGGAGGATCTGACAAAACCAAGGGGTGGAAAGGAGATATATTGTATCAGGTACACCTGCAGAGCAAGGTGAGAATACTCTGGACATTGCAGCAATGGAGACAAAACACATTTCTCAGATTCCACAGACGGCAAAACATACAGACCTTTCTAAACATCTTCTTCCCGTAGTTTTGGACCATTTCCCTCTTCCTGTGGATGAGATCAAACTTGTCCCGGTCCTCCTCTTCCTCCTCCTCCGTTCCTCCCTCTCTGGACACACTCGAGGCGGAAGAGAGTGAAGTGGAGATAGCCAGGGCTGCAGTTCGTAAAATCTCGGTGAGTAACATGTGCAACGACAGAAGGCTATCTTGTAACAATGTGAACCTATCTAACCACTTCCTTTGTGCATTAAGGGTAGATTATACTGTCGACAGCTGAAAAAAGAACATCTGCTGGCAAGTTTACAGGCCTAAATCAAAACGTATTTATCCAAGTAAGTTGGTTAGAACCTGAAGTTTTTTCACGTCTCTTGAATCAAAGAACAGTTTCCAAAAACTCCACACAACGTTCCCTCGACATAAAGCGTTGGTATGATAATTCTCAGAGACTCACGTTTCTTCTTGCTGCCGTATCTGCTGAGACATCTCCACAGCAACCAGGACGAGACAATTACGGCGAACACCGAGCAGAGCACAGCCAGCGGGCGCTCCTGCAGATATTGATTCAGCGCCTCTAACTGGTCCCCTAATGCTTCCCAGGTGCCAGCCATGACCTCTGCTTTAGCAGAAACAAGAAAGTGATCACAGTAAAAGAACGCGTCAACACATGGTGCCACACCCCCATTCCGTCCTACATGCAGAACGGAATGGAAACAGCCAAGTATACGAGGGGGCGGAGTCGAGAGGGTGAGCTACCAAAGGGACGGAGTCTTGAGAGCAGAAACACTGCAGCGCCATTGGCCGCAGCGCCAGAAATGGCTTCCAGACGAGCTTGGTGAGGTGCTGCTACTCTGTGTATAGGTGGATTGCAGTAAGCAGTTAGTCTTTAGCGTTGAGCACTGTTTTCTGCAGGCTGGAGGACTTCCGTCATATGCTCTCGTCTGAAGCAATAGACTTCGAGAGACTCAGGACCCGCTGTTTCCAAGGTATGCAAGAGAGGCCGCTCCGCAGATCACACTGCCACTGTTTCGATTTGTGATTCCCCAACTTAGCATACCACGCGTAAACAAACTAAACGCCCATTAGCTACGTTGATACCATGTTTGCAAATACTGTACTTATAGCTGATAAACTGCGCCCGTCTTTAGGTTGTCCAGATGGGGAAGGCATCAGAGCTACATGCTGGAAGGTATCTGTTTAGATAAGTAGCTATGTGTAGTCTTGATAGATAGTCTATGTGGGCTGCTTTTTTTCTCTTCTTATGAATATAGATATTGCTGGGATATCTACCACCTGACACTTCATCGTGGGAAGCAGTTCTAGAAAGCAAAAGGTCAACAATCAATTGCCACAACTCTATGATTATCATCTATATAATCATGCAATGCAGTAATAATCTATCCCAAGAGCATATGCCCACTGACTATATACATACACTTTTAGCAACGCATCCTCTCGCACATAAAGGGGTGTTGCTGCAGTATTATTAGAGTGTGACGGTTACACTGTGTGTGTGTGCAGGGCACTGTACCACCAGCTGGTGAAGGAGACTATCATTAATCCCCACGAAGATGAAGAGAGTGACTCTGGCGAAGTTGTGGACCACGTAAGTCGTCAGTCACCCTTCATTATCGATAGATAGAACACTAACACTATCAGTGGTGCTAAAGCGCTTTGTGATCAATCCTAATCCATGGCCAAATATGAGCACCGCCTAGCTCCCAGAATGTTTTCAACAACCATATGCTGTAGGATCAATCCTAATCCACAGGGTGTTTCATTATCTTTGTCAGCCTCTCAACCCTAACCCTGAGAGCAGTTGGAATAGGTTCTTTGTCGACAACCAAGTTCTACTTCAAATCGACCACGACACCAGGTATATGCACGCATCTAATGTCATACATCACCTAATATAATAATACACAGCCCAGTCACTCTGTGTGAGAGTGAACTATGCTCTCCCATGTGCATAGGAGACTGTACCCTGACCTCAGCTTCTTCCAGCAGCCCACGCCCTACCCCAGAGCCTCCTATAGTGCAGGTACGTATATATCATTCATTGAACAGCTAAAAACGGTGATGTAATAGTGATGTAAGGCATCGTTTTTTGTTGGCAAAACTGGACAGCTACAAACATAATGTACTGTTGCTGCTGCAGTTGCACAATTTGTTGCTGATGGGAGGGAAAATCTAATAGATTTTGAGATATAGGAAACTGCATGGTTAGTGAGTTTGAATGATGTAGGTTATATGCACTGATCTAACTACTGAAAATCACTTGAGTATACGTATATTCTGTCTTTTAGGAATGGAAGCACTGAAGAAAAGAGTTGAGCGTTCATCTCTTCCGTCGCAGCGAGTGGGCACCACAAGAATGGGAATCATTAACGTATGTCACACTAATATACAGTACGAATCAGCCAACACCTCTACCCCTTACCTTACCCTTCTTATATACCCTTCCCTACCCTACCCTACCCTACCTTACCTTACCTTACCTTACCTTACTTTACCCTTCCTATATACCCTACCCTACCGTTCCTACACTCCACCCTACCCAAAAACAGTTGACGTTTTTTGACTCATACTCTATAAGTATATATATATGGTGTATGGAGTTCTTCAGTAGTATGTGTATATATGTCCAGTTAGACCTCTGAATAAAAAGTGTCCTTTATTCAGAAGTAGAAGTGTCTCTTATTTGGAGGTAATGCAGTGTAGAACAAAGCGTCCTTTACGGAGAGGTGTCCTTTATTTGGAGAGTCCATTCAGAGGTTCACTGTATGCTTCACGCAGATGAAGTCCACTGCCAAATATAGCTCTTTGGAGAAGTACTATCTGCCACTGAAAGAAGGAGAAGAGGCACATTGGGAGGTGAGATAGTTAGAGCAATAGGTCTCTCAGAATGTTTGAAGACTGATATTTCTTCAGGTGGTGGAAAGGATACTGTTTGTACACGCAAAGTGTAACAAGGGCATAGGATATGTACAGGTATTAATAGCGCAGTGCTGAATGACTGTATACACCAGGGTAATAAGTATATATATACACTACATGATGCAGTATACACCAGGGTAATAAGTATATATATACACTACATGATGAATGACTAGGGTAATAAGTATATATATACACTACATGATGCAGGGAATGAATGAAGTGATAGGTCCACTTAGGGTAATAAGTGTATATATACACTACATGATGCAGGGAATGAATGAAGTGATAGGTCCACTTTACTACGTGTTCTTTCAGCATCCTGACGTCAGATGGAAAGGTGAAACGGACAATAAAGGGAACGTGTCAGTACATAAGGGCTAAATTTAGAAATGTTTCTAAAGATAGAACAAAACAATAGGGACACAGTGAATGAATGTACTTTAAGTTCTAACATTTCTAAATTTAGCCCTTATAATTATACTGCCACATTCCCTTTAACTATTGCGTGGGTTATAATTATTATACTCTGTTGCTTGCTGTGTTGTCTGCAGAGCATGCAGAGGCCGACACCTCCTTTTGTTTCAGTGCACTCATGGCAGAGATTGGAGACGTCTTTACAAAGAAACTGGACTCAGCCCACCTTGGAATAGGTCAGCACACCAATACACCCCTCATTGCTTCCTACATACTATGGCTATACAATACCTAGGCTTGAATTCAGGCATGTGACATGCGAGTGGGAGATAGGGTAGGACAGTGAGTGGATAAGGACTTGAAAGTCGGTTTCACATTCTTCCACTACTGTCGTGGCATGTTTGTGGGCATTGCTTAGTACGACATGTAGTATTAGTGATGGCAGACCAATGTAACTCTACTTATATACAGCATGAGCTGGATACAGAAGTGATGTCACAATACCACATTATTGACTAGTCATGATACCACAACTATATACCTGCGAATAAAAACCAACTTTATGTGGGCCGGACACGTTTTGCTACTGTCGTGCACCCACGAAACTTCTTTCCGGCTGTATCTGTATAATGGTGGTTGGTATATATGAGTTACCGTATGATTATGGCTTGATTGCAGGGGGAGCAATGAGAAGCCTCATGCAACTACTGAAGGACAAGGATCCAGTTCTAAGCAAAAACTTTGTGAGTTGGAGACTTTGTCTTTGGGGACCCAAATTTGACCCGTAACATCATGCGAAATACGGAGTGTATTCAACGCTTTGGCGCGACGGGAAAGAAGATGGACTGATATATACACCTAACGTTTCCAGTTCGAATCCTTCCTATGCTGTTTTTATAGCGTTACACTTGGTGTTGCGTGTTAGTATATAATGTAAAAGAGGCCACACGAGTGGGGCTCTGGGCCCCCAGAGAGCTTTCAGAGTCACTGTGATGAGTGTTTGCTGGTGCTGAAGGTAAAGAAAGGAGTTGAGCCTCAGTTCTTTGGATTTCGCTGGATCACCTTACTACTCTCCCAAGAATTCCTTCTACCAGGTGGGGAATTACGTCATAATGATGTCATCTGTAATGACATCATTGATTGTAATTATGCAGAGCTGATGCGAATATGGGACTCCCTATTTGCAGACGCCAACAGATTCGACTTCCTCCTCTACATGTGCTGTTCTATGATAATGTGTGTGAGAGCTATATACCCGTGTGCATAGATTAACATGGCCTCCACTCTTTGCAGCTCTGTGAGAGAAAAACTGATTGCTGGAGACTTTGCTGAGGCGGTCAAACTCTTACAGGTATACACTGTATTCATTCCCGGTCCCCAAGAAACGGGTCTGGTGACTATTGAGCAGTTTATTGTTGGTTGTTCTGCCTCATCATTGTCGAGTTCATGCGCAAAAAGGCCGTTTTTGTTCGTGGGCACGCTGAGCTCACGAAGCTGCATTAGGACGAGGTGACTATTGAAAATGTGCTGACATTTAGAGCACACTGTAATCAGGATGTCCGAGGTGTCCTAAATCCCAGACCATATACGTTGTTTGCTGTCTCCCAAGAACCGATCCTCACCGCTATTTCATTCATGCTGGTAGCAAATGCCACACAATCTGTCTCAAAGACTGTTGAGTCGGCACAACCAAGAAATCGTTCAACTGTCACCAGACCTCCTCTCCTGAAGGCGGGGTCTGGGCACGAGACTATAATAAAGCTACTGCAGTCACATTCACCATTGCATTTCTGCGTTCTTTTCCGCAGCATTACCCACCCTTGGACATTCACAAACTCTTGTGCAATGCAGAAGAAATCAGGAGATTTCATCCCCTCAAAAAACGATAGCTCCAATCTTTTCTGTATTAAATTATTTTTTTAATGATGGTGCTTCGATTTCTAAGTTGGTCCCGCGCAAGAGGGTCTGGTAGCTAACGTCCATTTTGTCGGCTCCGTGAGTCAGGATGTTCGAAAAACAGGTATATACGCGAATAAGATGGCGATGTTTTAAAATGTGACACATTCGATGTATGCAAACGAAGGAGAGGAAACCGCATGGCATCATGGCACATTACAGTTGATAACCTGCTGATTCAGCACAACCAAGCATGCATTAGAAGTTACATACCACCAGACCTTGCCAATCAGGTTTTTAAAATGTGACACGTTGGATAATGAGAGGGGAAACACATGGCCCATGACCTACTGATTCAGCACAACCAAGCATGCATTAGGCACTACATACCACCAGACCTTTCCCTTGTGGCCAATCAGATTGCTAGGTTTTTTTAAATGTGACACAAACAAATGAGAGAGGAAACACGTGGCATGGTACGTACGTACTCCATGACATGCTGATTCAGCACAACCAAGCATGCATTCGGCATTACATTACCACCAGACCTTTCCCTTGTGGAGGGGGCGGAGTCAGAGAATAAGTCTCTGCTAAAAGCACACAGTAGTATTATTATTCACCATAACAGTAAACCATAGCATGCATGGAAAATGCTGTCCATCTGCACTACTATGAAGCTGGTACTCCAGTGGCTGCGGTGGGTTGTGTCCTGGGCGCCCCAGCTCCTCCTGTCTGCCCTCCGGTCTGCCCTCCCGCCTGGCCACCAGCTGGTCTAGCATCATCTGGCTGTTGTGTGGATGAATATGAATAATAAACACACAAAACTGTCAGTTGAACCCTTCTCGAAGGGCACCCCTGAAAAGAAGACACCTCTCTAATTATGGACACACATCTTTTCAACATTTCTTGCACTGTCCTGTCCTGAAATAAGGACACCTCACAAATATGGACACTTCATTCTCTACCGAAACAGTGTCAGGATTAGAAGGTACGGACATCGGAAGGTACACAGACTGACCCGTGGCCTGAAGCGAGGAGGCGGACTGCGGTCCTTGCGGGCCTCCTTGGAACGGTTCCGAACGATCTTGGAGTGGATGGCGCAGCTGACACAGTACACCAACTTGGCGTAAATCTTGGGAGGCATGTAGTTGTCGTACACAGACGCTTCGTTCAGATCCCGGATGGCCGCCGCTTCAACTATGTTGCGGATGACGTTCTTCTTGATACACTTGTCCTTGGGCACACAGCGAGCACAGTTGGTACACCGTACATAACGGACATGGCCGCGACCATGCTTAGATCTTCCACTGTTTCGCCTTTTCTGCGTCATCTCCCTTCTTTCCGACCCACCCCAAGAGGCAACGTGGTGAATATGGTTGTGCGCATGCGCATAAATTGACAGTGCCGTCGTCAAAATGGCTGCCAGCTGCAGCTCGTCTTCTTCTGCAGGGGCCTGCGGCTCTATTCTGCAGTCTACGGCTGACCAGTTACTGTTGGAAGTGAAAAGAGAGGCCGAAGAGTCTGGTAGTATCTCCGAAGACCTCGTGTCTGCCCTTCTTTTCGTGTTTCAGGCGCCTCTCCACCAAGCCTTGGATCTTCTCGACAGAGGCTCCGTTACTCGCTACTACTGCACCGCCGGTAGAGAGCTCTACCGCGTCAGAGGGAGCGGAGGTCGTTTCTACACCTGTCTCACCTCCTCGGACTACTGTAGCTGTCCCTCGTTTGTCTACACTGTGCTAGTAAAGCAGGATTCGCTGCTTTGCAAACACCTGTTGGCAGTGCAGCTTGGGAGGGCGCTGTCAGCTGGAGCGAGAGGACATGTAGGTAGCAGAGAAGGAGAAGAGGAAGGAAAGAGCAGCAGTTTACCTACAGTAGATGAGGTATGTGTGACAGATGAGGAATTTGGTCGGATGCTCATGATTGCTTCTGGCGAGATGGACACCACAGTACCACCTGGGGGAGAAGGCCCTCGATAATATATCCCATAACCTCCCTCGATTTCTTTGCCAGATATACATCCCATTAACTCAAGCAGGAATCTTCATATCAACAGTAAGAATGGGCAGCATTGTGGATAGCAGTGAGGTGAAAGGAAATGCAGAACAAGGAACAGAGAAAAACGAACAGAAAAATGTTTTTTTAAAAAGGCAACAGAAAAACTGAATTAAGAACGGAAAAGGCAGAGTAAGGAACAGATTGACTAAACAAGGCTCCTGGCTCAGGTATCCGGTGGCCACTTGGCACAGAGTACAGTGTCCCTGCCGTGTGCAGCAAAGCAGTCTCTGATGGACTTGTCGATGATATCCAGACGTCTATCGATGGCCTGTAGATGGAGGGAGGTGAGAATGGGGTACGCAGGGTCCCTCCTCATGCTCTGGTCGAGTCTCTGTGAGAGACTGGGCTCAGAGTGAATCAGCTCTTGCAGACGGTCCCACGTTGACTGTCTCACCCTGTGACGGCAAGTGAGGAGAGTTTTCTATTATATATAAATGTGAGAAAATGCGTTACAGATACCTGCAGCATTGTTGAAGTGGAGCTAAAATAGACATCTCATCGTGATACGGATTCCCAAAACTAAAATGATAGAGAAGTCTTATGAATTTGTGTGCAATACACATGGCATAACCTACTGTAATTATAGGCAAAAAAGCTGATGATAGCTCACCTCTTTCCATTGTCAATGTGCAATAGTTTGCCGTGCTTACTGGCTTTTGCATACGTCTCATAGTGATGCCTGTCTGCATTACCTGCGTTACAGAAATCACGCAACACACACATATATACAATAGCTTCAAGTCGGTCTGTATAATGTATGTGTCGTCTACTCACCCATAAGAAAGTCAAAGATACACGAATCTGTGAATTCCAGTAGTCCGTAAAAGTAGTCGGAATCAGATTTGCTGATTATGTAGTTGTTGCAGTATAAATCGTCCGTCTCCCACCTGTGATGAGGAGGGCAGAAGTCAACCTATGTATGCACCATTGCTGCAGTTAAAGGTCGACCTCCAAGACACACAAATACACAAACACACACAGACAGACACCACACGGTTTTAAGCACAGGGTCCAGTTTCACCACAATGTAATGGAGAATAATACGATCGTGTTTAATCATGCAACTCCGTACACTGGTAAAGTATACTATGGCATTGCAACCTCTGGGAGTCCAGCGGCGTTATATATATATATATATACACCAGCCGTATTTTACATTCACCTTCCTGCTTGCTTCCTTATTTCGCGTTCATGACGGCATAAACCCCTTTCCAAGCGAGAGTGGAATGAGTGAGAACTGTTTCCCATTTAACCGTGCGTAATTATTCAAACAGTCCCCACGACACTACCACCCACCCCCCCCCCGATTTTTTTTTGGAAGAACGACTCACTTGGCCTTGTGGTTGGGGCGGTAGGTTCTCTGGTAGGGATGTCTGCGGGTCTTCAACTCGTACCATTCAGGAAGCCACAGCGTCACCGAACCCTCCATCACCTCACCGTTCGCACAGGCCGCCTCCTCCTTTCTACAGTAGTAACACTTCCCGTAGAAACACGTGTTTCCGTCTGCCAACAAAAAGTACCATTATTAATCCGTTGAACTTGTTTCATGCAGCGTAACAGTTGAGTATTCCGGTTTGTATGACAAGTAAGGAAGTTATAATATGCATATAAAACCGCATGTCCTAGGAAATAATTATTTATTATCTGGTGTCTTCAACACAGGACACGAGATTTTATATAGCTGAGGTCGAGGAGTACAACTGAGGCATAGGGTTTAGAGTCTGGTAGACTAAGCACTAGACTAAATTTCCTGGTGTAACCTGATTATCCTGAAAGATACCTATACTTCCACGGCAACTGAGGACCATCTATTACATAATATGATGCCAACTGAGGACCCCCCCTATTACATAATATGACGCCAACTGAGGACCCCCTATTACATAATATGACGCCAACTGAGGACCCCCCTATTACATAATATGACGCCAACTGAGGACCCCCCTATTACATAATATGACGCCAACTGAGGACCCCCCTATTACATAATATGACGCCAACTGAGGACCCCCCCCTATTACATAATATGACGCCAACTGAGGACCCCCCCTATTACATAATATGACGCCAACTGAGGACCCCCCCTATTACATAATATGACGCCAACTGAGGACCCCCTATTACATACAGGTGTCTTTGAAGTAGGTGTTCCTGAGGGTATCGGTGGTTACGGGCCACACATATGTCAAGTTGACTCTCCTGCCTACCACCGGAGGAGCTATTCTGAATCCCAGCAGTCTGTATATATCAGGATAATGATGTTATTATTGTGAATAATACTCTAACACCACTTTAACTGCGTACAGGAGATGAATATATATATATACCATAGTGAAAAACATGAGTAATTGGGAACACTATTCATTTGTTGTCAACAACTTGTACTAGGGTTGCAATGTGGTTTTCCAACGGCATCACAGCTTTAAAAGTTTAATGTTTCATAACCTGTAAACAACACTTCTATGCCACGGTAAATTAGCATATCAAATGACTGTTACAAACAAGTTGTAAAAATTGTTTAAGCATCCACAGTTACAATATTGAGACTTGCCCATCGAGGTGGAATCCGGCAATCTCTGCATTATGTCTGTCAAATCCAGCATACGGATCTCCCTGAATTACTTCATCTCTCTGATACCTAGCAGTACAAGTGAAATTTCTGAACAAGGAACATACTGTTGGGGGGACATGGAAGTGTCCTTATTATTTTTTCAGAGAAAAAAAACACATGGAACCAAATTTATAGAGGCATCATTTATTCAGAGGGTCCTTTTCAGAAGTTTCACTATCTTGCGGCAAATTGCATGGCTACAGGAGAAGCATGGAGAATTAAATCACCATCAACAACCTACCTCCTTGGTTTGAATGCCGTTCGCTGCTCCCCGAGGAACATGCTGGCTTTCAGCTGCGTACCTCTGTGCCCCACGTCGAACGACAAAATCGGGTAGGTTGCCATGGCGTGAAGGATGGAATCCATGTCGGCCGACCAGAATGCATCGTCGGGGTAGAAGTGATCCTGTCTGACCCACGACCCCCACACTTTCCACGGATCTCTCCCTTCCTCACCAACTCCATCTCGAAGGTCTCCAACTCTGAGTCCTTCACCAATAATCTCAGGCGGTATCTTGAACTGCGGGTCGTCTGAGAGCTCGCGTCCCTTGGGACCCCTCTGGGCAGCCAACTCTTTCACCTCAGGACCCCTTGGCTGCTTCTCCAGCGCCTCGTCTCTGTTCGTGTGGTCCACCTTCTGCTGCAGTCGTCTGTTTCTCTCCAGCCCCTCTTCCCCCTGCAGGTCGGGGTCCTGCTCCTCGCCCACTGGAGGCTCGACTTTAGGCACGTTTTTTACCGTCTCCGCGGCGTCTTCTCGACTTGAAGCAAATAGAATGCCGACGAGAAATAAAACGGACATCCCTAGGAACAGAGTACCAGTCACTATAACTCTGTGCTTTAGCTTCATGTCCAGAAACACCACACTTTCTGCAACTTCGTCCAAGGCTTCGGGTGGTCTTTTTCTAATACCGTATGGAACGGGTTAAAAATATTTGACGGGGGCGCGTTCACGTGGAAAGGGGCGTGAGTGCTGGAATTTTGTTTTTACTCGAGATAGCAGTTAGCTAGCGTTTACTGCTGAGACGGATTATACCACCTTTGGAGCGTGTCATTAACTGTCGGGCTTTTTCTTGCTCTCTACAGTCCTTCTGTACACAGCAGGGGAAATGAGCAACATTTGAACGTGACAGCTACCGCAGGAGAACTCGGAGTTTATGCAGCTAGTGGTGTGCAGCGGAGATCTAAAACTTTCGCGAGGGCGTGGTGCCGTCGACAATTAGCCCACGAATGATGGAGCCGTGCAGAAAAGGACTGGTCTACCTCTTTCCTTTCCTTCTCTGTGGGACGGCAATGCGTAAGTGCACCGAAAACATTTTTCTAGCATAGCTGCAGCAAAATACTCGGCTGTACGTAGCTAGGTTGGCGGGAAAGCGACTATCAAAACTTCAGTACGTATACACGGCTGTCTCATATGCGGTTATGCAAGTAGCTAAGATTAGCAAACCAGACCCTCTACATGGGTGGAATGCAGTTGATAGGAATCCAATATTATCGAAAGTTCCAGCTCAGTCTAGAGAAGACAGCACATGATAGAGCTCACTTGGGGAAATAACTCACTGAGCAGAGGACATGCTCGGTTACATGTGCTCTTTCCAGTGCATTACCCTCAGCCACACACCTACACATGGGGTCAGAACTGGGGAGCATGTTTTATATTCACTTGGGAGACTGTGTTACCTATATACTACTACACATAATATGGCTAATACTAGCTAACTGTAGCTATAATCAAATGAAAGCCACTAGCCTCGAGCCTGTAGTGGGAGGCTAGGACTGTTGATTGGGGAGTTGGGGCAGCTGATGTGCTATGGACTAGTGTGACAGACTACAACATTGCTGAATTTGTGCTTCCTCTTCTGTAGGAGTCTGAAATATGGCCTGGCGCTTTTGCATTCTCTGGTGTAAGCATACTACGAGCATTGTAATATCGGTTGCTTAGCTTTGAGTTTGTAACTGTAACCCAATCTCTTGCCACCCAAGTTTACTGGTTACCAAATACATAGGCGTGTGTCTATAGTGTTACTTGATTAAACAGTGCTGCAACTAAATCTCTTGTACCAGTACCAACTTAAACCAGACTGTATCATGTTTTGCTTGTACAGTGTATGGGATATGTAAGCGTAAGCGCTGGTATGATAGCTTATGGTGCATTACAGTGCGGCAAACCTTTTAGGGAAACTGCGGAAAAATTCGCTTGTCCTGCCACAAGAAATTTCTCATGGATGGCTTGTAATTATGTTGATCAGTCAGACAAATGTCAGGCTATTGTCTGTATATATAACACACAGTGAATGCGTGTTGGGGAGATTCAGGGGACGGTAATGCCTATTTTTTCCAGTACACTACAACAGCCGTCTCAGACCTCAGCCTCTTTAACCCTCAGGTAATCAATATGCACAACCCTCTCACTATTATAATCTACTGCTCCCTGTCATAATATTAATACCCTGCAGATATATCGACTCTATTGATCAGCTCAGAAACCACATCCTCCACACATACTTCCAGCAAAGCTTTTCCTATTATCACTGATGTCATGACCAGCAGTACTAGAACCTCAAGTCCAGCTACAGTCACCCAATCACAAACAGTTTTATCCACATCACTTGCATCGGCTGCCAACAACCCATCGTCAACTTTTACGCCCACAATAACTCAGTTGTCTCCCACACCAGCTATTTCACTGACTCCAAACCTTTCGTCAACACTGCCTGAACCAACAAGTGAGGGACCTTCTTCTACATCAGCAGTATCGGAACGCACTGGATCTCTGTCTGTGTCGACAGACACACCAAGTCCCAGTGTCCCCCGGGAGTCTACACTTACCACCAGTCTTGAAACCACACCCACATCACAAACAAACACTGCAGAGACCACACCCACAGCTGAATTAATTCAAGCTACACCCACAACTACTCCTGGTACAACATCGACTGGTAAGATTCATTCACTATATCCATGAAAATAATACCATGCATGGGGCACAGACAGCTTTCTTCACTGTGATGCATAATAATGGACTATGGAAGTGCACATTGTTAACTCCTCTATAAAGTGCTGTGTGAATGTGGGTGTGTCTTTGAAATGCCTTGTGTTTACACCACATGATTCATGGATCAGAGATACTACACATGGTCTGTTGCTGTGCACCTAAACAACACCTTTTTAATATGCACACCGCACACCCCACACACCATTAGTTGAAGTATGTGCGATACCCTAGGAAAATCCTGCTCCCCCTTTAATTCCCAGTACCTGTGTTAATCCCTTGACAAAAAAATCATTAACAGGAGTGACGCTGCCAGTCATACCATTCAACCTGCGAAACAGCAAAATATTAACACTTAACCAGCCACGGACACATGAACCTTCATAAGTCCATAAGAATTTATATGGGGGTTATAATACTAGGTGCTTACTACTTTATACATCAATTTACTAGTTCAGACATCTACTACTTTATACATCAGTAGTAGGCTGGCTGGTATAATACTTACATCAGTAGAGCACTTGTCTAGAGTGCAGAATGTTGTGGGTTCCAATCCCACCTAAGCCAGGAAGAAAACAGTAAAAACAGTTGTCCTAGGTGGAGTCATGCCTTCTGCCTTGACAACTAGGTAGGTATGCTCCCTTCACTTCAATTACCACAATTAGTCTGGGGTAGAACCAAGTTCCTCTTGTAGAGGTGTCCTTCATTCGGAGGGTCCTTTTTCATAGGTTAGATCTATATCTCTTGCTACATGCATGCTCCATCTCTATTGCTGTGTATTATACAGGTAGTGATGATTGTGAATTTGCTCTACATCTATTGTACAGGCAGTGATGAGGGTGTTTTTGAAAAGATTACCGACTTCTTCACTTCTCTCCCGGATGAGCCTGCAGTCCTCATAGGAGTGATCCTGGGGCCAGTGGCAGTCATTCTAACAATCGTCGTCATCTGTGTCGGATGCTGCTGTCTGCGTAGCTCCATGAAGAAAAACAGCGCGAGATTCGATCTGGCGTAAGTGCTAAAACAATCCGTTAACCAAAGAAGATGCGAAAGGAAACAGGGTTAATTTGTCTGTGCAAGAATGTGAAAAGTCTAAGTTCTCCTGATGTATAATGTAAACCGGTCGCAATAGCTTTTGTTATCTTACGAATTATTTCCCCATCATCAACATCTGGCCATGAAAGAAATGCGGCCACGTTGGGAAAGAAGCGTGTCTTAATTACACGGCCATAATGGTTACCATGGTGGATAACCATCCGTGTGTATAGTCTGTCTTGCATGCTTGGGCTGTGCAAATCCCTGCTGTAGTGGGAGTGGACTCATGGAATTCAGTTAAAACTGTCATATTATGCGTGAAAACCAATGCCTTGCCCTGCATGTGCACCTTGTGGGCATCAACCAATCATGACTATACATTTACAAGGTTTAGTTACTAGTGAATCACTTTCGTTCTGATACATACGTATGTACACTGCAGACAGAGGTATATTATGTATATATACTTAAGAGTATGTGTCACAACTAACTTTTCACAATGTGGAGAGGTCTTGAAAGTCTTGTGACCAGCCGCTAACTGAATAGTATTTGATATGCACACGTGCAACAAGGGTCTGTTAGTACACACAGCACTGTACCCTCAATACACTATGAATGAGGCATCGGACACAGTGTGTGCATATACTTGTATGCATAGCCCCTACCTTGGAATTATGCATATATACAGACCTAAGCTCGGCAATAGACCATTCTCGGAGAAGTTAGTATAGAGAAGACTGCTGCCCAATGTTCAGTGGGCATCGCATGGCATCGGTGTAGGATATATTGTGTGGGTGTTTGCTGGTAGGGTATGGAAGTGGGTGTGCAACCAAGGAGGCTCATTTGGCTCCGGAGGCCTAGGTTGGCCAGTTGGAATGGCAGAGAGTGAGTGTATACCCTTCTCAAACTGTCTGTAAGAGCAAAAGTGTTGGTGTGATTCCTTCCAAGCATGGAATATCATAGCCTTTCTTGCTGTGGCACTATTACAAGTTCCCGGTGCCTTGATCATAAAAAGAAAGTGTGTGGGTGCGATTCCATGTACTGTAATTTGTTTGACCTGTTGCCTTCTCCCACAACAGGGGCAGCACCACTGGCGCCAGCAGGAATGGAGGGATCGGTGCCACCTACCGCCCGCGCAGCAGAGCCTCAGTCCAGGAGATGAGACACTACGACCCTGACGCGTTCTACGGCGAATTTGCCTACCAGACGGCCAGCCAGCCTTACCACACCACCATGGCGGCAACTTCTCCTGACGCATTCCTGGATCCCCTTCCTTCAATCTCTCCGCTCTCCTATCCATCTCAGCTGCGACACTACTTGACTTCGCCCGAAAAGCGAGACCACCCGTCTTCCCCAACTCCAAGAATCTCCCTCACCCAATCCCCCAACCGGATCCGCAAGTATCCCGGGGGCTCCCCTTCCCTTACACGTCCAACGCCACTCGGGGAACAGTTGCAGAGACAAGCGGAGAGAAATTCGATGCAGGGCTCTCGGAATTCGATCCAGGGTTCGCGAGCCTCTATCAGTGCCATGGGCTCCAGAACATCGTTTAGCGGCTCGCGAAACTCCTTCCTCAGCAGCAATAACACCATGTCGAGGGACGAGATGAGAAGCTCAGGGTTTATGGCCAGTGGCAAGACAATGAGCGAGGAAGAGACGAGCTCCCTGACCAGTAACCGGCCTCTCATGAGGCAGGCGTCACTCGACATGGTCCCCACGAGGGAATCCCCTGTTCAACTCCCGCCACCTCGGAAGAGGAGAGAGTACAAGAGCCTCACGTGCATCACTAATCCACTGGCCGTGGAGGAATCAGAGGCAAGAGAGGAAGGGGATGGCGTTGACGAGAATGATCTTCGGAAGGACCCACTTGTCCCAGTTATGACTTCGACACCAGTCAACCAGGGGGCAGAGGATCTTCCAACAAAAGAGGCAAAGCAACGGCATAACAAGGCGGAAGTGTCGTGGAAGGTGACGGAATCTGGGAGCTCGTCAACCCTCACGACACCGCGGAAGAAGAGCCTGAGGCAGCTCACAAGCCTGCCTCTTCCCGAAGCGGAGGAGAGAGAAGGGGACGAGAATGATCAAGAAGTGTCTACGGCTTTGTCAAAAAGGGCAGAGGGAGGAGGAGACAATGAAAAGCCGGAGAAAGACGAGAAAGCTCCAGCGAAACCAATGTCTCGACTTGAGAAACTGACGTCTCTCACTTACAACATCCGCTCGAGCATCCGACGCTCGCTGAAGAAGAAGAGGGTCTCGTTTCTCACTCGCACGCCCGAATCGACACCCAAGGCCAAGAAGAAGACGCCTCCCCGCACCCTCCCCACAGCCGAGCCTGATTTTGACCCCGACCCCCTCATGTTCAGCAATCCAGAGGCATTTGACACCGAGGGACCCATGCTGTCGCCCCGAATACACACCCCTTCCCCACTCTCTCCCGAATTCGAGGGAGTAGATGATTATCCTCAGCGGTACTTCGACGATTTACACAATCCCGACGTCTACCCTGAGACACATGCACTCCGTCATCCTTACCCCGGAGTAGGTGGCGGTGGAAGAATGAGAACCTACAGCGACGTACCCATGTTTGCTCCCCAGTTGAGTCAGCCCACCTACTACCCTTCCACAATGCACTATCCGCAGCCCAGCTACCCTCAGTTGAGCCAGCAGTACATCCCTACTTCCTACGGTCCTCCCCAGCCTCCGGTTGGTAGTCCTTCACACCGTGGCTTCGGGCCGCTCTCGTTTCAACCGACATTTCAGCAGCCGCTTGTCGGGAGCCCCCCACATCACAATCTCGGACCACTGTCTTTGCCTCCACAGCCACTAGTGGGTAGCCCACCACACCATGCTGGAGGTCCTCTCTTCATCTTTCCCCAACCGTTGGTGGGTAGCCCACCTCATCACGGCGGTGGACCTCTCTCTCACCCTCCACATTCCATGGTTGGCAGCCCGTCGCATCGTGGTCTCGGCCCTCTCTCTGTACAACCATCACTGCACCAAGGGTTCCCTCCTGAACCTTATAGCAGACGGTACACAGACTCTGGAGTGAGCAGTCGCAGCAGCAGGGGAAGAAACGAGCGCTCGTCCGGAGACTCTCGAAGGCAAAACCGTGCTCGAAGTCCAGATGCACTCACTGACACAGCGAGCAATGTCTCGTCTCGATATGACCGTGGTGTCAGCCCTGATCGGTTCACAGAGACAAGCACGGCCTCTGAACTCCCAAGTCCAGACGTTAACGGCGGTTTCACACACGGTCGGGACGGCTACATGGACCCACCAATTCACTACAGAGGCATACCAACAAGTCCTGAAGATCAACAACATCTCTATCCTCACCAGTTCTACCAAGTACAGGGAGGGTCTCATCCATACGGAACTGGGGAGAAGTCTCTTAGAGGGCACTCTTCAGGTCATGCGGAACGATCAGTCGATGGCCCACAAATGGGGGTAGGTAACTATAGACAAAGTGGTCTTGACAGCCAGCAGGTTCAGTCACCGGCTCACCAGCCCCACAGTCATCACAGAAGAGCTTCTGTAGACCGTCAACAGGGCCAGAGTCGATACGGCTCCAACGATACACCAAAACACAGTCGTCACGGCTCGACCGACACACCAAGCCACAGCCGGCACGGTTCGACCAGTGACACACCGAGCCACAGTCGACAAGGCTCCAGCGATACGACCAACCGTAGCCGGCGTAATTCAAGCGACATGACTGGCCAAACTCGACGTGGTTCCACCGATGCCACGCCAAGCCACTCCAGGCAAGGGTCTCATGATGCAGTTGGAGGTCGCGACCGGAGAGGGTCTATAGAAAACCCACCTCCCCCACTGGCAAGCCACATCAGGAGAAGCACGATCGACAACCAGCCAAATAAAACTAGAAGGGGCTCTGCAGACAGCCACACAAATGGACAGAGGCATGGTTCAGTTAACAGCGGAAGACGTTCGTCAGTGGAGGGGCACCCCAGACCACGAACCCTGCCCGGATTCCAACCCATTCTGGAACCAAGACCGCAGAGGAACGGACCGCGTGGAGAAGGGGCGTGGCAACACTCCCAGATAGACGAGGCCGAGGAGGCACTCCAGTATGGAATTGGGTCGCAGCGCGGCAGAATGGGATGGGATGAGGACAATGATGCCACGCCCACAGAGCATGGAATCATGCAGCGTGCAGTTGAGACCAGTACCAGCAGTGTAAAGACAAAAGTTTCGTGGAACAATGAAATCATCGAACACTTGCGCACGCCATCAGACTCCTCAGATCGTTACGACTTGTAATTGAATTTCCACCTGTATATTATGTTATGTACATTTCTTTAGCACTTTCCAGTTGAAATGCACTATGTAATTCGAAAAACTACAGTGATGACTGATAATGATATTCATGGGTCTCTGACTGACTCGCACAATGTAGTGTTCAGTTCACGCTGTGGTGTGGTGGGCATTAAATAGAGTACACAGACCCATAGCAGCAGCCGTGGTCATGGCAGCCAGCAAGACAACTCCGAGAACTTGGTGAGTGAGAGACGATTCGGACGCAGTGAGAGAGAAACGAGTTTCGTCTGACAGAGTAACATTCTGGGAGAAAAGCATCACAACAAAATCCAAAGTTTATAGTGGTGCTTACCAAGTGGTCGCTGGGCTGTAGTATGTGAGCCGATGGCAGTGAAATATCAGACGGTTGACGAGGTGATGAGATGCAATTGTCCGTATCTTCAATAGAACAGTCACTGGATAAATGAAGAGCACTAAAGTGAAGAAATGCTGTCATAAATGTAGGGAAAAATGCTAAAAAGGCTATACTACAATACATATTGAAGCAGTGTTTTGGAGTTACTGTGGGATATTTTAATTGGTCTATTTTTAGCAAGAAGGTCAAAGGACAGGGCAACAAAACACCTGAATACAGTGGAACCTCGTTAATACGAACACTGTCAAAGCGAAATACCTGCTTAATACGAACCACTTTGAAATCCCCAGGCATTATAACACTAATACAACTAGCTACTGTTACAGTGAAATTTCTTTAATATGAAAATTTTTTTATGCTCCCCTGGAATTCATATTAACGAGGTTCAACTTATAGCTGGAGAATGCAGTGCAAATATCACTACATGTGTGTAGTGGTCATTTCTGTATGTAGTTCATCCGTGTTGTATATGCCCCTTCCAATGCAATGATTGCTGGAGAGAACATTTACTTCTGAAGGCTGTGGAGATGCTGCAAGAATGACTCTGTCTCTTCCTGCTCCGTTTTGTTGAGCATCTCGGTATTTCTCACACTACCAAAGAAATCTGTCACTAGCACCTGAAACCGCACACAGCACACAATCCATCTCATTTCGGTAAAGATAGCACAGTACAACGACTACACACCTTACGAATATAGCCCTTATGTATGTACTTCTACTACCACACAGAACATATTTAGCACATACACAACTCAATATTACAGTATATTGGTGTCACATCTCGTAATCTCATTCCTGTTTCATTCCGCTAGATGCAGCATGTAGGTACATACACTAAGAAGATGTAAATATGTAGGTATTAATACTCTATTGAGATCTCTTTTGAAGAGGTCGGTTCTCAGCTCTGGATGGGATTTGACTTTCTCCGGATCAAAATAACCAAACTGCAAGAAAACACAGACAAACACTATTGTATTCACACGGTTTGAATGGGGGGAACGTGTCAGTACATAAGGGCTAAATTTAGAAATGTTACTAAAGATAGAACCAAAGAATGGGGCCCAGTGCAGGAGTACAATTAGGTTTCCAAAAATTTCTAAATTCAGCCCTTATACACTGCCACATTCCCTTTAAGTTTGAAAGAGGCATGTGTGTCCACACTGATGAACACTCTCAACCCTTAAACATTTAATTAGCAAACGACTTCAGTGTCGAAAGTTTTCCCGTCAATACACGGTACACAGTGTGCAAAGTGTAGGTGATGTGTTACGATACTTACAAAGTCTCTGAGAGTTGCTTTGCTGGCCGGTGTGACTTTCTCGAGAAACTCCAGGCATAGAAGGTCCAGCGGTCAATGATGTGGACACCTATTGCACTGTCCATGTGGTGCTGTAAGAGGGTGTGTGTGCATGTGTGTGCAGCACGCCACAGAGGGTTAATAGAAGATCTTTTGTCTCCCGTCAAAGCAAATTGTAAACATCAAAGAGGCCGCAAGGCAAAGGAGAGCAAACAAGTCAACTACACCCAGGGCAGGTCTGTTTTCAAAGGAAGAAGAAGAGTTGCCCCGGGTGGGCATTCGAGCCCACGACACTCTGCAGTCTAGGCAGAGCACTCTTACCCACTGAGCTACCAGCTCTGCCTAATCTACAACACAATACAACACATGGTAAAGGAAAACCTTTACTGACTGTGCTATGACACTGTCCACCAAATCAAGTGGGCCTCTCTCTACACTCACTGAGAGGGCATCTTCCCCGACTCGACTGCTGCCACTGGCCACAATGTTGGGGGAGTAGAACTTGTGTATCATGGAGGCTGCCTGACAAGTCTCTATCGTGAACATCAGCTCATTATACCTACACACACACACACACACTAGAATGAGCACTATGCATACAGAAGGAAAAGAGTGATAGTTCGTCATTATCATAAGCTATACATCCAGAAGACATCACACGCTTAAAGGCAATGTGACAGTATACAAGGGCTAAATTTAGAAACTGTTACTAAAATGGTACTTCACTGGGCCCTATTGTTTAGTTCTATCTTTAGTAACATTTCTAAATTACCCTTATGTAGTGTCACATTCCCTTTAATAATGTCTGTTGGGTAAAATACTCAGGAAATCCAAGGTCATTGTGGTACGAGTTAATTGAGTGACAATAAGTGGTTAAGGTTCATAGGACATAGGATTTGTGGGGAAGGCCTACAGACCCTGAATTATACTACAGTAGTTTATACCTTCTCTTTTGCCACATTTGTTCGAACGCATCTGCCAACTCGGCGCTGGAAATCTCTTCCGCGTCCTGAAACTTGAGGAACCCGTCTCCACCGTGACCTATAGGACAACACGCACACACACCAACAAATGTCCTAAAAATGCCCACACATGATCATCTTCTACTGCAGAATATCGGTGGCTTTGGTTAGCAAGAAAAAGAGACCTAGATAGAACATGTGTTTTGTAACATAGATACTCAGAGAAAAAGAGACCCGCAGCATTAAGGCAGTATACTGAACACGTAGTGGCTGAAGGCCGACTTTTTGAGCCATTAATCCACATTCTTTACGCTTTTGACTCTATTGTACATAGCTACCGTTAACTCTTTGGGGTCCAAGATTCCTATCTGGAAAATCCTCATTTTCCACTGTATCGCAAATGTTTTTTCCTCAAGTTTCATGCTAGCAGAGCGAGGATTCGAGATTTGCGCAACAAAATCCACAGATGGTCTGAATCCGTACTTTATGCCTAACATAACAACATATACAGTAAACAGAGTCCTACCAGTCATGTATATGAGAACATTGCTCCTGTCATCAGTCAGTAATCTCTTTGACCGGGGAACACTGGAGTCCAGCCTCCCTACATACATACATACATACATACATACATACATACATACATACATACATACGATATCCCAGCCGACATGTATGAAGCTAGGTACTCCCCATACATACATACATCCATACATACATCCATACCAGACCTTCTCCCATGGAGTGCACAATGTTGGAGTAAAGAAAAACTGACCTGTCAAACTCTTAGAAAATTTTCAACTGTCACCTGAAAATTAGAATTAATAATAGAACAATCCACATACACGTAAAAAGAAGATGGGTATTGGATAAGGTACATTGTACAATAGGTTGGTGTGTTTAAACGCAACAAGGTAGGTGCTTTAAAATGTATGTACCACCTCACCATGTACCCACCTCACCATGTACCACCTCACCATGTACCACCTCACCATGTACCACACCTCACCATGTACCAGTTGACTAAGCATCGCACGCATCTAAAGGTGGGTGAGTGTCAAATTCCGCACGTACCTCATAGCCCCTGTAATCGACTTCAATATCGTCCCCGTACACGTTGATGTGTTGATTGGCATTGTTAAAGACGGTAGCTGCGGGGAAGTGAGAGAGAGGGACACAGCCATGACGGAGCAAGACTTGGCACGCTACGGAGGTCAGGAAGGGTTAAAAAGGTGATTACCGGGACAAATGGAGGAAATGAGCAATTAGAGGGGCAGGCCACACTTTGATGAGGGCAGTAAGAGACAAGCTCTTTGTACTGGTGGTGTACGTCTTACCAAATTTAAACTGTAGTTGAACTCGGGCACAAAGGGCAGTGCATAGGAAGGTAGTTCAATGCCCTGTGTCCTTGTTCACGTCCGTATGCATATTGGGAGCTAAGGCGAGGGGTAGAGTGGAAATTGGGTTACCGTTGGCTACCCACCTGGTCGTGGGTTCCTGGCATTGCAGGCCATGTCGTCTGCCAGCATTAAGATGATATTGCTGGAGGCAACGAGAGAGACACCCACACTATCAGACACAACACCCACACATTGCCAACATTATGGGCACTCTATTCTGTCCCATTGGTGTCTTTATTAGAGGGGTTCCAATGTATTACACCATATGATTAACAAAAAGGGGTGCAGCTATAATTGTTATTCAGACACACCTGTCTGGAATACCAAGCCTCTTGACACTGCGATAGATGGAGAGGGTGTTGGCTACATGACGATAGTTGAACCAGTAGCGAGAGGCACACACCTGTACAGACCAAACGGAGCTCATCAATCAAACCACCACTCATAAACCAGTGGCAAGGGGAAGTGCCAGTTGAAGACACAACTAAGCCTTGAGCTGTATTCATGAGTCTTATGAACCGTTACCAGCACTGCCCAGTTGTTGGTGTGAGTGCTCTGCTGCTCTCTGGCCGCCTCCACGCTCCATAACACTGCCACTAGAACCGCTAGAGAGTGCAACAGACGAGCCATCTCTCAAGCCCCGCCCACGTGCTGCACACAAAGTTCGAAGTCCCATTCTCTCCAGCGCGCGCTATTCGATTCACTGCGCATGCGTAAAAAATTTAACGCGTGCGCTATCAGTAAAAACACACTTTTCACTAATGGAGGAAGGAAATTCTCAGAACGGTGGAGGCCAAATCATTAGCAGCCTCAATGGCCCGCACTTTGGGCAAGAATGGGTCACATACAAGTGGAAACACAGGCCTACTCAACACAGAATCTCTAGGAGTGTTCTCCAGACGCTGCCGAACGAAATCCGGGATGAAGACGGAGCAATTGTCAGCTCCGAGAGGGATCCACTTGGCAGTTGGCGGGAGATCCGACAGCTTCACACACCCACAACCACACGTCTTGACCGACTGAAAATCTCTCTCGTCAATCTCCAATGTATCTTCTTTGTGAAAAACTCTTTCCTTACTCTCTTCTCCTCTCAACGTGCCATCTACCCTCTCTGAATCTGAGTATCTCGACGCCCGTTCCTGTTTCTTATCAGCTGGTGCACATTGACCTTTCCCCCCACTAACACTATCACGCGCAGTGATGCCAGCGGATATTTTCGAGCCTCCGGCAGGAAAATGGCACCTGTTCCTCATAACACAGTCTCCCACTGTCTTGCTCTCTCCGCCGCCTCCAGGATGGACCCAGTTGTCAGGAGGGAAGGCCCAGCAGTGATGGGACCACGGGTCACTCACGACAGTTCCTCCGTGGTGCTCCAAACACACTGCCACTCTCTGGAAGCCGGTGGCCACATTCCTCATCACGGCTCTAAACGTCCCTACATAGTTAAAGGGAATGTGGCAGTATATAAGCTGGCTAAACTTAGAAACATTACTATAAACGGAAACCAATTGCATTCTTTCACTGTGCCCCCTTTTTTTAAAAATCTTTAGTAACATTTATAAACTTAGCCCTTATATTATACTGCCACATTCCATTAAGTATCAAGAATGGTTTGTAGTTTTAAGCACCAAAGGTTTTTTTAACCATGCGAGACATGTAAGTATGCAAAACTCCATTCACACCTTCAAAGTCTAAGAAAAGGTGCAACAAGAAACACCAAAGTCTTTGTGAAAATGGTTTTAGGAACAGGTTTAATGTCTTCGTACACATGTTAACATCATTCGCATTGTCCGATTGCATTTTTACACTAAAATGTTTGCTACCACAACTTGTGAATAATCCATTCGAAGCAGTAATGCAAAAGGTGTCATAAAAAACAACCAATGGTTAGACACAAACACACTGTATGAACTATACATACTCTCACTGCATCGAAGATCTGTAAAAAAATCTCTGGGGTGCTCTTCTGCAGCCTGCAAAAGAAAAGGCAGTGAAGAGATGGGAAAAAATGCCGTGACCAGGATTCGAACCTGGGTTATTGCGGCCACAACGCAATGTCCTAACCTCTAGACGATCACGGCTTGCTGCATTGACAACCCAGAAATATCTGAAGGGGTACTCAGTGGCAGATCCAGGGGAGTTCCTTGGGTTTCGCGGAACCCCCCTTTTTGTCGTTTTGCGCACGAGCGCAGTCGAAAACGTTCTGGACAGCGGAACCCCCCTTTTAAAATCCTAGATCCGCCACTGATACTCTCACACTCACAGTATAGTCTCATGCCCAGACTAAAGAGGAAAAGGGTCTGGTGACAATGGAGCGATTTATTGATTGTGCTGATTCCAGCAGTCTTAGTTTTCGGTAAGGCAATCACATCGCCTAACATCACGTAACCATGTGACCACAAAAGAAGCGAAGCTAAGTGCACGCTGCATATCAAACGCAAATACAAAAAACTTGTACATAATTATGTGTATGCATGGCTGCTGATTCAGCACAACCAAGAAATCCTCAACCATCACCAGACAACTACATATCGCCAGACCTTTTTGGGCGGGGTCTGGGCGTGAGACTAGACCCAGAAATGCCTGAAGCAGAATTCTACTCACCTTCTCCCACAGGAAGTGGCCGATCAGAGTCTCAGTGCAGCCTCCGCCGTGCAGCACATACGGAGAGGTTAGACACTGCTGCAGGACATGCACTGGGAGAACAACGTCGCCAAACTCAAAGTAGTTTCCTTTGCAAAATGCACTACAAGACCCAAATCACGTGTAGTATTAGACTATTTTAGCTAATGGTTTTAAAGTCTCACACTCAAATTATGGAAGCACACCACATAACTCTCGCACTAAAATTGACTTGCTGGAGCATTAGATTTTTTCGCCCATACAAAAATTCTGTAAAAATACGGATAAATTCGTTGGGTTGGCGGTTCTAAACATGCCACACCTCCTGGAGCATCTGTAATTTTTTTAAGATTTTCGCCCCTACAAATAAATTTGTTGGGTTGGTGGCTCTAAACTTGCCACACCTCCTGGAGCATCTGTAATTTTGTTAGATTTTTGCCCATACATGAATAGTGCATGATTATAATACAAAATCCGATGTGTTAGAGGCACTGGCCCAATTTCAAATATTGATACTGAAACTTACAGGTACTGGTGCAGAGGAGACGTAACTCATCGGCCGCGGTCTGAGTCTGGCAGCACAGCATCAGTGAGCAGTGTCTTCCCTCACCTCCACCACCGCTGTCCCCCTCCAATACCACATACCTTTAGCAGAATGACACACACAACCTTATGCCAAGACAAATGCCCAAACCCTCTCACGCTGTAAACCTCTAATGAAGAGGTGTCTTCGTATGATAATGGATACTTTACCTTTATGAGACTTTTGTGAATTAACCGCCGTTTCCTATATAGGACTCTAAGGAATTTACCACCTAGGGCTGTAAAGTTTGTAGGTGCCAACATGCATGCATAGAGACCTATGGCGTATACGTATATAACCCGGTGGGGACGGCATTCTTGGTGAGTAATACGTACCTAGTAAACCATATTGGGCGATTTGTCGATTCACTCTAATCCGGACACCAATGGGAGAGTGTCTGTATTAGTTAGGTGTCTGCATTTCTGAGGTTTAATTGATGCAAGAACTGTTCGTGGAACAAAGAGGGCCAGCATTTCAGAGGTGTCCGTAGCTAGGGAGTGGTTCTAAAATCACACTGACACTCCCTATGCGCATAAATTCCCGGTCCCATGATTTGTAACAGAGGTGTCCTTAGAGAGATGTTCCACTGTACATATATCAAAAGACGCTATCACGTTTACCCATGATCAAAAATACCATACATCTCTCACCTTTTCCCATGTACCGTGGTGTGTCTGATGGAACTCAATCGACCGAGAGAGTCAGAGGACAAGTTTGGCGACAGAGACCCAATGATTTTGCCACCTGTTAGTTCCCTGACTGGCCCAAGACTGAGTGATGACAGACGGTCGGCTACGTAGACACCCTGCAGACACACACACACACACGCACACACACACAGAACAGGACAGAACAGATCGCTCGAGTGACAACTGCATACTGACTGTTCATTGTGTAATGAATGGCAGTAGAACTCTTGAAGGGAGAAAGCCTTTGCAATTTGATAGCAAATACATACTTCATTGAATTCACTTTGTCCTTCACCCCGCAACTTTTCGTGGGTGTATAGCTCCAAAACTGTAGAAATTTGCGCAAGTTATCACCAAGTTTCCCACCAAAAACTGCTAATGAAATTCATGACCCTTCTGCAAGTGTGCAGTAACAGTAGAGTGTAACTAGCAACGGCGACAAAAACAACACAAAGCCCCATTTCTAACAAAGCCCCCTTTCTCACGGCGTACATACTGTACAGTACACAGCAACAAGGGTGGTAGACAGGCAGTCAGTTAAGCCTAACGTCCAAACCAATACGCCCACTGCAGTACTCGCGCTAATTATTATGCGAGCCGCTCTCCCCCGTAAAAGGCCCCTCGACATGTGTTGTTTGCTGTCGCGAGCACAGGAAAAACAAATTCACCCAATGACCACAAGTGAGTGCCAAGCTCAAGGTAATTACGGAGGTCTGCGGTCCCATATTTATGGATTGCGTGGGCAGAAGATGGGCTAGCGGGCAAATCAATTTTAACAAATTGCCAGCTGTGCATCCCCGCAAGCCAGCACATGTGCAGAGAGTGTGTTGATGATTGAAAAGTTGAATGGAATTCCAACAGACGATATTGCCCAACTCAAACTGCAGTGGGCCCAAGAATCAATGCCTGTGGCCATCGATAAGCATGGGGGGGGGGGACACGGGTGGCATATGACAACAGTGCTTTGCATATTAATTCCAGTGCAACATATGGGCATGGGTCAAGCCAACAGTTGAACATTGTGGCCAACTAGCACATCTGTAAGATTCAGACACTTTGACAATTAAACTTGCGAACATTATGATAATGCTGTACATGCATGCGGTAAAAGTGTAAACGGGCACGTTGTTGCAGCATACTGCAGTGTTCCATTCTTAGTTCATTCACTAACTGACCTCCTGTCTCCAGTAGTCCTTGATGAGAGGATGAACGACTTTCTGACAGCCAACGAACCTCACCCCAGCCTCCACCAGATGAACGGCCAGCCTCATCAGCCCTTTGAGCACTACCGACTCCACCTCCTTCCACTCCTCCCTGCTGGCCCCAAAATCTTCTATCTCCCTTTGTCCGTCACTACTGGCTTCAAAATCTATCATCTTTTGTCTCTTGTTGCGTGCTTCAGCTAATGGCGCCTCCCTCCACCCCTCACTGGCTCTGCTGGCTCCAGACACGATACTCCGTCCATCTCTCGTTGCTGGCGCTACACTCTCTCACCCTACATCCCTCATTGCCGGTTCGAGTCTCTCGTTCGTTCCGTTCCTCGTTGCTAGCTCTAGCCTCTGTCTCCCTCGGCCCCTTGTTCCGGCCTCCAGCAAACAAATTTTGCCTCTCATAGCTAGCTTCAGTGTCTCTCTCCCTCGGTTCCTGGTTGCAGCTTCCAGCAAATGAATCTTGCCTCTCGCTGCTGGCTCTAGCATCAGCCAATGGCCTCTCCTCAGAGGTCAGCTCGACATCTCTGGGAAACTCTGCAACACATACATATACACACACACGGCCGACAAATAATTTTGACTACATCAACTTGTATCATGCATCATCTGTGTGATCTAACATATTAATTTGTGTATCATTATCATCTGTGATCTACAAATTGTCGCTGACTCATTCTTGTATGAACTGGTCACAATGAACAGCTTACATAAACGCTATCTATGTCCACAACATGACGACCACACTTGCGAAACTTGAAAAGCCCTGAATTCCTTTACACGATATTCCTGCACTACGCTCTACTTCCTGCAGGCTCATATTCTACTCTCTCTCTCCCCGTCACTTCTTCATTCTCCAAGTTGTGAGTGCCGCGTACGTGTATCAAGCTCTTTTGCTATTGAGGTTGGTCTGTCCTGTATTTCTCCTTGCTTTGGTAGCACCACTGCCACAAAGACTTGGGGAAGTAAAGAGCTCTCATGCTAGCTGAATCCTCTAGTGGTGCTGCCCTACACCCCGGTGCTGACTGCAATGGTTGATATGAGCTAAAGCTTTCAGCCCAGATGGTTTCCAAAGGTATTCGCTCACTTTTAAAAAACCGTCCCTTTAAAACAGATTTGTGCAGGCATTCATTCACCTTGCGATATTGCATTTGTTAGAGTATGTACTTGGCGTGTGTTCTGACCGTCAGGTAGATCACCGGCCATGGAGGCGATCAAACAGAGCAGTAACAATCCCTCCACCCCCACCCTCCACCCGGTTTCCCACTCGTCGCAGCTGGTCGTAGGTCTCTCCAGTAGCAGTCCACACTCCACGGAGGACTCGGTGACCGCTCGACCCACAGAGGTGTGGCAAAACACTCGATCGTTGACCGTGAACGAAACCCCACGCCTCTGTGGGGTTGCCACCAGGAAACACTGCAAGGAAGAGGAGAAGGGAGGGATGGAGGAAGGGGTAGAATGGGAGAAGAGAAGGAGAAGGGAGGAAGGAGAGAATAGGAGAAGAGAAGGAGAAGGAAGAGGATATGAAAGGGAGGGAGAATGGGAGAAAGAGAGTGTGGGTTGAGAACGGGGAATGAAAGAGTGAGTCTCGTGGAGGGTGAGTGTGAAAATTGCTGTATAAATCTGGGGGGTCCAGTACAAAGCAACAATACCTACTTTTTTCAAGAGCTGTCCTAGATGAGACTAAACCCACGTGTCATCAATGATGTCAGGGCAAAACAAACACAACAACACCTTTTTAAAGGGGGTAAGACAGCGAAAAAAAGAGCTGTCCTGGGTGTAGTTGATTTGTTTGTTGCTTTGCCTTTCTATGTACCTCGTAGTTTTCACATGCATAACCTGGGTGGTGGCTGGGTGGGACTCGAATCCCACGACACCCTTCACTCAAAGCGAATGCTCTACCAGCTGAGCTGCCAGGGCAAGTCAGCATGGCAGTCTAAGCCTCTAGGCATCTCCCAACTGTATTGTGTATAAAAGCTTGTTGAGGTTTATTCCAGACACCCCCATATTTGAATTACGAGCGATGATGACGTATGTACCGTATGTATGAATGTATGTATGTATGTATGCAGTGACATCAGCACAATTGAGTGGCTGTCTATTAAGTTAAAAGGCTCTGCAACAGTGCAAATCGAATATGAAACCACATCTGTGTTGCGCAAACAATGGGCCTGCGCAGTTGCCAAGACGGCATCTCTGACCTTTGACTTCAGTTTATGGGCTACAGTGAACACACCTGTTCATGAGCCAACGAGGTCTCAAGGTGAAGACAAAGCAAATACAGCTCTTTTTTTGGTCGGGATCAAGATGCTCTGCATTCTAGGCATGTTCTGTTCATGCACTATTTTTTTCCTTCTGTGGCTAGAATTGGCTAGTCTTACTGCACCGTTTCATAGTGTAGGGCTGTCTAAAACGCATGAAACCGCAGCGTTTTCACATACGGAGGAATCCGCAGCCACTTGACAATCAGTATATGGATTGCAGCACGACGAGAGGACCACTTTGAAGTTTTGGCTTTGGACCAAAGCTGTCTTACCCGTTTTAAAACTCACCCCGACAACTATGGGCTATATACGTAGGACTAGCTTATATTCTATTGCTAAATGTAGCGGTTCCCATAACGGTTTCAAATCCCGGCCTTCCAGAGTCTTATTAGCAACTTTATTGCTGTTTAACAGAGGTGTGGCACCGTGCTACATACACCCAGTTGAAAATTAAGACACACCACACCCTTCGTCTATACAGACACCTCTATTGGTCCTCTAACGCCTAATGTTACAATGTAATAGATCTCTTACGTATGTTAGTAGGTCTGTACTTCCGAGGTAATAGGCGTTAGCTACGTACTAAATGCTTTCCTTCTTCAATAAAGGTGTGTTCTAACATCTATACTTGGGAAGGTTTATGGGCTATAGGAAAGGACTCTTCATTAGTGCTTATTCCATTGTCCATCCCAGTCCCTGTAAGAAACACCACTGCCGTTTAACACAGGTTGAGGGTACATATGTAACATAGCTTCCTACCGCTCAATAGAAGTGTGTTACGGGCTGCACCAACCGCTGAACACCCTTATACCATTGAACATTCTTATACCATTGAACACCCTTATACCATTGGACATCCTTATACCATTGAACACCCTTATACCATTGAACACCCCTATACCATTGGACACCCTTATACCATTGAACAGCCTTATAACCATTGGACACCCTTATACCATTGGACACCCTTATACCATTGGACATCCTTATACCATTGAACACCCTTATACCATTGGACATCCTTATACCATTGAACACCTCAGTTGCTGCATATAGTAAGTATAAGCTAACCGTTCTACACGGGTGGGGTGAGATTATATATATATATACCCACTTTTAGACTGCACCCCATTAGCCACACACACAGGCACACAAGCACACAGATCGAACGGGCCATGCCAGACCAACTGGGCCACCGTGAACGAAACAGCTCCTTCTACGTCGCAGCTCACACCCGCAATTTGGCAAGACGCGAGGCATACAATTACCACGCTCAATGGGACTTTGTTCGTTCACACTACAATCCAACAGACGGTCATATACACAGACTGTGCCCACTTACAGAGATTCAATGGGGGCAGGGGAAAAGAGCGCACAATTCGAGTCTTTTCATCCGTGGGCACAAACATATGGCGGTCTAGGCCGAGACTGTAACAGGGAGGAAAAATATCAGCCAAATGTTACAGCTGCCCAGCATTAGTGAAGCAATTATCCCACTTGGAATCTTATAGAGGCTGGGGACAAGTGTAGCTGATTGTTACGTCTGCGATGAATGGTCGGGTTAATTGCTGCTTCAGTTATGTTAATTGGTGCTCACTCTCATGCGGGCCACCACTTATGCAAATTGATTCTTTGTATGAATATATTCAAACCTCTCGTAGAGGACACAATGAGTAGCTCAATAGAGGGCACTCTTTGAGGTCCCACACATTTACTTTTCTGTATATACCTCCAAAGAGAGGACGACCTCTCAATATAAAGTCCGGTATATATATATACACCAATGTGGAGTTGCAGTATATAGTATTTAGACAACAATTCTAGTACCTTCACTTACATGTTTTGTCAATTAACGCTAAACAGATAATGGCACGAGTAATAGGTACCCAATAATGGTAGAACTACGAATGAAACTTGGCGTGCATGAGCAGTCCATCATTAGCCGTATATTGCGAAATGACAGACGGCAAAATCTAATAAAACAGCAAATATCCTCGGGCCATATATCAGTCCAAGACTGACCTTATGGATAACTACAACGTATTACTGAGACGACTCGAACACAATACCTTCAGATAGACCATAGACTGTAGCATTATGAACATACAGAATGCTCCTACAGCTCCACAATATGGAACCAGAACTGACAAACAGAATGACTGCTGAACAATCTGAGAATCCCATATTTTTACCAACACACAACTAAAGAACCAGCTCTTGAAACGCTGACCAACCACAATACCATGCACTGAAATGTAGTAACGCTATTTGACTAAATCCCCAGTCAGTAAGCAATTTAAGAACCCCATGCATATTGCAGGTATTCTAACGACCAACCACAGTACACCCTACACTGAAAAGAGTGACGCAATTCGACTCAACACAAAGCAAGATCCGATGACTCACTCTGAGCAGAAGACGCGTCAGATGGTCCACCTCTGAGTTGGTGAGTTGAGTGGCGGCCATCTTGGATGTCAGGAGGCTGCGAAGGAGGGAGGACAACTGGTGATGTGAAGAGAGGTCCAGCCTTCGCCTCACCACACCACCACAACCACTCCCCTTCTCCTCCTCTTCCCCCTTCGTCATAAGAAGATTTGTGACCAGGGAGAGGGCGTGGCTTGTTACCAAGGAAACCTGATGCTGTGGAAGACCCAAATCCAGCCCACTAAGGATCAGACTGCAGTGAACACAATAAGAAACACAAAAGGATATTTCTGAGTTATAAACTATATTGAGGACTGGCATTATATGAAGTCGACACTTTAGATTATAGCAGAAATTTAAGCGAAAAACCCATGGTTTGAGAGTGATCTGCAATAATACAGCCACACGAGCAAGTTCGATCTCGGCGAAATTTTTAACCCCATCAAAATATTTCTCCTCTGCCGTCTACACGAATAGTAAGGTCTCCATTCTACATACATAGTGAGGTCCGTAGTCTACGTGCATATATAGTGAAGATGGACTAACTCGGTTGCCAGGAGCCCAGCAAACAGGCCGCAGTCTCTGTACGTTTGAGAGTGGGTGGCCAGCGAGTCAACGACGAGTCGCCCAACCGGTGACGATGTCATCAACATGGGCAGTAGTCTCTGGGAGGTGGCTGTACACGTCACATGACCTCTACCCGGAGTGGGCTGAAACATGGCTCCACTGTAAGACAGATAGACAAAAAGCCGTAATCATAGAGTAAAGTATGTATGTGGACCTAAAGAACTTCTGTGGTTCCTGTAGCTATTGCTAATCAGGTTAGGGAGCATATTGCCACTTCACACATGCCTGTTCCATGACCAGAGCTACGTATAAGAGAGAGCTCCTTTCAATTAATGCTAAAATCCAGTTAAGTTAGGAAAAAGTGCTGTGTACCAACCCCCCACTTTCCGGCGAAAAGGACAAGTAGAGTCCATAGTTACTCTCTTTCAAAAGTCCCGAACCCAGTTAGTAGCTCCATACAAGATCCAAGGAATGCAAACATTGTGTCCACGGGCAGCCATTTCTGGAGTATAGAGCTAAAAACGAATTTCTCTACCCATCTTTAAAATGTGCTCGATCGTGTTAGGGGAACATTTCGACTCCATATACAAGGTAGGAATCTGGCGTTACTTGTAGCGGCCCCCATGCCCACTCGTTACGTTCAACCGCAAACAGCCCCGAGATTGCTGCTAATGAGCACAAAAAGTCACAACAGTCCGTCGATATGGAAGTCCAGCTGTACTCGATCCAAGTTTATTTAGCCCAACTAAGTAGCTCCATTACCTAATAAACGTTAACAACCCAGTTAAGTTGGAGCATTTCCTCGATAAGTAATTGCCACGCTTCTAAAGTGACTGGTGGTCCTGATCTCAGGGGTTAGAGGTGACACCCTGCTTATCAGGGCAACATTAGCTAGGGGGTAAGGGTTGGGCTTTACAATGTTGGTCATGGAGTACGTTTGCAAGGAGCCAACCTCTCCATGCACGAGACAGTGGCTGCTTTACCGTCTCCTGAGTGGTTTGCCCTATTGCAAATAGCTATAGCTACGTACTTCAGGATACTATGGCGGCTGCAGCAACACACGGCAGATATGCGATATGCACCCGTCGTAGGATCTACGTACGCGCCAAGTGGGCCGTAGCTGAGGCTCAGAATGGACCTCAGTTGCTGCAGCTCTGCCTTTCCCCCCATAGTTAATGATCCAGATCCTCGTCGTGAACTAATAGCGAAGTCGTGCAGCAGCAGCATGCAAAAATACGCGCGTGCGCGCGACACGGTGAACTTTGTACCCGACCACGCGGAGTTGTAAAGGAGGCGGGGGCTGGCACAGAGATAGGCAGGTATGCCGGTTCGAATCCGCCTTGCGCTGCACGGCTGTACCAACAGGCCGTTCTACCACATCGTGGTGGCTCCGAGTAAAGCTCCAAGGAACGGGAGGCACTTGGAACAGGTATTTGTTTTCAGTGGATTGCGCATGCGCATAATGCGTTGGGCACACCGCTGTTTTGGGACAGGAATTTTTATCACTCTTATACCAAAAAGTTATGTTTCTGTGGTTTACAGTACTTAGTATTAAGCTACTATAAGCTACTATATCTGAAGTGTATAAAACAAAGTGCCCCCTAGTGCCATCTTTGTACCGGTGCCGACATTATACACAAATATCTGATTATACGGGCAAATTGTGTTTTACGAGTCGTATAGCAAATATCCCGGGACGCAGTTCTGGCGCCGCGAACGGTGTTTGACCGCCATAAGGACCTAGATTAGTCCATGTTTAGGGGCTTGTTGTCTGAGATCGAGGTGTAGGTAGCTAAGCTACAGTATGTAGTGATTTAATCTGTGTGAGATAGGAACCGGGAAAACGATTCGGCAGCAACGTGGGCGCTGCCTTATTCCGGTGGATTGTGTCACGTGTGGAGGTTGAACGTCCCAGAGTCTTATCGTATGCCAATATGCTCTGACTGCGTTAGACATTAGGTGTAATCCACTCAAACTAATCTCCGGAGCTATCAAACCACGACAGCTTGTGATGTGGAACTTTCGATATCCAGCTGAAGTGGTTAGTATCGGGGCCCTCATATGAATAGCTTCAATTGGAACTTGACTCCTTGAGACTTGCTGACCAACTTTGCTGATCTCATTTAGCTATAAGATGCGATGAGCAACGGGAGATGTAATTGTTAAGCATGTGTCCAGCGAGGTGGCAAGGCAAGGCAACAACGTGTCATACTTACACGAACCCTTTCTTGTTTCTGCCTCAACAATTTTTTTCACATACGAATACATGGAGAATGCCGTCGCATTTATGCATGTCATAAATGTAGCAGTAAAATTAATAACGGCTAAATTACTAAAACAACAGGACTCAGTGCAAAAATGTGATTGTTTTCTGTAAATTTAGCCCTTATACACCGCCATATTCCCGTAGTAGCGTTCAAAAATATTACACCCCAACATCTATCTGGGCCTGTAGTTTTAGTGGTGCATTTTTGAGTAAATATCATAGTCGTTTTTTTCCGTACCACCATGGTTGGTCACCGTAATATTGAACGTATCTTCTTGTTCTGCTAAGGTTGGTTCGTATGATCCGATGCCCAACTATAACGGAGAGCTGCTTGTGGGTCTGAATCTGGACAGAATCAAGTCAGCCTCATTCTATCATCTGTATATAGCTAGCTAGGGCTGCTAGCAAGTAATGCATCGTGCTGTTGTGGTGTTTTATTCAGGTATTGGATGGGGGTTGGTGCCCAGCCAACGGTTGCTGTATACAAGCTCCTTAGCCTGGTGAGAACGTCGCACGCACATTATCGTTATACTGTACTGTATATGATCCTGTGCATGGCTGCTGTAGTCAACCGAGGCTGTCTGTATTCAAATAGTGGTGTGCAGAACATTGCGCATGCGTGTACGAATAACGCAGAGCAGTTTAAGGGTGAGTCTCTACGCTCTTACTTGCATTTGCCCGCCAAAAACGTACTACTACCGTATTGCTATATGTCCTCAGTCACATTGTCCCTGACGTAAGTGTTACGTAACCTCAAGTCCCTGCTTCAAACACATTGATTTGCCAAGTCCAAGTTTGGTGGTAGCCACCATTTCTCAACTACTACGTATGTGTAGGAAGGTAAGCTCCCACTGAACTGATTGAGCGTATCAGCTACCCTCATAAGTACTCCAGGAGATTACTTCAAAGTCTGCGGCAAATTGCATTCACCGCTTATTGCGTTATCCTCCAGTGGGAATGTAAGGCTGGGAGTCTGGGTGCCAGGGCCAATAACCAGACTTCTTGTTTCTATGGAGCCGCCGCTCATAGTGGCAAATAAACAGAGCCACTTGTACTGGCTAGCACCGAGTCTGTACTCAGGCTCCCCCGTGTTTATATCCCCCCTCTTGACCCTGCCTGATAACTCGATTGAATGCGTGCTAATTTGCGTAGGATCACTCGTGTGTCTGCATCTCACCTCGTCTATGTTTGTATGCGATAGCACCAAAGTGGGCAAACAGTCGTAGGGGCTAATTGGCTGTTGCTTTGACTGATGACTTCAGTCTCCAGCATCGATTAAGACAGACTTCTGGTCTTCAAAGTGACAGTATAATCGCCTCTCTACTATAGCCCGTTTGAAGTGGAACGAACTATGCACCGTTTTTCTATTATTATTCTTTTTAAGTGAAACTAAGTGATTGGTAGAAACAGACCATCAATTCAACAACTACGTCCGAAAATATATACTTCTCACTTACCCACTTAAAATGTATTTACTAGCTAGTACCATACCATAAATACAAGTGAAACGACTGAACACCGCACCTGTATGTTGAACACTGTGTATGTCTATTACTATTGTTGGTCTCTGTGCCATTGTGGGCTGGAAAAAAATCGACCACTAGCCAAAACAGTATTCGTCCCAAACGTCGCTTTGGCTAGAGTATTGTTGTGTAAATGGATTCTTAGAATTTTTTCCTGTTCACTAATAGATGGTGCACCTGCCCAAATGCACGCTGCGTTCATATAATTGAACTCTCTAAATAACCAAGTATTCTCGCATTCTCCCTTTCCTCTCCTAACCCGAGACAGCTGGATTAAAAACTGATAGTATCGTGATTAATGCTTCCTCCTGCACTTGTTTTTCTGACAGTGATGACGCCACATGATGCAATATAGTTACTATTCATGTTATCGATGACCTTGCCATTCATTCGATTTGGCCTGTCAGCGATACCCGCTCACTGTATAAGGATGGTAGTGAATTGAACCACGGAGCTTATTGTACTGCTGCTATGTGTCAATTCAGTTACATTTGTTCTGCTGCTGGCCTACTAGGTTACTGGCTTGTTATGTATTTCCTCGAGGCTATTACCGTATTCTTCGAGAGGTGTCATTGATTAGAGTTTGATGATGTCACAATCGGATTCCTGTGGTAATTTGAGAGACCCCAGTTTTGGTAATTCCATGTTCAGACACAATTGCTAGCACAGCACTCGTCCAATTCGCTCGATACATAGCATCAGGAGCTCATGAGCTGTATGCAGCACACGATCAAGCATGCGTCAGAGCGTTGCATTGTATCCGTGTCATTGTGGGCTGAAAAAATACTAGAACAGTTGATGCAACCGATTTTTGGCGAGCGAAGCTAGCAGTTCAATTTATCCGCGCGTATTTAAAAACGTAGACGATTACGGTATGTGCTGTGTGTGTGTCGGTTTGAACTTTGTGAAGTAAATTAATAGCTAAAGATAAAATACTCTAAGCCAAAACAAAGTTGCTTTGGCTTTAGAGTGTTATGTTCATTTCTACAATTGAAAATTTAGCAGTTCCTTCAGCAGTCAGTATACTTCCTTCACAGAAGCAACAAAAGCAACTTATTACAAAATATCTTTTTTTTACTGGTTTCTTCCATAATAGCTAAGGTTGAGGATTGGTTAAGTAGTGTCTTGGTAGCATCCTGGCAGGCAATATACGACCGTGCCCAATTTGAGAACGTGTAATTGATTTAAAGTGAAAATGTGTACAAACATAATGCATATAGCTCCTTATTAGACCTCTTAACTATGTGCGTTTATCTGAGTCTAACACCATTGCATGAAGTACACGCCGCAAACATACCTGTTCTGTTGTGGATACCTCTGAATACAAATTGGTTGAAATGGCATACCTTCCACGAGGATTGTGTATTGTAAACCGGTAATATATGGGCTGTGGAATGTTTTAACGATTGCGACGCTGTATTTTGTGGCTGTTTCTCTACAACGTAAAGTGTGATGTGTACATGAAAAAGCGATTGCTCAAAATTTGCACTTAAAAGCACTCTGCTATCCGAAATACAGCGATTATTTTATGGATAACTATGGGTTTTATCGTAAGTTGATCTCACGGGTAGTTATCCCTTGTTTGGTGAAGTTTCCGGCCACAACTCGTGTGTGTCCAACTAACATCTATTCAGGAGCACGAGTTTTCTCGGTATCACGCTACTCATGTGTCATATCCTCTGCCTCGACATATTATGCAGATGCTAATACAAGGTTATAGGCTACATTTGTGGCAGGCTAGGAGGGTGAGCCTATGGAGAGCTGAACTCTTGCCAGAATTCTCAAAACCACTTCTTCCTCTCGATGTGCTTTTGACAATTCTTGGCGAGTATATGGCCGCTACTGAGAGGCCTTTTGAAAGATGAATAAGCCATTACAGCTGGTTCGGTGCAATTCCTTGCACTCTCAACCGTAGTTCCGGCTTTATTAGATAACTGGTCGAGTGCTGCATGCTCTGCCTGTAATATCGGATGTATAACTGAATGTTCTGGCTTATATGCCTCATAGCTGCATGCTCTGCCTATATTTATCAGTAGACCTCTTAGCTGGCCTCTTGGATCTTTTGCAGTTATGTGCGTGGTGCGTAAGTGCCTGCGTGTGCAGGTAACAGTGTATCGCGTGACAGGCTTAGTATAGGCTACCGTAGTAGGACCATGGTGTATACGCTCCCACCCTTTTAGTGCTTACAGTCAGTTACAGGGTGTGGTGCGTGTATTTCAGGGGTATCGTGCGATACACTCTCTATTGTCCGTATGCCAGTTCTTGAAGGAATGCACACATACACACACACACTCACGCAGGCTGGTGTTATGCCAATACATCCAAGACTAGGCCTGGAAGCCTCTCGGAAACGTGCCGCACCTTCTGGAGCCGATTCACCACCTTCTGAAGCTGAACCACCTTCTTCTGTTGAAACGGAAAAAGAACTAAATTAGAAGCAAACACAGAAGCAGCTCATTTCGTGTATAGAAACTCTTCATAAAATCATTTTCATGTTTTTGCACTCACGTTGTACCCGACACTTAGGATCTTATATAGCCTTCAGGGGCTCCCTCCACACAAGTAACTGACACACATACGCCGGGGCTCCAAAAAGCTGTTCACTTCCTGTAGAAAACTCTTTAGAAGATGTTTGCACACAAGTTGTTAGCCCTCGGGCAAACCATTCCATTCACGGTCTCTGACAAAGGTTGTTTTCCTAGTTGTTGTATCCTCTGCTGTTGGACTGTGTCTCCCAGGTTGAGGCAAAGCTACTGCTTTGGAATGTTGTCTTGTTAGCTATAATAGGCCCAGTTTGTTTGGGTTAGTGTTGTTATGTAGTTTTCCTGGACGTGTACAGCAACAAGTAACCTTTCTGGAAAGCTACTGCACACGATGCGTCAGAAAATAATTTTTGCTACAGTGTGGTTAAAGTAACACATCTGCCAGACAACTTATAGGGAGGGGAATGAATAGAGTGATGAAATAAAGGACATTGATAGTTTAATAGCTATAACGTGCATTGGTCCGGTATAGAACACCTACACACAGGTATATATTTGTGTGGTGACGGAGCCATTATGGCCATATATATCATTTGCTTGGACGGCGCATTGTTGCAAGCTAGCATTTAGACTAGTGGGGGAGGTACCACAGGCATACAAGTGTCCAAACTTTTCTTTTTAGCAGAGGGAATGTTGTAGTGACGTGTGTCTACTAATTATGCCGGTCTAACAATGGAAGGAATAGGATCAAATCAAGTTCTCCAAAAACGATTATTTTTGTTAATTGAGTTGTGTCTAGGCAGCCTGCCTGATGTGCCTTTGTTCTCTTTGTCTGATAGACAGAATAATTCACCAGTTCTCAAAGTGCAGCTAAAGGAAGATGCTGGTTATGGGTCTGTCATGCCGGGGTGACAGTGACGAAAGAAATGCTGCATGGTGAGCGCATGCATTGCGCATGCGCGTCCGCGCCGCCGCCGCCGCGCGCATGGGCGGATTTTTACGTAATAATACGTCAATGCGTGCGTGCGCGAGGCTAGGCGCGATCGATCGAGCGAGAGCGACCTTTCCAGCGACTATAAAAGCTGCGATCCGAGCGCCAGGAATCAAAAGTTACAGCTTACTTCCACAGTGTTGAAAGTTCGGAAATCGTATAAATATATAGCTTCGGCTACTCCCTGCAAGGGAAACGATATGGGCAACGGAGTCTCACAGAAGACGATCGCCAACCGCGATATCTTGCTCGGACAGGGCCTTCCACTGCGGAGAAACTCCAAGAAGTGGAAAAAAGAGGCGAAAAACAATGTCCGGCAGAGCTTCAGAGCCGGCGTTGTGGCCGATCGCCACTGGCAAGAGCGAGTCATGGAGTCAATTGGGTAAGTGTATAGCATTTGCTACTTCTAGTAATAGCTGCTAATGTTTTGTTACGTACTTTATATAATATTCTCCATGTTATTCAGCTGGTTTTCTTTTTGCAGCTCCACCGATTTCACAAAGAGTGACGAGCTGAATGCAATGGCATGCACACAGGCCTTCCAGAAACACAGGCACGACCTGGCCGTCGTCATCGACCACCTCCTCAGCTACATGACCTGCAAAGATCTCCTCCCCGAGTCCACCAAAGAGCGTGTGCAGCTGCCGAGCCTCTCCCGCATGGAGCGCAGCGTTCTGGTGCTGGATGCCATCGAAGCCCGGATTATGGATAACCCCGGCATCTTCCACACCTTTATTACCGTCCTTCAGAAAGACACTGTCCTGCAGAGATTTGCCGGGAGTCTTATCGAATCATACCGTAAGTATTGTGCAATGCCCACGCTCTCGCACTTTCTCTTATATAGGCCCTGTTGTGAGCGTGTTTAGTGAAACTTGTCGGCTGTTTTGAGGTGGTTTGAGCTCCCAGTTTGTGGTGTAGTCCAGAGTAATGATGTGTTCTGGATGCCAAACTGTTGCGTAGGGACACATTGCCCTTGGCTAGTTGTCTTCCTGCCCTTTTCTGATATCTGTGCTTTTAATGAGTGCCTTTCAATCACAATTAGCCATTACTACCAAACAATTATAGTAGCTAGGCGTATTAGCCAACAACATGTCAAATTAGTATTCCTCCTCTTGTCCGCAGGTGAATTCAGCAGCGATGCCTGCCCAGCGTGGTACAGTCCAACAGCTCTTGGACACAAGCCACTGGTTCTTCCGGTCTTGGCCCGATACGCCGAGTACCTAAAGTCGTTCTACAAAGCCATCCCCTCCTTGGCCCAGTACCGGTGGCCTCGAATGGCCTCAAAGAAGCAGTTTAACCTCGCTATCATCAAGACCAAAACCGTCACCTACGCAGAGGCAGACGACTTCACGAAATCCACGCTGCGAGGCAGCCCGGACGACATATTCCGCGCCAAGGAGCCCATGGATCTCGAGGACGTGATCCAGCCAGAAGGACTCATGGGCATGAAGAGGATCCTAATCGAGGGATCGCCTGGTGTCGGAAAAAGCACATTCGCACTTGAGCTGTGCAAGGCATGGGACGGGATCGAAAGTCTGTCAGATTTCGACCTGATCGTCCTCATCCGTCTGAAGGACAAGCGGGTACAGGACGCCCACACCCTCGCCGAGCTGTTCTATCACCCCGACCAGAGCTTCCAGGAAGATATCGCAAAGGAGCTCACAGCCAACGGAGGCAACAACACACTGCTGGTCCTGGACGGGTTGGATCATCTCCCACAGCCACTTCAGAAGCACTCGCTCATCCTGCAGCTCCTCCAGGGGACACTGCTACCCCGCGCCTCTATCGTTGTTACCAGTCGCCCAGCCACTTCCGCAAACCTCCTCTCCACTCACAAGTTCCGTTTCGATCGACGGGTGGAGATACTGGGATTCAGCGGCGAAGACATTTTGGAGCATGCCGAGAGTATCCTCGGATCGGGGGAAGACTTTGTGGAGTTTCAGCAGTACCTGTCGGCCAGCCCGGCGATACGCAGTGTGATGCACACCCCGCTCACCACGGCCATTGTGGTTGAACTCTACCACGAGGCTGCCCAGTGCGATCGCGAGATGCCCAGCACCATGACCGAGATGTACCGCGAACTTGTGGCCTACCTCCTCCACCACTACATGTTCTTGAAGGGGATGGTCGACGAGTCATACAACGTCCCCGAGGACCTACAACAGCTCCCCGGAAACATCTACCAGCAGTTCTGCAGCCTGGCGAAGGTGGCTTACACCAGTCTCATGAAGCACGAGCCCATCTACAAACTGCCCAAGGGCTGCAACCCTCTCGGGTTCATGAGTGCCTCCCCCGAGCTCTACGTCAGCGAGGGCATGTCGATATGCTACAACTTCCTCCACGCGGGGCTCCAAGAGTACTTGGCTGCCTTCCACCTCTCCCTCCTTCCTCCCGCTAAGCAGATGGAAATCTTCCAGAAGCACTCGGCGACTCAGTCCGTCAGCGGTGTCTGGAAGTACCTCGCCGGGATCGCCGGCCCAAAGTGTTTCCTGTGGGAACTGACGACTGGGGACGTCTGCATGGGTGGCGCTCTCAGCCCCTTTGCACTTCAGTGCCTCTACGAGGCCCACGAACAGATGCCCTTCGAAGAAGTGGCCAGAACTCACACGCTCAGCTTCCCGCAGGTCCAGTACGGCGAGGAGGTCCTCCCGCTCCATCTCTACATGCTCGGAACTTGCCTGGCGCACAGCTCCTGCAAGCTTCAGCTGAGGATCAGACTAGACATCGAGATGGTTCAGATGCTCTCGCTCGGTCTGCAAAGCGTCCCCATCTGCGATCTCTCCTCCACCATCGAGACACTCTACCTGCGACCCCCCATTTCCCAGCAGACCATCGCCCGTCTTTTCGACCTCCCTTCCCCCGTGATCCGTGGACTCGATCTCAGCCACTGCAGACTCGACCGCAACCTTGTTACCTGCCTGGCGAACATCATCCCCTCCAAGACCTCGCTAGAGGAGCTTGATATCAGGGGCAACTCCCTGGCCCCTGGTGGAATGGTTCCTCTACTTCACGCCCTAAAGAACCTACCAAGCCTTCGGAGTCTCAACATAATCAACACAAAGATCGGCTGCGACGACTTTGCCGCTCTGTTCGACTTGGTCCAGGCTCACGACGGTCTCCGGGAGTTGAGAATAGGCGACGAGGGGATGATTGCCGAATGTGTGAGCATGATCGTCGACGGCGTGTTTGCCAAGTCGAGCCTCAAGTCGGTCCACCTCTGGCTGATGGACCTCTCGCCCAGCATGTCCGCAGTGTCTCGTCTCCTGCAGCAGAACTCAAACCTTGCCACGCTCGAGATGCACGGCTGCAAGATCGGAAGTTCCGGCAGCACATCCCTCGCTCGGTCGCTCGCAGGAAACTCCTCGCTGAAGAAACTCGTGCTGAGCATGTTTGATGTTCCGGTGTGCGACCAAGTCGGAACAGAAGGAGCCGTGGAGTTTGCAGAGATGCTCCAGAGCAATACGTCGCTCGAACAGTTTGAGATTCTCTTCGACAAGTCACTCGGGAGAACTGGCGCCATGTCACTGGTCGTATCGCTCAACGCAAACAGCACCATCAAACACATCAAGATCCCTCAGCACTACTTCTCACCAGTCGAGGTCATGTCCTTCAGCAAACGTGTGGAGTGGTCGGGACCTTAGACACTCATTTTTTGTGTTTGTGTGTTTTTGTGTGTGGTAACTTTTCTCTTTTACAAATCTTTCTCATGTACTTTTATATGACGCCAACTATCCAACGACTTTTCTATTATTCCCCTTCTTTTATGCTTTTTTCCCGATTTTTTTCCTTGTCTTTTATATTCTCACCCTCAATTCCTTCACTCATTTCTCTAAACTCAAAACAAAACTCCAGTCAAAAAAGTTTTTTTACAAAAATACATTTCAGACCAGCGCAAGCAAATTCACGAAGACTAAAGTTGTAACACGTTGTTTACAAGCGATAAGATGTGTTATACACGATATATACACAACCGTATTGGTCAACCACATTTGTAGTGTGAGTTTCTTTTGAAGTCAATTGAGTTGGCAGGCTCCCACCGTGTCAGTCAAAGGAAATTCATTTGGGAACTTCAGCTGAGCATGTGGAAAGGTGGGGCGGTGTGTGCGCCTGCCTCAGAGCAGAGGGAAGAGTAGGACACCTTCAGGAAGTTTATGTAGGTCTCCATGCTGCGTCTGCTGGCGTTGGTAGTGTCCAGTTGCTCCTGGAGTGAGCGGAGCCGGGAATTGTGGAGCCGCTCTGCCTCGTCTTTGCTCCGGCGCAGCTGGTTGTTGAGGCTGTTGGATTTGGTCAGTTGCGACTCCAGGTCTTCTATCCTGCCCGCGTGCGCTCGCTCCTGTGGTAGGGAGGGGTTATGTTTGGTAACTGTAGACACACAGCAGAGTTACATAAGGGGGAATAGGGAGAGGGTGGGGGGCAGGGCAGGGAGGGATGGAAGGAGTACCTTGCCAGCTGCCTTGTCCTTGATATGTTCCTGCTGCCGACGTGACTCGCTGGCTGCGCTGTGGAGCTGGGCCTGCAGTGAGGCCACCGTTGTCTGGCTCTCCTCTAGCTGACTCTGAAACAAAATGAGAGAAAGCAGAAGATTTAACTACTTGTACTGTATGTACATAAAGGATTCGCTTTTGTGGACCTCTTTCATGCTGATGTGTATATCTAAAAACCTGTTGAGAGGTATATACAACGCTTTCTTCTGGTATAGGTGTCACGGTGGTATAATTATACAGAGAGTGTGTGTGGCACCAAGTTGCAGAGGCATGTCAAGAGAAACTCGAACTGTCAACATTGGTAGACTGGAGTCACCAATAGCGTGTGTATGTTCAAGTTAGGAAGGCGTAGGACTTGGAGCTTATGGTCAATATTTTCAGCAGTCGCTAATGGTACTAATTCTGTGTTTGCCAGATCGGGGCACCGTCAGTGAGTCTAGAAAGATCCACCTGTACTTATGTGTCAGTGGCATTTGCAACAACACATGCTTCGCACCAAACAAACTTATCCACTTCCCCAAACCGAGTAAGATTTAACCAATTGAGTGCACCAGTTAAATAGGTGTGTGTATATATGTACATGCTTGGCCTCCTACGCACGCGAGGGCCTAGTTTGGAGTACCAGTATTTGGTGATGAGAGCATGGTTGGGTGTCCAAGGCAAACAACACCAGTGGAGGGCCCGTAGAGTTGGCAGGCATCTTACCACAGTATGCCTGCAATGCACTCTGTGACTGCCTGTAGTACAGCTGTGTGTGGTACTTAGTAGGGGACTTCGGTCACTGGGGGGGCCCATTGCTTGCTCATTTTATATGAACATGGAGCTGTATAGATCTGTGTGTACGCTAGATATAGAGTATTTATTGATAGAGATGGTGCCAATGGGGGTCACGCTCTCACATCCAGACCTGCACATCACACTTTTGGACACTACACTGACATTGTATGGAGTACAATACACACTTTAGGTTTTGGAGACTGCGAGAACCATTAGTGAGGCATGAAAGCAAAGCAAGTACAAGTATCTCAACGGTTAAAAAGGAGCTGCCCTGGGTAGGATACTAAACCCACGACACTCTTCAGTCTAGGTAGCAAGCTGTAACTGTGGATGTGTTGGTTGCACAGTATAGCGATTACGCCGTGTAGCATTGTTGTACATGTGTAGCTATAGGTTCTCCGCCGTCTGATGGGGTTCAACGTTGCCACCACTACTCAGCTCTTACGTGTGGCATCAGAGGGAGTCGAGTATTGCGTGTTGGGATTGTTTTCACGCGACTAGACGATCGTTGCCCACAGTCAAACGCATGCGGACACACACGCGCGAATTTACTCACACCCAAAATTAATGTGTAATGCGGGGGAAACAGCACACCTGGTGCATTTTCGTCCTAAATGGGTAAAATTTTTAGATGCCAATGTACAATGTGCAGCCACAAATACATGGGTAAGCCCCTACGATATCTGGCGTTCTGACGGAGGTTTTACCGTAAATGGTCCGACGGCCGGCGTGACCCGCTCACGACAGCAGAATTAGGTGGCTTTTCTACAGGAGCGATTTGTGCACCAACACCTTGTCGACACGAAAGATATCGTGTGGGCCACAAGAGATGTAGGGTGTTGACATGTTGCATTTTGTGGGGATCAAGCCTATCAATAGCAGACACCAGCCATTGTTTCTGCTGAAAGAGACCATTCTTTGTTTGATGTGTGGTTGATGGATAGTATGTGTCCCCTCACAAAGGAGCTACCCTCCCATTGTGGAGTTTTTTGCACTCCTGTAGATACAACGAACTGAGGACGTTTGGACATGTCTTGTCTACTGTTCAGCCATAGATACTACACACTACATATGTACAGTACCTATGGTTCAGCTATGTCATTAGATAGAGCTTGAAACACTGATCTCACAATGAGATGTTTGGCCTACACAATACAGAAACCAAGGTTAAAAGAGGTTTGTCTATTTATACTTGCATCGACATGTCATAAGCCATAGACCCTATATACACACCAGAAAACTGTTGCCCAAGTGAAATATTTTTTTCACCAGACGTAAGTACTAAGTTATCAGGCTTAGCGCATGTTGTCTTTGCCTGTGGCTTTCTAATATGTAATATGCATTGACGACAACGTGGGTGCATTGCTCATTCAATGTACACAGTGGTGGACAGATCTGTCTCCACTCAACAAAATAGCAATCTTTAAAAATGATATACGTACGTATGAATAATGACCTCAACTCAGGAAATCCCACTAATCAGGGTATTTCTGTTTACAAGTGGCTTACCGTTCCGAATAGGGTCTGTGTTGGCATGAAGGGGTCATTATGTGCTCATAGAGTGCATAACGGTGATCACATGCGTGCGGTTCAAAAAATGATTTGACAGAGGTCATTCAAAGTGTATTTGGAAGTTAGTGTGTTGGATAATCTGCCAATAAAACGATTACAGCAGTCTGACAGCAAGTGGGGGGCAGTATGGCGAGTCATTGAGACGATATATACACACACGTGTGTGTATACTATACATAATAGTGCCTTAACCATACATAATAGTGGTTTAAACATACATAATAGTGCTTTAACCATACATAATAGTGGTTTAAACATACATAATAGTGCTTTAACCATACATAATAGTGGTTTAAACTATGCACACATGTGTGTGTACCATACGTACATAATAGTGCTTTAACAATACATAATAGTGCCATAACCATACATAATAGTGGTTTAAACATACATAATAGTGGTTTAAACTATGCCCACGTGAATGGTATATATACAGAGTGTTGGAAGATGTGTGGGTATTGGTGGTCTATATAACAGTACATTATGGCCGGGGATAGCTTGGGGAGCCAAGCTTGCCATCCATATTGAGCGGGAAATGAAGTTTCCCTGTTGGCCTCCAGCTCCAGCAGACTAGGCTGGGAGACCACCAAATTGAGCAGGTGGTAACGAATTTGAAAGGTGTCCAGCCTAATACCAATGTGTTTCAGTCTGACTATAGTGAGGTAAACAGCAACGTGGTCGGCGTAAGGCAAAGCAGAGGCAAACAACACCACTACAACCAGGAAAACTCTTGGGAAACAGAGTTGGCCCTGGGTGGGAGTCGAACCCACGACACTCTGCAGTGTAGGCAGAGCAAGGCAAAGCAGAGGCAAACAACACCACTACAACCAGGAAAACTCTTGGAAAAAGACGTGGGAAACTCTGTGTGAGAAAGGCAGAGTACTAAACGGACTAGTGGGATTCGAACCCACGACACTCTGCAGTGTAGGCAGAGCAAGGCAAAGCAGAGGCAAACAGCCACTACAACCAGGAAAACTCAAACCCACGACACTCTGCAGTCTAGGCAGAGTGCGTGCTCACCAAACAGACTAGCACAATAGCAACACAAGACAAAGGCAAACCCCGCAACCTGTATCTTTAGTGCAACACGTGCCATGTACATCTGTTGTATGGGTGGCTTGGCTTTGAATGTTAGGCTGTTACGCATGAGGTTGTGTGCGATATATGTACGTAAATGCATGGCTTAGAAACGCTGGTTGTGGGCTGGTTATACCCTATGGCTGCTATATACTTTTGAGGTTTGCATACTGACAATGATTCCACTGTAGCTGCTACTTCTCACCTAGTACTGTATCATGTATCAATTCATCAAAATGTGCGTTTCACATAATTTGTATGGGGTAAAAGCGGCTGTAGTGTACAATAGTAGTATAGCGTGTGTGAAAGTATGATAAGTATAAAGTAGTACATCAGTACTGAACAAATTGCACAGTTCAAAACTAAGGCTCAGGTTTCTGTGTTGCCTCTTGTTCTAGCTCTGCCCAGTATTCTGGGTCCGTGGTCAATGGCCCTGATTAACAAAATTCCATATCATATATAAGTATACCTGTAGTCTGTGGACACTCTCTTCTCTGTGTCTGGCAGTGGCCACCAGGTCCCTGTTATGACTGTCCGACTCCTCCACCCTCCTTTATAGTGTGTGTGTGCGCGTGTGTGTGTGTGTGTGCGTGCGTGTGTGCGTGTGTGCCCGTGTGATTCATAGTGAGGTAACAGTGCAAGACTCAACTACACCTATATAGTTGGCCAATTTCTTTTTAAAGAGCTGCAACATACAACCCGCCAGGACAGCACAGCAGAAAAACTCTAAGTCCCAATGCACACATTATAATGCAAAAGGCAATGACTAACAACTGTATGTGATGCCACAGAAATGTTATTTCATATACATATATGTCTGGGTTGAGTTTAGTGTGACTGTGTATAATGAACAAAAGTATGAGGGAAGTAAATATGTACCCTACGTATGCAAAGACTATGCATTGTTAATGGTACGAGGTATGCTGGGTAGTCTGTACTAATGAGAGCAGTGAACTCTGCAGGTTTCTGGCTGGTGTGTTGGGGACACTGTAAGAGCTCAGGTCTCTGCCAGACACTACATCTGACTGGTCTTCAGCTGCGTTCCCACCCCCCTGTAGACTGCAGCGTGAAATCTGTTTAAACTGCAAATTGCAGTTCGTTTCACTCTTTGTCAGTGTGCATCGTCTCATGTGACACTTCAATGAAGCGGTTCATTTGCTTAATACAATGGTCTCGTGTACACAACTTCGAAATGTACGGTTATTTTACTCTTGGTTTGGTGCAAGTCTGATGTTACCTGCAGAGGGAATTTTATGTTGGTCTTGGCAATTAGTCTGAGTCTTCGGAATATTTTGACAGCACCAGGGCCATTAACCATGCACCCAGAATATACTTGGCAGAGCTAGAGCAAGAGGCAACACAGAAACCTGAGCCTTAGTATTGAACTGTGCAAATTTCAGTACTGATGTACTAAGTGTCAGTGGTGGATCCAGGGGGGGTTCCTTGTGTTCCGCGGAACCCCCCTGGATCCGCACGAGCGCAGCCGAAAACGTTCTGGACAGCGGAACCCCCTTTAGATCCGCCACTGAGTGGTGAGTGTACCTGTTGGCAGTCTCCAGCTTGGCCAGGAGGGTCCTGTTCTCCGCCTCCATCTCCAGACACTTGTGTCTCATTTCCTCCAGGGACACAGCCTGTCTCTCGTACTGTAGGTCAACAACAATGGGGTCAAAGCAAAGGCAAACAATACAGCTACACCTACATGTAGGACAATTCTTTTCTCTTTTTTCAGCTGCCCTGGGTGGGATTCGAACCCAGGGCCAGGACACTCTGCACTCTAAGCAAGTGCTCTACCAACTGAGCTTACCATGGCAACTCAGCATGTAGGGGTTCAGATCTACAACACGGTGCAACACAAGGCAAAGGCAAATCTCAAACAATGTGCTAGGCCAAGACACCTCACTAGTAAGGACACCTCAACCTTGAAATCAGGACACCTCACTAGTCAGGACGCCTCAACCTTGAAATCAGGACACCTCACTAGTCAGGACACCTCAACCTTGAAATCAGGACACCTCACTAGTCAGGACGCCTCAACCTTGAAATCAGGACACCTCACTAGTCAGGACGCCTCAACCTTGAAATCAGGACACCTCACTAGTCAGGACGCCTCAACTTTGAAATCAGGACACCTCACTAGTCCGCCTCAACCTTGAAATCAGGACACCTCACTAGTCAGGACGCCTCAACCTTGAAATCAGGACACCTCACTAGTCAGGACACACCTCAATCTTGAAATCAGGACACCTCACTAGTAAGGACGCCTCAACCTTGAAATCAAGACACCTCACTAGTCAGGACGCTTCAATCTTGAAATCAGGACACCTCACTAGTCAGGACACGCCTCAATCTTGAAATCAGGACACCTCACTAGCAAGGACACTTCAATCTTGAAATCAGGACACCTCACTAGTCAGGATGCCTCAACTTTGAAATCAGGACACCTCACTAGTCAGGACACCTCACTAGTCAGGACACCTCTAGAAATCAGGACACCTCACTAGTCAGGATGCCTCAACCTTGAAATCAGGACACCTCACTAGTCAGGACGCCTAAATACGTATGTAGATCCAGTGTCCCCGACCTCACTGTGCAACCCAAGGTTAGCTCCCTGCAATTACACTCCGATCACCTCTGTACAATAATAGGGGTTACAGACAGGTCATTAGTCTAGCCATTATGTAGAGTCAAAGCACTGACTACCATATGAGCCGGCAGTTCAAAGCTGGAAGCTTCCAGCGTAGGCCCATGCAGTCAGCTAATGCTCTTTGTGTGCCCATGAAAGTAACCTGCGCTCCCTTCATACGTAACTTGATTGTAGCACTGTTTGTACGGGAGGCTATTGGCAGCCTTCGACGGGAGACAGATTACACCGGGCTCCTGTCTAGGATAGAGTACGGGGCCCAGGTGATGGCCTCTGGAACCTTGTTCCTGACCCATTTGACACCGGGTGACCCCATTTTGATATTATACCAATTGAGTCGTCTACTCAACACTCTCCTAGTCGCGTGACTAATGGTCTGGTTTTGTTCCAATGCCACGTACTAACCCCACTTAGACTTCCATAAACCCTGGGTTATGGCAACGCACACCGTACTTACTATATATATATATGGACCAACGAACGCAACAACCTATTTTTGGAGGGCAAACACAGTCAAGTCGAAAGAGTGTGAGCTTTGAACCTTTACGTATGTGATTTTAGTGCCTTGTGACGGGTTCAGAATAAAGGTTGCGCAATTCAGATGAAAGTAGTGTTTGCACACACCCATAATGTTCCGTACTTTCATGTATTTCTGTATAGTTGCCGCGCTTTCTGGAGTACCTCTTCAACTCCGTATTTGTGAACAGTAGTGTTAGTTACACAACATGGATGATTGAGGCACGGACAGTGTGCATGGTGTTTGGTGGGTCACTTAGCTCGTGTGTGGCAAAGTAGTAGCTCTTAACCACATGGAGCAGCATTTAGCATGGAGGAGGTACCTTGGTGGCACGTATATATGTACAGTGGTAATAGATAGTACCATATGTACATACAGTGGTGGTAGATGTATAGTACCTTGCTACATACAGTGGTAATAGATAGTACCATATGTACATACAGTGGTAGTGGATATAATATAGTACCTTGCTACATACAGTGGTAATAGATAGTACCATATGTACATACAGTGGTAGTAGATATACAGTACGTTGGTGCTTCATACTACGTACAGTGGTAATAGATAGTACGTTGGTGCTGCATACTACTACATACAGTGGTAATAGATAGTGTGTACCTTGGTGGAGAGTTCGTCGGCTAGTCTAGACTGCTCCACTGCCCTCTGCTCGCACACACTTGCTCTCTGCTGGGCCTCCTGCACTCTCTGCTCACTCATCTGTGCACACACACATACACACCACTAATAGTAACTGCCATACTGACTGCATTCACTGGAGGAAACTGGAAAGTCATCCGATGAGACTTCGTGTTTCGTGTATATATAGTAGTGCTACATGTACGTAAGTAGTACGCTCCTCTGGTTTAGAGTGTGGGTTTGATTAGTAGTTTTATGTCTCAGATGACGATATGAACGAGTAAGATTGTGGGGGGTAAATGGTTTTAATGATCAAGAACTTATTGCTACAGTTGCTGCGGGAGTTTCATTTATGAAAGCTTGTTCTGCACATCACCAGTTGTTAATTTGACTCAAGAGTTGTGCAATTGTCAGTTATTATTATCCGGCTCTTATTCCACATCTGACTGTGTGTCTATAGGACAGAGCACAGTGTACGTACGTATATTATACCTTGAGTAGTTGTGGGAGTGGCTCCAACTCGGCTAGCTGCTGTTCAAACTTCAGCCGGCACTGAGGAGTGCAAAAGAAACAGAGTTGGTTGTGACCTGACAGCAGGGTATTAGCTAAAGCAGGGAAGCGGGGGGTTTACCCTCCTATTCTTATCCCCCCTCCCTTTTTTAATCCCCCCTCCTTTTTTTAATTCCACCCCTCTTTTTTTAATTCCCTTTCCTTTCTTCCTGCTTTACAGAAGTGTATACACTTAGGCAAATGTGCATAATAGATGCATAGTATAGTCTTTTGGAAGTGAATGTGTGGCAAGTGGTCTGTCGGCCCCACCCCTACTTTAATTGCTCCCTGGTTAAAACCCTGGACAGCAACTGCATAATATACTTTAAGACGGTAGTACATGTGTAAGTAGTTTGTTGAACCTTGGAAGGTATGTATACGACCTGTAGCTAACTAATGTATAGCCGGGCGGGAAAGAGACCATTGTTGTCGGTATGTACGTGACCTGACATTATTATATATAACACTTGGAAGGTGTATATGCATGTAGGTGTAGCCAGTTGTGTAGTCCCAACTGGGATAACTTGGCATTGTTGTTGTTGTTGTTAGTATAATTACGTGATCTGCTGTACCCAAACAGTGATAAGCGGTGTTTTTTTGAACCTCAGTCTTTGCTGTCCAGCTAGTCGAGTGCATGCGTGTAGACCACGATGCACGGCACAAAGGAGAGCTAAGTGAAGAGTATTATCATCAACCATCGCATGCATTAGCCGCCTCTATTAAACATAAGAAGTTAGACAGACAGACACTCTAAGTGCATGTTCTATTGCAGGTGTGTGTCTGTGTGTGTGACCGGCCAGCTAATAGCTACGTTAGATTGGCTCTGAGCTCTTATGCAGGTGTCATTCTGGTGAGACCAATGCTGAGCAGTGAAAACAGGTCATTAGGACTGATCAACGTATTAGTGGGTAATGTACACACTCTATGAGTTGCCAACTACGTACAAGTACACGATTAGCACATTTTGATATATCAATTTCTAAACGATTCATGTGTACACAAGAGAAAAGTGATGTTTGTGTTTTGGGAATTTTTGTTCCACGGTCTAGACCCAACAGGTTCATTAAGTGCTGATGCTCGTACACGTATATAGCCATATTTCGTGGCTAAACCTCAAACAACGCAACTCTTCCAAAAATGAACCCTTAAACCCTCAAATCCATTAACTGCTGTTCCTAGAACTGGCTCAGTGATACCATACATACATGTGGCCATTTTTTCCATGGCTAATCCTCAATCGTTAAAAACGTAACTCACTGTTCTCAAATTAAAACCCTCTAATCTATAACTACCAATCATTGAAAATTTTACGCCGTGCAAAAAGCGACTCTCCATTGTCCCAACATGGACTCAGGCGAACCTTCTCCATCTCAGTGGAGGTGTCCTGTTGGAGTCTCTCCAAGTCTCTCTCTCTCCTCCTGAGCTCCGTCTGAGCGTCCTCTGTCTCCAGCCGACTCCTCTCCAGCTGGGCCTTGTACTCGTGACTGAGAGCCTCGTACTGAGAACTGGTGGCTCGTGTCTGAGCCAGCTCCTCCTCTAGACTCGTGATCTGGGGAGGGAGGGAGGGAGGGAGGGAGGGGAGGAAGTAGGTGCTGGAAGGGTGTAATGTTTCATGGACTCCATCCAATTTTTTTTATAACACAGCAAATATTTTGCAGATTTTAGCGGGAGTGTTACGTATGTAGCTTCCATGTTCAATGTCGAAATTATACTCTGCAGACCCACAAAATATGCACCCTGCTTAAACTTTATTTCCCCTCAACATTTTCCTACTAAGGTAACAGAATAGAGAGAGAGTTAGGTGTGTATGTATGCACTGTGGTGGGAATATCTCAGCTGACACACACAGCAGGAAGCATAGCTACCCTGGAGGCTCAATTACTGACTTGGCATCAGCAGTCACGTCCACCGCTGCCACATACCGAGCACCGTCCTCTGTCTTTGTAGTAGCTAACCTTCACACACGCATAGAGCAGTCGGTACTTACTACTGCGTGTAACGTGGTGTATACATGTGCCCATCATATACCACATGTGTCCATCATAAATATACCGGAGTCAGTGTGCTATAGACACTTCCACCACCACCTCGATCGTGAGAACCAATTCCACAACCTATGAGCTCCTAGACTGCACGGCCACATCAGATGAAAGGCGTGCTTTGATGTCTACAGCCAACTAGCCAACGTTGATTTACGACTATATATGTACCAAGTGTAACGGGTTAAACTCCCCTCCATTACCACACTAGCAAACAACAGCTATCCACTATATACAATGCTTTACTGTATTAAGTGAAAGAAAACGTAGGTAGCGTAAGGCTGGGTTCACAATAATCATGTCGCATTCCCCCGTCGCGCCGTGCGGCGAAGATAGACTATCCTCGCAACGCGGCAAAGCGCGATGGGGCAATGCGACGTATTGTGAACTGGCCTACGTAAGATGTTCATGTGTGTATATAGGAAACCTTTCTGGAGGAGTTTTGTTCCATGGCTTTGAGAGCTCCTTCTATTGTCTCGAGAGTTGTCTAGAGTGAGGATGGGAAGAAATGTAACACTCCCTCCTTCTTCCCTTCCTCCCTCATCCCCCCCTCTTTCTCTCTCTTCAAATCTGCCCGTCTCTGCTGACCTTGAGACGATCATTCTCCATTTGCAGAAGGTTCAGCTCTTTCGTCTTCTCTGTCAATTGCCTACTCACTGCTCCAACTGCACTCTACGAAGCACAAATGATACAATGGGACCCATTTACCATATGTGTTACACATACACATACGTACCTCAGCTGTAGTTATGGACTGAGTGAGGCAGTTGTCCAAATCTCTCACTCTCCTGCAATCAGAATATGCAACTTTGCCGAGGTGTAATTTCCTTGGGGTGTATTCACAATGTGGAAATGTGCTTCTAGTACTGTAGCAGTGAGACCAACAACCACATTTTCTGCAAATGTCGCTGGCTTTGGGAAACCGCAGCAGTATATGTCTCACGTGGAGAGAGAAGAGAGTTCTGTGTCCTGCCGCGTCCTCTCGTCGCCCATCTGCGTCAGCTCCCTCCTCGTCTCCTCCAACTCCTGCGCCAGCTGTCCCGCAGTCTTCTCGCTCTCCACGGCCCTCTGTCTGTGCTGCTTAGCCGCTCTCTTCAGGGCCTCCTTCTCCTGCCCAGCCTTCCTCTTGTACTGAGATAGACAGACAGACAGGCAGAGAGAGAGAGTAATTCTAAAAGTTCCTTACAAGGAAAAGTAGTTCCATAATTGACTTTGCGATGCTTTGGCGATTTCTAGACCTCCATTTAAAGGTTGCTCAATGATGAGTACACAGAACAAAAAGGCACCTTTTTGTACACCTTTTGAAGTGCATACGTGTACCTCATGGAGGTCGGTCTGTAGGTCAGTGAATTCCTGGTCTCTCTTCTCCAGCTGCTCCTCCAGACTCTGCGTGTGCATCATCAGTGACTGTAGCTCCACCTCTCTCCTCCCTATCTCGTCATGGAGACTCTACACACACACACACACACACACACACACACACGAGAAAACAACCTAACCATGCGGCAACTCATTATAGGATGCACAAACTCCAGGTGTTTGATTGATTTTTTATGGTCAAACTTTGCAACCGGGCCGGCAAAATCTCAACTCATTTCTAGCACATAACGCAGCAGTCTCAAGTGTTATTTCACTGAAATTGACTTATGTACTACAGTAGTACTACACCCCGCTAACAGCACAGATTATACGTACACACCATTATACACAGACGTGTGTTATAGAGCACCTGCGTATGTAGTGTAAGATGAGGATCTGCGGTGGTGGCAGACCGAGTGAGATGGTCTGGACAACTCTCGTGGTCCAACTGCTGCTTCAGCAACTTTCTCAGGTGCCGGCTGCCACGTTTGAACTCTGTCACGCTTTCCATTAACTTTGACCTCTGACCTCCGAGCTGGGACATAACGGCACACGTGGACTGCCTTTTCCCCTGCAGAAAATAGAGAAAATAATGTTAGCAAACGTGGTTTATCCACAGTTCTCTTCAATGAGACACTATATTCAGTGGAACCTCATTGATGGGCGAGCGAAGCGAGCCCACCTTGTCATCTGAATGCTATATTATATAATGTTGTGGCCGCACTGTAAATGTCTACGTGATTCTAAATACGCGCAAAACACGCACAAAATATTGCACTGCTCGATTCACTAAAAGTGGGTTCGTTCTAACACGGTACATATCAACGTACATGTGTTACAGTGACGTGTACTGACCAGTTTCTTGAGGGAAGCATGGAGCTGGTCCACGTGGTCCCTCACGGCACAGCCCTCCCTCTCCACCTCCTCCAGTCGCCTCACCAGCTCCTCCTTCCTCTGTCTCACCGCCCTCTCCTCCTCTCTCCGCTGGCGTTCCAGCTGCGAACTCATCAGCGAGGCCACCTGCCCCAGGACCCTCATCTCCGGGGAAGCCCCTGGGCGCTCTCCCGTTTCATTGTGTCTACGAATACTAGACTGCGTCAGTGGCAGGCTCTGGTGGTGTCGCTGAGACTCCTCCTCAAGTCTTGCGGTGAGGGTGTCCACTTCGCTCTGCAGCGACTGAATCCTGCTCTCGAAAGTAGCGTGCTCGTCAGCTTCACATTCAACCTCCTCCTCCTCCTTTTCTCCTTCTTCTCCTCCTTCACCGAGGTCACTCATCCTGAGGGTTGTGTGTTCTCTCTCATGCTCCCATCCCTCTCCTCTTTCTCCCTCTTCACCTCTTCTGCCTCCCGTACGAGAGTGACTTGGAGGGTGAATCTCCAGACGATGAGTAGACCCCTGCAGAAGACAGCAATCATCTACACTACTAAATCATCTGCTTCACTTACACAATGATGCAGCATTGGGTGGTGTGTATTATGAATTGCTGTGACAAGACAGCCTTAGGTAAAGAGACTGTGTGTTACAGTTAGGTCATGCGATTTGTATAATCCAGCCTCATAGTCAAAAAAAGGAACACTAGCTTCTGAGTTTAACGACAGAGGCTGCTCTCTCTTGACGTAATGAAGGACTCGGTAACCCTGAATATATAGTATCAGCAGTATACTGTGGGTATAACGTACTTCCCAGGAGAGTTTTGGGTGCAGAGACTGAGAAGAGGTCTTTGATCTTGAGAAGAGGGAGCGCGAGGATCGAGTGCCTCTCGCCTGTGGCCCAGCTCCTCTCTGGAGTGGACAGAGAGGGGGAGGGGGAGAGAGCCATGCATGCAGGCATATGTAGCTCTAGAATATCTATGACTGGTGTTTAACAGTTCTTCAGCGTATAGCTGTATATACCCTTTGCGAGGATCTTGAAGTGCTTGATGGCGCTGGTCTCAAATTTTCTCTCCGTGACGATCTTTCGCTGACCTTCTCTCCCTACACCAAAGATATTAGCGATGGAGTGTTTTACCGCGTAGCTCGGCGATTATAATACCTGCTTGGTAGTTGATCTGGTGGAGGTTGGCCTTATGTGGACGGTCAACGGGGTCTTCTTGCTCACGGAGAGAAAGAGCGGCTCACGCACAGTCGACCGGCTCATAACTTACTGCAGCAACAGACCGGCAGACATTTTGTTTTTTCACACGCGTGTAACTATGGTAACGAGCCCCACCCCCTGCTCCAAAAATAAGCGCGTGCGGCATAGATAAAAGCCTATAGCCAGAGAGAGTTGGAATAAAAAAATCATGCTAGAGCTATGGCAGTCTAAATTTCTCCGATTGCGAAGCTCCGTATGATGTCAGGAGCGGCGGAGTCGAAACCAGCCACGTCCAGCATTCCTGCGTCGTCAGAGTCAGCCAGAGTGAACCCGTTGGAGGTCATGGCACTGACAACCAGCCTGGCCTCGATACCGCTGGACTGGCGGTAGTCCTTGAGGGCCTTTGCTGGGTGGACTGGACCTGGAACAACATGGGAAAGGAAATTCTCTTTTGATCTTTGTGCACGTGTCAGTAACAAGGTAGCAAGGCAAAGGCAAAGCAACTAGTACATGTACTAGTTGTGCGTGAATAAATCCTTGATAGCCAAAGTGCTCAAATTTTGTTGATTAACAGTTTAGGGAAAGGTTTTCATAAATAGCAAGGTTATTTTTTGCGACGCTAAAAATTCGTAGTAAGGGCTTTCCAGCGAAAGGGAAAAAGTGAACGTTTATTCGTGCATCTCTTAGAAGAAGGGTGAGGAGAGGGGGTATGTCTGTGAGTGGTATAATTATAGTATATACCTGCCCATGTTTCACAATCGGTGTAGACAATGAACACGTCCACCTCCAGTAGCTTCTTCTTGGCGTAGATCATAGGCTGTGCACAGTCAGTACCACCCATTGGAACCTGCATACAAACACCGTCACACACAGTTAACCAATCAAAATATTTCGGTGTAAAATATTTTCGTGATGCACATTTAAATTCTTAGGCAAGTAAGAGGAAATGGTGTATGTAGTCTCCATTAACTTGCAAAACTGTTTTTCACAAGAAAATTTTTTATGCCTGATACACTCTAAAGAAGGGGTGTGTATTACTGACTCTTTCAATGGTAGTTAGCACATCTTTTAGGCTCATTTTGGAGTTGATATTGACGGGCACCAGTTGAGACGAGAACCCCACGATGTGGTAGTTGGCCTCAGTGCGGGCGGTGACCATCGCCATGGCAGCGCTGGCCTCACGGGCGGTGACGACTGCAGAGCCCAGTATACCACTGCACATTGAGCCACTCACGTCCAGAGCCAGCAGAAACCTCTTCCCCGTTGACTGGACTGACTGGAGTAGCAGAAAGGAAGATGAAACTTAAAAGCAAGACAGGGGTTCAGTGAACCACCAAAAGGACCCTCCCAATAAAGGAAACTCTCCACATTGTTCTGTGCTGATAAAATGACACATCTTAAAACAAAGGACACTTTTGTGCTTCACGGTGTCCCTGATGCTAACAGCACACAGAAAGAGGGTATAAACTGAAAAAAAGAGTGTAACAACTGACTTTGAAGGAGTTGTAGAAGGCTTCTTCTAGAGCGTCGCAGACGGTAGAGTTTGGGTCCCACCTCAGCTTCCCTTGTCTCCGTGACCACTCTGGTAGGTCTTGAGGGCCACCAGCACGTTGAATGGGTGGATCCTGGCCTGCAAGAGAAAATCACCCAATCCACGACACTCTGGAGTCTAGGCGAGCGCTCTATATACCAACTGAGCTACCAGGCAACTCAGCTGGTAGGGGTTCGAATCTACAACACAACACAACACAAGGCAAATCTCAAACCACTGTGCTATGGCACAGTTTACTCTCACTCAGTATGTATACCTTGGAGAGTAGCGAGGTGTCCCTGAGGCGATTGCAGACCAGTGCAGCCTGAGGGGAGAGAGGTTTCAGGAGGCCAATGGAGGACATCTTTCCCAGGTTCCTGATCATGGCCGTCATGGGCATGTTCTCCAGTAGAGCACCCCACACCTGTGGACAGAGATAACAATGACACAGATGATGATGACGATGATGAACATGAAAGGTTTAAACGAGAGAAGGAAAAGACGAAAGGGAGTGTTAAAAATAGGGTGGCCTAGGATTTCTGAGAGGGGATAGAGGGGGAAGGCAAAATGCAAGAGCAATTTTGGGTGAAAAGGTTCCTTCCTACAAAATTTCGCTGTCTAACTTTTTTCATACGCTTTTCAATCCTGTAAAATTTGGCTATATGGCCATTATCTAATCGCAATTCCCCACAGACCATTCTCAAGACACAATACTTGCTGATGGAGATACGGGAACTTACAGCAGTGGAGTTGAGGTGGGCTGTGGGGACATGCTCCCTCACTAGTCCATTCTCCTGTATGAACTTTACGATGGTCGGCTCGTCGGCCGATTTGGCTGCCTCCACTGCCCCAAGGAACACCAGTATCTCGTCCACTTCAGCCTCGCCCTTCCCTGCAAACCCCTCCCTGCACACATCAATTCCCTTCACCACGTAGCGACACACGCACCCCACCTCCTCGTTGGCCGGAACCAAGTGACACAGTCGGAGGAGATCCAAGTGTGACCAGCCCCCTCTCTGCTGGTACTTCGTCACCGCGATTGCCAGGGGCTTACCCTTCTTCTCGTTGTACCAGGCCTGGACGGCTCGCCGCTGGGCCCGCCCCCACCCCGTTCCTCCCTGACTCAGGCTCTCACAGAAGTCAACAAAGGCAAACAGGTGGGTGGGTATCCGACAAACTTTGTTCAGAGCTTCGTACGCCACCCGTTTTGTTTCCTTGTCGTCTCCACGGGCACAGAGAGCCAGAGCAAAGATGATCAGGTCTTGTTTCGCAGCCCGGCCCTGCAAACTAAAGTCTAAAATCTCGGACACGACCTCTCGACTTCGACCACTGCCGATGAGCCTCGAGATACACTGGGCGTTCTCCTTGCCCAGTTTCTTCTCGCCGATGTAGTAGGTGCCTCCCTCTGAGCCCAGGCAGAGGAACCGGCGGAGTCGTCTCATGTCGTCCACGGCCCACGTGAACCCCCCAGCGCTGTTAGGGACCATCCCGGGCAGCGGCTTGGACTGCGGAACCTCCATCTTCTCCATCTTCTCCGCAGTCTTTCTTGCCTCCAGCGGAGTGTGTGTTTGTTTACACCTGCCTCGTGTTTGTTTTTTTAAGGCCGAGCTCCCGTTGTCCTTGCTGAGCCTTTCTCGCCTCTGCGCTCCGCCGTGGTTTCCCTAGTAGCAGCCTGCGGACGGACCTCGATCTCTTCGGAGAAGAGTCGAAGTCAAAAAAGGGGCAGGTCTCCTCTGGTGAACTCGCCGAGACGGCCGGGAGGCGGGGCAGAGTCGAAGAAACGTCGACGCAGCGTTTGACAGACTTGCTCAACTGGCTCCTTTTTGTGCTGAGTCGTGCTGGGTGATGACACAGCGGAAATTCTGCCAGCTCGACAAGTGCATCTTTCTGCAAGTGGTGCAACCGCTGACTGCCCCGCCCACACGTTGCACGCTCACACACCCAGACGTGCAATTCCAAATAGTGCGCAGCGTCGTTCTCTGAAGCAACTGACAGATACAAAATCCAGGGGTGAAGATCCCAGCTGTGATCTCGTGTAGGAAGAAATTCTCTGACTAGGAGATGATGGAGGGGCTACTGGAGCAGGAATGCACAACGGAGAGGCGGCTAGAAACGTACAAAACCCAGGCACGTCCATAGATAAGCCTGCTAGCTATTCATAGGGCGTTGATACCCGGCCATTGTGTAGCTATCGCTGGTGGAGACGCAGCTGAAGGCTGGGAGCAGTGGACCAGATACTGCTGACTTGGAACAGCTCAAAGACAACCTCTCAGAGCTCATATCACTCACTGAAGGTACTTCTAGACCACTGAATAAATGTTATTCTTGTGTCTTCATTTGTACAGAGGTGTCCTTTTACAATGCAGTAAGGTCTTAGCCAAGGATTTAATTTATTCTAAAGTCTTAGCCCAGGATTTAAGCAATGCATGGAGTCTTAGCCCAGGATTTTCATTCGTGCATAGGCGTCCTATATTCTACGTGGTTTTGCTGCGTAACACTTCATGTATATATCTGAATCTTATGTGTGTCCATACTGCACTGGTGTATGCAGATGCTCTACTGGAGGTCAAGAAGCAGAGGTTGTTGTTCAGTCTAGAGACGGTGGAGACGGAGGCCAGCCGCAAGACTGAGTCACCCCGTAGTGGCGGTGGAGGAGAGGGGGAGGGGAAGGAGTGTGGAGAGAGCAGTGAAGACAGCGATGACTTGCAGGGAATAAAGTGCCAGGCTCCAGTTGAAGAGGTGTAGAAGTGAAATTTTGAGAGTTTAATGCTGTGAATTTGTGGTCAAATGGTGATCAATGCTATGCAGGCGTGGGGTGCGGTCAACTACCACAATGCAGTCGTTCTCTGCAGAGAAAATAGTGACTCAGAGGAGCCGGAAAAAGTGATGGTAGAGAACAAATCACAGTGTAATAATTATCTCTCCTACTTTTTTTAAGCTATTTGCTCTTCCGTGAACTGTTTTGCCCCCGGCTTTAATCTTACAATCAAGTGACCACTGTCTGAGTTAAAGGGAACGTGGCAGCATAATATAGGGGTTAAAGTTAGAAATGTTACTAACGATTGAGCTTAGGTTTCACATCTAGCCCTTCAATACTGCCACATTCCCTTTAACTAGTCCCCCACATGCGTATTTTCAGAGATCCCGTTTTGCCCCTGAAATAATAACATAGCCCTACACTCAGAAGATAGTGTTTGTTGCAGTAATAATAGTGACCCCAATTTGCTCCCCACAGGTCCGTGTTCTCTTCACTCACCCAACCTACAATGCCATGAAGCCGTGCCCGTTCTTCCTCGACGGCAAGTGTAGGTTCGAGAGCTCCGTCTGCAAGTTTTCCCACGGGACTGTGGTGCCTTTCTCACAACTTCTTGCCTACCAGGACCCTGACTATAGGTGATCTCTTGGCTGCGTAATATCGGCTATTTCATGTGAATTTAGATTAAGATTTATGCGAGGAACTTTTGTGTCCATAAAAAATTTTGTGCAGTTTGTGGATAGTCACCCATTTTGATTATGTGAAGATTTTGGTGCATGATAAAGACAAGACTAAAGCAAAAATTCACTTATGCTGACTTACTTAAAGTGCCTGATGTTCACGGTTGTCTATGCTTGCAATGATTGCTCTGTATGAATGCCACATTTTGCTGTTCCAGCTTAATCTCTACTGGAGGGAAGTGTCTTGCTAAGTACTCGGACGGTCTGTGGTATCAAGCTATAATCAGGTATATATTATACGGGTGTTATGATGTGTATGAACATGGTACAAAATTTCTTCAGTTCCTTTGATGAGGAATTTACAGTACATATTCCGTCACTCAACAAAACTGTCCAGACTCCTATTGAAAATGTATTTCCATTGGGTGAGTATCTTCTCTGTTTAGTGGACCCTCGTTACAGTGAAATGGAAGGGACCGACCAAAACCTACACTGTAAAGGAGTTTCACTAAAAGCGAAAATGTAAAATGTTGCAACAATATGATTCGTGTTAACTTTATAGAGGGCGTTTGCTATAAACAGGCTAATACTGTAGGTAGTTATTGGCGAGTGCCCACCTATAGTTTTTTGAATTGCACGATTTCCATGCGTAACGACAGACCATGCACTGCGATAATGCGCATGTGCGTAAGCAGTTCAATTGTCCCGTAGCTGGCAGTGGCCAATAATGTGTTGCTATTAGTAGATACTTGTTTATTACAGAGGGTTCAGAGTCGGGCAGTTCTAGTGATGATGAGGATTTGGATGAGGAAGGAGAGGGAGAGGAGGGAGCGGTGGTGGAGTGGATTCCCAGTGGGCCTCACAGAGCTCTCGGAGACTGGGAGAAGTACACCACTGTGAGTATCGGTCGTTCTGTCTCATTTTCCTTGTTGATTGCATGTGTGTGTTTTTAGGGTATTGGCTCTAAGCTGATGGCCAAGATGGGATATGTTGTTGGGTAAGTATACCATATTGGGGTATACCATAAGTAAGGGTATCTTTTCAATGCCACTACTGGTAATATGCACTTAGCTGAAGCATCAGTTGTCGGTTTTTAGAGAGTCAAAATGCATCGCGCAATATCCACAGTTGCTCCCATTGTGTTTGTCTTTACAGGAAAGGTCTTGGAAAGAGTGGTGAGGGGAGAGTCGAACCAGTGGAGATCAAGATTCTGCCACCGGGGAAGAGCCTGGACATGTGTGCAGAGATGAGGGAGGAGGGGAAGCTGAGGAAGGCTCCAGGGCAGGAGAAAGAGGGAAGGAGGAGGAGGAGGAGAAAGAGGAGACTCGTAGAAACTTCTAGAATCGAAGAGGTTTGTATATATCACTGCCAAAACGTAAGTTGTGCAAAGTTTCTATTTCACAGGAAAAGAGAGTTAATGTCTTTGATTTCCTGAATGCTAAGCTGCAGAAGAAAGGTGAATACTCCACTGGAATTACCGAGGCTTTCCTTGAAAAACTGATTTCTGTTCTCTACGTGTAGACTCACAGGCCAAGAGTCAGTCTGTGTCAAAGCCCAAGTCAGGAAACCTGAATGTACAGGTACAGCAAACCGTTCTCCCATGGCGCGTAATGTGACACAGAGGGAAACTCTCGGGAAAAACTCTCGCAACTTAGTGGCCAAATTCCCTTGTCTGCAAAGTTTTGTCGATTAACGGATAGTTTAAACCTTGAAAGTTCGGTTTTCCTGCTCAGTGCTCACAATCTGTGTGTGTGTGTTTGTTTGTCGTGCAGTTGTTCACAGTTCAAGAGGACATCAAGTCCGTAGGGAAGAGGAGACAGTCTCTGCAGGCACAGTTTGCCAGACACAAGGGAAGGCGAGTGGAAATCATCTACTTGTGTATTCTTGGCTAGCATGGTATGTAGCTATGTACATAGGTCCTATTTTAGAGTTTTGAAGTTGACGAAATTCTGAAACCTTGAGGACATTTGAATGTTCAGAGAGATGTCCCTAATTCTACACTGGTATTGGACAGAACAAACTATCCGTTGTAGAGAGGTCTCCTTCAAAGGTCCTCATTCAGAGGTTTTGGCTCTGTAGAGACAAGATGATGGAGGCACATGTCTCAGAGAAGTTGGTGGCCGCACAGCGAGAGATGGAGAAACTGCAGGCAGAGGAGAGGAGGATCGAGAGGAGTTTGGAAATCAAGTCTGAGCGAAAAAAGCTGAGAATATTCTAGAATAAATGTGTATAGGTATTATAGCACGTCCTTTTTTTCAAAATCAATGCATGTACATGTCACTCAGTGGTGCAATGTCTTTTTACTCCTCGTGGATTTCTGTCTCTGGTGGTTTTACACTGCCTGTGAATGGCCTGGTGTGCCGGATTATGTCTGAATATCTTGGTCAAGGAGAATTTGAAAATTCTAGGATGCAAATACTGAAGTTGATATCAGCTAGCAAGATATTGCTTCATTTAATAGTGTGTAGCTATAATGGTTGTGTAAACACTTCACACGATTCTTACTGCTTTTATTGTACTCTTGTGAAAGAAAAGATACGGTGTTTGGAAGAGTTGTGGGAATCAAAGTAGTTGATTTGAAGATTGGCTGTCAGTTCGTGTGCCAAATGTCTTAGCTTCTAGCACCAGGACAAAAACATTAACAGAGTTAATGGAATTCCACCTGTTGAGCTGCAGTGGGTGTGTATTACCTTCCTGTTTGTTGTTTTCCTGGTGAGATGAATGGTAGCCTCCAGTCCCCAGCCATCCAGCACCAGCTGATAGTGAGGGCTTCTTGAACCTAAAAAACCATACAGACACGTCATAGGAATGAGAACAATCTAGTTTTGAAGGGGTAGTTCAGGAAAAGGAAAGGCTGTCAGGGGAATTGCATAAGGTGACTGAAATGGGTTGCAGAAACTAAAGAGGCATGGCAACTGCTAGCGTGTAGCTATAAAAGAAATTAAGGAGCTGTTTGTAAGGGTGAAAGGTAAGGATTGCTGCAGCACACGTACTGGTCTTCTCGCAGACCAGTCTGACATAGATGTTGTGGCAGTGTTGGGAGACAGTTAGATGGGACCCGTGGTAGACGGAGTAGTGGTGGGAGGCTGGCTCCAGGACTATACTCCACTGTGGCCACGTCTCCAGGACCAGGTAGAGGGCCAGGAAGAACACTGCCACACCAAACACAACATACTCCTGCACAGTACGTAAAGGAAACACTTGGTTTCTTTTCCATTAGCTATCAATCTCTGAGTCATATTCCATCATGCTGAAAAACGTTCTTACTGAGAATGTGTAGCAATATGCTACCAGTTGCTATAGTTTTGGGATTAATCTTCCTGTGTTGAGCATAAGCCAAGGTCTGCATTTAATGTTGAAGAGTTGAGCTAATCGCTTACACTGTCATTGCCTGCTGATGGCCAGATAATGACAAAGAGGAACGATGCAATGGCCACTGCGAGGTAAAGGTAGAACCAAGAGTGTCGAGATGTGTAGACAAACACTGCAGAACAGGAGAAGTCAGTGATCAGTGTGTGATCAAAGCATGGTGGCTACCTTTATTTTCGTCTTCTCCTTCGCTGGAGGCAAGGTGGAAGGGATGGTAGGGATTTGCCTGCAACTGGCGTTCTAAAACAGCCTCGGGCGCTTGAAAAATGCCCAAGGCAGACAGAAGACCCATCACACGATTGGATAAGCACCGACGTGTGTGGAGAGTTGCGGGGAGCCCTGTGCGCCCGCCCGGCTGATCGTTGCCGTGGTTACCAAATAACACAAAAAACGGCGGATTCTTCTTTCACTGTCGGTCGAAGTAAAGCAGGAGCCTTTCCAGAATGTCGTACAGAGATCTGAGAAGTAAGTGAATGTTGGAAGCGGAAATCTATGATGCCTTAGAAACTTTATTCTAGAGCCTGATGTATCGGTAACTGTCAAAAGATGCAGCTAGGTATGGTGCTCTTTATTTAGAGAACACGTTCGTTTTGCAGATTTCACGGAGATGATGCGAGCGCTGGGCTATCCCAGGCTGATTTCCATGGAGAATTTCCGAACTCCGAATTTCCAGCTGGTTGCAGAGATACTCGCCTGGCTGGTCAATAGGTGTGTTTAGTGAATGTAGGAAGTTTATGTTGTGTGGAGAGAAAGGGAGAGTTATTACAACTAGCTGCAGTGCATAGAGTAAGTGAGTGTGTATGAAGTTAGTGCTGCTGTGGATGCAGGTATGATCCATCTGCTGACCTACCCACTGAAGTGGACACTGAACAAGACAGAGTGATCTTTATAAAGTCCATCGCACAGTTTATGGTGTGTAAGTTGAAACAAGAAGCGATAAAAATCAAGGGCTTTGGGTAGAGCATATCAAAAGTGAAAATGCAATGCGGATTGTAAAAAAATAACGCATTGAGGGATGAAAAAAATGGGCCAGTCCGGGATTCGAACCCGGGACCTCTCGCACCCAAAGCGAGAATCATGCCCCTAGACCAACTGGCCACATCTGGCAGAGTAGCATTGTTTTCTGGATGCCATGCTCAAGTGGCTGTTACGCTTGCAGGCAACAAAGGCGCATGTGAAACTGAACACGAAGAAGCTGTACATGGCTGACGGTCATGCAGTGAAGGAACTGCTCAAGATATCTAGTCTCCTTTATACTGCCATGACCACTCATCAGGTAAGAAAACAGTGCACTCCAAGTACAGTGCGCATTGTACGTACATTATTTTGCCTAAAACCCGTCCTACTGTTTCAAATAGAAGTCCGGATTGTCTGAGGACACAAGTACACAGAAGAACATGGAGTTATCTGTAAAGGTATATACTCTAAACTGTATATACTATGCTGCGATTTATAGCGCGCGCGTGTGTGTGTGTGCTGTTGTGTGTGTGTGTTTTGCAGTCTACTGATCTGAAGGCGTGCAGACAGTTAGCCTCTGAGATCACGGCCCGAGGAGCCAAGCTGCACGAGCTCCTGGGCAGGGAAGTAGAGTTGAGGGTGAGCAGATTCCAACCACCCAATGCACATCATCATAGTCTGTGTATGTATATATATATAGATGTATGAGGAATGCCACACATTTTGGCGAGCGAGCGTGAGCTTAGAAAACGTTCAATTTTTCACTCATGCACGTAGAACATTACGGTATGTTCAATGCTATCACTCACATAATATAGAAAAATCCCGGATTCAGACGACTAGGTAGGCTTGGTTCGCTCGCCAATAAAAATAGCTTTTGTCTTATAAGGCACTGTCATATTATTATGATGGTACACTATTTCCCTTGCAGGACTTGCGACGGACGGCTCTGTCACAGACGGTGGACATTGAGGAGCTAGAGAGAGGAATAGCCTCCAGTATATCTGCTGTCAAGGTACAGACGATATCACACTCACACACCCCTCCCTAAAGGTACTGTGTGTCTTTTATACCTGACTTTTATAGTATAAAAGTGAAACGTACAAATCTGAAATGTATGGGCATAATGCAAGACAACCTGCGTCATCCCTATTACCGTACTTAGCGATTAATGATTGGTACGCAGTAATGTACTTAGACTCAACAGTCGGAGTCTGACAGAGAGAAATAAGTGGTTCAGATTGAATGGAAAGTGAACATGCACAAGGCTGCCAGCGCCACCCCTTCCTATTATCCCTTCACTCACTCGCTTGTCCTAACCCTCTCTTCCCTCCCTCACTCTCTCTTACACTTCCTCGTCCCACCTCGCTCCTTCTCACCCTCCCCGTGTGACGCTCCAGACAGAGATAGAGCGTGTACAGCAGATGCTGGGTAATCTGGGAGGCGACGAGGCGAGTCTGGAGGTGAAGATTGAAAATAAACGACAGGAGCTCGAACGTAACCAGAAACGGCTGCGCAGTTTAGCCAACGTCAGGTGAGCATGTATCTCTCTCTTTAGACGAGTGTAGGGGAACTGGCAGTGGCCTTTACAACAATATCACTGCCTGTCTGTTTGTATATATATACCCACAGACCAGCATACATGGATGAGTATGAGAGAGTAGAGGTGGACCTACAGAAGCAGTATTCGGTCTACGTTGAGAAACACTGCCACCTGTCCTACCTCGAGCATCAACTGGACCTGGTAAACGAGGCCGAACACCATGAGCACGAGGTATGTACTTACTTACACTGACTGTATGCGGCAGACTATTTAGAGAGAGATTAGCTCTTTTGAAAATGCCGGAAAATTGGATTCCATGCGTATCAACAAATTAACAAGTTGCAAAGAAAATGCTTCCAGTTGTCATTATATAGGAGCACCTTGAATTTCTCAATTGCTTATCAGGCAGGTGATAGAAATCTCATATATATAGGTTTTGATGTATGTTCGACGACTGACTATTGCTTGTTCGAAAAACAATTAAGCAGTTTTTGCCCCAACAAATACTGTATATACATAATTTCCTATGCTGGGGATCCCACGTGATACAGTGGACCCCCTCTCTAATGACACCCCTGTAATTAGGACACCCCTCTAATAAGCACCCCTTAAAAACCACCGGAAAAAGGACACCTCACTATTGTGCACAGTGTCTTTGGTGTCAGGATTAACTAGCTAGGGCACCCCTCTAATAAGACCCTATGTCTCTCCTTGAAAAAACCACTGAATAAGGTTACCTCACTCTTCTATGACAGCTTGTTTTGTGTCAGGATTAAAGGGCACACCTCTACTAATGTTTCACTCCTTGAAATAAGGACACCTCACTATTGTGCACAGTGTCTTTGGTGTCAGGATTAACTAGCTAGGGCACCCCTCTAATACGACCCTCTTTCTCTCCTTAAAACCACTGAAATAAGGCTACTCACTCTTCTAGACAGCTGGTTTTGTGTCAGGATTAAAGGGCACACCTCTACTAATGTTTCACTCCTTGAAATAAGGACACTCACTAGTGTGGACAGTTTCTTTGGTGTCAGGATTAACTAGCTAGGGCACCCCTCTAATAAGACCCTCTTTCTCTCCTTAAAAACCACTGAAATAAGGTTACCTCACTCTTCTAGACAGCTTGTTTTGTGTCAGGATTAAAGGGCACACCTCTACTAATGTTTCACTCCTTGAAATAAGGACAACTCACTAGTGTGGACAGTTTCTTGGGTCGGATTAATAGTAGGGACCCCTCTAATAAGACCCTCTTCTTCCTTAAAACCACTGAAATAAGTTACCTCACTCTTCTAGACAGCTTGTTTTGTGTCAGGATTATAGGGCACACCTCTACTAATGTTTCACTCCTTGAAATAAGGACAACTCACTATTGTGGACAGTTTCATTCTATCCTACATGTTGTTGGTGTCAGGATTAAAGTATGCTCTAAAGATAACCCGGTCATTCACAATCAACGTTGTGTCAGGCGACAGAGTCTTCTCTGAAGAGGATGCACCAGCGGATGCAGGAGGCGGAGCATAGGATGATCAGAGATGACATCACCGCTGACGACATGCTCCAGATAGCCGGCACCGAGGAGTTCCCTAGACCCACAGGTCTCTCGTCTCTCACAACTATAGCTTTCTTCCTGTGTTTTAGACTGCGCTCTATTGTGCATGTATAATGAGATGCTTGTCAAGACAAGGAGAATGTAAACCACACATAAAATCTAGAGCCTGATATGATGGAAGTTTGTACTGTGTTGTGTGTTAATTTTGTCCGTATTTCACAGCTGAAGGTAGAAAGGTGTTTGGTTCAATGTCTGGAGATGCCATACTCAGTGATCATGTGAGTGTTCACTCTTCCTGTCCCTCCCTCCTTACTGTCACCCTTCCCCCATACCCCCATTGTTGAGTGTGTCCCATTTGCCATACCCTTAACTGCACCTTCTATTATACCCGAGTTTTACAAAGTGTGCCCCCTTTTTTCTAATGTGTCAGTTCCAGAAGGTCCACCTCTTTCTTATACACACACACTGTGCACAGGAGGAAGAGTCAAATCCTCTCTCATCAGGCAGTGAGCTAGCCAGTGGTGGCGAGGAGGATGAGGATGAAAAGACATTAGACTTCTCTGATGGAGACCAATCTCGTCCTGATAGTGCAGATGACTTTTAGCTTCCACAACTCTTTTTAGTTTTATCTGTTATCCGTTTTCTGAAGGCAATAAATGGATCGCGCATGCGGTTAATAAATAAGCGCGCGCGTATATGAGGGTACGTAATTATTCGCGACCTTTAGACTCCACGTTGTAGTATTTCTGTCTGCACTGTTTACTGCCGCTGTGTCCACGTCAAAATGCCTATTCCACAGACGTAAGTCTAATGCTACGAGTCACCATAGATGTCAACTGTGTGTCTATCTTCACTTTTCGCCGCTGAGTATATACTTCTGTATGTCATTTTCCCCGTCCACACACAGCCCCGCGTCGGCCACCCCCCAGGGAGCCGGTCAGTCGGTGAGCTGGGCCGACCAGATGGACGATTTGGAGGCTTCCGTTATCACTGCAGGTGTATACTCCAGCTATATATAATAGCGTGTCCACGTTGGTCACGTGAGTATTATGACGTCATGCAGACAATCTTCCGGAGCCTCGTGAGACTGTGAGTGGGGACACTAGGACCATGGTGTCCTACCGAGTGGACGAGGGAGGCAAGATAAAGAAGGTTTGTGTACCACACGTGTTAATCTCTGCATCATGTGACCTTCACATGATTGTCAGGTGACGCAGGTGTACAAGGAGGTTCGGCAGCAAGTACCGAAAGCCATTGCCAAAAGACGTGTATGTCTGCACAATACCATGTCTACCATTTTTATACTAATTTAGAATATCATAGAATTATGTGCCTTTCAAGATTTCGTGCTATTATGACAGTACTTTTAGTGCATGAGTGCCTAGTGCCGGGACAGATGGCTTTCTTCACCGGTACAGTAGTATACTAGGTTGTGCTTTTACATGAGTGCCGGGACAGATGGCTTTCTTCACCGGTACAGTAGTATACTAGGTTGTGCTTTTACATGAGTGCCGGGACAGATGGCTTTCTTCACCGGTACAGTAGTATACTAGGTTGTGCTTTTACATGAGTGCCGGGACAGATGGCTTTCTTCACCGGTACAGTAGTATACTAGGTTGTGCTTTTACACATACATTTATCAGTGATGATGTTGTGTGTGTGTGTGGGTATAGACATGGAAGAAGTTTGGTGATGCTGAGCAGGACAACCCCAAGGGGCCAGACCAGGCCACCACTGTCATTGCTGATGATGTCTACCTCACACTCACCACCAACAGGGAGGTATCCACACTCTCCCTTTCTTTTCTCTTCTTAGCTTTGGGTGTCCTTACCTTAGCCACCTGCAGCAACTGGAGTATGTGTTTTTCTAAAGCCCACTTCCACAGTGTTAGTATGACGGGCCCAGGCACGAATAGATAGATGGTGTGTCTCTTTCTGGCAAATTGTTGCCTGGGCCTATCATATCAATACTTGGAAGTTGCTGCAACATTTGTTAAGAAACCAAATCGCTTCTTGAATGCCGGCCTTAAGAGTCTATATATACGTGATAGATTTTATTGTTTGCTATTCGCAGCAACTGGAGCACCACGACGACGATCCACTGAAGAAGCTGAGCACGAAGAGCATGGTGACGTGTCGTATCTGCAAGGGAGACCACTGGACCACCAAATGTCCTTACAAGGACACACTCGGGTCCGTCCCGGAAATGGAAGAAGGTGAGTGCTGGGGGTGGCGAAGCACAGAGCAGCACCTGCATTCTGTACTGTGTGTGCATGTCGTGCTTTCCTGTTCATTTTAGCACGAAAATGTGGAGATGTGGAATTTTATTGGTGTGCGCTCACACAGAAAGCGTGATTACTAAATCTCGTAGTAACTCACGTGAATTTTTACTAAGTTCCATATTATTATCTTTCATGCCAACATCACAAGATTTATTTGTCGTTATGGGTATATATATAATATAATATGTTCAATTTTACAACCCCAATGTGATGGTGGTAAGTCTTTCCTTCTGCTGGAAATGCAGATAACACCCCAACACCGACATGTACATATACACCACTATATTGTCCACGAATCACTTTGTCTCCTTGTGAAGTCAATAGGTCTGTATTCTATGTGCATTTCCCCACAGTCAATTCCAAGCCGGTTACGGCGGCTGGGGTAGCGGCTGGAGGAACTGGGGCCGTGGGCCCTGCGACCGGGAAATACATCCCTCCCTCGCAGCGAGGGGACAAGAAACCTGGCGAGAGGGGAGAGAGTTTCGGGTCCAGGATGCAGCAGGACGACCAGGCGACCGTGAGGGTCACGAACCTCTCGGAGGAGACGCAGGAGTCGGACCTGAGGGAGCTGTTTGGCTACTTTGGCCAGATTAAGAGGGTCTTCCTCGCCAAGGACAAGATCACGCAGCAGTCCAAGGTCGGTGTTTTAACCCTTTGGACGCCTTCGACGTAACTACTTAAATAAGCAGTAATTGATGTATAAAGTATTAGCGCCTAGTATTATAACCCCCATATAAATTCTTATGGAATTATGGAGGCTGCCGACACATTGGATGGTTAAGTGTTAAAGGCCACGCTACTCTGTTGCGTGCAACAAAAAGTTGCATGCAACCTCAAATGTATGGGTATGATGGGTCCATGCAACGGAGTAGCGTGCAGAATGTTGCGTGGCCATTTGAAGTTGCATGCAATTTTGTCTCACACAAGAAGGTATCGCGGTTTTTAGGCAAACATACACGGTCCAGCTTATTGTATGAGACAAGTCTTGATATAGCGTGTCTTTGCACCAAACTTGCATGTTATGTATACAGTTTGGAGGTCCCACAGTAAATTACGATATTCCAGGCTTATTGGCAAGCATAGCTAGCCCACCTTGTTGTCTGCATTACACAATTTTCCGTTTGTAGACGGCACTGTTTTGTGCAGTATAATATTTTAACTTCATGAAATTTCGCACATGCGTTTGCTTGCCAATAATGCGTTGGTTAGTACAGATATATATATGCACTGCAGGGGTTTGCATTCATCAGCTATGAGCTGAAAGACTATGCCCAGAAGGCCATAGACGCACTCGATGGTTATGGATATGACCATCTCATCCTCAAGGTTGAGTGGGCCAAGTAAGTCCACACTATATATGAAGGGGTCAGAGCCAGAGTGAGCCAACCAACCCTCATTATACAACTCTTGCGCCGTTTTATAAGAACATTTAGAACATATTTGAAAGAAAACCAGCAAGAATTGTATATTGAGGGTTGGCTCACTCTGACCCCTTCAATGTACTATGAATAGGGACACCTTGAGGACATTGAAAGTGTCCTTTATTCAGAGGTGTTGAAAGCAATTTAGCAACCAAGAGATTAAGTCAGAGGATCGGTTTTCAGAGGTCCTTTATTCAGAAGTGTCTCTTGTTTGGAGGCGATTTTATATACAAGTATGGGGCAGAACCAAGTATCCTTTTAGATAATGTCAAGATGGTCCCTTTTTCACTGTCCTATATATTATATATAAACCATTTTTATCTGTATTTTGTTTCCTTTTTAGGCCTTCAAAGGTACAACATTAGCCAAGTCTTCGTCATGCTTGCTGTCAATGTTTTCTGTCATTCATGAAACATTCAAATGCAGTGAACCCTCTGAATGGGGGGGGCACATTGGGAAAATCAGATGTGCCCTTTATTCAGAGGTATTAATTAGTAATTGTCCTTTATAATACATAAGAGATGTTGGGATCCTCTTTCAGAGGTTCAACACTCTTGTGAGAATGTTTACGAATTGATAGATCAATCTGTTGCGAATAAAACACGAATGACCACTATAATTATAATACAATGTAATTACACTGTTGCTAAATTAAGATATCGCTATAATCTACTAGTCAATTGGTTGGCCTCCTTAAAACGGTTGTATTCGTTAACATGGCTGGTGATTTGTTCTGCCATGATTGTGTCGTATAGTTGGAAGTTTCCTTTCCCGTGGCTCTCCATTCGACAGAGGCGAGTCGAACTGTTCCTCAATTCGTCCGCCGTGTGCGTTGGACACTCGTACTCGTGGGCGGGGCTTTGTGAGGGGTGGAGATGGACGTGGGAGAGGGTGGGAGATCGGGGGAGATGGGGAGGGGGTGAAGTGAGGGCTAGTTCTTCCGGGAGTGCAGGATAGAGGTCATCCAGGTCTATCATAGACTGCACAGAATTACAAATACAGGTGTTAGTAAGCTTGATGGAGGAAAGGGTTAAAACAGCAGAGTGAGGGAGATTAAGAGTAAAGGTAAAAGTGGGATGAATGAGGGATAATCGGTGAGTGAAGCAAGCCCACCTAGTCATCTAAATGCGGAATTTTCCCATACAGATATATATCTGTAATGAAGGACGGACAGATGCAGATACCGTAGAACTAAATACGTGCGAAATATTGAACCACTAGCTTCACTCGCCAAAAATGTGTTTCTAGTGATAGGAGAAAGGAGAGAAGAACAGTAGGAAACAGAGTGGCAAAGGAGGGATGGAATAAGACACAGAGTGGAAAAGGAGGGATAATGATAGGAGAAAGGAGGAGGGAATAAGGAGGAACAGAAAGAAACAGAGGGGCAGAGGGAGGAAGTAAGGAAGGAGGATAGGAAGAAACTAGGGAAGGAGTGAAGGAGAAGAAGCTACTTACTACTGTGACTTTGTCTTTGGTGAGAATCCTGATCTTGTTATGGCGGTACAAACTCCTACTCAGATTTTTTCTCAGGGCATAAGAATGCAGACACGGCACCGATCCTAGGCTGAAACATACGTTTTAGAGCAGTTCGAGGGAGGTGTAGGATGAAATGAAGTATGTGTTTTAGAGAGAGGCCCACCTTTTGAGGACATGAATGTCGACAAACTGCGGTGGAGTTATGACAATCTTGGAGTCGGCATGCAGCTGTAGGGCCTCAGATGGCGTGTACCACTGTATGAACAGAACATACACGCAGTATAGACATATCAAACCACCAATACACTACAATAGTTTGTGTATATACGAATCCAATAGAAATGGAACCATAATGTATATACATGTACACTGAATCTAGTCTCTATGTGGGCGTTTAAAAGACAAGTTCATTTCTACTATTTGTAGTAATCGCAGCAGACTTGCTACATACCATAGCTACTGAACCCATATTATCAAGAAAATCAACGTACCTTTGCGTCCACGATCTCTGACCCGTCTGCAGTGATGGGAGGCAGTGTGTCGAGGACACAGAGGTAGAAGACTGAGTCATATCGAATGTGGAAGTTCCGCGGAGTCAGCCAGTCTGACCACTCCAACAGTGACCATATGTCAGGAACACACCTCAACTCCCTACCATAGAGCATTCATTCATTCATTCATACAACAGGGGCACCGGCCTACAGGCCAATACACCAAAACTCTAACCTATAGCTCCATAGAGCTTTTGATAGACGTGTAGCAAAACACTACCCTGATTTTAAAATACACGCCAATGATCTAACCTACACTCAGTAGCTTCCACAGGTTGAGATATTTTAGACAAGCAAAGTTACTTATTTCAAGAGAAACTTTTGTTTGCGGAAGAATAGGTGACCTTAATACAGGGGTGTCGTTAGGGAAGGGTTCTGCTGTTTTCCATTCGTACTCACGAGCAGAGGTTGAGAAACTCTGTGGCATCGTTGTGGACTCTATCTCTCCAGTGATCCAGCTGGTCTCTCTCGAGAGTCTTCACCGCTGGAGGAAAGGTGCCCGGGACCCACTCTGAAACGGCAGACACTTCACTCTCATCTCGTGCCAGCAAAACCCCCGCCTCCTCAAACAACTCCCTCGCGGCACAAATCCTGAAGGCCACCTCTCCCAGAATTGGGCCCCGGGGCACCTCTCTGTACAGTGGGAGACGTTGGTTAGAATGGGAGCCGCTTGGAGCTAGGATGGAGCGGAAAGGGTCACCGGAGGAAGAGCGACTAAAGAGTTTCTGCCATTCTGGCGAGCTGTCTGCTGCGTCCAGGCGACCTCCGGGGAACACGTAGCTGTTGGCTGAGAGGGAAATACCCGATTATCCCAGGGAAGTATAGGGAGACGCGACAGGGAGAGAGAATTACCGAAGAATCCGGTCTTTGAACTCCTCTTTACCAGAGCTACTTCCCACTCCGTTTTGCCTGTCTCCTCCAGCGGGACAATTAGCGGGTTCTCCCCCAAATCTCCCAGTTTAGAGAGAAGTGTCGGTGCTCTGGCGTATTTTAAGGCTCCAGAAAGTACTATGATCCCAGAGGCGTCACGCCAGTTCTTCATCGCCCGAACCGCCATTTTTTGTTTACCTGTGACTGGGATATCTCCGTGTATATTTCCTGTACGATTACGTCACAGCCTTGGGTGAGCAAGTCCGAGGTTATAAATAGAAGTCAGTCGGACAACTTTTGCGCAACGAAGCGACTCTCGGGTTGCATCTTTGTGTGTTTGTTTAGCCAACTTTCTGAAAACCCCACGGAGTGTGTGGTCCCCCATATCTAGACAGGTGCAGTAAGACAAGATGGCTGAAGGGAGAGGCCAACCCAAGCCGAGCGGGAGTCACTACACCAACGTGGTGGAGTGCCGCCATCACCCGGGGGCGCCGCTCATCGAGGACCACGCCGCCGGAGACATGATCTGTCAGGAGTGCGGGCTAGTGGTGGGAGAAAGGTCTGTGTGTTGAGTAAGCGCGCGCATGCTCACTGACGTAATAACGCGCTAATTGGGAGCGCTTAAATTGGCAAGCATACACGCATGCGTAGGGCGTATAATTATTCCTCGTTATATAAGACTAGATACTTTCTTTCTCCTCTCCTCTGTGTTACGTAATGCATGCAGAGTGATAGATGTGAGCTCAGAATGGAGAACATTCAGTAATGACAATACATCTGCTGACAGATCTCGTGTTGGAGCCACAGAGGTGAGTCTTACTGTCGCCTCTCTCTCTCCCCTTCCATCCTACAGTATATAGCACTACCACTCAATCACACGTACACACTGCTATACTGTATGATGCTAAATTTGGAGGCAAAATATTTTCCCTTGATCCACACAATTTATGCGCTTGGATTAAAAGATGTGTCGCTGAATTTTTTTGCAAAATATAATACTGGGGAGCTTCTTTCGCGATAGGCACAGATTGGAGACCTCACACAAAAAACTTGCAAAAATAGATTTTCTGTCTCCAAGATTTGGCACTGAACGTGTAGCTTATAGCTTGGTATACACAACTTCCTCACTCCAGGGCCATACTTGTATATACATCTCCGACAGCTTTGAGTCCAACACTGAAACGCAAAACAGAATCCAATATCCTGTGGACAAATATACTGCCTCTGGTGTTTATTCGCAGCATCCTTGTTGTGTCACAGCCGGGCTCCATTTTCCTTGTCTTGTTCCACCGGGCGAGGCTAATGGTCTCTGTTTTTTGTAGCATTTCCACATAATGATGGTTCCTCTCAAACCAAAAGTGTTTTCTCTTCCGCTGAGCGCTCTCTCCAAACACCACTTTCCAAGAAAGGGCCGTGGTTCGTAGAGTTTACGTGTGGTTTTTGAGTTATTTTCCAAAGTGTGGAACTTGTGGTCGAATCTTATAATAGTGTGCTATGGACAATTGTGCATTCATACCAACTGTTCTACTTATTGTGTCTGTGGGAAATAAATATCGAGCGTTCGTAGAGTTTACGTGTGGTTTTTGAGTTTCAAAGTGTGGAACTTGTGGTCGAATCTTATAATAGTGTGTTATGCACAATTGTGCATTCATACCAACTGTTCTACTCATTCAGGAAACGCTGAGCATCGTGTCGTGTGTGTGTGTGAAGGTGTGTGTTTTTTGTTTTTCACAGAATCCGCTACTTGACGGAGGAGAGCTCACGACATACATTGGAACAGTGGCCACAAAACCAGGCAGTCCCGACAACTCTGCCAGTTTCTCTCAGTGGCAGAAGAAGGGGGTGAGAAAAACGCACTCTGTGATTAACGTGGCGAGCTGGAGCCGGTTATGTAGTAGCCTGAGTGGCGTGATTGGTACAATGACAAGTTGTGGTGCGATCGGTATTATGTATGCGACTGTACGTGAACCAACTGCACCTGCATGTCCATTACATACTTCTTTTGTACGTGAACCAACTGCACCTGCATGTCCATTACATACTTCTTTTGTACGTGAACCAACTGCACCTGCATGTCCATTACGTACTTCTTTTGTACGTGAACCAACTGCACCTGCATGTCCATTACGTACTTCTTTTGTACGTGAACCAACTGCACCTGCATGTCCATTACATACTTCTTTTGTACGTGAACCAACTGCACCTGCATGTCCATTACATACTTCTTTTGTACGTGAACCAACTGCACCTGCATGTCCATTACGTACTTCTTTTGTACGTGAACCAACTGCACCTGCATGTCCATTACATACTTCTTTTGTACGTGAACCAACTGCACCTGCATGTCCATTACATACTTCTTTTGTACGTGAACCAACTGCACCTGCATGTCCATTACGTATGTACTTCTTTTATGCAGAATAGTTCAAATTTTTCATCAGCTCTTGCCAAGAATTCTCCGCATTAACGTACTAGTGTGTATGTGAGTCCTGCCAAGTTTATGGTCTCTAATACTAAAAGTTCTGTACAAATGATTTGGTGTTACTTGCCAGCCATTGGTGACAAACTGGCTTGTAATGGTGCCCAAATTGACCTCCACTGACCACTGCTGGCAAAATGCTGAATCTGTATCAAACTAGACATGGTTTTAGCTAAAGCAGGGAAGCAGGTGGCGCGCCAACATTTCTGGATTTTTTATAGAGTATAAACAATACAGAAAAGTTGCGCAATTTACACAACTGATGGTGCTCACTTCACTCGCCAATAAAATTCAAAGAGCTTCACATCTTAAGTCTCCTTTAGCATGCTGTGAAATTAAGAATCGTCTTTTACCTATCAAGGCCTGTTGTTCCTGCCTTGCTGCAGTAACTACCCTTCACATCCAATGAAAAGACTAATTATTGCGTCAAAAGAGGGTTAATCGTATATATCCTCCAGCTTTGAGTTAATCACTTAGTCAATAGAGGGATTTATACACTATAATGTTTCTTTCCTCCTCAAGGGACTTGTTACTAACTCTGTCATAGTCAGGTCGTTGTCACCCCCATATCTGACTGACTGTTGATATAATATATGGAACCTAAGAGGCATGTCCCCTCCCTTGACATTATCAGTGTGAATTGATAAAGTATGTGTATGTATCCCTCCCTCTCTCCCTCCCGGCCATCCTCCCTGTGTTCCCAGATGAGTGCCACTGACAGAGGACTGGTGAATGCTTTCAAAGACATAGCCACTATGGCCGACAAACTCAACCTGCCACGCATCATTGTAGTGAGTGGAGCCTATACGCACGGCGGACCTCTATATGCACACCATAGCGTCATATTATAATTAATACCTTGTGGTGGGGAACTATCGAGGAAGGAAAAACTTTGCCGTTTTTTGAGGTTAATGCGATATTTTTGCAAAGTTCTGTTGCTGCATGTACGTTTAAGCACGAAGGGAACCTTTTCCTCTTGAAACTTCACATTTCCTACTAGATAACTTGGGAAAGTCTTCCGCCTTCGAAAACAGTCTTTTGTACTATAGCTCACTTTTACTGATCTCTCACTTTCCTTCTCTCCCGCTTTCTCTCTCTTTTTCCAATCCCAAACACCTCTCTCTCCCTCCCTCCCTTCCTCCCTTCCCCCCCCCTCCACAGGATCGCTGCAATGCTCTGTTCAAGCAGGTTCACGAGGAGAAGCATCTCAAAGGACGAGCCAACGATGCTGTTGCCGCGGCGTGCCTCTACATTGCCTGTCGTCAGGAGGAAGTTCCTCGCTCCTTCAAGGAAATCTGCGCCGTCTCGCGACACCCGAAGAAGGAGATTGGAAAGTGTTTCAAGCTCATCACGCGGCAAAGCAACCCAATCTTGTGCACCCCCGTCACCAGCAGTGACTTTATGGTATACAAATACCGTACATTGAACCTCTGAATAAAGGACACCTTTGGGGATATTGAAATTGTCTGTTTTTTTAAATTCTGCGGCATCCCTAACTCTGTGTAGAACAGAGGTATATTATACTGTTGGCCAATGTAAAATTTTGGCCACAAAATTTCGTAAGTTGGTTTTAAATTTTCTTTTCTGCTTTGTGACGAATACTAATATATTGCATCGTAACGTGGGTCAAAAGTAACCACGTTTAGTTCTATCGTACGTGTATGTACATTATCAACTCTTTTGCTGAAAGTAAAGATAGTATACACCCATATCTATGTGGTGTATTATAAGGTTCAGTGTCATTTCATTAGTTATCTTTTCCATGGACGTCGCCAGTCCCAATAATGCAACCGGTGAAAGTTTTCCCTGCGAAATTATCTCTTCCTACTAGTGGTTCGTAATGAAAGTTAATGGCCCCAAACGTTTCCCTATACATTATACCGCGCGTCAATAGGCCAACATGAAAATGGGGGTCCACAGTTGGCCCAAGTGTATCATAGGGAAGTTGGTGTTTGTGTGCCCACTAGTCTTTCCCTGAGGCTCAGTGTAAACCATAAACTCTGTGTGTGTGTGTGTGTGTGCGTGCGTGCGTGCATGTGTGTGTGTGTGTATGTAAAGTGGCGGTGTATTCATCCCTCCACCCACCAACCTTTACTCAGGATATTATCCTACCTGCATACAGTGGTAGAATAGTGTGGGGGTGCACACACACACACACACACACACAGACACACAATGCAGCTTGGCCCATAATAAGTGTCATCCTGTCGTCCTTTGTTCCCTCGTTTTCTTATCTCGTAATTTTCCCTTTCTCTCTCAAACACACGAAACTCGCACCCACACAGTCTAGGTATTGCACCAACCTGCAACTACCCACATCTGTTCAGAAGGCGGCCAGCCACATTGCCAAGAAAGCAGTGGATATGGATCTAGCACCGGGGTAAATGCAGCAAACATGTAGGGAGCAGTATAATTACAAGGGCTTAATTCTGAGAATGTTGCTTAAAATGGAGATTAATTGAAGTGCAGTGGCCTCTTTGCAATATCTCTGTACGTGATTTTATAAACAGCCACTAAAATTTCCAGATTGATATTTCATCTTTTACTGCAACCTCTTCCTGTTGGACAATAGAACTACCTATTTACTAGAGAGCCCAGGTAATGTAATGAGTCTTTAGAGCTGAACTAATTGGTTAACACTGCCGCAGTTAGCCAGGACAGCTGTAGGCAGCGAGCCTGGGCCAATTCCACATTACAATCTTAAGTCCAAGAGCCATTATGAGAAGTAGAGAGTCCGTATGTGTAATGTTACAGTTGAACCGCCAAATAACTGCACGGCGGGACCACGAAAATTGTCCCTTTCACAGACTTTCTTAAATAGCCGAAGTATTGTGTATACCAGATCGTAACAAGAGCCCTTTTAGAAGTGCCTTTTATTCAGGGTGTCAGTTATAAGAGGTTCAACTGTACTGCAAATTACCACTACACGAGTGCTTGCATGGATATATACAGCTTTCTATAAAAATTAAAAAAGACACAGAGCTATTGCATTAGTACACGTGCACATATTATAGGCTGGAAACGAGAGGAATTTCCCCATGGTTTTACTGGTGTTTGTGTGGGGGCAGGGAGACTGTGTACTCACCCATTGTGCTCTGTATGCACAGGAGGGTGTATTTATCTGTGGCAGCAGCAGCTATATACATGGCCTCCCAGGCATCGGACCTGAAGAAAACTCAGAAAGGTGATTTTTTCGGCGATAAACTCACAGGATCCTATTTACCGTGACACTGGAATCACACCACTTGGGGGCGACTGGATACACAATGAACTCCTGAAATGAGTTTAGACTGTGCCGTTAATTGTGTTTGTGAGTGTAAGTGAGTGTGCCCTTGGTCGGTGGAACTGGTGGATGCCAGCCAGACAAAATTACAAGTTTGAGTTTTACAATGTCAAGTGCGTTGTCTGGACCCGGTATTGTTCATTCATATTTCGTTATAAAGTTCGCACACTTTTTTGCTTCCATCGCAACCACGGTTAAGTTCATTATGCCGCGTGTAGCTACACACACAATGTGTGAAAATATGTTTGGGTGAATGCGGCATACTGTTACTGTGTAACCTGAAGTGGACACCCATTTGAAAGGTCGCCGAGCAATGTTTCAAATGTTCAAAGTAGCAGTCGTGTATGGGATTGACCTGTGTTTTTATTATTCCATGACCCTTGTCCATAACTAATACTCTCCATAGCCCAGCATATTGGATCACAATAGGGCACAGCATGCTCTCTCTCCTCTCTCTCTCCCCAACACCACCCTTTGCCTATGTATTGCGTTTTTGAGCAGTGTATACGGTGGACCCATCGACATAATAGTCAGTGTGTCTGTGTGGTCTCTAAGTGATGCTCCGTTTCACAGGACACTGCTGACAAATCTGTAGTATATATAAAGTGAACAAAACTGACTCCTCGGTTTTGCATTATGCCTGTTGGGTTCGCCACTTTGTGGTGCAGTTTTTGAAAATCGACTGGACAAGTATCGCGTCCTTGTGTGTATTATGTCTGTGTGTCGCTTTTATGTGAGTGTCGGTGTGTCTTTTTCCCCCAGAGGTTGGAGATGTGGTAGGAGTGGCAGACAGCACCATAAGGCAGTCCTACCGACTCCTCTATCCGCAGAGGGACCAACTGTTTCCAAAAGACTTTGCTTTTTCCACGCCTCTGGAGAGCCTGCCAAAACACTGACAATATTATAATCATATCACAATAATATTATTTGTTCCTTGATTTATTGGCTGGCAATATCAAAATGGTGCTGATGTATGATTATTATATACCATTGACATTTCAATAAAATTGTTCTGATTTCAAAGTGTTTTGCTTTGATTTTATAATTTCAGTTCTGCCACATGCTAGCTTGTATGTAGCGTGGTTCTGGAAAATGAAAATACTGCCACGCAAATCGCGGACAGGAAATAATTTGGCACGGACACAATGCGCCTCACCTACACACTATAGGCGGCGCATAGACGACCGTGTGTTGTGGAGTCTTGCACGTAGCCACGCAGGCCCAGAAATTATTTATTTAACACAAAGTGCGGGATTGTTTAAAACAAAAGAGCGTGCATGTAGCCGACAATTGCAAGACGCGTCCCGGACGAGGTGGCATTCAGATCACGGACACGACAACGCCTTTGTGCCGCATGTACAGCACGATTCTTTAACAAAATCGCAGCAAAATAATCATGTTAGTGCTGAAAAGGGACATCGGAGCCAGCGTGTAAGTTCTCGTGTGAGTAAACCTGTTCGTTCTGCAGAATGCATGCGAATATACAGCCGGGAGCACTGTTTTATCGCCTGTGAGAACGCGGACCATGTGCGTGCATGTCGAGTGGCGTATAAAATCAATCTACATAGCCTGACGCTGTTGGAGTTTTTTAACGAGCGGTGGTAGGATCTAGTTGGAGAACTATCGTTATTTATCTTCAGGGCATCTTCTTGCATCGTACGTACCTAGCTAGCTAGAGATAGAGCAGCGCACAACCCTATTGCGTACATAATTGCGTCATACGTAGCGCTGCGAACGGCGCTCTCTGCTCCAGCCCGAGTCAAGAGCTCTTTTCTTCTGCATGCAGATATCTGACGACTCTCCGTCCGCTCGACGGTGGGCACTTCCAGATGGAGGCTGGAGTAGGATTAGAAGACGGGGTCCTGGCCCAGCCGAATGGGTGCCGCTCAGCTGCAAATGAAGTAGTCTCCGATGACGGGCCACGAGCCAAGGGCCCGGGGAACGCCGGCAGCGGAATATCGTTCAGCAAAGAGCTCATCTCCTTCTCACTCTACGGAAAGATTCCCAGAAAGAGCAGTAAGTCTGTTGTATTCACAATATCACTCACTCAAGGGCCACAATTAATCACACATCAATGGCGGACCTGTAACTCGGATATCACCTATTATGCTACAGTACTATAGCTGGCCCATGCCTCCACTTCAGATCTACTGCTAAAGTACACACGTTTGTTCCCTGCAGAGAGGCCTTGGAACGAATCGCTCAGCTCCAAGATTGCTGAAGTCCAGGAGTCCTTCAAGAACATTCCATCCATGCTGTACTTCTCTCCATCCTCAGTAACCTTTGACGGAATTGGAGTCTATGTGGCGGAAACTCTCCCTAAAGGTCTTGCAACAGTACTAACTAGTAGAAGAAGTACTAGTTAGTTGTTAACATGTTATAACCAACTTGCATGATAAACTGCATTGCTAGGTTATGAGGACTTTGTACAATGGTATAAAAAACAATAGGGAGGAAATTTTCATTTGCATCCAACATTGCAACACACAGTGGCCTTGTTGCAGGTGGCTATATACACAGTCACGGTGCAGTAACAAACAGGAGGGTTTCCTAGACAAAGAGAGTTCTATAGAAATTACCTACTAGTCAATATACTATTGGTTATTGCAGGCTAGAGAGTATTATGGAGTAAGGCCCCAACTTCTATGACATACTCCACGTACATTATCGAATTATCACTCTCTTCTATCTCCAGTATATTAACATGAGAGCTTCTAATAACTGACGCCGCCAGTACCAACACCCTCCCAAATGATACAAGTGACTATTAGGGAATTTAGCTCTCTCTCTTTCAGGCACACACGTTCACCTCTTAAACTCCCAAACTCCTTTTTATTGGGATATTCTCAACATGGCACGGTGCCTATGTGTGAAGCCAGCAACTAAAATATAAACAGCTGAAGCATAAGCCATGATGTGATAAACATACAACACCTTTTCTAACTTCGAGTTAGTACTGAATAAGTGTGACTATGTAGATTGGCACGGAACAATGTTTGTGGATTATGATGATTAGCTTCGTCCATTGTGGTTTGCCGACCCTTTCTCATGGGATACCCATACACCTTGCCATTCAATGGTCCCTTGTTGGTACCATTGTTAACATTTCACAAAAACATTGTTAAAATTTCATGGTAGCATTCTTAGGGCTGTAGACTTACGAATATGGCGGATAATTCAATCCATTCAAATGTCATTATGTGTATTGACCGCACTACAATGGAGCTGGTATACCACTGGCTATCCAGCCAGCCCAATTGGTAGGGACGCTGAATGGGGAAGAATGCAACTAATATGGTAACGGCAAGGACCCACCCCGATAAAATTTGGTGTTTTTGCGTCTGTTTAATGCTGCATGTGGCATTCCCCTATGATCATGTGCAGGTACGATGTTGGGCCCCTACTTTGGGAAGACTGTGCACAAGGAAGCGACTGAAGAGACACACGAATGGCTGTGGGAGGTACGTATACTGCACAAGACCACTCCGCTATTCAACTTACCACACCCACACACTCTCTGTGTAGCAAAACTAAATGCACGTGCACATCCCGCTCTAGTAAGAGAAAAATTGTCGATACACAGCCTGTAGTTGGCCCGTAGTGGGGTCCTTTTATCATGTAACAGGGCACTACGCAACCAATTCCTATGTTTCATAACACACTGGTGGAGCCACCAACACTTGCAGTATTCAGCCTATGTCGCTACCACGCTATCGCACAATTTGCACCAAAAATTTGTTACAAGCCCGCCCACTAAATGCTTTAGTGTTTAGAAAGACCATGCATGCATATGTATTGCTGCCTACTAGATGGGATGAATCATACAGGCATTCTTATCGACCCTATACTCCGTGCCAAGGGCCCTATCTACCGATAAACGCAATGCTCCATAGCTACACATACACCCCACAGAGTTTTGTTGTTGATATAATATAGTCTATGGCAAGTAGACGTGTGTTTTGTTGTGGATGATTGGAAGGTGGGTACACGGGAGATGCCGTGGTTCATTCAGCGAGCTTATTCGTCTTTCCTTAGCTGGCTTGGCGAGTCATGTGATGAATGCTATTGATCGTGCGGGGTGCGTGTGTCGCGCATGTGTGTGTGTGTTTGTCTGTCCCTAATGCAGCGTGAATAGAGAATAGAAATGTCGCAATGGATTGCACTTTGTTGTGACTGAAACTTGCACTATCGTCCCGCTTGAAATAAAACCATCGGTGTTGACTAACGGCAGCAAAAACTACCGTTTATTGCTGATCTACATCATTGAAAAAGCCCCTATAACCTTGAACTATGTGCTACAAACAATAGCTCACTGTCCATACTGGACATTTGCAGTTCATCTGTACTTCAACATAGCGCAGTCTTTTATGAATGGGCAAAGTTCATTCTCAACACAAAATATCCTCTTTTTTATAGGTATACCAAGATTCCTCGCTGGCCTATTTTATCGATGCGAGCGACCCAAAATACGGCAATTGGATGAACTTCATCCAGTGTGCACGCAACCAGCAGGAGCAGAATCTGAAGGCACTGCAGTACAGCGGGTGTCTCTACTTCGAGAGTGTTCGCGACGTGACGGTTGGCGAGGAACTGCTGGTGTGGTACGACGAGATGCAGTATGAGATCTATATGGGGATACCGGTCGGATACCGGGGGAAGCCCATAGCTACCGGCGGGCCCAGCAGTCGCTCCTCATGTGAGTCAAAACACTACAATAGCCTGTCAGATGGTCCTCAATTGACCGTGCTGCGAAGATAGAAATGGAGTCTATCCTCGCGGCGCGGCAATGCGGCAAGGTGCGATGGGCCAATGCGACATTTGTGAACCTAGCCTAATACATGCATCAATGAGACTAATAAATGCAGTAATAACCTGTAAGACGGTCCCAATGTGTCCAGCACTAACATTTAGAATAGTCCCGTACGTGTGAGCCAAATGACTATAGAGTGGGACCTCCGAAAAATGTACACATTGGGACAAGGAAAGTTAGGGACCGTGTGCCCTGTGTTGAGAGGCTTTTTCTATATACACTCATGCAATCCCTATAAAACATTTTCAATCAGGATTTACGTGACTTTAGTCTAGACTGCCAGTGGAACCCCTCCCCAAGGAAACCCCTGAAATGAGACGTGTATCGTGGCCTTAAGCTTTCCTCAAGAAAGGCTCTTACATGCGGTTTAACCCCCGGTGCTGTATATAAAACATTGACACTATCTTCCGCCCCATTGGTGTCCGGACTAGAGGAGTTCAACTGTATGTGCATTGGACTGAATCTTTATCAACAGGTCCATTAGGTTAACCTATACACTGTTCTAAATGTTAATAAATGATATTTCATAAAGAAAGTGAGTGCTGAGGACACAGCTAGTCGGGGTGGTCCCTTCAGCACACCCAAGACAGCTCAAACCACCACATGCCAAATTCCATGTCACAACAGGACTGGATCAGACATTATACACTTCAGTTTTGACCAGTTTGTAGACTATTCACTGCCATTCCCACACACACACTATTGAGGCCTGCAGTAACAGCTCATCACTTGTGTTACTGTTTTTCCCCACACCTGGTGACAGTGTAGCTCCCTATAGCTGGAGTCTTTGTTAGCCAGCACAAGCTTGTAAAAACTGGTTAGGTGTTAGCGGCAGATTCAAAGTGTCCCCATACCTAACCCCAAGGCACTGTCTATGGATTCTTTATTTCTGTTCTATATTTGCTAGAATGACATACATATATAACTGTAACCACCTATTTAGTGAAACTCTCAAACCGAAAAGTGCCCACCTTTGCACAGATTCTAAGGCTGTAACCACAGAAAGTGCGTGGTGACCCACATAATGCATACGACACATGCAGTGAGTTCTCTTTAGACCATAGTGAAAGAATCGACAGTGGTTTTTCAACTGTCCCAAAATTTCCTTCTCCCCGATGCATTATGTGGGTTTAAGATAATATACACCGCGACAACTCCCCACAAAAACTTGGGGGAAAGCGCCGTGTTTTCGCAGAGCGCCTTGCACGGAAGGTGACACAAAGGTTGAGAGACACTAGGACCGAGGGTGTGTTTATCCGTCTCGCGATTTTTCCAAAGTGGATGCACTTTGCACGGGTTTACTTTACCCAGAGTCACTGTTGTTGCATCTCATTCGCTCATCACGCTGCGTTTGCGTTCGTCTTGTTCCCAGTATTGCGACCCCCGCTGTTGAAATCACTATCGTCCATTAACACAGTTTTGACAGTGATTTGCTCACACATCACTTGGCGAGTATTTCACCGGGCCGTTTCACACGGCCGCTTCCGTGTAGAGTTGGCTCCGTAATCAATGTACCGTTCACTGGTGCAACCTCTTGTAAAGGACACTCTGGACGCCTCTCTATAAATGACACTTGTTTTGATCTGGTATTTAACCTAGACAATTCTGGATATCTCTAAGGAGGACATTTTTCACGGTCCCAGCATGTCCTTTATACAGAGGTTCCACTGTAGTACACAACGCGGAATAGCTGTTAATCGTGAGCATGAACTCAATCCGGTGTATATTGTATTGTGGCCTAGTACCCCCTTAAAACCCTATACTACCTACTTTCTATTGGGCTTTTACTGAGTAATGTACCAACCCCAATGTTACGATTCTCTGCAGCTACAACAGAGAGCTACCCTGGCTCCCGGCCATCTTCAGAGAACAGTGAAGACATCTTCATCTCTTCCTGTCCGGCGATAGGCACGGCGGTGCACGGCCCCGCTTCGGGCAGCGGACACTCTGACACAAGCAGCGCCAGTACTGACGACAGCGGAATCAGCGTCAGCTTTGAGCACGCCGCTCACAACCCCACCTCGGGGACCGGGACCGTCGTAGGTGCCGTGGGGGGAAACCTGGGGTCAGGGAACACCCCGATGGACACAAGTTACTCTTCTTTCTCGTCGACTGCAGCGGACAACGGAGGTGTTTTTCACGGTCTCCCCGGTAACCACTCGGAGTCGTCCGTCTACATACCTGCTCAGTCTCACCTGAGGTCCAGCGAGTCGCTCACCTCTCTCTCTCAGCCCACCCCCATACAGCTGCCTGTGTTTGTGGCCACGGACACAATTCATCAGAAGGTGTCAGACCTAAAGGTAGCGGCCGCAGTGGGCACCACTCGACCAAGATTTGGTCTCGGTCCGGTATCGCTGTTACCTTCGACTGCAGTGGCAGGGGGGAGGGTAGAGTGTGGTAAGGAGAGCAGTGGGGCTAGTTGGACTCAGATCCCGAGTGGTGGTGGGTACAGCATCTTGTCTCCAGGGGTCTCTGGAAAACAGCTCTCGACTCAGTTGGGGTCGAGGGAAGGAGGAGGAGGAGGAGGACTGGTGCTGTGGTCTACTGGAACCAACTCGCCCACCACTTCCACGCCACTGACAGTGAACAACGCCAGTGGAGGAGGAGGGGGAAGGGGGGAGAAACAAACGCTGCTCTACGGGATGTTCGTGAGGACGGACGACGGTACGCGGTGGCAGTGTGTTGAGTGTAAGAGACTGTTTAGCTCACAGGGGAGCCTCAGGGCGCACGCACGTATCCACACCGGCGAGCGGCCTTATCAGTGTCAGTACTGCTTCCGAACGTTCTGCCAGGCGTCAACGCTACGGAGTCACGAGAGACTTCACACGGGCGAAAAACCGTATAAATGTGAGCACTGCGGCAGAGCGTTTACGCAGTCGGCCGGACTCCGTTCGCACCTCAAGACCCATCGCTACGACTCCTAGCAGAAGAAGATTCTCACGTTTTCACTCTCTCTCCCACCCTCCCTCCCCTTCACCCTAACACCTGCACAAATACCCACTAATCTTCGTTTTAACTCAATCGCAGAATAAAGCAATTGTCAGCAAAGTGCGCACAACATCCCGTTTTAACTGCAAAAACGCAACGCCTCAAATCCGCAGTTTTTTTCCAAACAGCCAACTTCAAGTCCGACACCTCATGAAGTGTATAAATAGAACACTACGCAACCCTGAGACGTATGTAATATTGAAAATGGTCGTTTGTGGTCTGAGTCCATATGTATGTTTGATCCACAAAAATTGCTCTTTTTCACTTTCGATTTCAACATGTTTCACAGGTAGCAAACATTTTTTTTAATGCCATTTCAACATCATCATCAACACTGTAATCGTCATTTGCCACTTTCTCGTAATTTTAAAAAATCAGGTATACAATTATCCTTCATCATGTGTGTTATAATTATTGGCAATATGTAACTGCAGAGAGGTTTTGAAACTGATAAAGACTCACGTGCGCAGCACTAGCAGTGATATAATATTCGTGAACAATAGACCCAACAACGAGTCTACAAAACACCCACAGCTACTAGGCCACTGACAAGACGTTAGGTGTCAACAAAATCGAAACGCGGAGTTGAATGTAAGCTTGTGGTATCCACCGACAACCGTGGACAGGGTAACTAGTCGACAACTCGTACGGCGGGTCTTGGTGTACAGTTGAGAACAAAAGAAGCGACACTTGGCGCACATACCAACTAAACAGAAGGAACAGCTGCTAGTGTGTGCTCTGAGACCAGGGCCGTCCTGGATACCCACAACATCTAGCACACGAGTGTCGGTGTTTGGTGGGTGTGGGTGTGGGTGTTAGTATCACTACATAGTACTTAGAGCAAGGGACGGGAATACCTAGCATCATAATGTATGGGGCTATCATAGAGAGTTTTGGTGTTAGTATCGCTACATAGTACTTAGAGCAAGGGACGGGAAAAGTATAATACCTATATAGCATCATAATGTATGGGGCTATGATTGGTGTTAGTATCACTATAATATAGTACAGGGACGGGAATACCTAGCATCATAATGTATGGGGCTATCATAGAGAGTTTTGGTGTTAGTATCACTATAGTACTTAGAGAGCAAGGGACGGGAAAAAGTATAATACCTATATAGCATCATAATGTATGGGGCTATGATAGAGACTTTGGTGTTAGTATCACTATAATATAGTACTTAGAGCAAGGGACGGGAATACCTAGCATCATAATGTATGGGGCTATCATAGAGAGTTTTGGTGTTAGTATCACTATAGTACTTAGAGAGCAAGGGACGGGAAAAAGTATAATACCTATATAGCATCATAATGTATGGGGCTATGATAGAGACTTTGGTGTTAGTATCACTATAATATAGTACTTAGAGCAAGGGACGGGAATACCTAGCATCATAATGTATGGGGCTATGATAGAGAGTTTTGTTCATCGTTATAGACGTGGGTTTTCACTCCAAGTTTTAGACCACACAATACTGCACACAACACACTCGAAACTAGAGGGTTAAAAATTTGTTTCATTGTGGATGCACACTTCACTGGAGCATTAAAATTCAAACAACTCAAATTAAGGGTTAAAACGCAGTGGACACACTCTTGACTAAAAGGGTTAAAATTCATTAGTGGATACAACTCAAATTAGGGTTCAAACACGGTGGACACCCTCTTGACTAAAAGGGTTAAAATTCAAATAGTGGATACAACTCAAATTAGGGTTCAAACGCAGTGGACACACTCTTGACTAAAAGGGTTAAAATTCAGTGGATACGACACACACTCAACTAGAGGGTTAATCACTGCTAAATAAGACACACACTAAGTTGATAAAAGTTGATAAAAAATTACGGTTAGTCCCTCGTTTATTGGATACGGTAGGTACGTCGAGTAATACCACGAAATGTGCATTACACAACTCTCTCTCTTCCATTTTGCTCAGTTCTTTTCAGTGCAAAGTGCATCATTACCCACCACGATGGGCACAAGACACCCAAATAACCATCTCCACATGCTGCGTGGCTTTTACTTCCCATTTCAGTTCTCAAGACAAAGATTTTCATCCGACCACAAAATAACCACTTGCAGTTTTATATCAACACACCAGCATGCCGCCCCTGACCGCATGTACACACACCACCGCACACAGAGAGACACATGTAGGCACAAAAGGGTTTGAATATTGGAGGTTTTTGCCCCTGTAAAAAGAGCATAGCAGCTGTTAGTGACCAGATAATCCCCACGCAGTAAAGACAGGAGCGTGGGAGGCCAGGGCACTAGAAAAACCCTCTGGCAGCTACGACAAATGCAAATACAACAATCTGCGGGCCGGCACCACGTCACCCACGCACGTACACCTAAACACAAAGCCGGGTTATTTACGTTCGGCGAACACAAACAGGGCCGCGTAGAATACATACGCATGCATAATTGTGTATAGAGCAGTGTGGAATACACACTTCGTATATATTATACGCACGCAAGGCTGGAATACATTGCAGTACATAATAACTAACTCCAGTATTGTATGGTATACAGTGGAACTCCTCGAACAGTGGTATGATAATTATACAAATGAAAGCGTCCATAGTAGTGAGATGTCCTTATACAGAAGGGGTTAAATTACAGAAACGAAAGGCATCATTTCAGGGTTGTCTTTGAGATGGCTCCACGGTATACTTACATATGTACCCTTAGTACATTGCAAGCACTTATATCACTAAGTACGGTAGTACTTAGTATATAGGGATGACACAGGTTGTCCTGCATTATGCCCATACATTTGAGATTTTCATGTTTCACTTTCTATTTCACCATTACTGTTTCACTGTGCGTGAGGACTCCAGGCATTAAATAACATAATGTGTATAAGCGTTTGTAGGAGGTATGAAATAGGGATTCGTGCAATTATTGTTGTGAGTTTAGCTCTACTGGTACCAGGAGCTCGGTGTCTCTGTGGGTGTGGCGTATTTCACTAAAAATCCACGCGAAACAATGCACAATTTGACGCGTACTGTTTTACGTATACAACATCAAATGATTGTGGTGTTCATATTGAAACTGGAGATTTCAGGTTGAGGGCAGGAGTTATGATGTTGTTTGAGCTTTGATGAGGGGGCGAAGAGCTGCCAGCGAGATTAAGATGGCTTCCTGCAGAAGAGAGAGAGAGAGAGAGAGGGGTGGGGAGTGTGGTGTTGGAGTACCTTTGAATCAACCCAACATCATCCCCAAACAGCACACACCACAAAACGTGACATGGTCTATTACCTTCATGCATACAGAATACACCACATACACCACAAAGAGGAGGAGGAGGAGAGAGGAGAGAAGAGAGATGAGAATTTGGAGGGGGGTGGTAGTGTGCTATTGTGAGCACAAATATTGTGCACCCAGGCACGCAGTAGTAGTTAAAAGCACTTTACAATTTACACTTACATGGGGGTTTAAGGAAACACACCCATGAGACAAACCATGATCGTTGAATCCTTTCTAGTTAAAATAGCAGAGTCAAACCGCATGTTGGTCACCAGCTTACCAAATGTGAGGCAGATGTAGCAGCATGTTACTAGAACTACCACAGTGCCCTCTCTGCCCACCAATAACCACGGAAACAAAATGGTCACTTTCACAAACCGCTCCCTTCCCTCCCACCGGGAACTCGGCAGTGTCATCTCTATTTGGACCGTCGTCCTGTGCCCACATGTGTACAGACGGATGGGCAAAATCCCACTGCACGCGTGACACACACCCTTCACTGTCACATAGTACCACTCCTTGTGTGTATATATACATTATACAATGAAGAAAGCTTGCCAGATGCACAATAGGCGATGCATCTTTGGAAAACCCGAATGTGAAGTAACATCATTACAGCATGGACACAGCGTTGCGTTGTCTACACACAAGCAAATAAATAAAAAATCGCGCAATTCAGATGACTAGGACTTTGCTGGATTTGCGTTTGTCAGGAAAAATACTACAAGTGACTGACTGGCTACAAAGTTATTATATACAGGTCACCCATACCAGACTTGATACCGACACCTCATATCATTGATCATAAATAATTATGGAAAACGTAGCCTATACAAAAATGTCACGATAAAACCTTTTTTTCAGCGAGAAAGACGAGATAAGGATAGGGACAGCGACATGTGGCACGATAGGAGTAGACACAGCGAGATTGGATTTTGCAGGTCACCAATACCACTCGTAGATGGAAAACGTCACCCACACACACAGTCACAATTTTTGTGTCTGTGTGGTGTGTCTTTTAGATGACAGATTTCCAACCCACACACACAGTCACAATTTTTGTGTCTTCAGACGACAGATTTCCTCCAACAGGTGTCAATTGTCTTATCGTAGTGGTATATATAGACACCGGGGTCAATGGACCGGTGTCTATGTCGGCACCCACTAGCTAGCTCAGTTGGGCACACAACCCACATTGGGATCGTAAACAGAACGGGAGTGAAGCTTGTTGTTGTGGTCTGCAAAATGAACGATTGATTTTTCTACACTAGAACAAATGCAATGCAGGAGAATATTTAGCATGGTGGTCATGGGTAACACACTGAGAAGCCATAAGTCTGTGTGAACATTAAAAAAACTGCGAAAATAATGACTGAATTCTGAAGCTACATGAAACAGAACTCGGAAACATTATCTTATTCATTATACACAATAACGTGGGTTGTAGTACATGAGGTATTGTACAAGGAGAGTGTCTCTCCAGATGAAAGGATGATGGAGAAGCAGCTGGCTGGAGCAGGGGAGAAACGATGGCTACACGATCCCTCCTTTGTCTGTCTCGGTCATGTGACAAACGACTTTTGACGCAGAGTGTGTACGCAGACACGACAAATTGTGTAGTTCGTATAGAAAACGGTGACGGCAGTTGTGTAAGCAAATTGCACGTACAGAGTAGGTTGCGTAAGTGATCTGTACTGTTATTGAGTTAGTGGCGGCACCGCACAGGAAGTGAAAATGCAATTACTTTTCGCCCCAAGACTGAAAACGCTGCCTGGTGCACAGGAATGACGATGGCACTTGGGAACACTGCATTACGTATGTTGCAGTGCCCAGACAGGAAAGCATGAAAAATGCATAGTTGCAAACATTTTTTGTGATTCGGCAGTAAATATTTTGTGGGTTGCAGTTTGCTTTCCACGAAATTTGTGTAAAAATCGACGAAATTTGATGACTACATGTTATCCTCAAGTTCAGGTTCTGTGAGTGTTGTCCCTCAAAACCCCCACCAACATAATTATGATGTAATTAGATTACTGTCGCAAGCTCCGCCTACCTCGGTGCGGATTGTGCGAGAGCCCTGGGCGGGGCAGGTGTTGAGGTAGTGATGGAAGAGGACCCCAACGTCCGCCATCGTTAGGGTGTCGTCACAGTCTAGAGCATGCTCCAGGCCCTTTAGCCCTCCAAACACTACTGAGGAGATGCCTGTGCCGAGAGGATGGAAGGGTGAAGTACATTTAAATGGCTACGGTTAACTCAAAGTGAATGTTACTATTCCCTACTCCAACTATAGTCAAACTATTATGGATGGTTGGTTTGTATTTTATTCCACTAACGTTCTTTTAACAAATGCAAAAATGTTAAGACCCAGGGGAAGGGGGCGTGGTGCAGTGATAAATGGCTAACTGAAAGGTGAATGTTATTAGTCCCTACTCCAACTATAGTCAAACTATTATGGATGGTTGGTTTGTATTTTCTTCCACTCACGTTCTCTCAAAAAATGCAAAATCGTCAAACCCGACTCTTATACAGGGGTGCGAGCTAAGGCGAGATATGGACAAAGACATCGGGATATCGATATGGACTTGTTGACGAAAGAATGTGTCTATGTGTTTCGTACATGCATGCACGTATGTATAGGCCGTGATAGACAACTCACTGGAAACGGAGGAAGTGAGGTGAGACAGTCAACACTCTCTCCTCTCTCCGAGGTACCAATAGTCATATCGTATCCTCCCTAGTGGGAACAGGAGACACGTAGAGTTCCTTGTGAAATTTCGAAACTCTTAAGAGAGAACTTCGTGTTTCAGTAGCAAATTTGGTTGGTGATTACTTGCCTCGCTGAACAATGGGTCCTCGCACGCACAATTATGCTGAAATCTCTCAAATTGTGACATTTTTCTCGTCACATACAAAAAAAATGTGTCCTCTCCAATAAGAACACCTTTCTTCCCAAAGAAAATTTCTTTCAACCCCTCAAATAGGGACGCCTCGCAATTCTGGATTAGAGGGGTTCCACTGTATAGTGGTGTTATAGTCTGGAAAAGTAAAAAAAGAAACAGGGCTTGTCCGGGATTCGAACCCGGGACCTCTCGCACCCAAAGCGAGAATCATGCCTCTAGACCAACAAGCCACACTTGGGAGTTGGTGGCCATGTTAGGACTCTCGTGTACACAGGTGTTCCACTGTACATAATCATACTCGGACAAAAAGGACCAAAAAACTCTCAAAAAAGGATGCACTTTTTGGTCCGAAATGTTCACTTTCCTATCACAGTACATTTTTAACCTCCAAACAGACGACAATGCCCTACATAAAGGACAAATGCCTGCTCCCCAACGTGTCCAATGACAACTACATGTTTCAGCACTGAAGTGCAAACCCTCGGCGAACTGCGCATGACGGTACCACTCAATTGATGGGCTGGGCTATTTAGTATGCGTTTACTCTTCGCATCACATGGTCTAATACCTTCATGTAGTGCAGGTGATGTACTATACCTGGTGTGGGCTGTTGGTGAAGACGGCAGAGAAGGTGTCGGCCAGCCTGACGGTGTAGCCCCAGTAGAGACCAGCGACACTTCGTGGGATCGAGGGGGCCACTGCCTCCCCCCTCGTCTGCTTCCCTCCTCCACCGACTCCTGAGACAAACATTTAAGGCCATATTTATCAGTATAGAGAAGCCCCCTCATTCATTTTTGAATGGTAGATATACACAGGTCAGGAGGTGAAGAGAAAGACCCAACTTTTGTGGATTGAGTATTGGCTTACTTTTCCTGACAGCTGAAGAGTCGAGTTTGACCGTCACTCTCGTACCAACATCAAGCTCTTTGTCAATCACCACATTCTATATAACATTTGGGTAAAACATCTCATGAACATGATTTATCTATACGGCGGCAAAAATCCCGTGAAGAACATGGAAAACTGTGCCTAGCTGTGAAATCTACTTTTGTCTCACGTTCGTCCAATCTACACCATAACCCCTTACAGTAAACCTGAAACGTCTCATAGGTACAGGAAACCTCACTCTTTCAGAAAGTATATACCTTCTTCAGTCCACAGTCAACTAGAGAGCCAACAGCCACCTCTCCTTGATTCTGTGCATCTCCAACTACTATCCCCTCTCTATAGGGGCAGACGTCATCGGCACGCATGTGGTGAGGACAGTCCAGTGGGTTTAACAGGCCTGTGGTGGCGAGGAGGGAGGGAGGGAGGGAGGAGAGGAGAGAGGAGAGGAAAGAGGAGAAGTCAGGGGAAGAGGAGAGGGAGGAAAGAGAGAAAGAAAAGGAGAGAAGTGAAATAGGAAAGGAGGGAGAGAGAAGAGGAAGAAGGGGAGGAGTAAAGAGACGAGAGATACATATTACACAGAGATCCCTCACCAGCATATTTCAAGTCACGATGCATGGGGAAGAGTGCCTTCCTCAGGTATCTGTACACCAAACACATATATACAATAAACTGCCCCACGGTTGCTTGTGTAACCAACTCAAACACTACCCTGCTGCACAGTATTACACCAACGACAGAAGGAGACGTACTGAGGTGTTTCCTGGTACTCCAGAAGTCGCGCTAGAAAGACATTCGGATCACTGCCTTGTCCCTGGGCACCTGCAGACACAGAGCTCTGCTTCCTGGAGGAGACACGGGCTGGAGAATCTTGAAATTTGAAAGTTAAGTACGTACTTACCCCCGTTCGTTAAAGACAACGATCTCATCTATGCAGAAAATGACAGCTGCTCGAGCAATCTGAGGAGAGAGAGAGAACCAACTCATTCCGAGGCTCCCTTTACAAATGTATGCTCGGACTCATGTGTTTGTGTGTTGGACTTCATGAGCGTGAAAGATAGGAGTGCAGTGGCCAACAGATTAAAAAATCGTATTAAAAAAACATATCTGGATGCGAGGCTATACATTGATATATTGAGTAAGCTGTCACCTGTCCAGCAAGGTAGGTCTTCAGTTCCAGAGTCTGTGCGTTGTCCACTATTGACCCCGGTAGGGCTATGCTGACCGTGAACCCTCGACCTCTTCTAGAGCCTGCAAGAGGGGACATGTCATCACCTGATATAGCAGTGAGTATGTTTAGCAAGCTCTCCCGCGTGTTTCACAAAATATCACCGGAAGTCGGGTTTTTTTTCCTACCTGAAATCTCTGCTTCTGATCTTGAATTATTGTCTGTGGCGAGTGTTTCTTCCTCCTCCTCGCTCTTAGCCTCTCTCTTCTTTTTCTTCTTCTTCTTCTTCATTTTCTTTTCCCCCGGTGTCGCACTCTCCGTAGCCAATGAGCCAGGGTCTGGTGTATCGTCCAGTTCACAGGGTAGTTCCACCTCCGTCTCTGTGTCTGCCCTCTTCCTTTTCGTCTTCTTCGCCTTCTCGTGAGGAGCCACGTGCACCTTTACAAACGTGGGAGGGGCTGGTTTTACCGTAAACTGTGCGCAGGACAAGATTATGGAAGCAAACTAGCAAATGTGTCCGACATTCACTCCACCCATGTATTGTACCTCTTGTTTTTCCAGCTCTTGAACTCGTTCTCCGCCCTTTCTCCGCTTCATAACGAGTCGAGTTCACAAAGTGCGCCACGTGTGCACTCTCATGCGCATGCGCATGCGTATTTGTACCCTCCTTTTTAAAGCGCACCAAAGCATAAAGCAGACCATTCAACCTCTCACCGCGAACAAAGCAGCAAAGTCGTGATGTCTAAAGACAAGAAGACGTTGGAAGGGGTGGCCAAGTACTTGAGATTCAATGTCCGCACCAAAGCTGCCGTTCTGAAGAGAGAAAAGGTGGAATACTTCACTGGCAGTGCAGCCGTGGACACGCTCATGAAGTCCAAGTGGGCCGTAGTGGCGGGAGAAGCGAGCGAGGGCGAAACTAAAAAACCCAAGAAACACGAAGAAGGAAGTGAAGTGGAGTTTCACACGAGGGCCGACGCTGTGTCGTTCTGTAACTACCTGATAGACCTCCAGTACATGCTGAGAGTCAACAAAGTGGAAGTGAAGGCTAGTACGGACACCACAGACACGGGAGACGACGAAGCGACTCAACCCTCGAAGTCTGTCGAGCAAGAGAGCGACCAACCAAAGAAACCAGCCAAGACAAAGGTGAAGGGAGAGGAGGCAAAGAAGAAAAAGAAGCGCTACAGACTCGAAATTCACCAAAAGCAACAGTTTCGAGACAGTGATGACCTCTATATATGGAAGTACAACCCTCCCAGCACAAGTACGTATGTGATAGGGTTTGTGGTGGTCTTGGGCGCGGTGGCCTGGACCCTCCAACCTCTCTGGCCTGCCTCGACTAGAGTGGCCATGTGGTACGTCGCCATGGCCGCTGCGTGCGTCATCGGAGTGCTGTTGGTTCTTTTGGTCCTCCGGTGGTTCCTATTTGGCATCGTCGTGGTCGCCACGCTGGGCAAAGTTCACTTCTGGGTGTTTCCGAATCTCAACGAAGAGAAATACGGTTTTGTCGACTCTTTCAAGCCAATATACTCCATAGAACGCTCGGGAGACAGTTGATAGTATTATAAAATAATACATGGGTCCAATTCATACAGTTCAAAATGCTACAAAAAAGTTGTAAGTAATAGGTGATAATAAAAAATAAAATTGATTTGGATAAACAGAGTATCTCAGGTAGAGAAAAGGACGTCTAATGGTGTAGTGTTGGTCCTTCGTCCGTGTCCCTGTGCCTCCAGCTCAACCTTGAGTCTTATAAGTAGGTCCTTCACCTGGCTGGTGACAGGCAGGGCTGGATCATCTCTTATGGTGGACCGTATGCCTCCCAACACCCGCAGAAACTCTTGTTCCTCGCTCTGACTCCTGAAGCTGAGCCCGTGGAGGTTCAGCAGTTGAAGGAGACAGTAGAGCTCTTGGTAGTGTTTGCTGGTCATCTTGGTTGGCATGGTCCTGCGGTAAGACTCAATGACTGTTCTTGCAAAGACTCCACTACCATCACCGCTATTTCGCCCGTGTTTCTTGATAGTGTTGGCTGACGAACTAGCTTTCGCTGTCGTGTGTCGCCTCTCGGATTCAGCTTCCATCAAATCAACACCGAGTGGGGAATTTTCACTAGCGAGGGAAGAGTTATTGCCCAGTGATGAGGAGGTGTCTGAAATCACTGGCAAAGTGTCTGAAATGAAATCCCGGGTAGGCAAGTGGACTATCTTTGCCAGACAGTACCGGCAGAAATCGCGCAGGAAGCAGAGTTGGCGAGGTGAAGTCCCACGGAGAAAACGTGCGAGGTAAACGTGATGACGACTGTGCGGGGACAGGCAGGCAAGCTGTGGAGAGAGCCTTGCGATTGCCTTGGACCACACAGCCTCGGGGTAGGCTCCGAGAACACAACCGAGACAGTTCTGGAGGACCTGCTTGAGAGTGTACTGGCAGTGTGGGTCGAGGGAGAGCCCGCAGAGAACCAGGACAAGCTGCTCCAGTTCCTGGACCCCGTAGTTCTCTGCGACCGTCTTCACACAGGCACAGATGTAGGTGGTCAGGTGGGAAAGGTTTGCAATTGGAGGAGACACGGGAGTAAAGGACTCCGGGCCTTGAGGCAGGGATCTGACTATTGTCCCACAACTATCCACAGGTGGTCTGAGTCTCTCTTTATCGGCTCCGAGTGTGACTAAGGCATCTGTGATTTCTGCTACGGTCGGTGGCGAGAAACTTGTCTTCTGTTTCAGATTCTGCTGCAGTAGCTCCAGCAGTGACTTTAGGGCTCCAAAACTCACTTTCTCGTCCTCGGCACATGCCGTGAGCTGAAAGAGCCACTGGGTGAGCTCAAGCGGACACGGTCTTCCAATGTAGGACAACGGTAGCATTACACCACACACAATATTTCTGAGGTCATTTCCACTTCCTTCCACCAGTAGCTGAGCGAGAGATCCTCCGTCGCTCATCGCGATCCCTGGAGGGTAGATCTCTGTGATGAGAGAAGCTTCACGGACGAAAAAAGGCCGGCCGGAGTTGAGAGAAGAGGGAGAGGGGAATAGAGAGGCATCATTTGGAAAAGTCGTAGAGTTTCCCTCCGCGAGGAGACCGTCGATGTCCGGTAGAGTGCTCTCATAGCTCATTTTCTGGGCTTCCAATTTCTCCTCCTCGCTTTTTGCAATTCCCTGGATCCCATTGCGAGATCGTAGCTCCTCCAGCTGAACACAAGAGATGGTAAAAACTTGCAAAGATCGGTTAACACACCAACCTTTTTCTCCATGTCTGTCTTCTCTTTCAGAGTCCGGGCAAGTTTCTTCACCCTGTTTGCCGTCTTCTTGCTCTCACTCGTCCCGCTGCTGCTCTCCATTTTGACCGGAGATAGGTAACTCAGGCCGTCCACCATTGCCCGAACGCCGAAAGTAGCAGTTTTGAACAAACGATCCCTGACAGCGTTGGAAATAGCTACTGGCTTCTCCTGAAGCGGCGAGCTAATAGTAGTAGCAGCAGTTGAGCTGCTTCTGGCAGGAGAAGACGCACAAAGGGGATTTTCAAGGGCACCAAGACCAACGCGTGAGCTCGAGCCGCCATTAGAGGGATTTGGGAGGTGCGGCTTGGGCTCTGCAGCTGCTTCGAGTTTTGGTTTCTTGGGAGTTCCCACTTTGATGTCGGGGAGGTCAGAGTCTCCCTCGTCCTCGCTCCCGCTCTCAAGAGGTGGTGTGTTAGTAGGAGAAAACATGGCTGTTGAGCAAGAACAACCCGTATACTCTTAGTATCCGGAAAGCACGTGTTGGGGTTGGTGCGCTTCAAATAGAGCAACTTGTTGTGACGCGTCTGGCGTTTTCTCTGCATCTAGCAAGATGAGCACGGGAATGAACTACGCCAGGAGAATGGCTCGAGTACGAGCCAGAATCTTCGGTGAACTAGCTAAAAAGACGAGCAAAGAGTAAGCCGTCACAATACTTGACTACTGAGCAGGGGTTTTTGTTCTGCATTCCCTAGGGATTACAGAGTGGTGAGCATGTTTTCGAAGCGGCCGTGGCAGAGAGACCTGCCGTCCTGGTACCCGCCAATCTCCCAGTTCAACACCATTCTCTTGAGGCTGCGGAATCTTGGGCTCTACACTGATGAGCATTTGGTTGGTGTATTAGCCAATAGGAAGAACTACTCCCCTAGTCCTGACTTTTGCTATAATATTATGTGGCACTGCACTGAAATTGCAGGATTTCATTGAGAAGATGGATGCCAACAGGAAAGCTCGCGGAAAAGCCACCCCAAAGAAAGGTAGGAGTGCTCGTAGAATTTTGGGCTGCGCCAATAGCAATGTGTTTGTCTCACTTCTCGTGAATTGCGCTGTTTGCATCAGTAAAAATAGCTCATTTGATAGACAATAAATGCAATCATGATCACATTCCTGTCCTAACGAAGATCCAGTCAGCATTAATTTGTTCCTGGGCATGCGTGTAAGAATGTCATGTAGCTGCTTTGGTACAAAATTCTAGCAGCATTTTCGTGTTTGTGTGTGCTGATGGTGTGTACGGGAGGGCCGTATGGCATGGGAGGGAAGTGGGGGTGTGGGAGCAAGTGATGTGTGTGTGTGTGTGTCCTTGCCAGTCAGTCAGTCAGCTGGTCTGTCAGTGCACCTGAGATTCAGAGGGAATGTGGGGGTATGGTGGTGTCTCATGCCATTGTTTGCATCCAGCTCACCCATATCCAGAAAAACAATGTCCCTCATACGTACTTGACTGAGGTTATTCACACCGATCTAGACTGTATACAGTATCTTTTTCCTTTACGATTTGAGGGTGGCACACATTAGATTAGACAGGACTAGAGTGGATAAATGCTGGAGTCCTGAAGAAAGCATGAACATTTTTGTTGTGGTGTAATGTCCCTCTAAATATTAAGTGAGAGTCGATTTGTGAGTGGCAGTTTGGACATGTTCTAATGTGTGAATGAGGTATGGTTCCATGGCCAGCTCGATGAAAGGAAGAGAGGGAGGTAGGGAGACTGGGGGAGGTAGAGTCACAGGATTCTTTCTTGAAATCAGAGCTTTCTCTGGCCCTGATCAGTGTCAATACTAGACTGCTCTGAGAGGTCAGAGTCCAGTGATGGTAAGCTGAACCAGCTCGAGTTTTGTCTTGTGACAATTTAGCAGGTGTGGTATTTCGATGGACGGGTATTGTGCCGCCTTCGTTATGTGAGCATAAACACTTGTTTGTATTTGTTTTACATCTGCAGGTGAAGGCAAAAGAGCAAAGAAAAAGAGTTAAAATGTTTATTGATATGTGTGTGTGTGTCTATTATGAACTTGCCACTTTACAACGCATGCGCACAAACAAGCCACCACGCCCACTCTTATCGTCTCCCGTAAAAAGCGCATCCCCGTCATTCGACGTAGCTTCTTGAGCTGGCCCAAGCGTAGCCGTTACTTCTGGTGTGTCTGTCGATTTCCGTTCTGCAAGAAGGCCGCAGCGTAAGTGCATCTGTTTCAAAGTATGAAATATGCTTGGTAAATAAGCAATTTTCCGGTGTCTTGGTGTTAGTGTATTATGATCTGCGCCCTGTTTACAACTTCACGGTCGTTGCTATGTTGCAAGTTGGTAGGGGGTATATATGTGCATAGCATATTCTACTCGAGCACCACCTACGAAAGTCGCCGCTGCTCCCACTGGTTCGTTTGTACACTGCCATAAGCATGGGACCATTCAGCTTGCAATCGATTCAGTTGCCCTACTTTACTGCACAGAACCCATTTTTTGTAATACAAACTAGAGTTCCGTCAGTACTACGGAATACAACTGACATTCACTGTAGCTATAATGCATTGACGTGGGGGGGGATAATACTGGTTGCATTCGATAAACTGCTTCAGTAATTACTGGGCCACGAGTGCGTGAATCCCTTTTTGTGGGTGGTGGACTTAAGATAGCAATGAATAGTCGGCCAATTGATGCTTCCCACCGCTTGCATCTATGCTGGTCGTGTATATCCACAGTTAGCTGGACACAGTGACAAGTTCATTCATGTGGGTCAGTGCCTGGGATAGTACACAGGTATGCAGACCCACAGACTCGGAACAGTACACTGTGGATTGTATTCATCCATAATCGGATTTACTGCGCCTCTGCACACATCGTACGTACGTACCCGAGCAGTACTATTGCATGCCTGCACACAAGGGTATTAGGTATTTGTGAATGAATACTTAGACGTCTGTGTGAGCAGTGCTGGTCTGAGTTGGGGTGCCAGCGGGTGACAGAAACTTGCTTAGCACAACAAAAGAACCAAAGAAGGAAGGAAAGCTAGAAATCATTGAGACTTAACATCACAACTATTGTATGATGCATATACTTACACCTACTTTTACAGTACTTTCAGAGGCAGTTGAAGGCTGAAGGTGCTCATAAGTGTTATCAAAGTAGCTATATAGGTACATTGGATCTGGAGTGGCTATATGGGTACTGTCTGAGTGACACTTCAAACGGGGCGCTGTCAGTGCTGATATTTACTGCCAATTTGTATAGGTGTTGTGTGCAGTGGGGAATGGAGTGTGCCTCCTTACCAGAGGAAGTAGGCCTCAAAGACAACAAAGCACGTGTCAATTAACCCTTCAATGGCACATTACACTGAGAGTATCTGTCGGTGCTGAATGAATTGACTGGCTAGACAATTATTTAGTGAGTATTATTTCTCTTAATGGCACAGATTAGAGTTGTTAGAAGAAGAGGCAGCAACTATGGCTGAGAAAGGAGACACGACCCGTCAGCTACCCCCTGCTGGTACAAATTAAATATTAACTGGCTTTGATTAAAAACTGTGTACCTTTAATTTTTGTGTACAAATTCTTGGTGTTCATAAACATGTTCTACGCACGTGGTTGTTTGGTCGTTTGTGATGCCCTGGAGGACCAACAATCTCGTGCCTACCATCCCTAGCTTTTGACAAACTTGACCATAATACTGAGGAAGCTTCATAAAACTACTATCCTGAATATACTAGTGCGTACTAGCTATTACATATCATGGGGGAGGTGTTGGGACAGACAATTGTCGAACCGCTGAAATTATTCATGCATTCCTTGAATGCCAGATAAATGCAGACTCAAAGTCTTTCTATAAATACATTTCTGGTATGCGTATTTAATGCACTGACGTTGAAGCTGTGAGATACAGCTGTATCAATGAACAACTGTTTCAGCATAGACATTAGCTCATGGTTGACTTCCTTCTTAAACCTTTCTTCCCCTTAACCAACCCACTCTTATCCTCCCCCCCTCTCCATTTTCAAACTGCACACGTTTAATATGTACTCCCTCTATCCCTTCCTTCACCATCATCTTCACTCTGCTCTTAGTTTGTGTGGAATCTCCACTCAATGACAGTGTACCACCTCAGTACATAATCTTCTCACATAACTATATAGTATATATGTTGAGAACAATAGTCAGACTCAGTCAGAGTCGAGAAAGAGATGAAATTAAGCAAAGTGTAGTCACGCACAAGACAGGTAACCTAACACGCGGTATACACGACAACTCCCCACCCCTCTGCAGATAAGCTCCCAGAACTGGCTCAGCTGGTGATGGAGAACGAGAGACTGCGTCGAAAGCATCGCAAGGTCCAGCACCGCAGAGACCACTATGCCAGGCTCTACTACCGCTGCCAGGCCGACTTCGACGAGAAGAAATGGGAGTTACACTACGCTCGGATCAAAATCTCTGAGCTCAAAGAACAGCGTAAGTACTCTTATAACACCATCTACCGTAGTAGATGATAGAATCCCAGACCTTTCAATAGCTCCAGGATCGAAATGTCTGGTATTCTATTATGACTAGTGTAGACAGTTCTCAAAGAGTGAAATATGAGTTCTCCTAGTCAATCTGTGTATTTAGTATCGCGGGACATCATAAGTAATGGAGCGTGAGCTACACTTTGGCACCTACTAGCTGTTGTAAAGTAAGGTAGAGTCAATTACACATGTTACACTGCAAGAGGCAGGGGTATTATGTACATATGTAGCTAGGCGGTGTTTTCATTTCCAGATTGTGGCAAATCTGTAGCAAAAGTTGTTCTCTACTAATCGCCGCATTCCTCTAATGTACTGCCACTTTTATCATGTAGGGGGCCATAAGTGTGGAACTCCATTCTTTGTACAGTTAGTCAGCGTTAAATAAGTCAGGACTTTATTACGAACTCTATAGAAAAGCTGTTTCTCGCTGACCTGTGTTGAGAAGACGTGTGTGTGTGTTTACCTCCAAATGATATTCACGTGTGCACAAAGCAACAGTGGTAGTTAGTGATGTCATATTGTGTCATCTGGCTGTCGTTGGTGGGGGGATGTGTTGTGCTTTTGTGAAGTGCATGTGGGTTTACAAATAAGAAGCCACTGCCCACACATGTTCTGCCGTTTTAGACACTGCAAATTGTATTGCCTCTGTCACGGTATCATTGTAAGGTTATAACCGTCTCTTATATCCCCTGGGCATTTTAGCACGGAGGTTAGCTCTATTGATCAGAGGTGCAGAATTGCATTTGTGAATTGAATGGAATCTGTGGGACTGCGACTGGCATGTGCAGTATTTTTTCAAAACACGACAGTAAATTCTGTGTGAGGGACTATAGTGTATAGTTTAACTTGCTGAGGCATTGCATTTTGGATATGCAGCACTGTAATTATGTACACGCATGTACTATGTACATACTTTGTGTTGTATTGTGTGTGTAGATTTTAACCTCTATATACCAGCTGAGTTGCCTTGGTAGCTCAGTTGGTAGAGTGCAGAGTGTCGTGGGTTCGAATCCAGGACAGCTCTTCTTTTTTCCTTGGGTTGTATTCGCTTTGCCTACCTCATCGTCGCACACATAATGCTGCAACAAGAGGAAATAATTGGAATATGCGTGCGTAAAGACCCATGTCAAGCCTCATTTGCCTCATCCTCTGATTGCGGGGGTTAGCGTGTAGCTCCCGTCTATTAAGGGGTGTATTCACTATCTCACATTGGCTGCACGGCATAGCCACACATGATACAAAGCAGAACCATCTTTGAACTTGTGATGCAGCTACAACTGCGTATGCAGTAGTGGAAGGTTAGGCATCGCAACACGGCCATAGGAGCATCAAAGTGGTTTGCATGAAGGTGACAGTATATTCACAGGAAGGTGTCCAGGGAGGTGGTAGTTTACACAAGAAGGCCTGCCCTAGTGGTGGTGTGCTGTCTCTAAAGGGGCACGGCTCATTGGCTTGCCTACATACCCCACCAAAAGTTCAGCACGCTTGCTCACACTTAAAGACACCGCTTTGCGAACTTCAGCCTCATTGCATACCAACCTGACATTTTTTGTGTGTGACTGACATGATACGCTTTTTATACCACATGTGCTGTACATCTGTGCATAATACGTTGCCACCATCGTGCACCAGCTTGCGCATGTGTTGCTAGTATTGCACGAGTAAGCCCGTATGAAGTCCTATTGAAGCCCTATTATTGTCGTCTTCTGTTCTGTATAGCGTGAGCTGTTAGTTTACGGACGATGCACACACTCTCTCCCTCCCACTCTATCTCTTCCTCGTCCTTCCTGCAGTTGCTGCCCTCACCCTTCCTCACGCGGCCAAGCAAGACCAGCTAACCCCCACCTCCACTCGCAGTGACATTGGCCTTTATCTGGCACCCAGATCCCGTCCTCACCACGTCACCGAGTCACATCATCACCCAGGGCACAGTCACACTCTCCACCCGCATAAAAAACAGCAGCACGCCTACACAGACAACCCGCCTTCCAAGCTAACCATCCCAAATTCCATCCCGGCTCGTCCTGATCACATTCCACACCGTAGGTCCGAGTCCGACTCCACCAGTCCCGATTCCGGAGCCTCATTCTCTCCCAGACTTGGAACAGGAAGCTTGGGAGTGGACCCTCTTCCTCGCTCCCACCCTCCATCTTCATTCCATCACACTCAAGCAGAAGTCCTGCGGTCTTCAAAGTCGAAGTCCCTCCCGCGCTCTATGCGCTTGCACCAAGAAGATGAGCCAGAAAATGGCGTTGGTCGACATATGAGCGACTATCCAAGTGATGAAGAAGAAAAGGAAATAGGCGAGGGTCTGGGGAGGGTTGGTGGAGACAAGAGGCAGACAGAGGGAGCAGACTGGGTGACATGGGTCCAGCAGAGAAAACTTTCGCCTCAATTTGATGAGGAACATGGCGCTTCTTCTCACACTCGCAGCAACCACCAACGGCATCACCAGCCTAGTGGTAGCTGGAGAGAGGAAAAGAACGGGGAGAGTGGCGATGTGAACCAGGTCAGTGATGACAGCGTGGCCACCCCGAGCTCCCCGGTTCAGTTCAAGAGCACGACTCCTCCACCCTCAATCGCATCCCCTCATGCCAGACACCCTTCATTTGAACAGCGGCTCCCACTTTCCCAGGGATTCTCATTATCACAGGGTGCGTCCCTCTCCACAATCCCCCTCTCGCCTTCCCTCATGCACCCGCAAAAGGTGGGTCAAAAGAGAAGCGGAGCACACCCTCATGTACACTTCTCCCTCTCACAAGAGGCCTACATGTCTTCCCCACTGTACATCCGCAAGCCAATTTTCAAGGGATCGATCGGCGTACCCTCATCGTCCCGGCCAACTAGAACTCGCACAATATCCGAGGGCCGCGGGGATTTTCAGTCCCCATATCCGCATGATGTCGCCACCTCATCTCCACCACATGACCAAGACACAGAGACTTCTGACTCAGAACTGGAACCCGCGCTGACACAATCCCATCCCCAGTCGGCATTCCGTAAGCCGTTTCCTCAGCCGGTGTATCGGCAGTTGTCTCAACCAGCTCGCCTTGTGCCTCCTGTGCACTACAAGATGCCCGATCCCACCCGCAGTGCGACAGAGTCGACTCACCCTCGCTCCCCTCCCTCCCACCGTCTCCCACATCACTCCCTACCTCAGCAGTTTCCTCCCCCTCTTCCACTCTCCTATCGCCTCCCTCATCCTCATCCTTCCAGCCGACTACACCCCCCTCCCCCTCCACCCACCTCCCACCCTCCCAGTCTTCCCTCATCTCACACTCTCACGCATCCACACTCAACCGATGACACTCGTCACCACCCATCTTCACCGAGCTCAGTGGGCGTGACAAACCCAGGTACTGGTGTGGACAGAGTCCCACAGAGAATCACCACAGCAGCCAGAAGTCACGCCACAAAGGAAAACCCAGCACAACACGAGGAAGAAGAAGAGGAAGACACAGAGGACGAGGAGACAGATGGAGGTGAAGAGGGATGTTACGAGGGACTCACTTTTGAACAGCTGTTCAATCTCACTCTCAAAATCTCCGACCCCAAATGCACCATCACGAAATTGGAGTAAGTGCTCGATTAGTACACCGGAAATTGCATGCACAATTCCATTAGCATGTAACGTGTTTATAGTACTGTGGGGGAGCCGTCACGGCTGGTAAATAATGTTTACGGCGCCGATCAAACATCGTAACATGTGTTAAGGGTTGTTTTCATACAAGAAAACAAGGTTTGGTGTGATAAGCTTATCTCTCGCATCAGTGGGGCTAGTCCGAACTCCTTCAGTGTGCCCCTAGATAGACGTATAGACAGTATTACTGCCATTATGCAGGAGACATGACGTCTATAGAACACAGTTTTGACTACATGTTTCACACTGCCATTATGCAGGAGACATGACGTCTATAGAACACAGTTTTGACTACATGTTTCACACATAATGTGCATGCATAAAACATCTATCAACCCTGGTATATACACCTGGAAAAAATTGCAATACACATCCCTTTAGAACATTGATGCATGTCTTGACATTATGTATACTACAACTTCGCATGTTGCATAACTTTGCATAATCTTGTAAAAACAGGATAGCCGACAGTGATCTGGGGGACAAGGCAGCCATGCTTCAGTTGTGTAAAGGTCTCCATCAGAACACCAGTCTCAGAGAGCTCAGGTACAACAATACACTATATATAGCGTCAGTACATACACAAACACAAACAATTGCAATGCAGTACTTGTATTAACAACATACAAACACAAAGTGCAGGTATAATAGTCCAATGTGTTCACAAACACAAACAAATATGCAGTGCAGCCATTGTATTAGTCCTACTCGCTGTAGTTTCAGTTTCACTTGTAAACACACACAAACACAAACACAAATGCAGTCTTCCGAACAACAACATCGGTGCCGAGAGTCTGGGCGTCCTCTTGCAACACATCCAGCACTGTACAAACATACAGGAGCTCAAACTTCGGGGAAACAACATTGGGAAGGGATGCGCCACTCTAATCAAGGCCCTGATGGAACAGACCAGCTTGAACTCTCTTATGTGAGTCGCAGTTTACACCGGTGTATTGGCTATTGGCGTGAATTTTGACCTCTGGTCTCAGTGGCGGATCCAGGGGGGTTCCTTGGGTTCCACGGAACCCCCCTTTTTGTCGTTTTGCGCGCATGCGTTGCTGGCCTCGCATGAGCGCAGTCGAAAACGTTCTGGACAGCGGAACCCCCGCCCCCCTTCAAAATCCTACATCTGCCACTGAGTCTCTCTCTCACTAGCTGGTATATCAATGAAAAGGCTCTGTTTACCAACCACTATAGTTACAATGCATTTTTGGCTAGCGGAGCGAGCAGTTCAATTTTTGCGAATCACGTCGTAGAACACCACAGTAGGTGCAGTGCGCGTCGCATAGAAAATACTCCGCCGCTTCGCTATACAGTTTCTATGCACCAAAAATGGTGTGTGTGAATGTGTTGATCAATGCTGCCCCAGTAAGACCAGACCCTCTCTCTTCTTTTCAGACTGACTGGTAATGAGATTGAGAAACACGGAGACCTATTACACAGAGCACTACCAAGTGACTTCACAATGGAGTGAGTCTTATAATACTTGACATATACCCCAACATTGGTACATATGGCAAAACTGTAGTATATACCCAGTATTAGTACTATATGGTGGATCACGTTTCTGAAGCAGTACAGAGACGACATGAGAGGATTGACAACGTCAGTCAGTGGCTGCCAAGCAGCTCCAGCTTCAGCCCAAGCAACGGCTGTGTCGAAATTTCCGAAAGGGTTCTGTCCTATAACATCTGTATTGTAGCGGTCTCTCAGGTGGGACTGGAAGTAGCGGCCGGCGTTTGCATGTCTCGTTTTTCACCGTTTTAGAGGTCCATAAGCATTAATTTTGGATAATGGTGGTCTTGGAAATGGAATGGCGAATAGCCTCTTAAACCTTTGGATGCCATGGGGATCTACTTAAATAAGCAGAAATTGATGTATGAAGTATTAGCGCCTGGTATTATAACCCCCATTTAAATTCTTATGGACGTATGGAGGCTCTGGACACATTTATGTGTCCGTGGCTGGTTAAGTAATACAACAGCATCATAGGTACATCTCTTCTTATTGGGGCTTTGAGGCAAAAGGGTGCCTCAAAAATATGAGTGAACAACTCAGTGTTAAACCTTTTTTGCATGGCACTAGACTAAGAGATTTAGAATATTGGCTACACCATTGGCACTAGACTAAGAGATTTCGAATATTGGCTACACCATTGGCACTAGACTAAGAGATTTAGAATGTTGGCTACACCATTGGCACTAGACTAAGAGATTTAGAATATTGGCTACACATTGGCACTAGACTAAGAGATTTAGAATATTGGCTACACCATTGGCACTAGACTAAGAGATTTAGAATATTGGCTACCCATTGGCACTAGACTAAGAGATTTAGAATATTGGCTACACCATTCAGAAAAGTATACAAATGTTAACACGTGCGCATTCTCCCTCTCGTTGGCCCCCCACTAGATACGACACGGCAGAAGGCAGCGTTGACAGCGGAGTTGTGGTGGCAGAAAATGAACACTTCAACAACAGCACTACTTCCCTCAAGTACTTACACGTCTGACACCTGTCGAAAAAATTATCTCCTAATGATCGTGATTAATTCATGTTATATACTCCCACACGTGTGTCGATTAAATTTCTCCGTGGTATATGTCAATTTACACCCGTGACATAAAAATTATCAATTTATGGTGAGCAAAATGCGCGGCTTTCAAAGATGCACACGTGATTTGCATGCAAAAGGACAGAAAGGCAGAGTCAGTCACCGTGTACATAATTCAATTAAGAATAGGGTCACTCACCAATTACTTTTGAGTCCGGGGAGCCTCGTATTTCAAATTAACATTTTCAAACGTGTATATATCCACGTCTGGTTTTAAACATGTGAGCCTGAGACGCTTCAAATTTCAAAGTGTCTGAGATTATCACTTTGATCTGATCAATGACTACTTGAAAATTAATAAATTGACAAGGTTGCAACACCAGTTCACATATCTGATGAGTCATGATAGCCACAATAGTTGCATTCTGTACATTTGAAAAGTTCGCGCGAATTTTGTACGCACATAACTCGGTGTAAACTGAAACGGCACTTGTATTTCAAAACAACGACCGCCATATTCTCACGTGAAAATTGTACACATTATCGATGCAAACCAAAACGGGAGTTTTCTATATTATTATTATTATAATGCAAACAACCGCGTGAGATAAGCAAATAAATTATAATGTGATGATGACGACAAAAAACAGCTGCTGGTAGTGCAAAGAGCACGTTGACTGTGAACATAAAACAATCTGAGAGAACAAAAATAAAAGTTGATTGCCAGAGTGAAAGTGTGATTCTATACAAACGACCGATAATAAATCTTATTATATATACCTGTACCAATTAAACAGTGGTGCGCGTGGCTGGTGAAGATAATATTATTATGTTGTCTGAAAATGTGTACCGGTGGTTCTGTTTGATATTTGTGTGTCAAGACACGCTGTTCTTCTTCTTAGAACTGAGCTGAGACCTGTGGGGATAGGGTTAAATAGCTCAGAAGTGTACGACGCACACTGAATAGAGAAGGGTTAAACCGTTCCCCACAAAGAAAAACCTAATGGAAAAAGTTTAAGAGGTACTACAGTGGAACCTCGTTAATATGAACTCCAGGGGACCATCATTAAATGTTCTTATTGTGACTTGCGTGGGCGGATCAAAGCTGCCGCGCGTACTCTTATTTCCCGTATTGTAGACGCGTTCAATATGACCAATATTGAACGTTCAATAAAAGAATTATTGAACTAGCAGCAGCATCGTACCCATAGTGTAGACAAAAACTGTTCTGTAGAGGCTTTAGAGGCGAGGGATGACAGTTCTGTAGAGTCTGTAGAGGCGAGGGATGGCTGAGGCGACCACACCCCTTCATTCAGCTACCAGTGGCAAGCGAGACCGCGGCCGCGGCACACCGACCGGTCAAACGGCCCAGCGACCCATGAAACGAGTTTCTCTGAGGGAGAAAGAGCCACCATCACGACCTTGTTCGATTACGGTAGCCTCGAGAACAGAGAACTCTAAACCAGCGAGTGCGCACGTGTGCAGGCTACGCAGTCGTATTTCTCTCGCTGGAGGTCGACGACTGCTACAAAGTCACAATAAACACATAATGTGCGTCCTATCGTTCTATACTTGACTTATGGGAACTCGGGTTGTGGTCTCGAGACCCATAGGCTGCGCCTCGTGCTGTATGAGTCTCTCGACCACACACCTCGTTCCCATAAATCACGTATAGAACTCTAAACGCACATTATCTCTCACATATTAAAAGGAATTTCACTATAACAGTAGGTAGTTGTATTAGTGTTATAATGCCTGGGGATTTCAAAGGGGTTCGTATTAAGCAGGTATTTCGCTTTAACAGTGTTCGTATTAACGAGGTTCCACTGTAATAGGAAAACGTTGGTATGGAATGTGGACAACACATTTCAAGTATAATATACAGAGAGCTGACTCATATGGTAATGTACTCTGGTTTATACATTTGCACTAATATTGTTCTATGGTTCTGACTCACAGAATTAAAACCCTTTGGATGCCATGGGGATCTGCTTAAATAAGCATAAATTGATGTATAAAGTATTAGCGCCTAGTATTATACCCCATAATATAAATTCTTATGGATTTATGGAGTCTCTGGGCACATTTATGTGTATGGCTGGTTAAGTGTTAAGGCAGTATATATACACATTATAATGGAGCTGACTCACAAAGTATTTGCAGTACTATATACGTATTATAATGGAGCTGACTCACAAAGTATTTGCAGTACTATATACGTATTATAATGGAGCTGACTCACAAAGTATTTGCAGTACTATATACGTATTATAATGGAGCTGACTCACAAAGTATTTGCAGTACTACATATAATGGAGCTGACTCACAAAGTATTTGCAGTACTACATATAATGGAGCTGACTCACAAAGTATTTGCAGTACTACATATAATGGAGCTGACTCACAAAGTATTTGCAGTACTACATATAATGGAGCTGACTCACAAAGTATTTGCAGTACTACATATAATGGAGCTGACTCACAAAGTATTTGCAGTACTACATATAATGGAGCTGACTCACAAAGTATTTGCAGTACTACATATAATGGAGCTGACTCACAAAGTATTTGCAGTATTATATACGTATTATAATGGAGCTGACTCACAAAGTATTTGCAGTACTACATATAATGGAGCTGACTCACAAAGTATTTGCAGTACTACATATAATGGAGCTGACTCACAAAGTATTTGCAGTACTACATATAATGGAGCTGACTCACAAAGTGTATATAACTGTAGTCTAGTGTACGTTATAAGGCGCTGACTTGAGTGAGCCAGCAAGGAGAGGGTCCATGGCATATATCCAGTCCGAGAGTTCTCTCTCCTTCGTCTGAAACAACAGACCTCTGTGCTTTGTACAGATGGAGAAGGTGTTCTGAGGGAGGGGGAGGAGGGGAGGAGGGAGGAGAGGGAGGGAGGGGAAGGAGGGAGGGGGGAGGAAGGGAGTGAGGGGAAGGAGGGAGGGGGAGAGGGGAAGGAGGGAGGAAGGGAGAGAGTGAGGACAAGGGCGAGATAGAGAAAGAAAGAAGAAGTGAGATGTTTAAGAAAATCTGAATACTGTGAAGACAGCTTACGGCGTTGGTCTTGTTGGCCTCTGTGTGTTGGACTTTGGCCCCAGCAAGATTGAGAATACCACATTCAACCTACACACACACACACACACAGTCATCATAATGCACCATGCATAATTATACTGCTATGAGATTGGAATATCCCAAACTCCTCTCTCAACCCAACAGCCCTTCTTCTTCTTTCCCTCTAGAGATTTTGGGATATTCCCCATCTCATCGCAATCTATTTATTCATGTTGCATTCTTATTAACTGGTTGTGTGTGTGTGTGGTAGGTTGAATGTGGTATTCTCTCAATCTTGCTTGCTGGGAGGCTCAAATTCCAACACACAGAGGCCAACAAGACCAACTCCCGTAAGCTTCCTTTTCACATTCCTTTCATATGATTTATTTTACACCTCTCACTTCCTGAAAATCTTGTTGTTTTCTTTCTCTTTTCTCTCCCTCTGTTTCCTCCCTCGTATGACGCTTAGTCTCACTTCCCTCTCTTTTTTTCCTCGATCCCCTCAACCGCCTTCCCCTCAACGGTGGCCGAGACTGAAAATCCTACCGCTTCCTCCCTCACTGAGGCCAGATCCCTCTGGTGTACCTTCGCTTATAGTCCCCTCGTTCCGGCCCGGGCCCCGCTGTTGGGAGGTCCGGCCCCTTTCCCCTGGTTCAGTTTGATAGGTAGGGCGCGCCTCCTTCCCCGTGCCCGGGGGGGATGGCGGGGTCCTACCAACCGCTGGTAAGAGGCCCTTCCCTGGCATCCCGCAGGGAAGGCCTCTCGTGCGATCGGGTGGCCCCGTTGCCCTTTCCTCCCTGCCTTGTCCCGCATCAGGGTCGAGCCGCGCCATGTCGTCCTCCTGTGCGGGGTGCGAGAGAAAGGGCAACAGCAAATCGTGGGACCGTTTGGGAGTGAGGGATAGGAAGTTTTTTCCCTCCTCGAACATCTCGGCGATGTCCGCGCGGTCTGCTCGGTCCCCCACAGTTCCCGTCCTGGGGCGACGAGTTATTGCACTCGCCCGGGGGTGGGGCCTTTGTCGTGTACTCCGCGTGGCTTAGTTTACAAAGCAACAGAGTTCTGTTGTTTCAGACGAGGAGAGAGAACTCTCCTCATCTCGGACTGTTGACTCTCTTTCCTCTTTTAACCCTCTGTCCGTGGTTCTTGGCATCTCCTCAAGTCAGCGCCTTATAAAACGTAACACTGAGACTACAGTTTAGAAATACACTTTTTTGAGTCCAGCTCCTTAGATGTACTTACTTCTCTAGTGAGGGGGCAGTGGTGACTTCAAATACTTTGTGAGGTCGCTCCATTATTTTATTACTGCAAATACTTTGTGAGTCAGCTCCATTATATGTCGTACTGCAAATACTTTTGAGTCGCCCTCCATTATTATGTACGTACTGGCAAATACTTTGTGAGTCAGCCCATTATCTGTAGTACTGCAAATACTTTGTGAGTCACTCCATTATATGTAGTCTGCAAATACTTTTGAGTCAGCTTCCATTATATGTATTACTGCAAATACTTTTTGTGAGTCACAGCTCCATTATATGTAGTACGCACATACTTTGTTAGTCACTCCATTATATGTAGTACTGCAATACATTGTGAGTCAGCTCCATTATATGTAGTACGTACTTCAAATACTTGTTAAGTCATTCGTCATTAGATTCGTACTGTCAAATACTTTGTGATCACTCCATTATATGTAGTATGGCAAAAATTTGTGAGTCCGCTCCATATAATACGTATATATACTGCAAATACTTTGTGCAGTCAGCTACCATTTACACGTATATAGTAGTACTGCAACTACTTGTGAGTCAGCTCCTTATATACGTAGATAGTACTGCAAATACTTTGTGAGTCCTGCAGATCCATTATAATGTGGATAAATAGTCCTGCACTTAACACTTACCCAGCCATACACATAAATGTGCCCAGAGACTCCATAAAAACCATAAGAATTTATATATTGGGGGTATAATACTAGGCGCAAATACTTATAATCATTTATGCTTATTTAGCAGACCCCATGGCATCCAAAGGGTTTTACATTCTGTGAGTCAGACCATAGAACAATATTAGTTGCGAAATGTATAAACCAGAGTACATTAACCATATGGAGTCAGCTCTCTTATATTATACTTGAAAATGTGTTTGTCCACCTTCCCATACCAACAGTTTTTCCTATTACAGTGGAACCTCGTTAATTGGAATGGAAAATAGTCCCGACCCCCAACAATGACGAACACTGTTAAAGCAAATACCTGCCTTAAAAAACGAAAACCCTTTGAAATCCCCATGCAATAAACACTAATCAACTCCCTACTTTTATAAGTGCAATTCCTTTTAATATGTAGAGATTGGATCAATGTGCGTTTAGAGTTCTATACGTGAGTTATGCGGATGCGAGGTGTGTGGTCCGAGAGACTCAGACAGCACGAGGCGGCCCGAGCGCGTATGGTGTCTCGAGACCCACCCGAGTTCGCCCTAAGTCACGTATAGAACGAGAGACGCATATATGTGTTTATTGTGACTCTGTAGCAGTCGTCGACCTCCAGCGAGAGAAATACGACTGCGTAGCCTACACCACGTGCGCAAACTCCGGCTGGTTTAGAGTTCCTCTGCTCGAGTCTACCCTGAATAGAACAGGTCCGTGATGTGGCCTCTTTCTCCCTCATAGAAACTCGTTTCAATAGGTCGCTGGGGCCGTTTGAAGACCGTTTTCGTGTGCCCGCGGTGCCGCGGTCATGTCCGTTGCCACTGGTAGCTGAATGAAGGGGGTGTGGTCGCCTCACTCCCCTCCCTCGCCTCTCCGACTCTACAGAACTGTCATCCCTCGCCGCTAAAGCCTCTACAGAACAGTTTTTGTCTACCTATGGGTTACTATGCTGGCTGCTAGTTCACATAATTCTTTTATTGAACGTTCAATATTGGTTCATCTTGGAACCCGTCTACAATACGGGAAATAAGATTACGGCGGCAGCTTTGGATCCGCCCACGCAAGTCAAATAGAACATTTATAATGTGGTCCCCTGGATTCATATTAACGTAGGTTCCACGTAGTACCTCTAAACTTTTCCATTAGGTTTTTCGTGTGGGAAACGGTTTAACCCTTCTCATTTCAGTGTGCGTCGTACACTTCCTGAGCTATTTAAAACACCCCTATCCCACAGGTCCTTCAGACTCAGTTCTCTAAGAGAAGAACAGCGTGTCCTTGACACACAAATATCAAAAGCAGACCCCCGGGTACCTTTTCAAGACAACTTAATAATATTATCTTCACCAAGCCAACGCTCACCACGTTTATTGGGACCGGGCATATATAATAAGAATTTATTATCGTCGTTTGTATAGAATCACACTTTCACTCTGCAATCAACTTTTATTTTTGTTCTCTCAGATTGTTTTATGTTCACAGTCACCGTGCTCTTTGCACTACCAGCAGCTGTTTTTTGTCTCATCATCACATTAATAATTTATTTGCGTAGCTCACGCGGTTGTTTTGCATTATCATAATAAGAATATATAAAACTCCCGTTTTGGTTTGCATCGATCGTGTCAATTTTCACACGTGAGAATATGGGCGGTCGTTGTTTTGAAATACAAGTGCCCGTTTCAGTTTACA